ACACACACACACACACACACTGCAATGATTACTGGGATTCTCCTATATTATGTGTTAGGCAAGTAAAAGTGATACACTGCGTCATGAAACCGATCTCTTAAGCATAGGTTTCTTTAGGATATCCTGTTTCTCTGTTTAGTAAACAAAACTCAAGTCCATGGATTGACAGCGAGGTCATCTTTGGGCCAGGGCAACCAACTTCAGGGGAATAACCCTTGGCAGAATGCTTCCTCCATTTCCCATCCTTCAGGGTAGGTAGAATGAAGTGATGCTATATCTTTCTAAACATCCATCCATCAACTTCTACTGCAATCACATTCCACAGCAGGAGGGTATACAACATGTTGCTGGGGGGCGGGGAGTAATATATCCAATACTTCCTGCTTGTGACAAAAATAGGGGATGCAGAGTTTCTCTTTAAACTTCCTGCCTACTCCCACTCTGTTTATTAGTTTCCCAAAGGACCAAACTTACTTTAAAAGTTCAGTACATTGTAACCATGCTGGACATTCATCGGGTCTCCAGAGGCACTTTACTAAAATCCTTCATTATTATCTGGGACGCAAGCCTGGTAATAAGACTCAGTAGCAACCTGGGAAGGCAGAAGGGAATTTCACAAGGCACAGAATGCAGTTGAAAAGCAAGAGTTTATTTACAGATATTAGAATTTGCACAGTGCTTATAAACAATGCTTATAAAAAGCAGCCAAACACTTAAAAAGTAGAAAATACTGGATTGCTGGTTTAGAAGTTATGGCTAGCAAGGTTCTCCAATAACTTACATAGTGATCCACAAGTACTTTTTCAAAACAGAGACTGATATATGTTGTTTGTTGAAAAAAAGGAGAAGCAGGAACTGTGTTCCATGCCTGGTCATGCAATGCTACAATTTCTCCAAAAGAGAATCACATGCATACACCTGGATTTGCTATGAGAGTTGAGAATTTACCAAATCAGGATTAATAGAAAACGGGAAGGATTTAAAGAGTAGCCAGTCAGAATATGAATTGTCACGGTTACTGCATGCATTTGCGGGTAGGGATAGAATTTGTACCAACAGATTTTTAAATGTTGAGAGATTAAAGATTGTAAGAACCCCCTACACCCCCACAGAGTAGTCTGCCAAGAAGGATTGCTTCTTATGCACTCAGGAGACACGCAGAGTTGAGATAACTTCACATCAGAGCAAGGTGAAATAGGTGGGGATGAGATTTGAGGCTTCATAGATAAGGAACCAGGATGGAAGAAAGGACTCTAGTCTTGGGCACATGTAACAAACTCTTCTCATACAAATGATCACTCATTCCGCACATACTATTACTTACTGTTAGATTCTCATCCACCTGCTTCATGGTTGCATTAGTTTGCTCTGTGATGGCCTGTCTGCTAATATATTGTTGCATGGCACACCAATCTCTGAGCGGTGCAAGATTCCAGGAGTTCCAGGAGCTTACCCAGAGTTCGTGCTTCTTTTTAGAAATGAGACACAGTGGAGACTGTGGTGTTTCTTTATGATACATGGTTTAGTTACACATACATATATACAACCTGAGCCTACAATGGAGGGGTTCACAATATGGACACCCTAAATGGCCTTCTTTCTCCCATAGCCACAGCCTTGGATTCAAACAGAAATCAGCCATGGCTCTCTCTGTCTTTCCGGCCTGCAACTTTTCCCTCTAGGTCACATCACAGCAAACCCTAAAATTCCCTACAATCCAGGCTTTATTTGTTCTCACTATCTGGGTGTTGAGGGAGGGCGCCCAGCCATTTGCATCTCCCACAAAGCCTCTTCCTTTGTTCTCCTTATACCTCACCAGGAGGCTAGCCTGGCCTGATTAGCTGTTAACACTTGCTGGACCTGGGGATTAGGCATCCGACACCCACAAACTCATAACAATAGTATCATATTTAATCATTCAAAATGAACCTCATCCACTTTCAGCATGTAAGATGGCCAGCCATGCCCTATGTAAAGGTACCCCTGACTGTTAGGTCCAGTCTTGGACGACTCTGGGGTTGTGGTGCGTATCTCACTTTCCTGGCCGAGGGAGCCGGCGTTTGTCCACAGACAGCTTCCGGGTCATGTGGCCAGCATGACTAAGTAGCACCACCCAAAAAAAGTACCCCAAAGCAAAACAGCAACCAGTTAGGGAGAGGTACCACAAAACAGGAATAGCTGAGGAGTCTGCAGAGGGAGAATCTCCCTCCATTCTGTACAACAAAAAGAACAGCAAACAAAGTACTGGTATTAGGCATTCTTATCTGCATGGCTTTTCAAGCATTAAGGAGACAAAAGCATTACACAGAGCTCATACTCACCTAGATCTGGCAGGCCTTGTAGTGGTAGCTAGCAGGGAGCTGCCCCTGTGTTAAAAACAACCACAACACTGGATTAAAACTTATTGAGATTGTTTAGATTATGCTATGTTGGCCCTTGAAGATTCGGTATTAAATAAATAGATGTTTTGTTTTCAAATCACATCACAGTATGGCTTGACGTAAGCAGAGCGTGCCTTTTCCTGTCCACTGCTGAAGGAAGATCCTTTTGTTCCATTCTGCCACAGCACCTCAATGGGGTGAGGTGTGTGTTTCCCTGGGAGTGTTTTAAAGACAAAGAATTTGGGAAGAAACAAAACATACTGGCCTAGGGAAGAGCAGCAATAATATATTTATCAATTGGGGGGAAATACAGAAATCAGAAATGGCAATTACAATTAAGTTATTGTAGGAAAACATGGAAATCAAGAAATGCCAACTACAGTTAATTGAGTCTAGGTTGTCCGTTGTATACCTAGGTTGATATTTGCATTCATAGCATGGTAAACTACTTAGCATTACACACAGTGGCAGGTTGCTAGGAATTCACAGCAAGTTCCCTGTTCTGTATAGTAAACAACACTCCCTTTTACATAGGTAAAAACTATTATACCACTGAATCATCCACCCTCTGCCTTATTTGTACATGAGCCAAGAGTCACCCATTACTTCATAATTCAAACATATTTTGAAAATGTCAAATTCTTTTGTTGTGACTGTCAGTGATAAGATGAACAATTAAGACTGTGCTCCTGTGTAGTGACATGACAGGTCTTACATCTGGGTAAACATGCATAGGATTCTATCCCTGTAAAACACAACTAATTCTATCAGATACTTAAATCAGAGGTTTTCAACCTTTTTGAGTCCATGGCTCCCTTGAGCAACTACGTTCTTTCTGCAGCACCCCTGTGGGGCTCAGGAGCCTTGTTATGTCACCCCTTGCCTGCAGAGCTGGCAGGCTCTCACTCTTTTTTGAACACCCTTGTGGAGTGTTCCCTCAGCCTTGGGAGCCCTCTGGGCAGCCGCTGCCGCCGCCCCTGGTCTCTGAGCTGCCCTGTAGAGAGGTGCCTCTTCACACTACCCCACAGGTGCCTGGGACTCATAGCTGTCAACATTTTCCTTTTTTTAAAGGGAAATTCCCTTATTCCGAATAGGATCTCCCTTAAAAAAAGGGGAAAGTTGACAGCTATGCTGGGACTTGTCTGTCCATTCCCAACAGCAAGGGCTGGCTGGCTGGGCTTCCTTGCCACTTGCCTGCTTACTCCAAGGCCGCCTCAGCACCTGGCAACCAGCACCCCCTGGCCGGCACCATTCGCCTCTGGAGCTTGTAGCCAGGGCTGCTGCAACAAACAGCCGCAAAAGCCTTTGAGAGGCAGAGACGCAAGAGGGCATGGGGGGGGGAGGAAAGAGGGGTGGAGGCCACTGTTGCCCGCAGCACCCCTGACCATCATTCAAGGACCTTGGTACCACGGCACACTGGTTGGAAACCACTGACTGAAATGGAGGGGCCTTATCAGAATTTTAAAACATGGGGGTGGGGGAAGCAATAAATTAAAATGTCGTCTTGAATATTAAAAAAACCAAAAGGTCAGAGTGGAGGAATCAATTTTTACTATCAGAGTTGAAAAATACATTTATTATAAAAAATAATGGTGTTGGCAAATGGCAGTAGGGATCTTAACAGCTGTTCTAAATCAGATTGTTCAGCTTTATTATGAGACAAGAACTGCAGTGACAAGGTGAAGGGCAGCCATTCTACATCCTAACAAAATACGTGGTCATTTTTGTTGCACTTCCTCCGTATGCAGAGGCGCTTTCTTTTGATGCATCCTTGTGATTGGTGGAGGAGTGGTGCACTTGCCATGGCATCTGTGGTCGGCATAATGGCTTACACTACCTACCTATGTTTTATCTTAAAGTTTGCTGCATTTGTGTGACACTGTCAGCTGAGCATAGGTAATGCAAATGCTATCCTTGAGTGTGTTCAGTTTTTCCACTTCATTTGCAGTTTCCCATGAAATGGGCAGCTTAAAAAATGTTTGTTCAGCCTGAAGATCTGTGAAATTGAAAGGACTTATAAACAGTGTTAAGTTATAAATCAGTGTCATTTTTCAGGATATACAGAATCTCTCCCCCCCCCTCCTTTGGCACATGCTTGTGGTGATACACAAGGCTGGCACTCCTGTGCGTAGGGTGTGTGTGTGTTCAGTTGTACATCTGGAAATGTGGGGGTGCTCGCTGGGAAAATTTCCATGTAGTGTCTTCAAGACTAACAGTTTTGATCACATGGATATTTTTGATGAAATAAGTTTATTTTCCAGATATGTCTGCAGAAAGGTATATGGAAAATTCCCCGGAGGATAGCTGCAGTGAAAACAAAGTCCCGTGGCACCTTGAAAGAAAGTTACCAACTTTTAAAGGTGTAGGGGTAAGCTGCAGTCCTTTGCTGAAGTGGAGAGGCGCACCCCAAAGCTCAAGGTAATAATAATAATAATAATAATAATAATAATAATAATACTTTAAGTTGCCACAAGGCTCGCGATGTTTTTCCCGGGGTAAACCCGGCAGCACCTCCGGGGCTCCTTCCCCCTCTTCGACTGACAACAGGGGCCGTCCGACCCGACGTCTCTCGAGTGCGTCCTCCCTTTTCCCCGTTGCCTTGGTGCCGCCTGCTTCCACGACGGCAACCTGTCTCGGAGCCAACGAGGCAGCCACGCTCCTCAGGTCTCCTCCTCAGTTCAGAGACTTGGCACAGAGGGAGATGCTCGGGCTCGGGGGGAAACCGCCTCCCCCCTCCTCAGTGACCCCCTAGCAGCCTGAGAACTCCCCGCCCGCTCTCCGCAGATAGTGGCAGTGGGGAAGCGCGTCCTCCCCAGTTGCCTCTGGGCAACTTTTCCATTAGCCGCAGAGAGGGAGGGCTGCGTGCGAATCCACCCCCCCCCCCGCATCCCGTTCCTTCCAGGTTCGGCCTCTCCCAACCTGGCCAGAGGCTGGGGAGTATCTAAGGCTCCCCGTGGATTATCAGCTCCCCGCTCCAGGCAGGAGCAGCAGGAGGCGGCGGCGGCGGCGGCGCTTGCCTCCAGCGGGCTGGCCGTCTTTGCGCTAATAGCCGCCTCCGACACATTCCCCTCTGCGTGCGAGTGTGCGCGCGCGCCATGTAAGGTTGAGGCGGCTCTACTACCTGCATTACAGTAGCACCGGCGTGAGAAGGGGCGGAGGAGGAGGAGGAGGAGGGGACAGAAGGAACCTGGGAGGCAGGCTCAGCATTGTGCGCGCCTCTCGCCGGAGCCATTCGACGGAGAGGGAGCTCGGCTGGCGGCACAAGAGAAAGCCTGGCGGGGAGCGTGGTGGGCTTGGCCCCGTCGAAGGAATAGCGTCGGTCTTGCAGCTCACGGGCTCCGGGAAACTTGCCCGGCGAAGGGGAAAGAGGGGAGCCGGGTCCGCTCCTGGCGGGACGGGCAGAGCCAGGATCGACGGGGCTTTCCGGCGCCGCTTGCAACACCTGGAGGACTCCAACTCGCCCCCCGCCCCCCCCCCCGTCCCTAGCGCCGCCTGGCTGAGGATGCGAGGCTCCCGCCCCGCCGGCTGCCTCGCTCTCGCCCCGCGGCCCGCCGCGGCCCCTCGCCCCGGCCCGCCGTGCCAGCTGCTGGGCTGGGCGGGGGGTTGCTGAGCTCTTTGCATGGGGCCGCTGCCGGGCTCGCTCGCTCTGTCTGTCTGCTGCTGCTGCCGGCGGCGGCGGCGGCGGAGAAGGAGGAGGAGGAGGAGATGCCCAGGCAGGAGCTGCCTTTGCCCGAGGGCTGGGAGGAAGCTCGCGACTACGACGGCAAAGTCTACTACATCGACCACGCCACCAAGACCACCAGCTGGGTGGACCCGCGGGACAGGTGAGGCAGGACGAGAGAGAGAGAGAGAGCCGGCTGGCCGGCTGGGAGGAGCTTGGCTTGCCAGGCGAGGGCAGCAGGTGCCTGAGCGCTCCCGGGCCAGGAGGGGAGCGACTTGGGGGCGAAGCGTGCGCTTCCACACGCCTCCATCTCGCCCCTCCTCCAGCTCCGCGCGAAGCTAGTCAGCGGGAGGGGTGACTTGAGAGCAAGAGGGACGCGAGGATTGGGGCTAGCCGGAGGGAGGGTGGGCTCGATTGTTTTCAATGCTTGGTCTCCGCTCTGGAAGATGCGAAGTTGTAGTACAGTTCAGAAAGGGGTTTCTGAGCATGTGCAAAGCGCCTTTCCCTCGGCCCTTAAATTACTCTAGATTTGACGCGCGCGCGCACAGACAGTGGGAAGCGTTAGCCCCTGGCACCTGTGTAGTTGTAAATGGCTGAAAGACACCATGGGAAGGAGACCTACTCTAGCTGCCTGCCTTGTTCACATCAACTTGCCATATGGGACAAACCACTCACATGTAGCGTTTAGTACTCATAAGCTTTCAGAGGCCTGGGAGGGTACACTGCTGGTAACCTCAAGCTAATTGTAAGTATTTACTACATTTTTCTTAGACCTCTGCACACACTTTTCTGGTAGTGTGCATTATTTTCTTTATCGCGCCCACATTTTATTCCCCAACCACCTTGTGAGGTAGATTAGGTTTACAGTGTGTGCTCCCAAACCACCTGGTGAGTTTCATTCCTGAGCTTTGTAGTGAACAAAATTGTCCCAGAACCTGTCATTCTAGGTGCTTCTCCATTTAGTAGATGCATGTATATGAGATAGGCATGTGTGAAATGTTTACATGGCTAAGCACTTTACTTGTGGCCTATATCAAGTTTGTCTCAGTCCTAAACTGAACTGTACAGGTGAAAAGGCTTCTACAGACTTGCCACAGTTCTCTTTGCCTTTCCCATTTCACAACAGGAGCCTGACACCTTTCTATTTTAGCCTTAAGTTGTAAAAAGGCAAGGGGTGGGGAAGTTATGAGAATCAAGAAGAGTCTTGTCCTCTAATTCCAGAAATATGGCGTAGCCAGTGCTGTGGTTACCTGGTGCCCAGGGAAATCTGCTTGGGAAATCCACTCCCAAATCACACTAGGGACGCTTCATTCTATATTATTACAGCACAAGTTCTAAAGCTCAGAATCGGCATGAAACTTTGAAATGCAGCATACCAGTCTCTATCCCAAGGGCTCCATTTTGCTGTCCTGCTGGTGGTTGTAGCGACTGCTTGCTAATAGTTACCCTTACCTTTTTGCATTTTGTACAGTGAATCCTGACACTTGAATGGGTTCCCAGATATTTATGTAAATTGAATGTTACCTGGAATGATGCTAGTCAGGACTAGCTCCTTCCTCCATTTTTTAAGACTTGTCAGAACACAATTGCACCTGCTCAACTGAAGGTGTGTCTCAGGAAACTGGAGAAATCAAACAGGTGCATAGAACCTGTCAGACTCCTTGGTTGCTACATGCTAAGCCAATTTAGTTTATTTTTTTTTAGGAACAGCTACATCAAAATTTGCCACCAGGAACACAATGATCTATTGCTTATAGGAGACTGTTGCCAAAAGCAATGATAAATCTCTGTGCAACTACCTAAAATCACTTGGTTATCTTGCAGATTGCATGATGTAGACGTTTTGTGAGGTGTACATGTTGGTTCCTCACTTGCCCCACTTCTGAAACACTTTCTTCAGATGAAAACACTTTAGGACATCCCTGCTTATCTCTATTCTGAAGGCACCAACTGTCAAATCAGTATAAAATACCTAAGTATGATAGTCTTAAGCAGTGCTTTTTTCTAAAAAAAAAATGTTTAGAGGTACTCTCATTTTCCTACTCATATTGAAATACTGCCCCTCAATAAGGCCAAACTTAAATTCACAAAATGTTTAGGGGTATGCGTACCCCTGCCTCCCCACAGAAAAAATGTACTGGTCTTAAGTATGCATATATGGGTTAAGGTTCTGTTTGAGATGAAAAGAAAATACTTTAACGTTTAGAATCCTGGAATTTGTTCCAGAGCAAGATGAATGGTAGGAAGTGTAGAGCAAAAACTCTGTAAATTGACTGTTTTTGTGACCAGTATAAGATCCTATTCTATTTTGTGTTGTACCTCACTTTATTGGGCCAGATGATAGTCTCGCCAAAGAGTTTGAGAGTGGAGAAGCTTTGTAGAATTTCTGTCGTGGATACAGTCTTCACACTGCTCTTTGGTCACATTCATGGCTGACAAACTTTTAAGTGTTTAGTATTTGGAGATTTATTTATTTATTTATTTCCTTTCCGGGGAGCAGTTTGGGTGTGAGTAAAAACAAGTATGTATTCTTGGAAATGTAATGTTGCTGTACACATTTGGGCAAAGCCCAAATATCACAGATTGCCACTCCCAGATTGTAAGAACAGAATGCAGGTAATTTGGTTGCCTCATTGTTTTTAGTTGCAACAGCATAACGTCTTTGAAGGCTGAAAACCTGAAATTTGGCAAAGGTTCGCTTTGTGTTTTAATTAAAAGTGTTGGAAATTAAGATTTTAATAGCACTATAAAATACTCAGGTGCAGAACTAAAAATGTGTATTTTGTTGTGCCTTGCTACTCTTTCTTTAATACCAATTTAATTCAGAAAACCTTCAAAAACCTTATTACACCAGTTTTCCTATCTTAGCAATTAACTGCATTTTGATTCTATATATGCAGACAAATGTTGATTTTGTTGAGATGTACAAAATATCATAGTGTTTGCTTCTAAAGTTAAGCAATTAGAACATTAATGTGGGTGCTGGATTTGGAGCAGCTGTGCAGGATGAACAGTCCAGAACATCTGGAGGGCTCCATGTTAGGGAAGAGTGCTCTAAATAATTTTTGTCTATTTATTTATTGCTGAGTCACTTATTGCTTTATTTTTTTTCCTATTTCCAATTCTCTCTCTTTTGACCTCTTCTCTGTAAGTTTTAAAGTTCATGGTACTTCTGTGAAAGGTATACAGTGCATATGGTACAGTGTAGTGTATATGAAATTTTAGATAATACTTAACTCCTTTTGCAAAAGATTGCTTCTATCCTCCTTCCAGCAAAGTTAGGCAAATATTGTAACCAGGCATTTTTATTTTTTTATTTATATAAAAATATGCCTCAAATAAAGAAAGATTGATCCAAATATAGCTTTGTTTTTCCATTAAAAATACTAATCGTGCATGGGCAAGAAATTTCAGACTTTGTGCCTTGTCAGCTCACATGTCTAACTGATCTTGCTTTGAACTCAGAAGAATTTTTAATCTTGTGCAGCTTAAGCTTAATGAACAATTAGTTTTCAAATGGTACTGAAGTAATGTAAACAACTGAAAGACTTGTGCATATGTGGTGTGGCTTCAGAAATCCTGTTGTCAATATTTTGTACTATAACAAATACCTTGAAGGAACACTGCTGTGTATTTGATTTCACAGGGTGGCAGTGCACCAGTTTCTCTGTTCTTGTAGTTTTAAGGTGATCTAAGAACTTGTATAGCTTCAGTCTTGAGGGTGAATGGTTTCGGTCCACCTAGGCTTTTAAGGACCATGTTGCTTTCCACAAAAAATATGTCATATGCACAAGTCTGTCACAAGAGACTAGGGCCCTGCGGGACCTGACATCTTTCCGCAAGGCCTGCAAGACAGAGTTGTTCCACCAGGCCTTTGGTCAGGGCCCAGCCTGACTCCCACCTCTGGCAACCTGCACAGAACTTTGCTTAACGGTTGCCATTAATTTGATTTTAATTAATTTTTATAATGAAATGTTTTAGAATGTTCGATTATTTGATTGTTTGATTATTTGTTTGTTGTTAGCCGCCCTGAGCCTGGCTTTGGCTGGGGAGGGCGGGATATAAATAAAATTTATTATTATTATTAAATGTGATGATATAACAATAGTTAAAATGATTGTTTTCCTTGTTCTCAATGTGGTTGGGTCAATCTAGCAACACTTAGTTATGTAGACTATATTTCATTCCGGAATCCTAATAATATATATAATATAATCTCATAAATCCATAATTGCAAGAATGTAGTAGTTCTCATTTTATGTGCACATCTAGGATGCCACTTCACATTTCCTATGTTATGTTCGTGAGAACATAGAAGAGCATGGTTTTGAAGTACAGTGGTACCTCGGGTTACATACGCTTCAGGTTATATATGCTTCAGGTTACACACTCCGCAAACCCAGAAATAGTGCTTCAGGTCAAGAACTTTGCTTCAGGATAAGAACAGAAATCGGGCTCCAGCAGTGCGGCAGCAGCAGGAGGCCCCATTAGCTAAAGTGGTGCTTCAGGTTAAGAACAATTTCAGGTTAAGAACGGACCTCCGGAACAAATTAAGTACTTAACCTGAGGTACCACTGTATGCTTGTAGAGAAAATGCACAGAAATATATTGTGAGCAATAAAGGACTCTTAACTGGGGTGGGGGAGAGTAACCTAGGTGTAGCTTCTAGTGAAAGCTAGGTGTGGTTTTGAAGACCTCGGTTCAAAGCCCTTCTCTGACCATAAGAAGCTCATCTGGTAACCTTGAGTTCTTGCCTCAAGCTATATCTAATATAGAGTGGTTGTGAGGATAAAATGGGAATGATCTCATGTACATCATTCTGAATTCACTAAAGGGAAAGGAGTGGGGGGGGGATACATATATAATAAAATTAAATACCTAGATCGGTAGGGGGATCTGCCTCCTTGATGTAAATTCTATATTGCTTTCTGTGTCCCCCCTCCTTTCATTGTCAAGTACAGTGGTGGTCCAGAGATCCATTCTTAACTTGAAACAGTTCTTAACCTGAGCTACCACTTTAGCTAATGGAGCCTTCCGCTGCCACTGTGCTGTCGCCGTGTGATTTCTGTTTTCATCCTGAAGTAAAGTTCTTAACCTGAGGTACTACTTCCGGGTTAACGGAGTCTATAACCTGAAGTGTTTGTAATCCAAGGTGTTTGTAACCCGAGGTACCACTGTACTTTATTGCAGTTGCCTAGGTAACTTAAATATTTGCAGGTTAATATACAGTATATCTTTTCTGTGCTTTTCTTCTGTTACCGAGATTAGTTTAAGGAGTAGAAATTAGGGTTCCATATGTGTGATTGTATGAAAGGTTTATTAAAAAACAAACGCCTGTGCACACAAAACGTTGCCATGAGCAGAAACAAAGGGAGATGATGACTGAGAATTTTAATCTTGAACAATTAAAATGCTAGATCACTGCTGATCTTGAAACATTCATACATGGACATTTTAAAGAGTTTATATACCCTTTAAAACATTATTTACAAGGTTCATGATGCATTATGCTTACTTAGCGCTGGTGCAGTAAATTACGGTACACTAGTAAATGCTAAAGCCCAAGCACTCTCCGGTATAGTACTAGTGATACCGGTAGTCATTAAACCAGAGCGTACATTTGTATGTGGGCATAGATCCCAACTTCCTGCAAGTGGAAGGTTGGCAGAAAGAGGCTGGGAGGCGATTGCCACTTCCTCTTTACTCCTTTGAACCCAGATAATGGAATGAATCCATGTCACCACATATTACCTTTCACAAAACTAATGTTCTCCGACAATTCCTTTGTTTCTTAAACACTGTTTATTTCCCTCTGCATTTTTGAATTGACTCATCTACATTCTATCTGATCTTGCAGTGTTGTTCAATCTATATGGAAATTGCTCCTCATCTTTTTCTGACCTTGCTATCGAGGCAGCATCTGTGGTGAAGTAGAGGTTTTAATTTAACTATTAGCAATAAACCCTTCAGCTTTAATTTAAGGCAGTCAGAGTCTTGCCAACTAGTGACTGTGTAATTCTTCTGTGCCAACACTGCCTAACTATACGCTTTCCTAAGAGCATAAACCAGGAATGGGGGAGTCTCAGCCCCTAGGGCCAAATGCTGACCCATAATCCTCTCTGTTGGGCCCTCCCAACTCTCCAAAGGCCACACCCCCTTTCTTCAGAGCACATCCTCTCTCTTGCGCGCACACACAGCACTCAGCCATGCAGCTCTGTAGGATTACGCCAAAGTTTGTATTGCAGGCAATCGTTGATCACCAGCTGAGTCCTGGCACCAGTATATTGTTTTTCTAGCAGGTATTCAATTTTTGTTTTACAAGTTTTGATTACCATAGCTGATAAATATTACTTGTGAGGAACTGCAAGGGGTGGAGACAAATAATGCATCTAATTTTGATTTGGCTTCCAAAAAAACATGAAAGCCAAGCTTTAAAGCTTTCTGTCCTAAGGTTCTGGAGAGAAATTTGAATATGTGAAGGCAAATATTGCTGATACTTGTTCCCAATGCCAGTCAAGCCAGCGTCAATTAAAAAAAAAAAAGCTGTTGAGTGCTTAAAGTGTGTTAACATTGGCATTCTGAAGATGAGCTTATTCCAGCCTGGCTTCCAGGTTAGAAAGACCGCTGGAGTAATGTGGGGCAATGCATGTGACAAAATAAACACATTTCTCAGCAAGGCTTCAATGTGAATGCTTCCTCTGCTATACTGCTTTATAAGTGCTGTTTAAAAAACTCACTTTTTGAAAATTGTTGTATTTGGTTTACATTGTGCTAAGTATGTTCACTTGAACCCCACCAGAAGGATTTAAGGTGCACTTAAGTTGCTCGTCTTGGAAACATGCTTTCTTAATACAGTTTTAATAGTGCTTAGGTTTGAGATGCACTCTCTCTCTCTCTCTCTCTTTTTAACTGTCAAATATACTTCTCAGTCTTCTGGAAAAGTTACAATACTCTGGTGGGGGTGGAGAATCAAAGCACTCTTTCTCTTCATTGTCCTTTTCAATTCCCCTCCCCTTCCCCCAATAGACTTTCAGATTGGAACCACCTTGCAGTATTGCAGTTTAGTGACGTTCTGTTCTGTTTCTGTTGATCGGCTGATGTGAAATGTGTTCTGTTGGTACTGTAACTGAATTCATCCTCCAGAGAAGGCTGGATAAGTAGCCAGCTTTGGCTAGGGTCTGTCATGAGTGCAGTTGGGTGATTTTGCTTTGCTACCCAGTCAAGAAAGGGCAACAGCAGGCATTGGATTGGGAAAGTCTGCAGCTGCATAAGCTGCAGTTCTGCCAAAAAGAATAATGAGAGCAGTCAAGAAAAGGAACAAAAGCAGCTGAGAGATGCCCCACATCTCTGAGATTTTTTTCTTTACACACTGGGTTTTCATTTGTAAATTGGCCCTGTGGTATTTGTTGTTTGTGCTTCTCACTGCACTTTCTTCTTCTTCTTCTCAAATCACTTTCTTTGAGAACTCTTATTTTGTTTAACTAAATTTAATTGCATTTCACTGAGGCATCTTTTAACTGCTAATTACAAACCTAAAGTGAATTTCTGAACTATGTTTGTAACTGAGATTTTCTACCTTAAAAAATAAATGATTTACCTATATATAACTGTTTAGCATTTATGTAACAGACAATACAAGTGAAGATCAAAGTACTTTACACCTATAAACTCATGAAGGTACTTTGCAGTAATCATAACTGATTGTATATCTCTCTGTAGGCCCATGTTTAAAATCTTATCCTAGCTGTTAAGCACTTATAAATAACATCCTTGCTGTAGCAGTTGGAATAAAATATTTGAATACTGTGTGTTTTCCTTTCAAAACACATTTTACAATGACTGTGTTTAGTACAAAGTACATTTTTTTTGGTGCTAAAATACAGATAACAAAGAAGAATATCAAACTGTGAGACTTTTGTGTATGTGGGCTATATCCCCCCCCCCCCCAGTGAGGCTATAAATGTGGTTTGGGTCATTTTAATGTGGGTTTTTCAAGAGTTTCGAGAAAAGTCAGGATTTAGTAATAGAGATGTTGTTTCTGTTCTGGGAATTTAACATTTGAAGTCTTGCGGAAAATTCCGTGTTTGGTAATTTGGCACATGTCTCATTTCTTCATCATACATGGCTCTACAGCAAGCAAGAGTGATGGCTTAAATTAGGGGTAGCCTGTGGTAGTCAGTGGCTGTGCACATGGTTACTAGCTTAAAACACAGAGAGGTAGTTCTTTCTGGCTGCTGGTTTGAAGCTGGTTCAGGAAAAACCCATACAGAAAACCCAGGATAGATGTGGATAGTGGCTAATGTGTGTACATGGCTTCCCAAATCAGCAGTGGGATTGAACCGGGGGCAGAGTAAGTGGGAGAGTGTACATAGGCAGTGTGAAGGAGGAAGTCCAGGCTGCTTGAATCAGAGACTATTGTACAGTATTGTATTGGCTCGTAGGGTTGCACCCGCTGAATGTTAATGACTAGAATAGGATAGTATTACATTGTTTATCTATTTCTTTAAACAATGCATGTACCAGTTAACTGCAATTGTCTTATTGGAATTGGTTCTTCATCATAGAGCAGGGCCGCTAAGCCGATGCCCCAGGGATCTTATCAGGCCCTTTGAAGTAGGGATGCAGAGACCTCTTTCAGCCTGAGGACCACATTCTCTTATGGGCAGCCTTGCAGGGCTGCATGCCGGAGACAAAAGTGGGTAGCGCAACTAAGTCTTTTGTTTAATAGCCTTAATAAAGTCGGATATAATGGCAAGAGCCATTATCACAGTCCAGTGACACTCTCAAGGGCCAGATGGAGATTCCTCGAGGGCCACATTTGGCCTCTGTGCCTGATGTTCTCCATTCCTGCTCTAATGTGACATGAGTGATACACTTTCATACAGATTACTGACATATCCTCATGTTGATGTTTTTAATATAGCAAAAGAGCTGACCTATCAGTAGTACTGTCTTAGCATCAGACCGCCCTTCTAATCACATTAAATATACAACAATCGCTCAGTGTGACTTGTAGTCCAATATGTGGGGCTGCCCTTGTGTCTGGTTCGGAAGCTCCAGCTGCTGCACAATGCAGCTGCCAGACTGCTGATGGCAGCATCCGGTCAAGAACATGTGAGACCATTGTTGTTGTTTTTTAAGCCATGTAGTATCCTCGGGTTTCAAACCGCTGTGGGCGATTGCAGGATCCAAGCAATGCATTGGTCGATCAAACCGCTGGGCTAAGCTGGCTCATGTGACACCATTGTTAAAACACCTGCACTGGCTGCCCATCTACTACCAAGTTCAAGATTCTTGTTTTAATTTACAAAGCCCCAAACAACTCTGGTCCAGGGTACCCCAGGGATCGCCTGAACCTTTATATCCCAGCTTGATCATTGAAATAATCTGTGGGAGCCTTATTGGCCATTCCTCAATTTGCTGAGGCTCATTTGACAACAAGAAACTGTGTATGTAGGGTCATCGGCCCAGTTCTGTAGAATACTCTGCCAACAGAGATTCAGCAGGTGCCTTCTTTGCCAACTTTTAAATGCCTGCTGAAAACTTTTCTGTTCCACCAGGCTATACAGGCAGCTAAGAAAACATCCTTCCACAAAGGTTAATTGATGTCTGTTTTTAACTTTTTATGGTTTTATTCTATGGTTTTGATATCTATTTATGGCAAATTGGTATATACAGATTTTTATAAATAAAAAATATTAAATGCCTTTATAAATCTTATATACCTTTAAAGAATATACTTAAGGAAACTGACATAAAACTGCAATGGCATTTTACAGTGCTGTATTCTGGAATGTATATACAGAAGGTTGGGTGCACCTTCTGAATTTGGATATTGTTGTTAAAACCTTCATGTTCAAGAGGTATAAAGATTTCCCATAGACAGTTTCTAAAACTAGCTCATTTAGGTTGCAAAGCTATTACTTGTGAACATAGGAAGTTGTGTTATTCAAACCATTGGTCCATCTATCTCAGTACTGTTCACACTGACTTGTAGTGGCTCTCCAGGGTTGGAGGCAGGGAGATGCCAGGCATTGCATCTTTTGCACACAAAGCATGTGCTCTTCTACTTGCATCATATTAGTTCCACAATCGTTGTTTGTTTTGTACGAGTAAAAATCAGCTCCTTTGAAACAACAGTGTCACTGATTTATGAGATCAACCATATTTACAGAGCTCCTAAAGAACAATCCTATGCTAATGTTGCTTCTCTTTCTGATGGCATGTGTTCCTGTAGCCTAGGGTGATTCTAGTTCTACATTCTCACGTTGCATCTACTTGGGTGCAGTCACCCTCTCATTAATTTATAAATCTTGTACACTTTATTGGGATTTTGCATACATAAACTACTGTCCAAGTACTGCCACATCTCTGTGTGTATTGTGTGAACACCATAGTGATTGGTGGCAGGGAACGTCTTCCAGAAGATTTGTAAAGAAAGAGGGAGCAGGTGGGTTGGGCTGTGCAGATGGATAGGGCTGCTTGCAGCAAGCGCAGCCCGTGACCTGCCTCTGCCTGGGCAGTGACCTTACCAGCAGGAAGTGGAGAAACTGCAAGGCTGCTTCAGTCAAGGCCAAAACTCTGACGCTAACAATCACTAACAATGACAGAAACCGTTGACGGATGATATCAGGCCTGCAACGAATGTACCCAAGCAGCTTCAAAAGTTACCAGTATATATGCCAACAGGGAAGGAATGGCAGATTTTCCAGGCATGGGTTTAATGAAAGGTTTCTTCGCTGGACTAGGTTCAAGCAAAAGCTGAACATATTCTGTGTCAGTGCTGAGTGCTTAAATGGTATGTTTGATGAAAGAGCTGGTAATATGAGAACCTCTACTTTCATTGTCAAAGGGATGCGGGTGGCGTTGTGGCTTAAACCACAGAGCCTAGGGCTTGCTGATCAGAAGGTTGGCAGTTCGAATCCCCGCGACGGGGTGAGCTCCCGTTGCTCGGTCCCTACTCCTGCCAAACTACCAGTTCGAAAGCACGTCAAAGTGCAAGTAGATAAATAGGTAACGCTCTGGTGGGAAGGTAAATGGCGTTTCCGTGCACTGTTCTGGTTTGCCAGAAGTTCCTTAGTCATGCTGGCCACATGACCCGGAAGCTGTACGCCGGCTCCCTCGGCCAATAAAGCGAGATGAGTGCCGCAACCCCAGAGTCATTTGCAACTGGACCCTAAGGTCAGGGGTCCCTTTACCTTTACTTTCATTGTTGTTAAAAAGTGGATTCCTAACTTTAGGATACAGAATTAGTTGTCATTATGTGTGGCCAGTACCTGGTGAAAATGCAGAATGAGGGATAAACAGGACTTGCAGTGGTCCAGAAGTGGAGTACGTCAAGCACAAGAGCTCCAGTCCCATCTGGGACTGGCTGAAAACAGGATCATATTACATTTGGAACTGATATTTTGGCTAGATTGGTATAGAGAATGGAAAGTGAAGAACATACTTGCTTTTAGAGAGTAGGGAGATGAGACTTGTCAGAATAAATATGGAAGATGTATAAGGAAACAGTTCTACTTATTCTTGCACAAGGTGTGCTCTGATAGTGGTTAGTGAGATGGAACTTAATGTTAAGACAAGAGTGTGAAAGAATACTAGAGAAAATGAACATGCATGAATGACCCTGGACTCTGCCTAAAAGAATCTATGAAGCCATTATGTGTGAGGTCAAAGTGACATTCTACATGGTTAAATATTAGTTATTTATGACTACAAGTAACTAAGGAATGCAAAAAATGTATGTGTTGCTGTTTGGCAACTGGTATGCTATTGTTCTTTGACCCTTAACTACTGGAGACATTACATTGCGTTCAGTATTGATGAACTAGCGGCCTTACCATTTTTATTCCAGAATGGTAATTCTGTCTTCCAAATCTGTGTACATAGCACCTTACATTTAGAAGATACTAGCCTGATGACTGACTGTGACCTAGATTGAGTTGGAACGTTGTAATCAACCATTCACACAGCAACAGTCATGGCTTGTTGCTGTTGGTGGAAATTTCTCAGCTAAGAGGACCTTTTGTTTCTTAAGAAGTGGCCCCACCTTCCATTTCACATGACACCTGCTTTTTAAAACACACAGACACACGTAGATGATCTATGTCTGACTCTAGGCAGCTCTTGGGATCCTGGCTACATTAAACCTGTTTTCTATAAAATACACCTAGAAGCAACTCAATAGAAAGGTAGCAAAATGCAATTTTAAAATATCAGTAAAAAATTAATATGATAACATTTTCCATTAGATATGCTATATGCATAAAATACACCAACTGGATTATCTCTCCCTTTCCCCTTGCTCTAAATTGAAGCTTAATGTTGTGGAATGTGGATGATTCTACCATCATGCACCTCTCCCTGCTCTCCATCTGATTGGCACTCTGATTTTATGTTCCTCAGCTGCTTCCTGTGCTAATTGGCAGGGGAGTGAAAACGGACTTGGAGGCTGCATAGAAGAGACCAGGAGTTTTGCATGTGGCCTTGGGATGTGACCTGGGTTGTCCATATGTGACTTCTATACTTCCTATGCTGGTAGTTAAGCCCCTTAAATATGACATCACTTAATCTACTTGTGATCAAGCTGCACCAAAGGCTTAGAAATCAATTAAGTGGTTTTCTGGTTCACATTGTCCTAATTCAGACTGAACCCTGCGGAGTTATTTCATGGTTGGTCACAGCCTTGTGTGTATTAATAAGTCATTTACTATGCCAGAAATAGCAATTCTTGCTATTGGTACATGTAAATAACAACACTGCTGCTATAAATAAAACTTACAGAAATTATTTAGTGTCTTGGGTCCATTCATAAGTTCTTCATATATCCTTTATTACTTTAAGCGCAAAACTAGATAGTTATCCAATGCTACCCCTTTCTGGTGCATTTCTGTCATTTGAAGTGGCAAGGGATGCATTTCAAAAAAGGTGTCCAGTGATTGGCTCTTCAATAAGTGTTTATAAAACAGATACGATGCTTTAAATCTTTAACTTCAAAGCATATTTTCTAACAAGAACCCCACTTTTCTAAAAAGAAAAAAAAGAATGTTGCTATGTTAAAAAACATGTTAAAGTCACTGCTGATAAAAAATTGTTTTCAGTAGATTTTTTTTAATGACCTGCATTTGATCTGTTGAAAGCAGCATTTTCTACTCAGTTCGAAAACATCACTAGGTGCAGATGGTAAAGGTAAAGGGACCCCTGATCGTTAGGTCCAGTCGCGGACGACTCTGGGGTTGCGGCACTCATCTCGCTTTACTGGCTGAGGGACAGCTTCCGGGTCATGTGGCCAGCATGACTAAGCTGCTTCTGGCAAACCAGAGCAGCGCATGGAAACGCTGTTTACCTTCCCGCTGGAGCGGTACCTATTTATCTACTTGTACTTCATGCTTTCGAACTGCTAGGTTGGCAGGAGCAGGAACGAAGCAACAGGAGCTCACCCCTTCGGGATTCGAACCGCCGACCTTCTGATCAGCAAGCCCAAGGCTCAGTGGTTTAACCCACAACGCCACCCGCATCCCTTAGGTGCAGATGGACTCTGTTGTATTTCTGAACTCCCTGGCTTCTGTGATTACCTTAACATTTGAGTGATATGTGGGAGGATATGTAAAGTAGCACCCAATGCATTGTTAGATGCCAAAGGATCTGCATAGCCAACCACAGCACATTGATTTCGTTGTGCTGAAGAACAACGTGCAGACTCCACAAAGGGCTCCACTGCACTCCTGTTGCTCTTCAGAGGTGTAGGAATCAGACATTTAAAACGAGGACGACTAAAGTGTGAAGCCAGGGGGGTGGAGAATCCAAAATGAAAACAGTGTTTCTGAAGGTTGACTTTCTAACGCATTATTAGATGGTCTGGTAAATACGCCAAGAGAGTGCCAGATGGGGATGCTCTTCTGAGCTGCCTGCTGGTTACTGCTGCTGCCATAGTGACAAGAGGCTTCCCTCTGAGCAAGTGCAGAATCTCCAGGGACTTTAGATTGGATTATGTGCTTTGTGATAAATTGCCTGAATGGGAGCAAGACTGGATGGGAGTCCCTGCTGCTGTAATCTTGGCTTCATTCAAGATGGTCACAATTTAGTCTGAGATCCAGAAGCAACTATGAATTTGGTGGCAAGTGGGTTTTGTTTTTATATTGCTGCAAGCTGTACCACCGCTGTCAGGAATGTATGTTGTGGTGCTTTAAAATGGTGCCTTTTTCCCACTATAGTCTCAACATGTCTGCTGCTTGTTTCCCCCTCTCTCTCTCCACTCCTGGACATTGAGAGAAGAATGTTTTGAGGGATATTTAGTTAAGCTCTGTATATGTGATTGTGGGAGAAAAATAGCCAACCACACGAGTTAAGTTACTTCTATTTTAACTTGGTTTTCCCCCCTGTATGTTTTTGACGCCTTATAACAAATATGTGACTCCTTATGATCAGTTTGACTTAATTTTCAATCGGATATGCATTTCCTCAACTCTTTATAACAAGGCATGCACCATATGACCTGAGCACACCACATGGACCTGTTGACTACTGCTTAATGGTGTAATTGTCGTCTCTGTATGAACTTCATACATCTTTTCTCGCTCTGACCTACACTGTTTACAACCTCCCAGTGTACTAGCAAGTCAGGATAAGGCTAAATGCATCTGATGAAGTAGACTGCAGTGCATGCAAGCTTATGCTGAAATTTCCACAAGCCTCTGCTGCGTTTGCTGCAGCATAGCTCCTTGAAAATTCAGCATACAGCTTTCTGCAAATATACTTTAAAAATGATGTCTGCACAAGCATTTTACTTTCTTTTTCTTCCTATAATGCTTGTCAGATTTTCAATGTATGTTCACCTATAGCAGGAGTGGGAAACCTGTGGCCCTCCAGATATTGTTGGAATCTATAAATTCTGACAGTTGGTCGCACTAGTTGGGGCTGATGGGAGTTGGAGTCTTACAGCATCTGGAGGGGCCGGTCCTGACCTAATCACTAGCTGTGAATGAACTGCAATGGACTGCTCTCTCACCTCACCAAAGGACAGGTGAAATTTCCTCTCCTTTGACACTTCTGGCAACCAATGGCCTTGTTTGGAGGACACTACTTTCGTCTCTGTATGTGGTAAGATAGGGAGCAGGTCTTGGTTTACATACATCACATACCAAAACTGTTCCTGGAAGGTATACTTCAAACACAAACAATTTGAATGTTCCTCCTTGTTTAAATAATAATAACAAATCATTGGACATAGAAAAATAGCATGTTGGGGGAAAATCTTGGCTTAAAGCTCCTTGAAATGTAATTTTCTTTATGCCTAGATAAACTGTTTCCCTGTATTTTTTAAAATCACAAATCCCCCATCCCAACTTGCAGTATATAGTGATACAGTCCAGCAATGAAGTGCTTACATGAACAAGTTGTGTGCAGACTGTCCCCTTAGTTCTCTGTAGTATAGTGCTTGGTCTTAGCAGCCCTATATTACTACAACAGAGAATCTTACAGAACCTTAAATCTTAACAGGTTTGTTTGTGGTCTAGGACTCCGATGAAGTGGATTGTGGTCCATGTCTCAATTAAAATGCTAGTATTTAAAATTACCCAGAACTCTTTGTAGAATGTTTAAAGATTTCTCCCCCCTATGTTTCCTGTTCCTACAGGAAATTCGCTTTTTCATAAGTTTCAGAAGCAGTGTAATTTGGATTCCTTAGGGCGGCGGTGGCGGGGGTGGGGGCTTGCTAATCAGGTAGCTATGTACATGCACCAGAAGGACTCTTGGTTTATATAGTATTGGCTCAGTGGAATGTGACAGCTTGATCCGGTATCCAGGATACATGGAGGGTGGGAATGTAAACAAGAGCCCATGGCCACATTCCTGGGATTTCACTTCAGTCGAGAGAAGGAGGGAAATGAACATGATCTCAAGTACTTGAGAGTTCGGATCAAGATAAAAGGTGTTAATACGGAACACATACATTTTAAAAAAACAACAACCTGGAGTTATGCTGGGGGCAAAACCTCAGTGTCACCTTCGTTACTGTGACACAGGTGAATTGCTACTGCCAAGAGGTACTGCATTTCCATGGGAAAAAGCCCTCCCCCACCCAACTTTGTATTTGTGAGGAAGCAGTTACTTAATAAGTTTTGCTTTAGAGCAGCTTGTGTTTGATAGTGGCACTTAAGTAGGTAACTCGGATAAGATAAAATAAAACTCACTGTGGTCGCTGCTGTGAAATGTCCTCTTTGAAAATGGGATTTCTCAGGGGAAGTGATTTTAATAAGGGTCTCTTCAGTTGAAGTGTTGTAGTGCAGTAATCTGATAACATGGCAAAATGTGGAAGAAGGTGGTATGTTTCACAGCAAGATCAGAATGCTAGAAAAGCAGGTATCTCCACCTCAGAAGAGTCAAACAATTGGTGCATTGTACTATTGCACAATGAGTTCTGAACACACACTGTGGGTTGAAGTAGGTGAGTGTGTGTCTATTGTGTCAACGTGGCTTCAAATTGCATCTGAGCCATATGTGCTCAGAAGGTGGCCTCGGGCAAGGCATTGGGTTGGATCCAACATTGACCTTGTAGTTGAAGAGGAGACTGTGATCCAGCAGAGGCGGCTTCTGGAGGGAGGGAGGGTGCTTGTGGAAGATGATTTTTGCTGATTCTTTTTCCTCTCCACTTTTCACACTGTTGCAAAAGATCATGGAAGGCTTTCATGGGGCACAGGGGACTGCGGAGGAAAGGAGGGATTGGTGAGTTGTATTCAGCTAAGTCCTATTCAGAGTAGACCCGTTGAAATTAATGCACCTAAGTTAGTCATGCTCACTAGCTTCAATGGGTCTACTCTGAGCAGGACTTGCATTGAATACCACCCATGAAAATTACCTCCCCCATCTCTTGTGAGAATATCCAGTGGGTATAGAGTGCTGCTCACTGGAACTCTGGCTCCAAGCCACTGGTTTATATCCAGCTAAGTTGTACTAAGAATATACCCATTAAAATTAATGAGCTGAAGTTAGTCCTGTCCATTAATTTTAGTGTGTCTACTCTGTGTAGGACTAAGATTGGGTACAACCCCATCGCCTATGGGTTTCTGTTCACCTATGGGTAGCACTGGAATTATGGTGATTTGTTTTCTGTGCTTAATTTCTAAAAATCATAGTTATTTGTGCTCAGTGGCTTACCAGCCCTGCCCCTCCTAATGTCAATTTTGTAAGGTTGTTGCTGTTCCTTCCTCACAGTAAGAAAAAATCACTTTAATATTGCTATTTTAGCATATCCAATAACTTCTGGAGATGAGCCCAAATCAGATTAACCCTGTATACCACAGAAGGTTTTAAGCCACAGATGTATTGAATATATTGCAGAAACTATTAACAATGTATGTAAATGACCGGGAAACAGAACTTGAGCCATAAAATCTGTTTTTGGCTTCCATGTGTGCATGCAGGCATACATATTTCTGTAATCAATAAAAACATTTGGCTCACTAATCTTAGTTCAGTAAATTGGGGGCTGCTGGTTTGTGTTGTATTTTTTTAATGCAGTGGGTAATATCTGCTATTCACAGTGTTCTGGTATAAATAGACCAAGCTTCATAGTGCTAAATTTTACTGTACCATTTCAAAACCAACAGTGAAGTATTTAAGAGTATCGAACATCTCCTAAATGCCATCTCTGTGGGATCACATGTAGGGTATTCAACAGACATGCAAAAATGTTTTTCTAGTGTTACATTAATAAGGATTATACTTTCATATTAATGACTTGATTTGTAAATATGATACATAGTTTCACCACTTTCACCACTAGGCGAGATTGATAAGATGTAGCGCAGCATGAGAAAAGGAAAACAATTAACACCAGAGGAGGGGAGACAGGCCCCTAAGACTCATTGCATTGAATTTGACACCCAAGAACAGTTACAGGGAACATTTTGCACCCAGCCTTGAGAGAGAGAAAATGTGAACATTTTAAATACCGTACTCATTTTCCCTTCTACACCAGCTATTAACCAAGTTTTCATTTAAGACTAATGAAAGTTGTAGCACCTAAAAACAAACAAATTCGTTATAAAACAATTTTGCCAATTAGCTCTCACTGAAAGCTTATGATGCTGTTAACAGATTTGTTCATCTTTAGGTGCTAAGAGAGTGTGTTGTGTTTCAGTGCAGTAGATTAAAATGGCTACCCCTCTGGAAGTATTTTGTACTAACTAATTGAGAAAACTCACTGGGAGAAAAATAAACTGCTAGAATTAATTTGTGCTGTTTTTCAAGGCATGGTGATTCTTTGCTGGCCTAGTCACAGAAAGCCTTGGGGTTGCTGGGACAGGGGCATAGGAAGCAATAATGGCATGACAACATTTGGGGGTTGAAATGGCCATAACTTTATTGATTACAGATGTAAGAAGGCTTAGACTTAGGCATTGGGTATGTATCCCAGGTCAGCTAACCTGGTTGCTGGCTGATTACTTTCTCAGGGTTAATTAATCCTGGGGTTAAGATCCCCATATGACACACATCAAATAAGGACATCCCCTCCAGGATGCCAGTTGGGGAGTTCTATGGCCTTTTAGCCTCTGTCTGAGCATATGGACAAAATCCTTCCTCTTGGACCCCTTTATCAGGGTCCCCTGATACTTTGAACTGGAAGAGAGAGGGCAAGGCTCCTTCCTACCCACCGCTGATTAGTCCGAGGATCCAACCCAATGCCTTTTTCTGCAAACAAGTTATGGCAGTTGCTGCAACATAGGTAAACCCCTCAACTGGCTGAATTTGACTGCAGGAAAATCCCTCCCTGGCCTCAAATATGGCAACTGAGTTACTCTACAACAAGGTCATCCATATGCATTGTCTGCTTAACTTCAAGTGGGGCCAAATTTATACAGTGTTGGAGGGTGGGATGTCTTATGCTGACTGTGCTGCTGTCTTCAAAGCTCCGCCCTAAAGTCTGGCCAGTTTGAATAAAAATTAGGAAAGAATCACATCACTTCCCATGGCCAGCTACAACTGATGACGCCGTCATCCAGCCCTGTGGGAGGTTTGGGGCACCCCCAGATCACCCACGGCTGTGCCAAGCCACAACTGCTGCTGCCCACAGAAACCATAAGGCTTTTTGAAAGGCAGTCTCATAGGAGTAGCACATGACAAACTGTTTCTGCTCTAAATAGTTATCAAGCAAAATATGAAATGTTCTTTTAATGTCTTTTTAAAGAGTTCAGCAGCCTTTGATATTGTAGATCCAGGAGGGTGTTGATTTAGAAAATATGCACTTAATTAACAGCAAGACCCCTTAATAGGCAAGGCATAAGTAATTGCATGTGTTAAGAATGTAAGAAGTACCCTTTTGGGACAGAGTATTTCATCAGCATTATTTGCAAGTAGGCTAGTAACACCCAGAAATTGACCAGTAGGCCCCTAATTCAGTGTAATCTGTCTTCTGCTATCTCTTGTTGTTGGAATTCATCTGTCTTGAAAGATAATGAAGTGTGCCCCTGGGGGCACTGTATGGAGGTACTGGGCTGCCTAGACAACAAGACCCTATTCTTGGTCTCACTGATGTAGTCCAAAGGAAAGCAGAGCACTACGTTTGGCTCCAGCTTGACTGCAGAAGTTGCCAGAAGATGATGTATAAGGTATCATCCAACTGTGTTAGAGACTCCACTCCAGATTTGTGTAGGGTTATCTCCTTAGCCTTTTCTTCATCTTCTGCAAGGCAGCACAGGTTTAGGACCAGAGTTTTCCTTCTAGTTGGGCTACCTTCCCAGGTTGATGAGACTCATCTGGCCCTTCTCTCTACAGCATGTGCAGGAACTGCCTTCTTGACTGTTGAACCCACTATTCCTCTTGTCTGCTCAAATCCACCTCACTGAGACCCATTGACTACTCTCACCTGGTTTAGCCAGCCAGTTCCCAGGGTATGGCTGCTGTCGCATGCTGACAGCTTCTAGGAGCCACAGGCAAGAGCTGAGTGCAGGATGGGGACCAAAGGTGGACAAACTACCCCAGAAGGTGTCCCCCACCAGAGATACTACCCTATACACCCCTCTAAAGCTACCATTGCTTTAGAAAAGAAAGCCCTTTTGGGTTAAAAGTGTCATGGGAAAACCTCTGGTATGGTTGCTAGATAGTTTGGCAGTGTTTGAGATAGCACATTACAAATTTGTTTTGTAACTTGACCTTTGGTTTGAACTTCAAATGAATAATTATAAGTGGATAAATGTGACATGTGTTTGGAATTTCAGAAGAATTAATATTGCATACATACCAAATTCCATTGTTGGCCAGATAATGTGAGTTCTCGGCTTAGCTCACCTGTTTGATGTCCCCATTGATGATTGAGAGATTACAGTGAAACTTGGTATGTATGGATTGTATCCAGTTGTGTACCTCCCTCTGCTCAGAGAACTCTCTGTGAGCAGAAGCGGCAGGGACTTCCCGCTCGGAAGGGATGAAAGCAGAAATCAGCAAAAATGGCCTCCCCCTTACTGAGGGAGGGTTTGCACAATGTTGGATTTTTGGGTGTTAACTTGTAACTGTGGTTTGGGTATAAATTACTCAGTTTGGAGGCGGCACAAAACACTGGGTTTGCGGCACAAAACAAGCACAGAACTTTAGTATCAGTTCGGAGGGGATCCAAAATTTGGGGTGAAGCTTTTTTCCCTTCTTAAACCCAGGATGTAGCAGATTCACCAAATTTGAATTTTCACTGACAGACACAGAACCTCTTTTAGCTTATAAATTGTTGTTTACCATTGGAAAACAGGGAGTGAGGGGAGCAGTAAGTTAACTGAAGACGACATTGAAAGCAGCCAGGAGCATGGACAAGAGTTATTATTAATCAGTAGGGCTGGGTGTTATCTGCTTTTAAACATCGTAATATATCACCAGCCAAACCTTGCAATATCCTGATATATTATGATGTCAGAAGGGAGGAAAGAAGGTGGGGAGGAAGACAGCAGTTGCCCCCTGCCCTTGGTAGCTGGCTACACAGATGATCAGTGCCACTGTGCACAGCTTCTGCCGCTTCCCGACAAGACCTGGTGAGTGCATCAGCCAGGGCTCCATATAGCACCATGCATGCAAGCACGGAGCTTCGGGGCGCCACCGGTTTCCCTGGTAGCACCAGCTGCAGCTCACTCTGACAATCGCCTCTTGCTGCCATGGAACACCATTTAATCTGTCAGATTGTTGTAGCTAAGCTAACGTCCTAATATCATTTTGTTGGATAACTTTGAAGTTTTTGCTGCTTATGGAAGTGATATAGGAACATGGTAGCCATCAGTTTGGTGTAAAACATCTGCATTTTTGTTCATGATCCAAGCTTATTTTTATGTATTAAAGATTAATTTGCTCATCTAAGTTGTTTTTTGCACTAAACTTGGCAGGCATTTGTGGTGCCATAGATGCACTGATCTGGAAAAACAGCTTTTAAGCATACTCCACTTGGCACTTTATTAAAGGTGCTTAACTCCTTACAGGGAAAATGGGTACACAAAGGTATGTTACAGAATTGGATGAGCATTCCAGCTTTCATTCATAGTTTCTTGTGGTGTATGAAGCAGGCCGAAGTCACAAAATGCATTCAATGTGACTGAAATGATTTTATAGCACACAAACATAGTACTAGTGCTTCCTTTGCAGCAAGGAAAACTGGCTGCTTTGATAAGGCCTTTGATATGGAAGATACAAGTTCTTCCCCTTCTTTGAGCAAAAAACCTCTTGTATGGCCTCAGTGAGGAGACTAGAAGCTTTCAATTTTGATAGCAACTCACTATGTTTACTTTTTTGCAGCTGAACCTGGACAAACTGTGGTTAGCCTTTAAGTAGAATTTAGAGCAATAATAATAATAATAATAATAAATTTTATTTATATCCCGCCCTCCCCAGCCGAAGCCGGGCTCAGGGCGGCTAACAACAATAAAACAGTACAAAAGTACAGCATAAACAACAGTCTAAAATCATTCGTTATAAAATTAATTAATTCAAGCCACTGGCAACCATTGGGCCAGAGCTCCGCGAAGATTGCCGAGGGAGGGAGTCAGGCTGTGCCCTGGCCAAAGGCCTGGTGGAACAGCTCTGTCTTGCAGGCCCTGCGGAAAGATGTCAAGTCCCGCAGGGCCCTGGTCTCTTGTGACAGAGTGTTCCACCAGATCGGAGCCACAGCCGAAAAGCCCTGGCTCTAGTTGAGGCCAGCCTAACTTCTCTGGGGCCTGGGACCTTCAAGATGTTTTTATTCGAAGACCGTAAGTTTCTCTGTGGGGCATACCAGGAGAGGCGGTCCCGTAGGTACGAGGGTCCTAGGCCGTATAGGGCTTTAAAGGTTAAAACCAGCACCTTAAACCTGATCCTGTACTCCACCGGGAGCCAGTGCAGCTGGTATAGCACCGGGTGAATGTGATCTCGCAGCGAAGACCTCGTAAGGAGTCTCGCTGCAGCATTCTGCACCCGCTGGAGTTTCTGGGTCAGTCTCAGGGGCAGCCCCACGTAGAGCGAGTTACAATAATCCAGTCTGGAGGTGACCGTCGCATGGATCACAGTGGCTAGGTCAGGGCGAGAGAGGTAAGGAGCCAACTGCTTAGCTTGGCGGAGATGGAAAAATGCCGCCTTTGTTATAGCTGCAATCTGCGCCTCCATGGAAAGGGAGGTGTCGAAGATTACACCCAAACTCTTAACGGACGGTGCTGGCACTAATTGCCCCCCGCAAGAGATGGGAGTTGCCCCCCCAATCCCATATCGCCCCGTCCCAGCCACAGGACCTCTGTCTTCGAAGGATTTAGCTTCAACCGGCTCCCACGAAACCATCCAGCCACAGCTTCCAAACATCTAGTCAGTGTGTCTGGGGCCGAGTCAGGATGGCCATCCATCAACAGATAGAGTTGGGTGTCATCGGCATACTGATGGCAACCCAGCCCAAAACTCCGAACAAGCTGGGCGAGGGGCGCATAAAGATGTTGAAAAGCATCGGGAGAGTATCGCACCCTGAGGTACTCCACACACCAAGGAGTGGCGCGATGACAATTCCCCCCCAAGCGCCACCCTCTGTCCCCGACCAGAGAGAAACGAGCGCAGCCATTGAAGGACTGTGCCCTGGATCCCCACGTCGGCAAGGCGGTGGTCTAGAAGTTCGTGATCGACCATGTCGAAAGCTGCTGACAGATCTAGAAGAATCAGCAGCCCCGACCCGCCTCGATCCAGCTGTCTACGAAGATCATCTGTTAGGGCAACCAGAGCCGTCTCGGTCCCATGACCAGTGCGGAAGCCGGACTGGAATGGATCCAGAGCCGATGTTTCATCCAGAAAACCACCAAGCTGTTCAGCAACCGCTCTCTCAATCACCTTACCCAGGAACGGAAGATTCGAAACCGGGCGGTAATTGGATAGATCTAAAGGATCTAATGATGTTTTCTTTAAGAGCGGGCGCACCACTGCCTCCTTCAGTTCCCCTGGGAATGTCCCCGTGCCAAGGGACAAATTGATGATATCCCCAGGAGGGCCCGCACCTCGCCTGGACACGCTCTAATCAGCCAAGACGGGCACGGGTCGAGAGGACAGGTGGTGGGCTTTCCAGCTCGGAGGAGTCTGTCCACATCGGCTGGGGATATCCGGTCGAAGTGGTCCAATACTGGACCCGAGGACAGTCGAGGGGCCTCCAGTTCCTTTATTGTATCCAAATTGGCCGGGAGGTCATGGCGGAGCAACAAGACCTTCTCCGCAAAAAAGCTCGCAAATGCCTCACAGCTGTGTGTCAAATTGTTATTTAAATTTGGCTGTCCCTCAAGGGACGTTAAAGACCTGATTATACTAAATAATTGCGCCGGGCGAGAGCTTGTGGATGCAATGGAGGCTGAGAAGTATGACTTCTTAGCAGCCTTCACCGCCATCTCGTAGGTTTTCATAAAAGCCCTATAAGATGTTCTTGAGGCTCCGTCACGGGCACCCCGCCATACTCGCTCTAGCCGTCTGAGGTCCCGCTTCATTTTCCGGAGCTCCTCGGTAAACCAGGGAGCCCGGTTTCTGCGGGGTCGCAGAGGGCGCTTAGGTGCGATCTCATCGATGGCTGCCAGGAGCTGGGTATTCCAGCCCTCAACAAGCTCAGTCAATGAGTCGCCAGGGGAGCAAGGTCCCGCAAGGCTTGGCGGAATCTATCAGGGTCCATCAGCCTCTGCGGGCGAGCCCAAATCGGCTCGCCACCTAAGCAGGGTGGGGGTGGAAAGTCAATCCTGGCTTTCAGAGCGTAGTGATCAGACCATGGCACCTTCATCGAAGGAGACATGATCACATCTATACCTACGCCAAAGATCAAATCCAGCGTGTGGCCTGCTTGATGTGTGGGGCCCGAAACAAACTGGGAGAGCCCTAGTGTCGCCATGGAAGACACCAGGTCCAGAGCCTGTGAGGAGGGAGTGGCATCAGCATGGATGTTAAAGTCCCCCAATACCAATAGGTTAGGGAACTCCAAGGCCCAGCCGGCCACCGCCTCCAATAGGCCTGACAGGGTGGCTGCTGGTGCGCTAGGTGGCCGGTACACCAGCCAGACAGCCAAGCTCTCCTCGGAGCCCCACACTAGGCCAACACATTCAATGCCGGGGATCGATGGCGATGGTAGAGCCCTGAAAGGACAATCTTCCCGGATTAATAATGCCACCCCCCGGCCCACAGTCCGCGACTGGTGGAGGACGGAGAAACCCGGGGGCGCCATCTCTCGTAAGGTAACTGTTGCCCCTTTGCGCACCCAGGTCTCCGTCACACAAGCCAGGTCGACCCCCTGCGAGATAAAGAAATCTCGCAGGGTGGCGGTTTTATTGCCTATAGACCTGGCATTGCACAGCACCAGTGACGGAGGTGAGTAATCCTTGCTCACCCTACCCTCGTCCCTTGGGATGGGGCGCAGATTGGAAGGGGTACGAGCGTATCCATATCTCGATCCCCTTCGCCTATAACATCTGCCCCCACCGCCATACCTCCCTCGCCCTCCACGGTAGCAATCCCAGGCCTCATGGTAGCCTCCATTGATGGCATTCTTTCGCAGCCTAAAACAATAAAACCTTAAAACAATAAAAACAAAAAACAAAACAACCCAGAAAACAATAAAACAATACAAATAAAAACTGCAAAAATTACAAATTCATCAAAATCTAACAAATTCCCAAGCCCACCCAAACATCCATCCCACCCCCATATATAAAAAATCTAAAGGGAAAGGAAAATATTTAATAATAATAATAATAATAAACATGTTAAAAAGAACTCTGCACCCCTCCGGGTCCTCCTGGGCAGTAGCAGCATCAGTGGCAACAACCATACTTGTGAAGCCCCACCCTGGGCCAGATAGTAAGTGGCAGGAGCAGTCCTTGTGAGGCCTGCCAGGCCCTCCCTGGGCTAGGTGGTAAGTGGCAAGAAGGAGCAGGGCCCTCAGGTGCTCACCACAGGGGAGTCTTCCTGGGCAGCAGAGCAGTCCTTGTGAGGCTTCAGGCCCCGCCCCAGGCCAGATGGTAAGTGGCAAGAGCAGGGCCCTCAGGCACTCACACAGGGGAGTCTTCCTGGGCAGCAGAGCAGTCCTTGTGAGGCTTCAGGCCCCGCCCCAGGCCAGATGGTAAGTGGCAAGAGCAGGGCCCTCAGGCACTCACCACAGGGGAGTCCCCCTGGGCAGCAGAGCAGTCCTTGTGAGGCTTCAGGCCCCGCCCCAGGCCAGGTGGTAAGTGGCAAGAAGGAGCAGGGCCCTCAGGCGCTCACCACAGGGGAGTCTTCCTGGGCAGCAGAGCAGTCCTTGTGAGGCTTCAGGCCCCGCCCCAGGCCAGGTGGTAAGTGGCAAGAAGGAGCAGGGCCCTCAGGCACTCACCACAGGGGAGTCTTCCTGGGCAGCAGAGCAGTCCTTGTGAGGCTTCAGCAACAAGTCCACTTCAAACTTGGTTTAAAACCCTGGGTTGTTTTCCTAAACTATAGTTAATGCTAATCACAGTTCTTTCTTTGGACAAAATGAGTCACTGTAGTTAGTTGAAAACAGAAGTGAAAGCTGCTGATCTCTTCCTTGCATCCATAGCATGGGAGGGAGGTGTTTGTGAACCCAACACGCACCCAGGCTCACTTCTGTAGAGCAGCCAAGGTGGATAAAAATAAATGATTTTTTTAAAAAAATAATCAGATTTTTTAAAAAAAATAAATTGGATTTTTAAAATAAAATGCTTTTGGAGGAAAAGATAGTGTTCTATTTAAGTTACATTATACAGTGGTACCTCGGGTTAAGTACTTAATTCGTTCCAGAGGTCCGTTCTTAACCTGAAACTGTTCTTAACCTGAAGCACCACTTTAGCTAATGGGGCCTCCTGCTGCCGCCACGCCGCCGGAGCCCAATTTCTGTTCTTATCCTGAAGCAAAGTTCTTAACCTGAAGCACTATTTCTGGGTTAGCGGAGTGTGTAACCTGAAGCGTATGTAACCTGAAGCATATGTAACCCGAGGTACCACTGTAGTCCAAAGGCTATTCATCAGGAAATAAGGATTTGTTTTAAGCTTTTCATGTGTGCTAAAACTAAGTCTGGTGGTGGTGTTTTTTAAAAAAATCATTTAACCACATCAGTTAACAAACATTGATACACATGCTATAATGTATATTGTTTTAGTTAAATAAATTGTTTAAATTGTTACTAAGGAAATGATTATTTTTCTCCTTCCAATAAAGTACAGCAGAAAAGTTGTCCAAAAATAAACAATAATTTACCTGTCTTTGTATTTCTAATTGTATAACCAAATCAGTAATTTTTGATATAACTGTAAAAACTACTCTGAAAATTTATTATTCCAAAAATGAAATCTTCATCTGGTTGTAAATATTAAGATTATACCAGAAATATAATCATTTTTTAACAGTCTTTCTGTAAAAAAATGATTTAAATCAAGTCTTACTGACTAGTGATTTAAATCACGGCTTACTGACTAGTGATTTAAATCGTGATTTAAATCAAATCCACCCTGAGAGCAATGCTATGATGTAGTGTTATGTCTGACCCCAGACATTTTATTGTGAGTAGGTTGAGCTTGGGATGCAAGAATCCCTAGGCATGGGAGCTGCCACTGACTCCAGTGAGTAAGCTTCCCCAATGTTACACTGAGTAAATATCTTGTGTGAGCAGATATTTGTGCAGATGGGAGCCTTTAATAACATTGGCTTTTAATCTGGATTCTTCACTGGAGTGGAGTGTACTTGCCTTATGCTACGTGCATGCATTAAGGACCTGGCCTGTTGTCCCAGGATATACGGCATATTGGTATCTAAACTTTATAGGTTCAGCAGCTATGTTTTAATTATTTCTCACTGTGTTTGTAACAAGGAAACGAGTAAAAAAAAAAAAACTTTTAAGTGCCTACTATTATAAATAAAAAGTAGGAATTGGAGAGTATGAATTCTTATTTGTGTCCTAGCATTATGTGATTATGTGTTACAATAAGACATTATGATTGAATCTGTGCAGATATATTCAGCTGCAAATAGTTCTATAAGCTGTTCCCTATAAGCTATTGCCATAGTGTTATATACTGCCATAATGATTCTGTGTTAAAACCAAGGATATTTCACAATCCATTGTATTAAGAGCATGCCTGTGCAAGTCTTACTCATAATTTCCCATCCATCCCACTATAATAATGAAATTATGCACATTTAGCTGTAGATACCCTGTGGGTGAAGAAGATGTGAACACTCAAGCAGTACTTTAGATATATTGAGAAAGGCTTCATACCTGCTTCAAGCTTCCCTTTAGCTGTCTTTGAATTAGGCCCCATAGAGGCAGCAGAACATTTTTGGTTTGGCTATGGAATAATCTGCCATTGTTCGATATGGTAGATAACTATGAAGGTGAACACTAAGACTGAAATAATGGCTTGCAGGCCCACTGAACTAATTTTTGTTGTTGTCAGGTGTAGCCCCCTTTTGCGGAGCAAATTTGTATTTGCATCAATTTCATTCTTTCAGTCTCCTTTAAATTGTTTCCTGCTTGGCAGGGGGTTGGACTCGATGGCCCTTGTGGTCTCTTCCAGCTCTATGATTCTATGAAATTTATTGTAGTCCACAGACTGCTTAATTGTGTACTAACAATATGAAACTTACTGGTTGGACAGAGAAAATGTATATTTAGCTGCATTGATGCCAGAGAAGTTAGTCCACCAACAATGAACCTTAAAAACATGTCTCATTAATCCATAGCTGGACAGAAGGCTTCTCAGATTTCATGAACACCAGCATACAGCAATGCCTAGTGGTACCTCGGGTTAAGAACTTAATTCGTTCTGGAGGTCTGTTCTTAACCTGAAACTGTTCTTAACCTGAAGCACCACTTTAGCTAATGGGGCCTCCTGCTGCTGCTGCGCCACCGCTGCACAATTTCTGTTCTCATCCTGAAGCAAAGTTCTTAACCCGAGGTAATATTTCTGGGTTAGCGGAGTCTGTAACCTGAAGCCTATGTAACCCGAGGGACCACTGTATACATTGTCAGTGACAGTGCATAAAAAATGCATTCTGCATGGCAATGAAGTTGGCAAGAAGGCCCACTTCTCCGTCTCCACTGCATCCAGTAGAGCTTTTCTGTATTGTCCAGGGTCTGCTAACATCTACTCCTGACAAAAACATGTTAGACTCTTCAGAAGCCCGTTGTGGCTTGTTTGCCAAGACACTTTGAGGATAATGTTGTTCTGCTCCATAGCAATCCTAATGTCACATCCATATTCACTGCATTCTCTCTCTCTCTCTCTCTCTCTCTCTGTGTGTGTGTGTGTTCGTGTGTGTCTGTGTGTTCATGTTCATGTGTTCATTCTGTTCCTCTACGGTACAAGCAGAAATGCCCACCCCACACCTCTTTCCTCCTTCGTGTTTTTATAGTTTTGTATGTTAATAGAAAACAAAACATGAACCCCATTTGAACTGCCTATTAAAGATGTTATTTTAATACAGTTTACCTCTTAATGAGTGGATGAATGAAAGTAGGCTTGCCCATTGTGTCAGACCCAGGAGTAGCTCATTGCTGAGCAAGAATTTGAACACAATTCTTCCAAGATGCAACTTAATCTGCTGGACTACAGTACACATCTCAGTACGCATCTCATTCTCTCTGTAAGATCTTCCAGACCATGGGTCAGTTGCTGGCAGATATAACTGCAGAAATGGCCTCAATTGTACTGCTCATTATTTGTCAATAATTTGTACTATTGGTACCTACTCCTTCACCCTGGAATAGTTTTAAGAAGGACTTCATAATTTCATATTGTCATAATTATCAATTAATGTAGGCTACTTCACATCAGGAAATACGGTACATTTGTTACTTGACCAGTCAAATAACAGTTGTGTATTTAATGGGGCTAAGTATGTCTATTCAGAAGATCCACTATTTAGCTATATCTGTAACAAAGAAGCTAGACGTGTACTATTTGCAAAAACAATAACCCTCTTGCTAATTAAAATTCAGCGGTATTCTAAATTATTGTAATCTGTTGTTGGTTTTTGTTTATAATTAACATTGCTCTAACCAGCATACAAATTAAATGTAAAAAAAAACTAAACAAGTTCCTGTCATTGTTTTACATTGTAGCTTGTGGATTTGCAAGCCAATACTCGGAGATAGATGTTTTTGACAAAATAGGAATCTACAGGGCTGTAATTCTGTGCACATCAATTATTTATGCACATTTTTATGTAAATTAATAGGAGGCTAAATCATGGTTTAGCATTACTTCTGAATGTGGACATTGTTGTCTTTAGTCTAACAGAACTGTTGTAGGGATAGAAAATATTTCTTTCTTTGGTGGATTATTTTTTTAGTAGATGTCTAGCCTGCAAACCTATGCACACACATACTAGGATGTATATGCCACTAGATTGGGGGCAGGTCTTGTTTCTAAGACAACATGTGTATAGCTGGGCTGTTACCTTAGCTTTGCATTCTAGTTTTCCATATTCCATATTCTTCAAATTTTCCATTATCCGGATTTTGTCAGAGTGTTCAAGAGAAACATTTTTCTTCATTGGAAGCTATCTCTGTTGGGCCTTTAAAAATGTGTACTGACCCAATTTTTTGTTTCTCCAGAGGAGGAGATAGGTTCCAGCTGGAAGCACTCCAATGTCTTCTCTAAAGTCAGAAAGCATGCTTCTTGTTCGGAAACTCTCTCTGGAGCCTAGAAAAATATGTAAACAAAAGAAACATTTTGTTGCATTGGAGAAGAATTTGGTGGCCCTTTTCTCTGTTGTTTACTATTTTAGAACTGCGAGTAAACTTGAAAGTATGTAGAGAATCATCTACTGTTCACTACTAGCTGGTTCACACATGCGTGTTAATCATTCAGTGACTGTAGCATTAAATCATTATTTCTGTGTATGCATCCTTTATTGCTGATCAAGCACCACAGATGCAGTTTTCCCCCCCTAAAACAGAGCTTTTCAGTAGTTCACATATCCCTTCTAGGTAGTAATTAGAAATAAAATTATGTATAAAACATGTGTGAGGCAGCCCTTACTGACTTCATTTGCCACAACCTACCAGCCAGAAAATGAAACCCTTATGTTTATTAGAAAAGTACCTTTACTGCCCCTCTCCCCGCTGAATTATGTTCTTCAGGATCAGCGCAACTCAGTTGAAGCCTTATATGGGGTGTTCTCTCGTTACAGTATTTGGGGAAGGTCCACGTCTCAGTGATGGAGCATTGGCTCTGCAATTAGTCCCAGGTTTAATGCTCAGCATCTCCAGATAGGGCTGGAAAAGTCTCCTGCCTGAAAGTACTCTTGCAGCCCACTTAGCATTAAAAGTTAGACTGCCCTGGAATATGCAGCCCTTTTATTGGGAGGTTTTTAATGCTTGGTGTTTTATGTTTTTAGATATGCTGTAAGCCGCCCGGAGTGGCTGGGGAAACCCAGCCAGATCGGCTGGGTATTATTATTATTAACCAGTCACCGGGAGTCTGCTAGTCTCTTGCTAATTTGCCAGTAATTTCCATATTATACAAGTGATACTTCACTTTATTGCTTTAATAATTTGGTCAAAATTTGTGGAACAAATATGGATCAGAACTAGACATAGAAAAGCCTAAATCCTTCTCACCTCTCTAACAGTAATTCAGAAATATTTGTGTGTCAGCTAAAAAGAGAAAATAACTTGTTTTGCTACATTATTGCTAATAATGTCAGTGCAACCTATGATTATAGAAGACACCAGTGATCTATGATGAAACTGGTTAAGATAAACTTTTTGCAAAGAAAGGGTTTTTATTTAAACTGAAAAGTACAGTGGCTAGCCTTTTCTGTATTATTAATGGCACTGCAAGCTTTAATCAGTTTAGACGGCAATCTATTAAAGACTCTATAGAGGTTTTGGTTGTGCAGATTTATTTATTGAAATGTGATGATGATGATGTTGATAATAATAATAATAATAATTTATTTGTACCCCGCCTATCTGGGCAGCTTCCAAGAAAGATTAAAAATACATTAAAATGTCAGACAGTAAAGGTTGAATAAATTTAAATTCCATTTCATGGTAGTTGATTGATAGGCACAATCCTCAGCAATTTTTAAGTTCTGTCAAATAGTAAAGTTATGTTTTTTGTTTGACCAGTTTTTTTCTTTGGTGCAAACTTTTGTATTCAATAAGCTATTCTTCAGGTGTGGTAGTTAAGAGAAAATTAAAATAAACTACTTACCCATCTTTGCTGAAAGTTGCTTCTTCTCACAGTTGAATACAAGAATTCTAGATGTGATGCAAGGTGTTAGTGTGTATATCTGTGTATATGACCTGTGTCCAACAAAAAAAGGAATGGGCGGATTTAGTAGGCCGCTCATGTGCATGTGCTGGTGTACCAAACTTTAGAATCTTAAAATATTTATAGAGATAAGCATGGAGATATGCAAGGTAAATTTGGTAAAATGTTCACAGGAAAGCCATCGTTAGTCAAACTTGAATAAAACATACAAGACAAAAGATTTTTTTATCATGTGTACAGATGTAGAAAAAGGGAAGGAAGCAGAGATGGTTTTTTCTCTATTACAAGAGAGCTTACAGATAAATGTGAATGTGTTGGAGAATTTAGGGGATTTCTGAGGATATGAATTTGCATGCGGTATGCAAATAAAGCTCAAAGAATTCTGTAGTTTTTCTTTGTTTTGTGCTTACAAATGAATACATAAAGTAATCATGACTGATGGTGTGGAAAGAGCCACACCTTAAAAATTCTTTTTCAAAATCATGTTTCTTAATTCAATAAAAATTAGAATTAGGATAGGTTTGGTGATGGGAAATCGTTCTTGACAAATCTCCTTTAATTTCATATTGATAACTTTTAAATAAAACCTCTTTCGATACACATGATCACCAAATGCATTAAAAAAAAAGAAAGTACAGAAAGGTTTTCATTTTGTAAACCAGCAGCTCTATATTGGTGTAGTAGGCAAAGGGTACCAATAAATCAGCAACATGTCCATCCCTTTGAAGATCAAATGCATTTTGCTTGCATTCATTCATTTCAGCATCAGCAATGACAACTTACTGTTTCTCCTGTGTTGACAAAAATTGTTAGCTGTAGCTTTTGCTCTGGTAGGGGCAGGTTTGTTTGCACCCCCTTATGACACCCCACCCCCTGTTAATCATGGGTGATTTAGTTGAGATTCCTGCATTGCAGGGGATAATACTAGATGACTCTTCAGGGCCCTTCCAACTCTACAATTCTGTGACACTGACATGGCTCCCTAGGGAAGCTGGTAAGGTAGTCCTTGCTTTTTGGACCTTTAACATTTCAAGACCTAGACTGAAGGCAAGTGGGAGGTCCTCCCAAAAAACTGAGCAATGTGAAAAGTGGCACAGAGGCTGCAGACGGGAAGAGGAATTGACAAAAGTAAGCTCTCCCCTTGAGCCAACAGAGTCCCTCTGGGGAATCAAAAGCCCTTCTGCAGATGGAAGGAGCCCTTCTCTTTGTGGATGAAGAAGTTTGGCTTCTACCGATGGTTTGTGCAATGTGCTCAGAGAATGTACAAAATTCGGCCATAGACACATGGAATTCTAGAATTGCAAGGGACTATGAGAGTCATCTAGTCCAACCCTCTGCAATACATGAATCTTTTTGCCCAACGTGGGGCTCAAACCCATGACCCTGAGATTAAGAGTCCCATGTTCTGCCAACTAAGCTATGAAAATATACACAAATGCCCCAAGGCCTGCCGGAGACATGTGTACAATTCCATCTTCATAGACAAATGATGTGCACATTCACCTTAAGTCATGCTGAATGTGTTAGCATGGTTCGTTGTTATTCACATCTTAAGCAAGTAGCCTGGAGTAATGCACCTCAGGCACAGGGCCTAATGCAGCCCTCCAGACCTCTTTATCCAGTGCTTCAGACTCTCCCCAGGAAATATGCCCCAACAGGCCTGTTCTCATTCTCTCAAGTGTTTTTGAACTGGGATAATGTATCCTGCTTGCCGGGATGGAGGTACTGGGAGGGGAGGGAAGAGGCTTTAGAAGAGCCCCATCAATGAGGCAAGGACTTTCACTTGTGCAGCAAGGCTTCCTCCCTTCCACTCTGTTCCCTATGGAATTGGACCACAATTCCCACTTCTCTCAACTCCAAAATAGACCCTGTCTTAATTGTATTCCTTTGCTAGATTTCAAAGAGTTGTGGGGGAAACCATTATTTTCAGATATCATATTTTATTGCCTTCCATAAGATAATCTAGCTCCCTCCATACCCAATTCAAACTGTTGCTTCCCTTGATAGTAAAAGAAGCCATATAATAATCTGTTTTCCTTGCTGTTTCTTCAGCTACCCACCAGCCACAGACTTAAACTTGACATGCTTCTTTCTACCCCGCAGTAACTGATTTGCTTCTTGGATTTGCCAACATCTACTAAAGCACTTGTTAGCACAGACAGCATGCCTATTTTCCTTCTACCTGTGTTTCTCTTTAGTTATTTATCCAATAGAATACGGTATGAGAAAAGAAAGAGGGCAAAAGGGTTCATTTTAAAGTGGCGTTTTAAAATATTAAAAAACTACCAGCTTAATTATTCATTTCCTTCAGGCTTAAACAAGAGAACAAGTAGGCTTCTCTCCACTGCCTAGGGTTAATTCACATGCATGCTTGCCATAAATCAAATTGCACAAGTTGGCCCAGAGTGGCAGAGCCCTGCTCTACCTCTAGGCTCTGAGATTAGTGCTATTTAAACACGCATTTCTGGAAGCTGGGACAATCTTGGAGGACAATCTTCAATAAGAATGAATACTGTGTCTAGTTCTTGGCACCACAGTTTAAGAAGGATTGACAAGTTCTTCCTGACATTTAGTTGGAATCTCCTTTCTTGTAATTTGAAGCCATTGGTTTGGGTCCTACCCTATAGAGATTCTTGGGTAGAAGTCATGGGCTTTAAATGTGCGTTGGATGTGCTTTAAATGTCCCATGTGGCTCTAAAACTTTGATACTTGGTCATAAACTCTCTGAGAGAACTCAAAGACATTTTAGTGTAGTCTTAGGTCCTCATTATGAATCAGCAGGATTTGTGACAGGAATATAAGGTGCCACTGTGGAGCTATTAAAGCAGTTTGTAATTGGTGTTAACTAGTAGAATTTTAGCAGTCGTTGAACTTTCAGTGACATCTATAGGATTTAAAAGTAACTTGGCTGGATTTTTTCATAAATGTTCTTGGTCATAAATGTTCTTGGGTGCTCCTTCCTCTCCTAGTTTAATTGCAGAACTAAGCTAAAGAGTGGAGGCGTGACAATTATACAATTAGTTTAGTTTTCAGAAAAGTGAATTAGTCTGAGTCTTTATAGTTTGAAAAATCTCACATGTACGTGAATAATTGAAGAAAGGTGATTTGATTGAGATACCCAGCGTTTAGGTTTGTACTTTGCAGTGGTCTAAAACTTTAAGAACATAATTTAGTTTGTTGATTACAATTCTGGGTGTAATACCATACACAGGAATGAAAAAAGTCACATGACACAGTTAATATTCCTCATCTCCTTGTCCTGCATTGCACAGTGTTAATAATTCACACACCATAAATCAAACATAACTTGCTCCTACATGCCTACATATTTTTGAAATAAGACTCCCCCACAGGCAAGCCTGTTCAGTTGTGGGGGCAGAATTTGTTTATAGGAGTTCTCCACGTTCTCTTTCTGAACGAGTACTTCCTGAGCCAGAGCTAGGTCTAGGAACCTTTTTCTAGGAAGAATATTGAAATCAACTTTCTGTCTTGAGTAAGTGGGGAAAGTGAATGAATTTGTAGGTGTGTTGCTAAAAATTAAACCTTTGATGTGCAGAAACCTACCACTCTTCCCTTAATACATTTTAATGAAAGTCTGCCCTACTTTGGGGACAATTTGGTGTGATCTAAATACTGACATGATTTCCATTTCAGGTATACTAAACCACTAACCTTTGCTGACTGCATAAGTGATGAATTACCATTGGGATGGGAAGAAGCATATGACCCCCAGGTTGGAGTCTATTATATCGACCACAACACCCGTAAGTGTTAAATGATTCTGTATGTAATAATAATTCACACATATTATAGCCATCTAATAAAATCCATCTGGGCGTCTCATGTTGAGATACATCTGCACCTTGAATTTGCTTGATATCCCTAACTCTACCATACACTGATCTCCTGCTTCAAAATGTCTGGCTGGTCTGATTCTTATTTAGCTAAAGCATGTAACTTTTTGTTGATGAATCAAAGCATATATATATTAATAAAAACAGAATTGCTATGCTTGTTCACATTCTGTCCTTGTACATTCCTGATGCACCTTGTGATTGATACAAGGGACATGAATCCTCTATTGCAGGTATATGACAGAGGGTTTTTCATTATTACTAATGAGAATTAGATAAGAAACTACTTTCAAGTATTACATATTATAAACATCCCACCTGATCCATTTCTTTCATTGTTTCATTTTTCCTTTTGATTTGGAATTCTGAGGATACACCTGTTTCTTGAATATAGGCATAATTTTAGTGACTCCTCCCCCCCAAAAAATCATTCAATTTTTTTCCTCAGAGTTTGCTGATATATTTAAACATATTGTTAAGTTGTTATTGGCTTGCATATGGAGTTGTTCCTTCTGTTCATAGAGAGGTCTTTGATCCTGTGGCACCTGGTGCTGGTGGGGGCAGGAGGTGATTTTTGCCGCTCCTCCTACATCCTTCCATGCCACTTCCTACACTAGTTTGGATGGTCACCCAAACCCTCCAGAGCAAGGGGGTGGCAAGGGATCAGGCCAGAGCATCCCATGAGTGGAACTCTGCTCACAGGATCTTTGGATTGAAGACATTCTCTTTATTCATACAATTTCTTATTTATTTATGACATTTGTATGGTTACCTCATAACATAAATTGCTATAGAGAAACTTTTCTTGTTGTAAACTTACTGCTTGGGTGTTAGTGCTTAGTGCAGTAGTGTTGAGCAAGGTGTAAATGATTTAAAACTGTCTGTTAATGAAATGTAAACTCATCATACATCATAGTGCACGCTAGGGTCAGTGAATGTTACCTGGTAGCTAAGCTAGATGGAAAGCCCCGTTAGTTCTAATACTGATTAGAAGTATCTATTTTGGAAAGTTGTTTGCTATGTATGTTGGCACCTCTTAAGAGAGGTGGAGTTTCCTTTGATGGTCTCCACATAACAGCTTTTGACTGTTTCAGCTGATTGGACAGCCATCCTTTACATAAATGGGCCAACATGAAAACTCATATTGCACCTGCCTAGGCGTTGAAAAAAATGCTCTGTTTCATTCTGGAGTACATCTCAACAGGTGCCTTGTCATTGCTCAGTTAGATACCTGCTGCAGTAGAGTGGCTTAGATTCTGAACTATGAACCATAAATCCCTGGTTCAAGTCTTGTTTCAGCTGTGAAAAGGTGGCCTTAGAAAAGCTACTTTTTGTTTAACCTCAGTTCTGTATCTGTAGTATATGGTGTTTGAAGCACTTTAGACTGGTCGAAAGCTCAGATCTTTAGCTGTCTACTCAAAGCAAGTCCCACTGAGTTCAGTAGATGTTAAGTCTCAGTTAAATGGCCATACGATTACAGTCAAAACCACTGTGAAAATGCTAGCTGCTGCTAGTTAAATATAAATCTGTGAGGCTTAGACAGAAAAATTAAACAGTTGGAAAACCAGAATCAGATTTCAATTGAAAGAAAAAAAAGTTAGTGTTGGCCCATCCCAAAACCTGTAATCCATTTTGCTGCTAAGATCTACTTTATGTCATGTTATGGAAGTGATAAATTGAAATTTTATTAGTGATATAGTACATTGAAATTTTTAAAGTTTTAAATTTAGTTAAGTGAACATAATACGTGCATATTATAAATAGGAAGCCTGGTTTTAAAAATGTTTTTCTGGCACAGATTCCTTCATTCTATTACACAGACCTTTCACTGGCCAAAAATTGTGGTTTATATGGTGCTATCTAAAGCAAAGATAATAAAATGGAACTCAGAACCTAGAATATTCGCCTCCTGACTACATTATTAATGAACATTCTCACGAAGTATTTTTCCCAGGGCTTCATTTTGAGGATATGGGAAGAAGCAAAAATTACTATCTCTTGGCATTTGTCTCTGACGCAAGCAACTGGGTTGTTCCTCAGACTCAAAATAATCTGAGCTTTCTTAAATACTGCACATATTTGGCATTTTGGTTTAAAAGACTTGTGAGTGCCCCAGTGGGCCATTCTTCTATAGCTGCTGGACTGAATAAAAGCCAGTGCCTGAGTACTTGCCGAAGATGATAATTTATTTGTTTTTTGAAGTTTAAGGAATACTATAAGCCGTTGTTTTTTCGGATGGAACTGACAGCTCTTTTTTTTTTTGCTGCTGCTGCTCCTCCTCCTCCACTCCTCCACTTTATGAGGGGTGTGCTCCCCCCACCCCCTCTTTCAAAATAAAGGAAGGCTCAGTGGCTTCCTCTGGCTAAGAGAGAGCTTTGGAGAATGACTGTCTCCCATGAAAGGAAACTCCTCCTTCCTCCTTTATCCTCTGCAGCACCCACAGCAACGAGTAAACATTGGGCTGCTGACATATTTTTCCTGCTTATTGCCTGGTGTGGTATCGGCTAGCTGTATCCTCCATCCACTTCTTTGAAGTTTTGGGGTTAACATTTAGTGGTTTCAGGCTGAGAGCTGCCACACCCACACCCAAACCCACCCACTCCTATTTGGTTTTTTGGCTGCTTCTGCGGTCTTTACCGTGACTGTTTCCGTTACAGGGGTTGCCTCTTCAGTTAGGAGCATTTTGTTTTTCTTTCAGGCAATATATACTCTCTGGTCTCTGGGAAGAGGTGTTTTGGGTTTTTTTACTCTCTTTTCTCCTCACCAAACTACAATAATTACATTGTGACATTTTCAATTGTTATTTTAGCAGGCTGTTATCAGCCTGAGTATTTGAGTTCATTTTGAGTCTACACTTGCTGAGTTTGCAATTATTTTTACACTTGCTTATTTTGAAATTAGTTTTTATCCTATATTTTGTTGCCCAGTTTTCTCTTTGCCTCAGTCCCTTCTTAGTACACTTAGAAAATTTGACAGTGAATGGTGGAATCTTATGCCTTTTCCTTCGCAACCCCCTCCAAAAAACATCAAGAAAGATTTCCTGATTGTCAGAGGTGCAGGAAAACAAGGAACAAAATTTCCTCATTGGAGCTATCCTGTTGCCCCTTCCTCACCCACCTCATCAAGGAAAGGGGAATAGGGAAAAGAAAGGAACAACAGATTATCCCAATCCCATTACTCCTTCCTTCCCCCCATCAAGGAAGCTTTCCTGGTTGTCTGGGGTGGGAGAAAGGAAGAGGCACCACAATCACCCTGTTAGAGAAATCCCTTTGTTAGTTCCTTCCCCGCACCCTAATAAAGAAATATTTCTGTCTTTCTGGGTGTGCAGGAAATGAGGGGCAGCGGGATAGGTCCATTCGCTGTTTGTGAGCACTTGCTTTGTCCCAGGAGGGGGCTTTTTCCATATGTGTGTTCCACTTATTACGCCACATGTTTGCACTCACAAGTGTGCCACAGAAGAATAGATTTCTGCTGAGAAAGATGGAGAAATGCATTCCTTTGCTTTGTGTGCGAGAGAGATGTATTTATGGATGGTAAGCTCTTGTGTGGGAGAGGAAGTGGAGCAGCCACCTCGCAAATGGTCTTTGGACAACGACAGCATCAATGTTTGTGGAGAAGAATCAATAGTGTGTTTTCCATCATTTAGGACCAGCCAGTAGAGCATGAGACTCTTAATCTCAGGGTCATGAGTTTGAGTCCCACATTGGACAAAAGAGTCCTGCATTGCAGGGAGTTAGACTAGATGACCCTCATGGTTCCTTCCAACTCTGTGGCACACACTGTGTGATTCCATAAGTACATGCCTCAGTGTGGCACCCATTTTGTCAGTAAGAACTACCGTATTTTTCGCTCCGTAAGACACACTTTTTCCCTCTTAAAATCTAAGGGGAAATGTCTGTGCGTCTTAGGGAGCGAATGTGTGGTCCCTGGGGCTGGAGGGGGGACCAGGGCTCCCCCCGCCAGCCCCACAAGCTCTGGGAGCAGCGGGAAGGCTCTGCGCATCCTGTCCGCTGCACCCTGAGCTGCTCTTTGGGGCTGGGGGGGGAACCCGGGCTTCCCCCTCCAGCCCCGACAAGCTCCTGAGCAGCTCTGGGGTAGCCAGTGAAGCCTCCGCAGGGCAGCGGGATGGATGAAGGCTCCCCGCTGCCTTGCGGAGGCTTTGCGCCGCTAAGGCAGAAGCTAAAATAGCTAGAGAGAACGCTGCGTTGCGCCTCCGCAGGGCAGCGGGGAGCCTTCAACCCGCTACCCTGTGGAGGCTTCGCACGGCTATCCCTGGCTTTTTGCGAAAGCCAGGGATAGCTGCACTCCCTTTAAAGAGCGTGCGGCTCTTGCAGGAGGTGGGGGAAGGGACAGAGCGAGGGTCTCTCACTTCCCCCACCTTCCGCAAAAGCCCCAAAGAGCTGCGCTCCCTTTAAAGAACCGTGCACAGTGTTCTTTAATGTCAGTGATGGGCTGCCCTTCTGCCTCATGGGGGAAAAGCCCCCAAGAGCCACACACACACACTCCACGAGGCTCGTGAAAGGAAGCGCTGAGCAGAGCCTGGGATGCATACAGGCTCTGCTCAGCGCTCCCTTTAAATATTTTTTTTTTTCTTGATCCCCCCCCCCCCCAAGTAGGTACGCCTTATGGAGCGAAAAATATGGTACTTGGTTCCTCATTCAGAAATTGAGACAAGTCAGCCAGGGATTCTTTGCTTCTGTCTTTCTCTTCAGTGTTCTCTTTCCTCGTCCCCATCCCCTTCCCCAAACTTGTCCATACAAAACCATTAATGTTATAAATGTGAGACAATCCCGGGGTACAGACTGCCAGAAGTTTATAGAATCATAGAATCATAGAGTTGGAAGAGACCACAAGGGCCATCGAGTCCAACCCCCTGCCAAGCAGGAAACACCATCAGAGCACTCCTGACATATGGTTGTCAAGCCTCTGCTTAAAGACCTCCAAAGAAGGAGACTCCACCACACTCCTTGGCAGCAAATTCCACTGTCGAACAGCTCTTACTGTCAGGAAGTTCTTCCTAATGTTTAGGTGGAATCTTCTTTCTTGTAGTTTGGATCCATTGCTCCGTGTCCGCTTCTCTGGAGCAGCAGAAAACAACCTTTCTCCCTCCTCTATGTGACATCCTTTTATATATTTGAACATGGCTATCATATCACCCCTTAACCTCCTCTTCTCCAGGCTAAACATGCCCAGTTCCCTTAGCCGTTCCTCATAAGGCATCGTTTCCAGGCCTTTGACCATTTTGGTTGCCCTCCTCTGGACACGGTCCAGTTTGTCAGTGTCCTTCTTGAACTGTGGTGCCCAGAACTGGACACAGTACTCCAGGTGAGGTCTAACCAGAGCAGAATACAGTGGCACTATTACTTCCCTTGATCTAGATGCTATACTCCTATTGATGCAGCCCAGAATTGCATTGGCTTTTTTAGCTGCCGTGTCACACTGTTGGCTCATGTCAAGTTTGTGGTCAACCAAGACTCCTAGATCCTTTTCACATGTACTGCTCTCAAGCCATCTTGTATTTGTGCCTCTCATTATTATTTTTTGCCCAAGTGCAATACTTTACATTTCTCCCTGTTAAAATTCATCTTGTTTGTTTTTGCCCAGTTCTCTATACTTGAATATACTTGATTATTTACCAAATAAGGTTGAGAAGCTCTGGAAGACGTCAAGTAAGAGGTCCTTGAAAAGGACTAGATTAGAAGTTACAAACTCAAGTTTAAGTGTGTAAAGCGGGAAGATGGGGATTGGGCCCATTTGTTGAAGTGTTGTTCACACCATTGCATTTCTGTGTTTAATAGCATTAACCTGCTGGCATGTACACAGTGTATTCCAGTCAAAATGAGTTGTGCCTGCTTATAGCCATCATACCAGCAGCCTCCAGATGCTGATAAAATTAAATGTTTTGGCTTGTGTCAGTGGCAGGTGACTTTCTGGATCATAGATCATTAAGCACTAAAGAAAACCTTCTGGCTTGCTTGGATCCCTTTAATGGCTGCGTTGCCACAACAGTTTTTACTAAATATTTAAAGGAACGCCTAAATTATGCAGATTAGATTCCTTTGGTATCCTGCAGCCCCTCCATATTAATTATTCATTATGTGGTAACTAGGCATCCTCACTCAAGCATGATTAGTTCAGACAGCCTGAAGCGTTTAACGCTGGCTGAAGAACTGAAACGCCTGTTCCTGGTTTCCAAACAAAAACCTGCAGCAGAACTGAGCGAAACACAAGACTTTTCTTTTTCTCAACACTTGATCAGCAACACAAATTCAAATTATTTGCAGTCTCTCATATATTGGTGGCATGGGGCACTTTGCTTACATGACACCCAGGAGCTTCTGTGAATCTCACATGGGGAATAACTAACATTACAAGCCAATTCAATTACTTACCACAGTCTTGGCTGCATTATGTAAAGGTTGTTCTTGTTTCCCTGCCTTTGTCTGTTCCCTGCCAAGTAAAAGCATGAGTAGGCCTAAAAAGAGTTGGCATATGCTGGGTGGTATTCAACTAAGTTTTACACAGGGCATACCCACCAACGTTTCTCCAATGGAAATAGGGATGTCCTGTTCAACAACAGCAACAATTTTATTATTTATACCCTGCCCATCCGACTAGGTTGCACCAGCCACTCTTGGCGGCTTCCAACATATATAAAAACACAATTAAACATTAAACATTAACAGACTTCCCTATACAAGACTGCCTTCAGATGTCTTCTAAAGGTTGTAATTTACTTACCTCCTTGGCTTGGGGGTCTCATAACTCCATATCCTCCAACATTTCTCTGATGAAAATAGGGATTTCCTAAGAAAAAGCGGGACATTCCAAGATCAACCTAGAAACCGAGAAAGCTTCTGTAAATTCAGGATTGTCCCTGGAAAATAGGGACACTTGGAGGGTCTGAGAGGGTAGATACATAAAAACCTAGGAACATGACTTTCAATGGGTCTATTCTGAGTGAAATTTAGTTGAATACCACCTTATGTATCTGTACTGAAGGAACAGGGAAATCCAAACTTCCTTTGTGTCATTTTAGTAAATCCTAAATTTAGATTTGGAAATCACTAACATACTTCATATAAGAGTGATGGGAGAGAAGGTCCCTGAAAAGCTTAGTATCAGTAATTTGAAAAATCTTGAGAACAAATTGCATAGGGAGTGATCAGAGAAAGAAGCAAACAGTAAGCTTAACTGGTCAAATGCAAGATGTGTTATGTACAGTGCACAATATCTGTCTTGGCTGTTTAGTTTCCCCACTGGTATGTTCAAGATTGTTACCAGTTTCCATGGGAGTAACAATACTGTGTTAACAGAAACAAATCTGAAAGGAGGTGCTTCATTTATGCTAAATCTGTCCTGGTCTCCTGACAGGGATAAACAAGCTTCTAGAGAGAGGGAAACAGACCTCTGTTTTTAAGGAAGGTGTATGGTATATAAACAATTGCACGCCTTTAGTGGGCAAGTTGGCAGTGTTAGAAATGAGAAATGGTGGAAACTTATGTTCTAGGCTAGATTTGGCTGTGTTTATTTGTTTTAAGTTATCTCTACCCTTTATAGTAAAGATGTTCACTTGTTTCAAAGAAACTACCCAGATAGAGGATCCTCGAGTGCAATGGCGGCGGGAGCAGGAACACATGCTGAAGGACTACCTTGTACTGGCACAAGAAGCACTGACTGCTCAGAAGGAGATCTACCAGGTCAAGCAACAAAGGCTTGAACTAGCACAGCAAGAATACCAACAACTTCATGATGTCTGGGAGCACAAGCTGGGGTCTCAGACTAGTTGTGAGTTCTTGGTTAGATTTTTGTTCTTTATCCTTGTTCTGCTAGTATGTCATGGAGCTTGGCATCTACAGTGGTACCTCGGGTTACAAACACTCCGGGTTACAGACTCCGCTAACCAGAAGTTGTACCTCAGGTTAAGAACTTTGCCCCAGGATGAGAACAGAAATTGCGTGGTGGCAGCGGGAGGCCCCATTAGCTAAAGTGGTACTTCAGGTTAAGAATGGTTTCAGATTAAGAATGGACCTCCGGAACGAATTATGTTCTTAACCCGAGGTACCACTGTAATCCTGTCTTACAACCTCCTGTCCCTTACACCATAGGATCAGTCTGTTGAAAACAAACCTATCTCCTTTAAGCTATACACTAAAAACATTTCATGATCATTGGTGCCTGTAGCAATAGCTTTTGCATAGCTGAGCTATATTTTGGAATTTTCCGTCTTGCCTTTTGAAGGTTAAGATTTGGAACTGTCTGAAGATATGGGCTACAATCCACAATAACTATCCATGAGAAAAAGAACTTCATAAAAACCTGGAGGTTTTCCTTGCAGCAGCTCCCACTGCCAAGAATTGAGCTGCTGTTCTGTTTTTAAAAGTAACTTTTGAAAGTGGTGGATAGTGCAGACAAATTTCAAAAGAAGAATCAGCTGTGCATTATTTCCCTTATTCAAGGGCAAATAACATTAGGTAATACACATAAACTACCACACATAGTGTTTACATGCATGTATATATAAAAATGCTACTTGTGTCACTGCTGTTCCAGATAAATACTATATGACATTAATGTATACAAATAAGTTTGATGAGTAGAATCTGTCACAGTGACTTTTGTCAGTAGGAAAGGTTTTACTTTAAATGCTGAAATTCTAAAAACAGAAAACACCTTTAAAATGGAAAGTTAGGATTGGAAGAGCAAGCTGTTATTTCTCGAATCTTGATGTTACATTTGAGACAAGCTTTCAGTTGAAATCACTGCAGAGTCCCTTGTTTCCATTTTCTAATACTTTTTGTCCCTCTAACCCTTCTTTTTCCGGAAACTGCTAGATAGCCAACCCAAAATTTTGTGTTTACAGCCATTTATTATTATTGTTATTAACTCAAATGCTTACGAGGGAAATACTGTGATTTGTTTGTATACTTTTCTGTTCCTTCTTTGGTGTGCTTTTAATATTTGTTTTGTTTGTTTGTTTCCTTTTATTGTAGTAGTTTCCAGTTCCTCATCTAGCTCAAAATATGATCCAGAAATTCTTAAAGCGGAAATTGCTACCACAAAATCTAGGGTAAGAGGGGAAAGTGGTGCTTTTAATTCCTTGTAATGTAACAACCTGAAATTTCCAATGCTCCAGAGCAGGGGTCCTCAAACTTTTTAAACAGGGGGCCAGTTCCCTGTCCCTCAGACACTGTTGGGGGCCTGACTATAGTTTTTTAAAAATATGAACAAATTCCTATGCACACTGCACATATTTTATTTGTGGGGGAAAACAATACAATATTTAAAATGAAGAACGATTTTAATCAATACAAACTTTCAATGGGAAGTATGTGCCTGCTTTTGGCTAATGAGATGGTCAATATTGCTAATGCTCGTCCCTACAACCCAGCCTACACATGGATCTCCCTCACTCCCATGGCCCAGTCTACATGCAGGCCTTCCATGCCCCCATCCCCACAACCCAGCTTATACATGTCTCCCTAACTCCCTTCCCCACGACCCAGCCTATGCATGTGCTTCCCTAACTCAGAACCCAACGACCCAGCCTGCACCCATGTCTCCTTTAGCCCCATCCTCATGACCCAACTTGCCGCATGTCTCCCTAACCCCCATCCACATATCCCCAGCTTGCACGCCTGTCCTCCAACCCCAAATCCCCACGCGCCAGCCTGTCCTTGTCTCCCTACCCCTGATCTCCACAGCCTGCCTGTGTGTCGCCCATCCCTATGACTCACTGTGGCCTTTTGCAAAGGTAGCGTCTCCTCGTGCACTTTCTTGGGACAACCACGGCCCCTAATCTGCAGCGACCTGAAGGGCAGTGGGAGCTGAGGAGCACGCACCGGATGGGTGGCGTTTGGGAGAGCAAAGTTGCCCAGAAGTATGCGGCTGGCGAGCAATCCTGCACACGCTTCAACAACTAGGCCGCCGCCACCGCGTGGCCCCTTCCGCAGGTGTACCTGCCAAGCCCGCTCACCAGCAAGGTCCTGGGTCTCTGTCCGCCAAGCCCGCTCACCACAAGGTCCCGAGTCTCCCGCATGGCTCCTGCTCACCTTCCTCGGGCAAGCCACACGCCCCTCCAAGCAAGTTTCAGACCGGCTGGGCGAGAGGGAGAGAGGGAGGGACCTGGAGAGACAGGAAGAGGCAGCTCTTCCTCTGGGAGGAAGGGGAGGGGGGTGCACGAGGGAAGGTGAACCAAACCTGCAGCTGAGGCCAGCGAGCTTCCCTCCAGGTGTCTGCCCACCAGCAATTCCAGGCATTTTACTCTCACAACCCTGGGTGGGCCGGATTCAGGACCCTGGCGGGCCGGATGTGGCCCGTGGGCTGTAGTTTGAGGACCCCTGCTCCAAAGCATGGCTTAGTAAGAATGTGCTGGTGGTTGTGCTACTTACTGTGCAGGGCGAAGCCATGGTTTGGTGATGTATGAACCAGGCCAATGCACAGTGCCCATTACAAAATAACAACAACAACAACAACATTTTTATTGATTACATATATCACATACATGCATCCAAGAGAAGAGTCAGCAAAATAGAAACAAAATTGAACCAAATCAAAACAAGAAGTGATTGAAAGGAAGGCAAAGTGCAAAACAAAGACCTTTGTTTTATGGCCATAATCCTACAATTTAGTTTTCCTCAATTTATAATTGCATTTACAAAAACTTTAATAACTGTTTTCTTCCAACCTTAAAAGATGGCAAAACCATAACAATTGATAGTAGAGAGATTGTTCCATATACGCTATCTATTTGTTTAACGTCTTCCAAAGGTTTGCAGCACTTACTTGGTTTACCTCACTTGGTATTAAATTAAACTCATTTTCTGTGAAAGTCGAGAAATGTTTTAGGGGTTTTAAAGTAAAGTTCTGAATAAAGTAGTGGAAAATATTTGTTAAAGTAACAAAATACTTTGCTCTGTTCACATTTCAACAGGTTAATAAACTGAAGAGAGAAGTTGCCCACATGAGACAGGAACTACAGTATAAGGAAATTGGTTTCCAAACGTTGAAGAAGTAAGTTAATTATCTTCACCTGCTACCATTTTTAATATCTAGTTATATCTAGTTGGGTAATGTAGTGATCTGACTTCGTCTGAACCTGGGCTTGTGATTTTTGCTCTCTCCAGACTCCCCATGAGCTTGTAACCAAGATTTGTCCTATAGTTTGCCGTTCATCGTTTAATTTGATACTTCCCCTTTTCTTCCTTTATGAAAACAGACGTAAGTTAACTTCCCCAGGGAAGTTCCCCTGGAGCCTTCATTACACACCTTTAGGCTCCAGGCAAAAATGTTCCTTTTTAACTAGGCCTTTGGTTGATCTTATTGACATCCAACACCCTTTTAGAATGTGGCTTTTGTTGGGGGGGGTGTTATTGGGTTATTGCTTTTGGTTTGATTTTACATGTTGTGGTCTTGTTGTGAACCACCCTGAGACAGACCTCCAGGTATAGGGCTGTGTATAAGTTGAAAGTTGAATAAATAATTAATAAACATTAACTTACTATTCAGCCAAAAGGCTTCCAGAGTGGTTTACAAATATCAGTAATAACACAGCCACTGCCGTTTCTGAAATCTTAAATTTTTTCATTAAGTTGGAGACAGATAATAAATCCCATTGGTGTGGATTTTGAGCAGGGTACAGCACTCTTTTGACCCCCACCCCCTGAAACAAGATTCATAAAGCAAAGTCCCTTGACTTTAGAGCTAACTAGTCTTGTTTTTCCTGTTAATAACTGTTTCTCTTCTATTTTTTACATCATCTTGAAGAATTGATATGAAAATGGCTGATACCCAAGGTGGATATAAACTTGATGAGGCACAAGCAATCTTAAGTGAAATGAAAGCTATTAAGAAGGCCATCACTTCAGGAGAGAAAGAAAAACAAGATCTCATTATGGTATGAAATTGACTGGGTGAACTCCTCTGCTAGGCAGATCTCAAACTACCATTACAGCAATTCTGTTTCCATAACTACAAAAACAGAAATGCTTGTATGGAACTGACACATCAACTTATATTATCAGTACAAGATCATTGTTTAAAAATCCAGGCAATCTCTTTACACTAGACTTTCTGTCTCTCCTACCCCCACCTCTGTAACTATGATTTAATGCATGGGTAGGCAAACTAAGGCCCGGGGGCCAGATCCGGCCCAATTGCCTTCTAAATCCGGCCCGTGGACGGTCCAGGAATCAGCGTATTTTTACATGAATAGAATGTGTGCTTTTATTTAAAATGTGTCTCTGGTTTATTTGTGAGGCATAGGAATTCGTTCATTATTATTATTTTTTGAAAATAGAGTTCAGCCCCCCACAAGGTCTGAGGGACAGTGGACTGGCCCCCTGCTGAAAAAGTTTGCTGACCCCTGATTTAATGTGATGTGTAACTGGGCCTATGCCTTTTCACATTATCCTGATTTACACATAATCCTAATCATTGTTTATTAATATATGATTTATTAAACATTGAGTTAGCATTACATGTGAACCCAGTTCAATAGCTTACTTGTGCTTTATTAACTATATTCAAAATGTTGCTGATTCAACAAGATTTGTAGTTAGTCTATAAACCTTAGAGAACCTTAACTATTGCTTTGTGTTGTGTGTGAATCCAAACCTCCTCCTTAACCATGGTTAAGGTGCCATCATCACCCAAAAGCTAAAGAACCATGAGTGAAGAGCGCCAAAAATTTCAAACTGTTGTCAAGGCTCAGCAACTTTTGCTGGTGCTTTTAGCTATTCTGTGACATAATAAACCAGGTGGTCTTCTGCCAGACACTTCAGTTCATTAATAGTTAATGTTAACCATGGTTTAGAGAGAGTTATTGGTGAACCAGACCATCAGTTGATAAGGGACTGATATCCCCCTCACAATGTCAATTCAGTCTTAAATTTCTCCTTCAAAGCACCAGGGCAGCAGTGAGGCAATAATAAGATGACTTTGATTTTTTTCTTGTTCCAGAACCTTGCCAGGTTGACAGCTAATTTTGTGACAGACAGAGGATCACATTCAGACTTGTGGGCCAGCAATATATCCTTGGAAGACTCCAGTTTCCCATTGTCTAAGCAGTATCTTGATGCTGGTTCCCAAACTGATGTTTCTGGAAATGTATGTAAAATCTAAAATACTGTGTGAGCTTCTCTTAGTCTTGTATCCCATCTTAGCTATTAAATAATGTTTTGTGGGGATCTAGTGTTTGAACCACTGCTTTGTAAAATTTTATGGAAAAGATTTATAGCATATGTGTTATTTCTTAATCTTTGGATGCATATGTTGAGCTTTGGCTCTGACTCATGTCAACATGCTTAATCTACAAAGGGGGAAATGTGTCAACACCCTTTAACTTTATTATTTGCTTCTTTAGTTTATTGTGAACACGAATAATCAACTGGCTGAGAAGGTGAGACTGCGCCTCCAATATGAAGATGCTAAGCGAAAGTAAGTGGACCTTCCCCTACTACTATTGACAATAAGCACTTAAATCAATAGTGCAGACAAACAGCTGTTTTTTAAGAGGACAAGTATGTTTTAAAAGTACACATTTAGAACATAACATGAGGATGAATTTGTTTCTTTACGGACAGACTTCTGTCAAATATTTCTCGGAGGACTTTTCCTTTTCATGTGGAACTAATGTGCTTTTGGATCAGAATAAGTGATGATCCTATAAACTTTTATTACAGTTGTTTAAAACTTTTTATATAGTGTTTGGTTGTCAAAGACTGATTACTAGTTTTAACTCTCATTTTGGCAGCTTACTGTGAAGGTACAAACCATTGCCACTGTTGATTTTATTCTACAGTTAGGGAACATCTTGCAGCCAAATTTGAGATATTGCTAGAACCTAAAAACAGTTCTAGATTTCATAAAATGCCCGTTCTGTTCCCACTATGAGAATCGAGCAAACAAGACCTGTAGTACAGTAATAAGCTAAAGACTAAATAAGTCAGTAGGTGTTGTAAGCAACCCATGGTCAATTTTTCTGAAGCTCCCTCAGACTTACACGAGTGTGCAATCACTTCCTGGTTCGTTTTCTTCTCCCCAGTTGCTATGCATAGCATCTGAGAACAGAGCCCTTTTCTTCCCTCTTTCCTTTGTCTAGAGCAGGCGTTGTCAGCCTGGTCCCTACCACCCACTAGTGGGCGTTTCAGGATTCTAGGTGGGCAGTAGGGGGTTCTACGGCACAAGCTGAATCCTCCTTCCACTGAGCACTGGTGGGCGGTAAGGAAATTTTACCATCAAGAAAGATGCATTAGTGGGTGGTAGGTATAAAAAGGTTGACTACCCTGGTCTAGAGAAAGACTCAGAGCCTGTTGAAGGATTGTGTCTCTTTGGAAGAAAGATAATGTAAATGGGGGAATAGTCTGAATTAATGTGCCCAAGTTGTTCCTTTAAATTCTTTGGTGACTTTTGTCCTATTCAGGGGATAGCAAAACATGAATAATAAGGTATTGGATTCCTGTTATTAGATAGTCTCTGTTGCCAGAATAGTCAACTATTTTGGTTCAGTACCAAAGGTATGCCCATGGGTATGTCCTGAAGTCACAGGAGGCCCCCACTTGCTGAAGCTAAGCATGTCTGGGTTCGGTCAGTGCTTGGGTAAGTCATCACTCAGAAACCACACAGGTCACCTTGGGTTCAATGATAGAAGAAAGGCAGGGCATGCATCTATATATGAAAATAAATAAATAATAACACAGTGAGGTTGTTCTGCCCGTCATAATGACCATACATATAAAAATGGCATTTAAAACTTTCATTTATTCTTTAGAGAAATATTTATATACCACTTTTTGATCCCCCAAAGTTGTCCCCAAGGGTCTCAAAGTTGGCTTGCGTTATTAAAATTAAACAAAGGTATAGAACCACAGAGCATTAAAAAAAACTCAAGCCAACAGGACATGCTTAACACTATTTTAAAATAACGGACTTTGTGAGGGCATTTTCTTAGTTTTGTTTCCACAAAAAACGTACTCCTGCTTCAGATACCATGTTCCTCTTCAATTAAATCCCAGTGACTTTTAAAATAAATTTCTTATTCATTACTAGAGTATGAATTCAGGTTAAGACTCCTGAGATGTGCATCCATTTTTAAATTTATTTATTTATTTATTTATGGAATGTCATGTTACATCTGTAGTGGATTCAGATAAGGCTTGGTCCCACTGAAATGTTTGGTTAAGCTAAAGCACTGTTTGCTTTCCTTTTCTGATGATGTCAGATTCCCATATTTCATTAATTAGAGTAAAAATGGTTGAGAACCAATATTGTTCAGCTGCAAGTCACTGGCCTAAATCTAGGAAATCAGACTCTGCCTATCGCTATCTCTGAGCTTCAATTCCCAATCCTTTAAACTGTAGTAACAATGTAATAAGAATAAGAATGAAAATAGCAAGGATTGGCATAATGCAAATGATAAATAACCTTGCATATGAATGTGTGCAATGCGATTTTTATTTAAGCAAACTTAAGTAAAAGACTGAACTGTCTTTTCCTTCATTTGTTATGAGCAATAGGAACAAAAATTGATTTGGTGCCTGACATCCTACAATCCCCATTGACAAAATTTCCTGGTAATGCTGATATGAGTGTTACAAGGTATTAATGATTAAGCTAAAATTCCCTATCAGTGAATGCTGAACAGGTGGAATCATGGCTTTCTTTCAAGTGAAAATTGCAAAGTGAAAATTAGAGGGAGAGAATGATGCCAGATTTATAAAGATGGCTTGTTTACTTTCATAAGCACTACTATGTAGGATGCATAGAATGCTGTTTTATTTTTGAAGGTGGAAAGTATTCCACCTTAAGAACAAATCTGACCTCTTACCATATCCATGCTGATAGTTGACAGAAGTTATCAAATTACAGTTGAGCAATCCTCTTAGAACACACTCTTTATAAATTCACAGTGGAATTCACAGATTAGGAACTAATGCCAATGCTAATTCATCAGTGGAGCACAATGTTGGGCTTAACCAGGCAGCTGAACATTAAAATGGCTGCAAAGAAGGCTTCAGTGCAGCTTGAATGGATTTCTATTAATTATAGAATTTAAATTAATTAAGCAGCAACTTCCCTGCTATGGGAACAAGCTCAATCACGTCTTCTTTAAAAAAATAAGTGTCCTGATATAATGGGTTCTGTGCTTTGACACGCCATCTTATGTCACTAGATTAGGACACAATTTATATACGATTGGTGAGATCTGATAAATTGTGGTGTTCAGTACTGCTCTAGTTGAATATGCAAGAGAGCCCAACAGGAAGTTTTTTCTGAGATTGCTAGAACATATGTGCCATATGCAAACTTAATTGTTTTCCTTCGTCCTATAGAATAGCAAATTTGAAAATACAGTTGGCTAAATTGGATAGTGAGGCCTGGCCTGGTGTGCTGGATTCTGAACGAGACCGATTAATGTTAATCAATGAGAAGGAGGAACTTCTAAAGGAAATGAGGTTCATTAGCCCTAGGAAGTGGACTCAGGGTGAAGTGGAAAGACTGGAGATGGAAAGAAAACGTCTAGAAGAAGATCTTCAGACTGCAAGAGATACGCAAAGCAAAGCTTTAACAGAAAGGTACATTTAACATATTTACTTTGTTTAAATAGTAAAAATTGATTATTTTATTCTGTTCTTGTGGACTAGAAAACTCATTACAGACACTTGCATCTAATAAAACTGTTACAGGTGCTTGCATCTGACTATAATTAATTGCATTTGTTACAATCTTTTGTTTTGTTTGCTTTATCTATACCTATAATAAAAATGTAAGAATGTCATCGCACTTCAATTCACTTAGTCACAGGCAGGTGATGTTGCAAACTACAGTGTGTTAACAGCCCTGGGTTTGCTGCTGGACCATTGAAGCAGCTTCAGAGGGCAGTTGCAGATGATGCAGGCAATCTTCAGAGGATGAGTCATGAAAGGCTGGGGCAACTCCTCAACAGTCGTCCTGCTCTGCTGCTGCTGTTGCCACTGACCAGCTTGCTGAAGACACCCTTTAAGCCTTCTTCCATGAGTGGGACTGTTGCTGAGAAGGTGTCCTGGCCTCTCATGACTCTTCCTCCACGACTTGCCTAGACTCTTCACTGCCGCCTTGCGACTCCTCACAGGAGAAGGTCTAACGAGAATGGAGGCTTCCTCTGTGACTTACCTGCATCAGTTAACTGCCACTTTTGGTCTCCTTTCTGTGGCATTTTTCTTGTTGGGTTGACTATTCATCTCACTTGGTTGTGAGCTAGAGGTTCCTCACCCCTGGCCTATGCAAACCTTCAGGCAGGACCTGAGTGCAGGACTTGAGTGCTGGTTCCCAACAACTGGTATTCAAAGGCCTCTTGCAGTGGAAGTACTACCATAATGGCTAGTATCCAGTGATAGCTTTCTCTTCCATGAGTTTGTCTTAACCTCCTTTTTAAAGTTGCCTAAGTTGGTGGCCAATACAGTATCATTTGACAGCAAATTCCGCAGTTTAATTATGTGTGGTGTGAATAAGTTCTATTTGTCTGTTCCAGGTTTTCTTGTATTTGACTTCGTCGTATGATCCCAAGTTCTAATATTACAAGAGAGTGAGAATACTAAAACCTGGGGTTTACCAGCCAAAATCTTGGTTCTGGTCTCTAGTCACTTAAGATATCTGTTGACATAAGTGACATTCTTCCTGACATTTGTTTCAACCTTGGAATGAACAGGCATGAGATGGCAAAAAGTGTCATCTCATGGTGTGAATCTCTATAAAGTTGATGTGTTCAGCTGCTGCATTCAACATCAGTATCCCCAACAAACACGGAAATTGATATGGAAATGGGGCTTTCTTGTGCTGTCTTTCTTGGATATTTAGGCAGAAGCAAGGCTCACATCTCCAAAGAAACATTAGAATTGTAGCTATATTTAAACTCAAATGTTTCTTTTAAATGTTATCCCCATAGGAACTAAAGTTTTGGGAGGGATGCAGTTTGACAACAAGACTATCAAGCACGTAAAAACTGCCGCTTTTCACATTCTGTCTCCTGTAATTCATTTGGTTAGTAAAAGAATTATATTTGGTGACTGGATCTTGTGAGACTGCATCACCATTTCAGCTGTAGTTTAAGCCCCATGGGAAGGTGCAGTAGTAACAGGGTGAAAAGCCTCTCTGTAATTGCCATTCTTTAGACTTGGTGTGTGGGTGGATAGTACTTTGAGTCTGCAGTGATGTTTCTGACAGTCAGGCTTTTCTCGCTAAAAATGACTTGAACATGCTGTCCTTTATCTTATTTTATTTTTTGTGCATGATTTTATAGGCTTCTTTTTGTGCATAACTAACAGCCATCCCACACAAATGAACTAAAAATGTGTTTGTGGGGTTTAAAACCTCCTGACATCTGAAAAATTCCAGAATCCTAAGTGCATGTGATATTTATTCATCTCCTGCTGCCCTCCAGCTATTCGAATGCTGTCTAGATGAGAAAGAGGGACATACACAACTCTTTTTCTAAAAATACCACTTGATGCTTATTGAGGTGGTGCTGCTTAGTTACAGACGGCCATTTTCTCAAACATTCTGCTACATGCATCTTCCACTGGGACTATTTAATACATTTGGGTGAGGTGTGTACTGTGCTCCATGTTTTACTCCCCTTAATTTTTAAAAAATCATTAATATTTTTCCTATTATTCTTCCTTCCAATGTACCTATTCTTATAGGGCAGCTGCTGAATTGATTGATGGCTGAAGGTTGGGGAACTTTGTTCCCACTCAGGCTGCTTTAATAGATAGCGTTCAAAAAGAACATGAGCAATCTCTGATTGAATCTATCCTGAATAGTTCTACAGATCTCAGGGCCTTTTTAAAAGTCAAACTTTTTAAAAAATAATTTCCAACAACTGTTCTTACATTAGTAGAATGTTGTGTGGGTGGTACAGCATCACAGTTACCTCCCAAAATTGAAGAGACCACTAAAGGCATTGAGTGGATTCTGAATTATCTTCTAGGGACCAACAAACTCCTATAGCATGTTCATCCTGCTTAATGGCTTTATTTACAATTAAGCAGTATCCAGAAATTAAGGTTTTCTAGCAAGCTTCATGCTTCCTTTCACGGGAGGGGAAGGCTGTTCCAAGGTATTTGTGTGGTGATAGACTCTCCTGGTTCCGCATCAACAATAGAAACTCTCATAGAAGCAATAGGGTAGTTTCTTCTAGATACTATAGAGCTACACTGTACGACCAGTCTCTGCTGCAACTCTTTAGTGGGATTTATTCCTATCCCAACAGTGCCTTGCAGTAGCCCCTTGTTGTGGAGGGAACTGTGAGGGCGAAGAAGGCTAGAGTCCTAAAAAACCATGTGGTGCCTCCAGCCTTACAGTCCCCATGTTTCTTGAAAAGAGGTAGGAGAAAGAACCAACTAATGGGCAGCTGGATACAGTAGAATATAAAGTAGAATGTGTTTAAAATAGGTGGATGGGAAAGGGAAGGAACTCAGATAGGTGTAAAATTTTAGTCAGTGTGTAAGAAACATGTTAAGCTCCTGCTTTCTGTTCTCGGTCTTCTCTCAGTGGGGAAGGGTCATGGCTCATTGATGTACACCTATGCTTTGCATGCAAGAGGTCCAGGGTTAATCCTGAGCCATCTGCACGTAGGGCAGTGAATGTCCCCTGACTGAAACCTTGGATGGCTGCTGCCAGTCAGTGCAGACAGTGTTGGAATTCCTGCTCCATGATTGCAGTCATGGGATTTTTGTCTAGCACATGATGGTGTATGTTTTGACTCCACAGAGTGGGAAGTGACGGAGACAGGATGTTTGTGTTGCTGTGTTCCATGAAGTGGGACTATTGTCCTTTGTTTTTTCTCTTTGCTGTCTGATGCTAGAGAGAGAGTGAGTCATGTTGCAGTGCTCTGTGTGTGTTTATATGTAAATAAAGTAGATTAGCCAAAATGCTGAGTTGCTGAGGTCTGTTACACAAGCTGCGAAGACTCCACAGACCCCTAAGTGTGCCGATGTCTGTTGGCATCGGTCGCTGTGATGTTCGGGCAGAAGAAAGCTTTTGAAGCTCCGGAACGATCGACCAGGAGGGAGGGAACATGCCAGTCGGGCATGTGTCTCTGCCAGGGTCCTACTTGAGAGTAGGGCGAGCTCCTGACAACCAGTACTGTACTGAGCTAGCTGGACCAATGTCTGACTCAATATAAAGTGTTCCAGTGTTCCAGGTTGCTTCTCCCTTCATCTCGATAATATCCTGAGTCTATCACTTCTTTGTTCTCTCTTCAGTCTTTCCACTCTTGTAAGAATTTGTTCCACCTCTGACTTAATCTCCTCAACCCACACCATTATGGCAGCTCCTAACAGCCAAAAAAGGGATGTTCTAGACAAACAGTGGTGGGGTATATTATAAAGAGTTTCAGATGCACTTGTGGTCCTGCGCTGCTAGTAGTTTGGCTGTTTTCCCATGTGAACTACCGGTAAATGTATGCCCCTTGAATCCTCTAAAAGTTGTGGGGTGTTCTGAGGAACAGTCTTGTCATTGTGAAACAAGTGCTTGTCATTGTGGGGTGCTTCCCATTGTGAAACAAGACCTCAAGTCTGGTTCTTTTAATGTTTTTAGCATGAACAGGTCCTTGTAAGAACTGAGTGTGCAACAGCAAGGTTCTACATTTTTACACTCACTTAATGCTGGAGCATTCTCTGCTCCCCACCCTCGCCTCTGGCAAGCCCAAATCTCAAGGTGACCCTTGTTCTCCTTTCTGTCATATAATAGAGATAAATACAACGTGGCTTTAGTGTACCTTAGATGTGACAGGTTTTAACGTTCATTCACAAAAAACTTATTTTTTCTTAGATTTTTGAAATTATCTCACCTATTCTCTCATCTCCAAGAAATATTATTAAGTGTTCTCTTTAAAACAACTCTTGTATTCAGCCTGTTCACATAAGGAAGTGAGAGACAATCCTCCTGAAACACCTTACATATTTTTGGGTCCCTGCCAGGAAACACTAATCTTGCTTATGTAACAGATCTTTTTTTTCCTTCCTGAATAGTTTGCATACCTTTTGCAAAGACGAATAATGTAGAGAAGGTCAGGTGCCTTCTGTACGCAAAACTAACATGGCTGGTGATACTTTTTATTTTTCCAAACTGCCTTAAAGTTCTCTACAACCAACAAATCTTAAACTGCACCTGAAAGTGTGAAGCCAGAAGTGCAAGATGCGTCCGAAGTGCAAGATGCTGAAGAATTGTGAATTTCAGAAATTAAAAATAGTAATAAAGGAATAGTTATATAGATAGGAAGTTTCTTTGGGTGACAAACATTATTCCTATTCTGATCTATTTGACGTAACATTTATTGAGTTACACTATAATTGCTTTTAAAATGTTATGTAGCAAGAAGCTTTTGATGTGAAGTTGAATGTGAATATTAAGAACAAAATGCTGCTTTAACAAAATGCTGCTATAGACAGGGCTTTGGAGATGACACCCTGCCCATCTTCAGGGCATTGCATTTGGAAGGGCTTACTATGGCCCCTTAATAGGATAATGCTTTGAGTTGCATTTTAAGATGGTTTTTTCCTGTTTGCAGATTGAAATTAAATAGTAAAAGAAACCAGTTGGTCCGAGAACTAGAGGAAACAACGCGATTAATGGCAATGTTGCACATCCAGCTGAAAAAGTAAGTTTTCCACAGCCTTTTTACACATACTTCACATGAGTATTGGCTGTATACTCCTACAATTCTGTCTTATGGGAAACATATTTCCAAAACGGACTTGCTGCCAATCATAAAACAACACCACTTCTTTGTGCCATCTGCTGCTGTGTTAACTTTGGGATTGAAATAGTGTTGCAAAATGGTGTTTTCAAACATTGTTCTTTGCTTGAAATACAAGTAATAACATAAAGAAGAGTCCTAATGAATTGGTTATAGTGATTCACCTAGCTCAGTGTCCTATTCCCATCAATGGCCCACTGCTGGGCTTGCGAATCTCACAAGCAGGGCATGAATGAAACAGACCTCTTATTTTTTTAAACCCTTAGCAACTGGTATTCAGCGGCATATAGACTTTTAACATAGGCGTTCCATTTACCCATCATTACTAATAGTCATTGATAGTTCCGTTAATCTGTCTGACCCTCTTTAAAGCTATTGAAAGTAGTGATCACTATACCCTGAACTGTCAGTTCCATAGATTATTTGTGTATTGTGTGGAAAAATCCTTTATCTGTTTGATCTTCCTTAAGTGACCTTGCACTGCAGTATTAGGAAAAGGAGAAAAAGCATCAACCGGTTTCCCCATTGTCTTGAACCCACCCAAAATTATAAAGCCCTGAACATTAGCATGAGCAGATGCTTTTTGCTTTGGTGCAGAAAAGCTGCATTTGGTTTGCAATATATGTCTCAACCCCATGACAACCCAGTAACTACTATAAGGAGATGCAACTGGAGATGCAAGGAGCTGATGTGTGGCTGTGGGGCACAATACATCTACATGTCTCCTCCTGTAGAATTTAGATACCAACACAATATCTTATCTTATTGCATGCACCTAGCAGGTACTGTTATACAAAATGCATCTGTATTTATTTCATTTACTTCAAATATTTCTGTCTTGCTTTTTGATTGCATTTAGGCTGGGTTTTTTTAAATAGGAAGCGGTTGATAATTGCTTTTAAATATTTTTTTCCTTGTCTTAAATATTATTCAAACAAAATGAAGCATCAAAACACACACACACACACACACACAGACACACAGTTTGGGATATCATATATATTCATTGGAACAAGATGGGTTTTTGCATGACAATGGAAGGTCATCAAGAAGTGGGAATCTGATGGATTTCCCGGTACACAAAGTTCCGGAGTCTGTTTAATTAAGACTTAAGAGTTTGTTGTCTCTTCACTCAATTTATGCCCTGCTCAAGGTAATGTCTCTCCTTATCCTGCACAACAACCCCATTAGTGGCTTAGACTTACAAACTGTGGCTGGGTGGGAATTTGAACCTAGGTCTCCCTGTTACTAGTTAGGACACTCCAGCTGCTATACCACACTCTTCGTTGCACCGTTCATCTCAGATATATTGCTCTCTCTTTTTTTGCAGCCTATCGTCTAGCATGCTTTCCCTGTCTTCTGGCAGCAGTCCCGGCTCTCTTGCATCCAGTAGGGGATCTCTGGTCACCTCAAGCCAGGATTCTTCAACCTCAGCCAGCTTTACTGATCTGTACAATGAACAGTTTGAGCAGCTGGACTCTGACTACCAGAGCAAAATGGACATGTTGCTTCTGGAGAAAGCCACTGGTTTTCGGCCTTCAGGCTGCATCACTACTATCCATGAGAATGAGGTGGTGAAAACTCAGAAAACTGACGTTGCTAACCGTTTTCAGGCCCTGAGATCCTTATCTGGGACACCAAAATCATTGACTTCTTTGTCTCCAAGGTCATCTCTCTCTTCTCCCTCTCCACCTTGTTCACCACTAGTGATGGACCCATTCTTCACAGGTGATACCTTCACGGGTCAAATGGATTTTGAAGATACTGAAATAAACAGTGGTCTTTCTGAACTTAGTCTAAACACTGCAAGTGGCAGGAAGTACAGAGTGGAAGAATCTAAGACTGGTGTCAAGCATCTAGACCAAGGTAGAGTGACTGTTGCCCACCTCCTCACATTCAGCCAAATTATTTCCCCCCTTTAAAAACTGATTTTATTTAACAATACTTTTAAAATAAAACAACCTATAAAGCAAGGAACAACTGTAAAAATAAAAAAAAGTTTTTAGATATACTAACCATCATAGGTGGAGACATTAGTGGAGGTGAAATTTTGTTATTAATGTGTGTCCAGAAAGAAGATACATTTAATGTATTTGGTATCCATAAGCAAGTGTCTATTCATTCAGCAGATCTCTCTCCCTCCCCCTCCCCCGCTCACACACAAATAGCTCTGTGACTGAAATTACAATATGTTCTTGAAAGTGGGGGAGGAGTTGGTCAAACATAAAAGCAACACCCTAGATGCAAACAGGCTGCTTCTGGCACAACTGTTTCTAATTGAAAGAGAAACAGTTGACACTGCAGCTTAGTTATTTATTTCTTTTATGGAAATGTTTTATATACTGCTTTCCATTTAGCACAACAAAATGGTACACAGTTTATGAGTGCAAAGGATTCTAAAATCTTAATCAAGCAGCATCATCAAATCTGTATGTAGACTCCATACTCTAGGTGGATTCAGACAACCATCCTGTTGTCAGTGACTCTTTTTAAAGTAGTGTGGCATTAGGATTGCTGCTTGTATAACAACAACAACAACTATTATTATTGTTATTGTTATTGTTATTGTTATTGTTATACCCCACCCATCTGGCTGGGTTTCTCCAGCCACTCTGGGTGGCTCACAGCACATATCAGAACATACTAAAATATCAAACATTAAAAACTTCTTGATACAGGGCTGCCTTCAGATGTCTTCTAAAAGTCAGATAGTTGTTTATTTCCTTGACATCTGAAGGTGTTTCACAGGGAGGGTGCCACAGCCAAGAAGGCCCTCTGCCTGGTTCCCTGTAACCTTGCTTCTCGCAGTGAAGGAACCAGCAGAAGTCCCTCTGAAGAGGACCTCAGTGTCTGGACTGAATGATGGGGGTGAAGACGCTCCTTCAGGTATACTGGGCCGAGGCCGTTTAGGGCTTTAAAGGTCAGCACCAACACATTGAATTGTGCTCAGAAACTCACTGGGAGCCAATGAAGATCCTTTAGGACCAGTGGCCACTCCCAGTCACCAGTCTAGCTGCCGCATTCTGGATTAGTTGTAGTTTCTGGGTCACCTTCAAAGGTAGCCCCATGTAGTCCAAGCAGGAGATAACCAGAGCATGCACCACTCTGGCAAGTCAGTCTGCTGGCAGGTAGGGTCTTAGCCGGCATACCAGGTAGAGTTGATAGACAGCTGCCCTGGACATAAGAATCGACCTGAGCCTCCATGGACAGCTTTGAGTCCAAAATGACTCACAAAATGGTGTCAAATAGTCCACAACAAGATGGCCACAGAGCTTTTATTTTGTGAGCTTGCTGAAGGACTGGTATGTTGGAACTCTTTAGGTATTGCACAGTCCACCTACCCTGTAGACTTACTTGCTAATCTGTAAAAGAGCACCAAGTAGAATTTCAGTTAGTATCTCTAAGGTTTTGTTGTGTTAAGTAAGCATCATATTAATGGGTCACATAACCCTGATCAAGGAAAGATACTGGAATGGTGTTTGCCTTTAACATCGTGCCCTGAGCTTTTCCCTTCTCTTTTGAGCAATGGCCACGTTTGTAGTATGAAATGGTTATTATTCCCATTAGATCTTGCTAGTAATTAGTCTTAACCTTTCTTGGCTCCTTGAGAATGGCTGCGGCTGTTAAAGTGAAAGCTATAAGGCGCTAAGCAGATTAAGTGATTTGGGGTTGTTATTCAGTCAGCAGACATAATAATCACCACAGGTAGTTTATTTCAGGGCAGTAATGAGGAAAGCATCCACTCCCTGGGTTCTGCTCACACAGCTTAGAGTAGCGCAAAAGCTGCATGATTGAGTTACAGCCTGGCCTCCTGGGATCATGTGTCCTCACATGTTCTTGTAAGTAGAACTAAATAGCATATTCCCCAAATCTCCAGCACCCCTTCTTTAGTGAAATCGTATTTTCCCCCAAAGCTTTTTCTGGTCCCCAATTTCAGTATCTTTTATCTAGTTTAATTAACTTGAACAATGGAGTTTGCCTTTGCTTATGTGTAGTTAAAAACTATCATCCAGATTTTTAAAAATAATAATGAAGTAGGGCTTTAAAGGGGGGGGGAGGAGATAGAATGAACCTGTATCGGGAAAATATTTAATTAGAATAATTTCTGTCACACTTACTGGATTTTCTTGAGAAGCCACAAAGGTTGCATTCTTAAAAGACTGCAAATCTGTAGGTCCCATGTAGAGAAGTATTACCAGTAGTGAGCAGCTTAAGGTAAGAGGCATGAAGGTGAGTTGCAGAACATGCCACTGTCTTAGGATAGTAGAACAACTGAGGCCAAGAATTAATTTGCGGTGGGCTCACATACTGTCTTGACAATCAATGTACAGAACTTCTGTAATTGGCAGGCTGCATTTGACTTGCTGGGTCTTATGCTGTGTTGGCCTTGTCTTATTTACCTGATCATGACTTTGTCTGTTCTGCAGAACATCTGCACAACTGACATCTATTTTTTAAAAACATTCTTGATCTTAGCATATGAAAGTGGTGTATACTGAGTCAGCCCATTGGTTCCTCTAGCTCAGTACCATCTATCTGCATCACTTCTCCAAGACTTTATGTCAGAGTAGTCAACACGCTGCCCTTCAGATGCTGGTAGACTCATACCTGCCATCAGTACCTGCTACTCTGGCCAGTGGTCAGGGAAGATTGGAATTTTAATCCAACATCTGGTGGGCTCCACATTGGCTACCCCTGCCTTAGGCAAAGTTTTTTTGTTTGTTTTTTAATTCCCAATATAACAGACTTGGTTGCAAACATTTTAAAAGTTCTGTCTATTGTCTAAATAAAGGGTTCTTTTTAAGGGGATAACAACATACAAATTAAGGATTAGTCTTTCACTTGCTGATGCATCCAACTCATGATAAAAATGATCAAAACTGCTTTTCCTTTCCTCCGTCTGTTTTTGTAGGTGTAAGTATGGTTGAAGGAGCTGCGCTGAAGACAGCCTGTGTATCAGCTGCAGTGTCAGATGAGTCTGTGGCTGGAGACAGTGGAGTGTACGAAGCATCTGTGCAAAGGTACTCTTATGTTTTACATGGTATACATCCTAACCAAATCAGACAGTGTGACAAGGGAGCTTCCAGGATTAACCGTATTTTTCCATCTATAAGACACCCCCATGTATAAGACCTCCCCCTATTTTTGCGGACTCAATTTTAAGAAAATGAGGGGAGATGGCCCAGAGTTGTTGAGCTTCTCTCCCCCACACAGCTGCAGGCAGGAAACACTCCCTAGATGGTTTCCCGCGCGTAGTGGCATCAGGGGAAGTTGCGCTCCCGCCAACTGGCTGGCAGGCGCACCGCTCCCCCCCCCCAGTCCACTATCCATGCATAGGACGACCTCAGTTTTTTGACATGATATTTGAGTCAAAAAACCTCGTCTAATACATGGAAAAATACAGTAATTGTTTTTGTGGAATGATTCACCCAACTCAACCCCAGTATTGCAGACATTAAGCCATCTAAATGTCCTCTTTTTTCCAGGCCTTGTGTGCCAGAAGCTGTTGTGTTTGACAATGAAGATGCAACTAAGACTGCTAAAGTTCAAATTTCAATGAAGTAAGCTGAGTTATTTCTCCAGTGTTTTGAACTAATATCTTAATTAATTTCCAATACTTCTCCCACTCTGGAGTCTTTTATATTGTGCAAATAACTTTCAGTGTTCAACAATTCATGTAATATTTAGTTAAATAAATGGCATAAAAATATTTTTTGGATTTGCGTATCTGTGGTGTTGATGGGAGAATATTGCTGACTTGATGACAGGGCCTCAGAGTACAGGCCTCTGGTACTTCTTAATACAGTATCCCTTGCTTATTTCAGCATAGTGTAAGTCGTGGGAGAAATCTAACTGCATGATGGGCTGCCTGCTTTGAATACATTTCCCTCCACCATATTGTTAACAATGTTAAACATTTGTATTCACTTTTATAGACAGAAAGTGAATTTCCCAGTCCTATTTTGCATTTTAATGGACCCCTGAGTAAATTAATTCTGATTTGCCAAAAAGTTTTGTCACTCCATCTAGTAAAACCTCAGCGCCTAGGACTTGCCGATCGTCAGGTCGGCGGTTCGAATCCCCGCGGCGGGGTGCGCTCCCGTTGCTCGGTCCCAGTGCCTGCCAACCTAGCAGTTCGAAAGCACCCCCGGGTGCAAGTAGATAAATAGGGACTGCTTACTAGCGGGAAGGTAAACGGCGTTTCCGTGTGCTGCACTGGCTCGCCAGATGCAGCTTGTCACGCTGGCCACGTGACCCGGAAGTGTCTTCGGACAGCGCTGGCCCCCGGCCTCTTAAGCGAGATGGGCGCGCAACCCCAGAGTCGGACATGACTGGCCCGTACGGGCAGGGGTACCTTTACCTTTAATCCTAAACTTAATTACGTAAATTAAATCCCACTGTGTTTGGTGGTAAATATTCTTGTGGTTGTAGACCTGTAGTCCAATCTTGTGTGTGCACTCAGAAGTGAGTTCTACTGTTTTCGGCTAGTCTAAGAGTACACAGGTCTGAAAATCAGAAAGTGTCTTAGAATATCAGCAACCTCTTTTGTGATTAGGGTCATTTCTATCACTGCCTACAGTTATGTTTTCTCTTTATTTTCCAATTTAGGTATGATGAGAAAAATAAGCAATTTGCAATATTAGTTGCCCAGATGAATAATGTGCCTGTTCTCCTGCCACAGCAAGACCAGAAAGTGTAAGTAAGTGGAATGACATGCTGGACATGCCTGTATAAGATTGTGGGAAGGAGAGGGGGAGAGCGAGACAGAGAAATCAGTATTGAATAAGCTGACTATCAAAAGATAGATAAGTGTCAACTTTAGCATATGGCATGGGAAATTGGAATTATTTTCTAAAATTTGTTTCATTCCTCTGTGCTTTTGCAGATTCATTGTCTTTTGGCTAATTTGTTATGAAGGCAATTGACCAGCTCATAAAGGATCCATTTTATTGCTTGCAAGTGTGATAACCCAAATATGCTTACTTCAGTTGTGAAGTAAAACTGTTTGTTGTTGTTTATGTTGTTGTTACCCTAAACTTTAATTAAGGAGTCTTGTTGGGCTGCAGTCCTATACACGTTTACATGGGAGTAAGCACCACTGAACATGGGGAGGGACTTGATTCTGAATAGACATATAGAGTGGTACCTTGGTTCTCAAACGTAATCCATTCCGGAAGTCTGTTCAACTTCTGAAACGTTTGAAAAGCAAGGCAATCCAGAACCAATAACCAACAGCTGTGTCAGATGTTTGAAAACACGTTTGAAAAACGTTTGAAAACCAGAACACTTACTTCAAGGTTTTTGGCATTCGGGAGCCAAAATGTTCGAGTACCAAAGTGTTCAAGAACCAAGGTTCCACTGTATAGGATTGCGCTTATTAAGTCGGGTACCGTGCTTTATAGGTACAAAAATTATATTAAATTAAAGTCCCCACTCCCAGAATGCATTCACAATTTAACTTGAAATGAAAAGAACAGTGCTTCCAAATGTACGAAATAGAGTTTCCACACTTTAACTGCTACATCACTCTTTTGGGGTATAATCTCCATAATTGAACATTATGGCTACTCATTATCCTGTAGTATGAGGAACCAAGCAGCAAACTACTCTATTTAGCATAAAGGAGTTCTGCTTGTGCAATGGGACTCCACCCCACTTCCTGCACACCCCTAACCTCCCCCCCCCAAAAAAAAACCACTCTGGAGGGAAACCCAAAGCAAAGTGGGGTGAGAGTTCAGGATGGGGGAGAGGAAGTCCTATTGCAGATGCAGAAGTTCTTTCACTTAAAATAAGTTGGAGTTCTTGTTATTAAATATACCAAGAAAAAAGCACACCAAGAACTCAGGCCAATATAAGTTTCAATCTCTATTTGAGTTTGTAATCCTTGTCAGAATACATACTTCTGAATGGATTAATTTTTGTTACTATTGATTTGTGAGTAGGGACCACTCCTACCGTTGAAACTTACATTGGCCTGAGTTCTTGGTGTGCTTTTTTCTTCGAAGTTCTTTCACTAGTATTGGATACAACCCATACAAAGGAAATAGGATGGTAAATTTCGCAATGCAGTGGTATATATTGGTATAATTGGATGTTCTGCTGAATCATAATTTCAGTAGTGCTGGATCCAAAGCGTTCCCATTCACCTGACACACACCCAGTTTAAGGAGCGGGGTAGAAGAGGGGAGTACACCGCTGTAGTGCTGGGAAACCTCTTTTCCTCCAGCCACTCCCCCTTTTCCGCCTTGGCTAGTACAGGACTTAGCAGAGCATGGGGTTTGGTAGCTGTAACAACCATAGATTGTCCTTCTATCTGTCCTCATTGAATAGCTCACAGAAGCCTCTGTGAAATACAAAAGTTAGAAGGAAACTTCCATGGAGCACATACAAGCAAAACTGCAAATGTTAAAAGCGTTAAATGTTAACTGACCCAGCTTGGTTTGCTTTTAAGGAGTACTCGTCTTGAAAATATTTTCTCGGAAGCATAGGAAATTAACTATAGTAGTTCCGAGTCAAGATTAAGCATAAACTGGAGTTAATAAATGGGTTAATGGATTAATGCATGCATTATCTGACTATAGTCTATTTGTAAATGTTTTTCTCTGTAAAAGAATAGTAATGAATAGTTCTAGGAAACTGTATAATTATCTGTCCTAATGTCTTCCCATAAGGGAATTTCAGCAAGCTGTTGTTTGCTTTATGTAGATTATGTGGCTCATCACAGTTTTCTGTCTCTCTTCTGTCTGTGTACAAAAGATGGGAGAAAATAATCCAAGACAGAAACAGAGGTTTTTAGACAGTCTTTCCCAGATATTTTCACATGCCTGTAGCTCGTACACAATCTTCCTGTCTTTAATTTCTGACTAAGTTATGCTAATAAATGAAATTTCATATATTTCATCTTGCCAGCTCTGTATGATAGATATCCAACAGAAACCCTGCTGACATAATTAGACGTTGTAAAATAGCAGCGCCTACTATATGGCTACTGTTTCAGGGCAAGTATACAACAGCATAGTGCTCATTATTATATTTGGGATTGATCCTGTTGCTTATGCAAAGTTCTTGTGTGGGGACGCTGTGCCGAACTGTAATATTCTCCGCACATGCTTGTAAAGTAAATAATGCTGATTATAGCTATTTTTCAACAGGAGTGTTCGTGTGGCTATTCTTCCTTCTTCTGAAAGCACAAGCTGTTTGTTCCGCACAAGCCTAATGGAAGCATCAGACAATCTAATTTACAATGAATTATTTTGCGTTGCAATCCCTTATTCTGTATTACGACAGAAGACATTAAGGATTGATGTCTGCGCTTTGAATAAGTACCACCTTGAAGAATGCTTGGTTAGTGTTTGTTTATGCTGTTCTCTTAATGCTTTTAGTGTTTAAACTATCATTTGACTGATAGATAGTTCCCTGTATAACTATTACATTATCAGACAGAACTTTGTAACTATTTTCTGGAAAGTAATAATTTTATTTATTTATTTATTTAATGCACTTATATCCCTCCTTTTAAGGTATTTGTGTCAGTGTTTATTGATACAAGGATAATGCAAACTGCAAACCAATGAAAACAAGCTCATATATTAAACAACTAGAGCTGTAATCCTAAGCATGTCTACTCAAAAGCAAGTCCCATTTAGTCCCATGGTGTTTGTTCCTAGGTATATGGGTTTAGGATTGCAGCCCGTTATAATAGAGACGTCTGTTATAAGAGACGTCTTTGAGAGACGGCTTGGCGTTCCTCGCTGTTCATTGATTTGTTTGATTCTTTGTTTGACTCTGATACATATAAATGTAAAGGTAAAGGGACCCGTGACCATTAGGTCCAGTCGTGGCCGACTCTGGGGTTACGGCGCTCATCTCGCTTTATTGGCCGAGGGAGCCGGCGTACAGCTTCTGGGTCATGTGGCCAGCATGAATAAGCCGCTTCTGGCGAACCAGAGCAGCGCATGGAGACGCCGTTTACCTTCCCGCCAGAGCGGTACCTATTTATCTACTTGCACTTTGACGTGCTTTTGAACTGCTAGGTTGGCAGGAGCAGGGACCGAGCAACGGGAGCTCACCCCATCACGGGGATTCGAACCGCCGACCTTCTGATCGGCAAGTCCTAGGCTCTGTGGTTTAACCCACAGCGCCACCCGCATCCCTATAAAAACCGGCATCCCTATATTTTGTGAGATGTGTTTTATGATATATACATCATATTGAAGTGGCTTATTCGTATATTTTGAATGACATCATAACCGATTATATATTTACTAACAGTTATTAGCCAGCGTGTTGCATTTGCATTTTTGTAGATTGTTATAATAGTATCGACTATAAACATGAAGCTAGCATAAAACTGTTAATAAAAACTAAGCAGAACAAAAATTACAGATATATGTATTTTTACCACTGGTCTTCTTCTGTCACAATGAATTTATGAATGCATGACTTCAAGTTCTTGCCATAAGGTTGCACACTTTCATTTTGTTCTCTCTTAATGATGGTACCCTCACAAGCACCTTGGGAGCATATGGGACTGCCGGCAGATGCAGCAGGCAGTGCTTACTGAAGCGACTTATTTGTGTGTCTGCATGGGTCAGTTGATATTGAAAAGTGGATCCCAACACAAATATCCTGGGAGTGCCCATGGCGCTTGAAGCAGGGGTTGCACTCATGCCGAAGTGCTATTTCTGCAAACTGGTCTTGCCAGGCATGCTTGTAGATACTGCCGGTGTGACTTCCCCACTGTGGGGCTGGCAGCTGAAAAAGGTGCTGCTGCAATTATGGAAATCGTTATCTGTGTAATGCAGAAATTGCAAGGGAAGGAAAATTACATACGTACCTCAAGGTCATGCATTTCTATCAACATATGTTTTCATTGCTATTTGAATGTTATGAAGATGTCCATTGCTGCTCTTTTTTTTGTTTCTGCAGGGAGGTGCACAAATTAGCCTCGCTGAGACTTGCAAATCTGGAGAGAGGTCAACGCGTTGGTATAACCTCCTTAGCTATAAATACCTGCAGGCGCAAAGTAAAAATAAGCAAGGTGATGTCTGTTCCAAACTACCCTGCACTGAAAAAATGGTAATAACTTGTGAATGAAGATGTTTTGCACAAGCCACACTACAATTTTTCCATGTATAACGCAAGGGTTTTTGTTTTCAAAAAAATAGTTTAAAAATTGGGGGTCATCTTATACACAGAACATGGGCATCTGGGGGGATTTTTTAAATATTTAAGCAAATGTCTGGGATTTTGGCTTGGGCAGGCTGAGGCGGTCCCTCCTGCCACCGTCCCCTCCTTCTCCTTTCCCTGCTGGCTGCGCACTGGCAGCTAGCTCACCTCCTGCAGCCACTCTTAGCTCGAGCACCAGAGGGAGAGCAGCCACTGCCAAGAGCTGCTTCGGCTACCTCTCCTCACCCTTCTTTCCTTTTTTCTCTCTCCCTCAAACCCCCGCCCCGCCCCACCCCGCCCCGCCCCACCCCGCTCCTCGCCTTCCTCGGCTTGGTTTGCTTGACTGCATGGCCTGGCACAGACTGGGCCTTGGTATCCTGCTTGGGAGGTTCCTGCCTATCACTTCCCTGCAGCCCCAGAGGGGGAGCCTCCGCCTCTACTTCTGCACCACTGCATGTACCTCACGCTGGAAATTTTGAGGGCAATCGGCCAAAAAACATATCATCAACTTTCTGCCGCTGTCGCCGATCGTCCGGATTTTCCCTTCTGTTTTAGGGTTTTGTTTTCTTAATTTTGGGTTCAAAAAAATAGGGATCATCTTATACACTGGGGCGTCTTACACACAGAAAAATATGGTAACACCTATCAGAAAATGTGAAGCTTTTGTTTTTCGCTAAACTGTGTACTTAGCTGGCAGAATACTATTCTCTGGGTTTCAGTAATGATAGCTTCGGTTGAAACTAAATGGACATTAAGAAATAACAATGTCATTAACTCATTCCCCACAGGACTCCGTATCTGCACTGCTGGAACAGACTGCTGTTGAACTCGAAGCTGTAGAGAAAAAGCTAGAAGAAAGCAGGAGCACTTTACTTACTAGTGAGAACTGGTAAGTGATATGAAGCTGTTGTATTACAACACTGCAGTGCTGTAGTTTCTATGGGCTTTTATGATAATAGTAAAAAGGAAAGAGTTAAATTTAAGGTAAAAACATGTAGTCAAAACATGTAGTTGTGGTAGCAATTTTGCCCATACCCTTCCCTGAATTCCCCATAGAAGAATATTTCTCTCTAACCATTTTTCATTTTTCAGAAATGAAGGAGATAACAAGGTTAAAAGTTAAATTCTTAACTTTTAGAAGTCAACCTTTACACTTCTAATTTTTGAAGAAACTGTATTTTATTTTTTTACCTAAATTGAATGCATAGGCTCTAGTTTATTCCATTAATAGTGTGTCGCAACAGAGTGTAGCCTAATCAGTTTAATTTGTTTAAATTAGTTAGATTAAAAAACTGCTAAGGTTTTCCCAGAAATGCTGGAGTGGTGCTTTTGTTATGTTCAAAAAAGAATCTGTGTGATTGCCCATTTGAGCCAGATTGTTTTCTGATGATCACTTTATTCATATGTATAAGGCAAGTGAAATACTCATTCTAAATGTTCTGTTTATAACCTCTTGGGCTTGGGCTAAGCCCAACTCATCTTATACATACCTTTTGGAGACCTTTGTTGCATATTGACATGGAAGCGCACAACCTTTCTATTAAACTGCGTGAATCAACCCAGTATAGTGAAGCATATTCACAATTGGTGACTCATATCCCTGATGACTATATTCCATGCAACCAAGATGACTAATGTGATAAGTCCTAGTACAAACAGTACAGCTTGCTGCATGCAGTGACACCATGTGGAAGGATTGTTTGGGGTTTCTCTTCCTGGGTAGTAGTTCTGAGTTGTTTTTAAGACCTCACAAAGGATGAATAAGGTATGGCGTGGAATGTGGTGTATCACACTGATAAGCCCAAATTTATTCTCCCTTTAACTAGTAGCGTGCTCATGCCACTGTATTATATAGCATTGCGGTGCATCTCATAGTGCTGTAGAAATTATGCTCACTTTGTCTGAGAATACTGTTAGCTTTGCCAAAGCTCTTACGGTTGGTGTTCCAAGGGTGCTTTGCCTATTCACAGTGAAGTTTTGTTATGTAACAGGCAAGATGAAGAAGATGCTGAGCAAGATGGCAACAGTGAAAATGAAGAAGAAGGAGGAGGAGGGTTTTATAGTGGAAGGGCAATATGGGAAACAGAAGAGACCACATCCTTGTCACCGGCTGAGTCAGCAGCCATCAAGGTAAAGAAAGCACAAGGAATGCAAAGTCCTATGTAAGCAGGTGATTAGAAGGACAAGCTGACTTAAGCACTATGTTATTGCTGCAGTGCCCTTGTTTCACCTCTAACATGATGGAATTGAGCTTTTTTGTTTTCCATTTGCTTGTGAATTGTTTGCTAGGCTTCACACGGCACATGCTTAGTTGTGAACGCATCAGGGAAATAGTAGAATACAAGTATTTGGCATACAGAAGGTAAGAAGGGAGGAAGCGAGAGACATTCAGTATTGGGTCTGATGTTTATTTTGTTTTGTTTTTCACTGTAGCCTGCAAACATTATTGCCAAGTGAGTTAAGTATCTTCTGTAGCACTCTTACTGTAGGGTGAAACTTCACATTCCGAACTAGTTGAAAGTCCCTGATTTGTTGTTAGAAGAGAGTCATGTAAATCTCCAGTAATGAGATATGGTGAATCAGGCCAGCAAACTCTGCCCAAATATATTGCTGTCAAAGAATGCAGTATACCTGTATGACCTTGGCAGCACAAACAAATATTTGCATAGGCAAACCAGGTTACGTTCATGCTTCCATGCACAGTTATCTGTTTTCTCAAGCAAATCTAGGAAGTTGTTGAACAGGCTTATATTTCTATGTTAGCAGTTTTACAAGGAGAGCTCCTGGATTCTGTTTCTCCTGTCATTTCCTTCTGGCACCCTGCCCCCTCAGCTTCCAGCCAGTACTAATTTCTTACATAAAATTGTATTTATAAATTTTATAGTCCATAATTCCAACACAGAACCCAGGGCACTTGAGACACTGAAATGAATGAGTTTAGCTTTAAATAGGTTTAACTCTGTGCTGGATTTTAACTTTCATGTTTTCTCTCTCTTGTTATGGTATGTGTCTCTACTGTGGTGTTTTTAGAATGCTGATTATAAATTAAAACTTGATGGTAGTGATTCTTGTCTGAAATGCACTATAATATTATTCTGCCCTAAATACATTGAAGAAAAAGGTGCAGAATTCACCCGGTCAATCAAACCTTAGAGCTGTAAGACAGACTGATGGCACTTTGGTGGAGAAAAATAAACTTACGAATATCTATCTGTATTGTAGGTGGATAAAGAGACCAACACAGAGAGCCTTGCACAATCTTCTGCGGTAGTTCGTCCAAAAGATAAAAGAACTTCTAACCCTCTACGAACTCCTTTTGTTAGAGGCAGCACTATTATCCGTTCCAAAACCTTTTCTCCAGGACCACAGAGCCAGTATGTGTGTCGGGTAAGAAAAACACTACTTTTCTCTGTCTGTGAACAGAATACTCATAGGTAGCATATACCCTCTTTCTGTAAAAAGTAGATGAAAATGTCACTAAGACGCTCAGATAAATTGACATCTGAAATCCAATATTGAATGCCATGGCCTAGAAGTAATTAAAACATAAGTTGCAAACTGCAAGCCATGATTCAGAGGACACCCAACAGCCCTACCCACACGTACATATGGAATTGTTGGAAGGCACATACATAGAAACTCCAGTTGTGCTTTCAGTTCTCTCAAATGCAAAAAAAGGTGTGAGGATTTGGCGCAACCACTGTTTAAAGGGGAAATCTGTAGGAAAAATTAGTGAACATGTGCCTCTCCTGCTTTCTTTTTCAGATCCCCCACTTTTTGAATGTGGGAGAATTTAAACAACAGTGGTGTGTTCTTTCAGGGAGCTTCAGAAATCCCTTAACACTTAGTGGTTGTTTCATCTATCTGGATTGCACCCTATATTAATGCATTTTAAAATACATGTTTTCATTAAAGAATTACCAATATAGGCAGTCAAGGAAACAGATTCATAAGCACATCATTTAGTTTGTTCATTTAGCTTACTCAAATTTAAAGAAATACATTATAAAACTGTCTCCTACTTGTATTTATTTATTTGGCTTATTTATATGGTGCCCTTTAATTACAACAAATAGTGAAGTGATTCACAACATGATAGAACATTTAATAATATCTGAAAAACATATAGAACTACATATACTACCAAACAATAAAACTGGTAGTATATAACTATTTCTGTTAGGTCAGTATCTGCCTAAAGTGACTATATGGATTATAGTAAATAAGTTATGTGTAGATCTTATCTCTGATCACCCTTCCAAACTAAGGGAAACTTGCATGTATACTATTGGCTCTTCTTTCAGCAGGAGTTAGATCAGTTCAATTTTGTAGTCATACCTATTTGGTTTGTCACTTTTTGACAGCAGAGCAGTTCTTCATCTAAACATTAACAGAAGAGTCTTTTGTGTACATCCAGCAGTAGCAATGTGTGCACTCACAGAGGTTCAAATATGCAAGTGTTGTTTTGTCTTCCATGAACTGGAAAATGTTTACATCAGCGAAGAGATCACAATTTCAGGTCATTTTCCAGTTCTGAGTCCCATGGGATTTTGTCTTCTTTCACGGGAGTCTCCCCAGAGTTTTGAACCATGTCCATTTTCTGTAGTTTTTATCTCAGTAGGTGTAGGGCTCCTTTGAGAGGACGGGTGGGATATAAATTTACTTATTATATAAATAAATAGTTCATTGCATGTGATGGCTGTCCATCGAAAGATAGCAGTTGACTCAATTCTACATGCCATAGAATTTCTCAAGGGTTACCTGTGTTACGACACATAGGCTGAACTCTAATCTCACCCCCAAAGCTTGCTTCCTATATTCTTCCCTGTCTCTCTAGAACTGGAAAAGAAGTTAGGGGACAACTGTGACAAATATCCTTAAGTGTTTTTTTTTAATTTTAAATCACTTGACCCTGAATTAGATTCTTTATTACTGTGTTGCTGTATTGTTTTCTTAAAAACTTAGCATATAGACTTACTGGCCAATATTCTTAATAACAGACCTCATGGGTGAGACCTCTGCCAATTTTATCCTGGCATAATAATGAATAAAGTGTTTTCAAAACAGTGTGACCTTTGCATAGAGAAGGGTGGAGGTGAGAGGGAGAATGTAAATTTGAAAATTGTGACTTCAACTAGGTACGATAGGGCTGAATATGTGCAGTCCATCTGTTACGTATGCTCCAAGTTCACCTCTTTGATTAAATGTTTATTCATAATTAATTAGTTCCAGAAGACAGGATCAGGCGGGACTATAAATAACCTTTCTCTTTAACTTCAGTCTGTGAAGCAAACAAGGAAAACACTGTCAGGAAGGTCCTTTCATTGACGCATGGGCTCGCTCTGCTGAGGAACGAGGTGTTCCTTCTGCACATCAAGGCTGCCTATTGCTGTGATGAAGCACAACAGGGTCTGATACACTTATTGCTTCCCAATTCAGACACTGTTAGGCTCACCAGCTATCAATTTTCCTTTTGATTTAGCTGCAAGTTGAACTCTCGGCACTAGGCTAAACCTCTAAATTGCATCATCTTGTTTTTTAAGACAGGCCTTTGGGCAACAGGCCATGGAACAAATAGCACATGACAGGGGGCATTCAGGCATGGCAAGATAGATGGATGGCTCAGTGCAGTGAACAGGAGATGCACTAAAGGGTTTTCCAGATTTTGCTCCATTTACTTACCCTGAATGGAATGCATTGGGGCTTCCAAAAATATAACAACACTTTTTAAAAAAAATTAAAGTACTGTTTGTGTGATAGTTGATGCCTCAAGTAGGGAGAAGGAGTATAAAGCTGCTTCCTTTGTTGCCAGATCACTGCATGTAGTGAGTGCCTTGAATATGCAATTGGAAGGAGTATCCCAAGAGCAAAGGAACATTGTCTGAGTTCAGGATAAAAAGTCACACAGATAAAGGCTTTCCCTTGCATCCTGAAACAACACAAAGGCAAAGAATTTCAACTCTAGGAATATAATCCTGTCACGCTTCTGCTGCTCTAAACAAACTGCGGACATTCAAATATTATTTTCTGTTGTGAGGCAGATTTTATTTCAGTAATATGGATAAGTAGGTCTTTTGCATTCTATTACCCTGATCCTAAATATATTGCGTCAACGTGTTTGGCTGAAGAACCCATTGCAGAACTCACTTTGCATATTCTGTTGCATTCAAGCAGAGTAGCAGTTGGTATAAACCCTGCTTAAAAAAATATTTCCCAATGCAAGTCTTAGAGGCTGCGCTGTTTTAAGATTCTAATCCCACCTCAGCACAACCTTATCTTGGCAACATAAAAACTACTTTATATTGTCCGGCCATTGGTCCATCTAACTCAGTATTGTCTATTCTGACTGGAAGCAGGTTTCAGACAGGAGTCTTTCTACAGCCCTGCCTGGAGATGCCAGGGATTGAGGCTAGGACTTTCTCTATAGAAAGTATGTGCTGTCCTTCTCCGCTGTAGCCACTTCCTGTGTAGCCACCTCTCCTTAGATGAGCAACTTTCCTATCTCAGTGCCTTTGTTCATTTCTCTTTTTCAGCTTAATCGTAGTGATAGCGATAGTTCAACACTATCCAAGAAACCACCCTTTGTTCGAAATGCTGTGGAGAGGCGAAGTGTCAGGATGAAAAGGGTAAAAATAAATAAATCTTACATTCTGTTTTCTTTTATTGAGTTGTTGAGCTGTATACATTTTTTCACAAGCTAGCCTAGTTTTTTTTAAAATAACGATTAGTAAAACTGTTCTTTGTGTGCCCTGTTCCAGTTTTGCATATTAACATCAATGGCTCTTCATGTTATTGAAGGTTTGTGTTTCCATTAATGTGTCAAAGAGAAATTATATTGCGGAGCATTTGGCATGTAGTTCTGAATAATTTTTGAAGCTGTCATTTGCTGAAGCATTTCTGAAGCATTTCTCATAAAGATATCGGGATGCATCCAATGCTGCAACTGCCCTGGTGCAGGAGACTTCTGTGCATGCAACAGAACTTCCACTTCCTCACTTCCCCCCTCCAGCCCTCTTTGCACTCTCAGAATCAGCTCTGGAGAACTGGGAGACCTACTGGAGCATATTTTGGAGGTGCACGGGAAGGAGCAGATGGAATTCCTGTTGCACTGGATGCAAACCATTATTTTCAGTTTGGTGTCAGCAACCATTAGTATTTCAAGTCTCTATAAGCGTGACAAAGTGTATCAAAGGATATCACAATTCAGCATTATAATAAATATTTTGTCGTTTTTGTTCAGTCTTCTGTTAGGTCCACTGGAGGTGAGCGTCTAATCCGTACCTCACTGGATCTGGAATTGGACTTGCAGGCTTCAAAGACCTGGCACAACCAGCTGGTTCAAGAGATCTCTGTCCTCAAGCAGCTGAAGGAACAACTAGAGCAAGCTCAAAGTCAGGGGGAAAAGGAACTACCCCAGTGCATAGACAAAGATGAACAATTTCAGATGTTGATGAGACTAGTAGAGAAACAGGCAAGTCATTCCTCGACTACAGAATACTTTTTCATTATCAATTAAATTTTCAACAAGGGAATAGGCTTCAATTATGTTTTACTCAGCGTAGGCCCATTGTGATTAATGAACATGACAAAGTTAGGTCCGTTGAGTACAGTGGGCCCACTCTGACTAAACTGTAGCTGAATACCACCCTTGATATGTTTAAAAAAGCTCTCCTGCTGGTAGTGAAACCTGCTGGAATCTTTGAGGTACTTTTTCAGCACTTGTCATTTTAGTGGGATTTAAAACACGTTCTGTCTCAGTGGGTCTAGTCAGAATTGTCTTGTCTTGCCCTCTTCAGCCCAGTCTCAAAGAAGTGTATGGCATGGTGAAATACCATGATATCATCTGCACCTGATTGTCCAAAATCTCTCTGTCTCTGGGAGTGTATATGAACCAAACAGAGATATACTGAGAGGTTGGGTACGTTGGCCCCCACCAAGGGTGCAGGCCCGGGGGGCGGGGCAAGAATCACACCTCTCCACTCTGACTTGGAGTGGAGGCCATCCTTGCCAAGGGTGCAGAGAATGGGGGACGTGCTGGTACAGCTCCTTGCCAAGGGCACCAGGGAACCCCTGGAACCAAAGATGTACGCAGCCTCTGATGAGGTTCTCTGTCGGAAGGCATAAGGTTGTAATTCAAAGCTAATAGGGACGAAGACCTGAATATGGTCAAGCGAGCTCATCCAACACCCTGCTGGGCTTACAATTGGTAGGGTGGAAGCAAGGGTGGAGCCATGGATTTCTCTCTCTAATTTTTTTCTTGGTTGGATACGCAGTGGGATTTTCCCCACTGGAAACAATGGAAATCATTGGCTCGCTTTATGAACCATTTCTCTGGAATGGATTACATTTGCATAGTGGGACCTGCAGGCATTTATTCAAGAATTTCTGTACTGCCCTATCATGAAATATCTGGGCGGTTTATAGCAATACAAATACATTTTTAAAAATAGAACTATCATTAAAGTGACTGGGTTTTTAAGAGGCACCTGAAAGTCAAAAGTGAGGATGCCTGCCAAATCTCTGATCAGAGATTGTTGACAGCATGGGACTTGCAACACTAAATGCCTAACTTATGGAGGATGCTAGTAAGGCTTCAGTAACTTGGGACAGTAGGTTCATTACAAGCATAATTGGCAAGTCAGTGACTTAAAACATCAAAAAGCTTTTAAATTCCAGCTAAAACATCTTTAAAAAATATCTGTTTGCAAAACCAGATTAAAAAGTATATGAGGAGACACATACTTTCCCTCTCATCTACCTCTGTATTTGTTCATATGAATGGAATTGTAGGATTGATGTTAAGCTCACAGGACCGTGTGCAGCAGGTGCAAGTGGCCAGAGGTAAGGAGGCTTTTTCTAGGCACATTAGTAGGAACAATAGTGCCCATGAAATCACTCTCCCATTCTCGATTCTTTTACAGCTTTGGTGGTTTATGGCTCAAAATAAATCAGTCCCACCTGAATGCCCTATGTTGGACATGGAAATGAAGTGTTTTGTTTTACACAGAGGATGCCAGATTAGAAAAGAACCTATTGTGCTTTTATTTAAATTAATGGCTTCATTCCTCAATCACTTAGGTGGAAAAAGTTGAATGTAAGTGCGAGCTCAAAGCTAATAAAATGATGAGAGCAGCTGCTAAAGATGTGCATAGGCTACGAGGCCAGAGTCGAAAGGAGCCTCTAGAGGTGCAGTCATTCAGGTAGGAAAATGCGTTGCAGATTTTGCTCAAATGCATGGATTACCCCTTTCATGTAGCTTCACTAACCAGCACCGTAAAAACCTTTGGCTGTAGAAACAAAGTAGTCATGCTCATATCATGGTCATCTTCTGATAATGAGTCACAACCTTGTACGGTGTTTTCTGAAAACAGACTCCTATTATGATGTCCTTATCTGGCAGTGACACAATACTGTCTTACTTGTCAGATCCCTTTGTTTTTAAATGAATGACCTACCTATAACATTCTGTAGCATGCTTATCAAATAGAAAACAGTGTGGGATTTGATAAAATGCCTTTTGTGGTAGCTATAGTTCAGTAAGATTTATTGTATTGAAATCTTTTGGCTTTGTTCACATGGAATGACAATTTCAAAAGTGTTTTGGAAGTATTACTGTAGGGCTTCTGTGAAGTTGTACATGACAAGGCATACATAGATTTTTTATTTTCTGACTGTTGAATAGTGAAGTCTTATTTTTTACTTTCATTAACAATTGATGTTTGTGTTTTGTAGAGAGAAAATGGCATTTTTCACGCGGCCGAGGATAAACATTCCTGCTCTCTCTGTGGATGATGTTTAATGTCTATTTAAGTATTTCTTTTCAAACCACTTCAGAAAAGTATAATTTTTGTTTCACTGAAGTTTATTTATGTGGTATTACAAAGGTACCAAGTCATTTGTATGTTGCAGCTCCATGTCCAGATTTTTCGCTTTCTCCATGTCATTGCAAACCCCACCATTAAAATGACTTGATTATATAGTTTGTATATTTAGCAATGTATTTTTGGGAAAGATTTTTTAAATACGAACAAATTCAGCTCAACATTTTTGTTTTAATAAATTCCATTTAGATGTTTTGTACAGCTCTACTTTTTTTAAAAGAGGTTTTACCACAATAAATTTGATTCTTGAGACAGCAAGAATTCTTTGATTCTTAAATATATCCCAGTTCTTATACAGCTAGCTTTTGCTAATTTAAATATTTTTGTACCCAACAGAAGAGGAAATAAGTTTTTTTAAAAAGAGCTGTAAATGAGTGCTCTGTGAGCTATGAAACACTTCGATTACTTTCCAAGTCATAAAAATGGGTGTGGAGTTCAAGATATCTACTGCACTTTAATTTGGAGATTGTTACTTCAGCTCATTATGTACTTGACCTATAAAAAGTTCCAAAGCTCAGTGAACCCATTTCTATATAGGGAGAGAGCTACATGGAACATATGCCCCTGTGAGACTTTCTGATGGCTGTGTTTTACTGAACAAAGAAAATAGAATCATGACCAACTAGCAGTCAAAAATAATTCCATCTTTTAAGGAAAATGACACTTGGTTTTTTATTTTATTTTATATTTCAAGTTGGTTTAAGCAAGCAAAGAAATGCTCATGAAATCCTAACACCTGATAAAGAGCTTTTACAAACAAGTATTTTGACCAAAATTTTCTATTAAATTCTAAGCAGTCTTTTGTGGGTTTCTTTAATCTAATCTCCCTTATTTTATTGATTGGAATAACTGATTTGGAGTGGGTTGCCTGTTGCTACTTTTGAAAACAGCTACTAAACAAAATACAATGAAGCCTTGTCTAGAAATACTGTAACCATGTCTAAAAGCCATAGTTTACCATATTGTTGTTAGTATTTGTGTATATATTTTCCTCAGCTTGTTCACCTTGGTTGGTAATGTGTTTATCTTGACTTGCGTGCACACACAAGCATTCTCTTGCTTACACTCTCACCTTTGCCTGTGTGTACACACACACACACACACACACACACACACACGGGGGGGGGGCATATATGCACGTATGCACAGACTATTCAGGCAGTATATTCTGGAGAAAGCTTTCAGCCTAGTGTGAGTCCTATATCCAGGCCTTATTCTGCTCCCTGTCACTGTGAGGTGTGGGAACAAATTGTGGTACGTATACTGTTTTTTAACATTAGTATATTGATGAACACTCAACTTTCAAAAATCACAGACATAAATTATTTAAGGATACCATGTGTGAATAAACACATGTGAGAGCTTTAAACTCAAACCATGTTGAATTATTTGGAATGTGATACCTGAACAGGTTCACACACTTTCTCCATCTTTCACCAGCACCACTCCCCCTCCCATTTCTCTACCTGTTGCCAACACAAGAATGAGAACAATGGGGATAGGAATACAAAGGCCTTAAAGGTCCACAAGCCAAGATGCACCTTCATGAGTAAAGTTGACGAGTGGTTTAAAACTGGAAGTCTCTTGAGATGTACATAGTTCTTTTTCATGTATAAAAACACTTTAATAGGCAAGCACTAAATGATTGACTTTATATCTATTTTAAATTTTTGTCAGGATTAACAGATTAAAATTGCTATAGAAATTTATATACCTAATCTCTGTCTCTTTTTCTGACCGTGTAAATGATGTTTCTGAATTGTATCAGTGCCTGCTGCTGAAGGTATAGATCTTTAAGACATGTTTCAAGCCACACTTTGAGTTGGGGAAGGAAGATGCTTCTCAGGGGCCAAGAAGCTGTGTAGGCCTTTGTTGTGTATAAAATTTTAAAATACAATTTGTGGATTATTTTTCTTTATTAATTTTGTTTTCATTGGATGCTTGCTAGAAATGGATATACAGTGGTACCTCAGGATGTGAACGGGATCCGTTCCGGAGCCCTGATCACATCCTGAAGCAAACATAACAAGCGACGGCGCGTCTGCACTTGCACAGATCGCACTTTGCTGCTTCCACGCATGCGCATGACGTCATTTTGAGCGTCTGCGCAACTCGAACGCGCTCAACCCGAAGCACATTCAGCCCGTTATGACTGTACTTATTTCCTTTAAGCACGTCAACCTGGATATTTTTTCCCCATTGCTATAATAGTTCCCAGAGCATGCTAAAATATTTTCCAAATTGCATCCTGATTTGTTTTTGACGTTTTATTGAGCTTAAAGGCCATGAAGAGTCAATTTAGAATTCCATCACTGTAAAGAAAGAGGGCAACAATATCTGATAATTACATTGCATGCTGTTACCTCATTGGGTCAAGTATTCACTCTGAAAAGGGAACTGGACCATCATCTCAGTAGAGAGCTTCACAGCTGGATAATAATAGAAAGGCAAATGGGCTTATGGGTACATCTTACCAGAGTGGATAGTACTGGATGTGGCTTTGACTCGTGAAGAAAATATTTTTATGTGTTCAACTCTATAGATTCTAGTAGTGACTATGAGATCCTTGCAGTTCATGGAGTCGCTAATCAGAAAATGCTTGTGTGTATGAAGCTATACCACAGCATATTTTGCATATAAAGGGGCACTTTAAAATATAGACCGGGAAGTGAAGTTATGTCCTCGAATTTGAAAAGGAACTAGTGACCATTAACAAAAACGGGGGCTGTGGGTTTGAATGCCGGTATTCCAGGTCCCAACACACTATAACCACTACACTACACGGGTTCTTCAGACACTAATCTGAGCCAGCAATATATATAGCATGCTTGCCATGCTATCTGTTTCTAGTGAGAATCATTTATAGTGCGAATCAGTTCCCCAGCAAGTGCCGCTGTGTTTATCCGTCCGGAACAATCTCGGGGTCGGCGTCTTCTCCCGCTCCGTGGCATCGCTGCGATACACACTCGCAATTCAAGAGACTGGATGCGCACAGGATGGCCCTCTTTTTTTTATTAGTCTTTTGTCTAGCAAGGAGGAACGATCCCTTGAATTAAAAACAATAATCATTTGGAAATTTGGTCCGTTGTGGGCGGGAAGTTTGCCGTTTTCTCCTCGCTCTGCTTGGCTTTTACGCGGATTTCGCTCAGGGGGGCTGGACAAAAAGACACCTTTGCCTTGGAAGAGCGGAGCGCGCAAACGGACCGGTAGAGGGGGCGCAAGAGCACGGAGCACCAGCACGGAGGCAAGACGGCTTTTTCTCCCGCTGCCTCTCTTGCCTGGAACTCACCATAGAGAACAGGAGTTCCGCTTCCGGTCCTGGTTTTCCTTTTGTCTGACCCGCGAGGATGGAGGTGCAGGTGGCTCAATGCGCGGAGCGGCTTCAGCGGCAGGTCAGAGGCGCGTGCGTCCTTCTCTTTTATGGGGCGCGGCTGGAAGGCGAAGAGGAGCGAGGGGCTCGGGGCGGCAGAGGCAAAGGGGGGGGGGGCCGGCGGCAGCGCGGAGCTGCTCGGAGGAGGCCGGGCGGCGGCGGCGGGAGGCGTTGCTTATTCTGCCGCCAGCGCGGCGCTTCTTTCTCTTTCGAGGCTCCCACATCAGCGCAGACCCCGCTTCTTCCCTCCTCCGTGCGAGCAAGGCGTGTGAGGCGTTCTCGCTTCGTCCTGGCTCCTTAGGGGGCAGGGTCGTTGGGTGAAACCTTGACGCCAGCAGAAATGATTAAAACGAGGGCTGCTCACCTGCCCTTTTCGCCAGCTAAGTTGCCCCCACCCTTGCACGCTTCTCTCGGGTCAACGTCTGAAGTGGGCAGGGCCCCTGCAGAGAGAGCAAGGGAGAGAGAGGTCGCGAGTGCATATTAGCTCTCATGGGCGGTACCTTGGGAAGCCCCCCTGTGTTGGAATTGGCAAAGCTAGGTTTCCTAAGGGCCTCTGCCCCGTCCTTTTTTTTTTCTTTTTTTTTTACAAGAAGAAAATTTCCCTGCCCTCACCCACCGATCAGTTATTTGTATTTTCGCACAACAGTGCAGTATAATTGAAGGTAACAACTGCTACGTTCTTGTTAAACCAAAACTAAATCTCAAAAAACCGGAATATATCCATTGCCTTGGGCACGCTTGGATGGAGACGCTGTCAATTTGTAAATGTACTAGTAGAAACTAAAATATCTGGAAAGTAAGCATTCCAAGACATGTAACAATTCTCTTTGTAAACCGGATACATGCAACAACTCTTGGCAGAAGGTGAATTGATTTTTTAAAAAATCCTTCGGTGCTTTTTTATACCATATTCCAAAGCTAAAGAGGCACATAGTTACATTTAATTTCTAGCATATGTGGGCATTTCTTAGAGAAAATTTCATTTACAGTAGGGTGCTGCTCATTACTAGCCTAACTTTTAGGTAGCTAAAAAAATAAATCTGAATCTGCTAATAGTAATTTTATTTCATAATAAATTTCTAATAACTATAATTTTGCCACATGAGACACTCTTCAGTCACAAGTTTAGGTGTGGTTAGCAATTTAATGAAATAGTTCATGAACTAGTTTTTGAGCTGGGGAACATGATGGGTAAGCCATGTGGAGACTTGTTCTTTTTTTGAAATGCAGGGCATGTTGTTTTGTTTGTGCTTCTAAAATAATTTCTGCCAGGTGTTTGAGAGAGGCAAACTGAAAGAGTAGATAACCTGCAACATTTTGAGGGCTACACTTCATAATAATTTTAGTAGTGGAAACTGTTCTTTCTGATTTTCATTACTTCAGCACTCAGGATAAACTTTATATGATAAAGTATTTATACACATACAATATATTGGGAGGTCCTAGAAGGTCTAGGCTGCAAAAGGAAACAACAGAGCAGGTTTGTTGAGAGAAAGGGACTGATGGCTTTTGTTTCTTCCACAGCGTAGTTTCGTGTGGCACTTTCATTTCTCAGGCAGTTGTATTCCTAGGATGATAAGACAAAATATTTTTGATGCTGCCTTTGATTTGTATCCAAATTTGATAAGGGGTGAAGGTAAACATATTCAGTAATCAGCCAAAGCAGGCAAACTGTCTCTGATGTCGGGGTACTTTGCATTCAGTTCTGGTTTCTTAGTTTTCCCCATAAAAGAGGAAGCATGGTAGGACCTTTTGAATAAAATAATACTGATACGTAACAATAGGTTCTAATCACTCAGGTGGTGGTGAAACTCATAATGGATTATCTTTGCTCCATTCAATCAGTTCTGCTTGCACTACACAGAACAAGCCTACATTTAATGGAAATCTTAGATGATATGGTTATTATATGAATATCACAATCAGCAATGTTTATCTACTGTATATGTTGCTAGATAAAGTTCTATAATATCAGATTTTTAATGAAAAGCTAATGTCATTATGTTCTACCAGTCTTCCCTTAGGGATTGGTTGTTGAATTTGTTGCTACTAATTTTTAACAGTGTAGTTAGTTTAATTATGGATAATAAACACTAAAGATTAAATTTTGATGCAATCCCTATCATATATTACCATAGGGTAAGAAAGAGTAGGTTATATACTACTGGTTCTATTTTGCATCCTAGGAAAAGGAAATCAAGTTTCTGACTGCAGAAGTTGATCGTTTGAAAAACTATGGATGTTTGGGAGTTTCCCCAAATTTGGAAGGGTTGCGGGAAGAGAACGCAAAACTTAAATATCGCTTAAATGTTCTACAAAAGGTATGTTCCCTTTCTGAATAGTGTGAAGTGTGCAAAAAGTAAACGAATGGTCATGACTGTCGTGATTCTCAAAATTATCATTTGTCATTGTGAAGAGAATGAGAAAATGTGATTAACGCAGGAGAGATTCCCCCCCCTTACTGTTGAAATCATTCTTCCTTTGAAATTTGTGCAGTATTGTTCTGTTTTACTGATACGTTGACCCTTAAGAAGCTCGTTTTAAAATGTTATGAAGAACCTAAAATAGTTAATTACACAGAAATGCATTTCTCTGTTTGATTATGTTGTCTAGGGCTGGGCAATAACCTGGTTTTAAACATTGCAATATATCACTAGCTAAACATTGTGATATATCAATATATCACAATGTCTGAAATAAGGATGAAGCTATGTAGAGGCATTAGCTGGCTTCACTGTTTTCCTCACATTGTGATTTTCCCATAACACACACACACACACTGCCACGTCAAAAATTATGAAACTGATACCACAATATGGACTTCAGACCAGTTTTGAACAATATATCGCCCAGCCCTAATTGTCAGTATTCTTGTTCTTTGACCTGGGATGCATCTACACCAGCTGTTTCCCCCAGCGTACATCCAAGGAACAAGAATGCCTGGATAGGTTAGTTAGCTAGAGTATGATGCTGATAATACCAAGGTTGCAGCTTCAGTCTCCATATGGGACAGCTGCATATTCCTGCATTGGAGGAGGAGGAGTTTAGATTTGATATCCCTCCTTTCACTCCCCTTCAGGAGTCTCAAAGCGGCTAACATTCTCCTTTCCCTTCCTCCCCCACAACAAACACTCTGTGAGGTGAGTGGGGCTGAGAGACTTCAGAGAAGTGTGACTGGCCCAAGGTCACCCAGCAGCTGCATGTGGAGGAGCGGAGATGCGAACCCGGTTCCCCAGATTACGAGTCTATCGCTCTTAACCACTACACCACACCACACTGGCTCCCCCATTGCAGGGGGTTGGACTCATAGCTGTCAACGTTTCCCTTTTTTTAAGGGAAATTCCCTTATTCCGAATAGGATTCCTCACAAGAAAAGGGAAAAGTTGACAGCTATGGTTGGACTACATGATCCTCAGGATCCCTTCCAACTGTACAATTTTTTGATTCTAAGAGTGAGAGGCTGCACTTCATCCTGGTAGAGTCTCTGGTGCTGTAAATTAGGGCTGTACTTTTGCGTACATCTGGCTGGGGGTAGTCAAGGAACATTCTGCCCTCCCCAAATCTAGCAATTCTGCTCAGGGAAAAAGAGAGTTGCAATCTGCTTTTTAAAGTGGCAGGTTTTCTTTACACCACCACAAGTCTACTTGTAAACAAATGACTGTTTGCAATAATATTTCTTGAACATGAAAACCTTCTGCCTGCTACTTTCTCACACAGCAGGCTTTTGAAGCTGTGACAATCTTCATTCTCTTTAGCAGGGTATTTTATTTACAAATCATTTCTGTGTATGCAGCTATTTTATTGTTGTACTCTGAGCACATAAAGAGAGCATGTCTCCCTTTATTCTAGGTAAAAATAGATGGAAACTGACACAGCCATCGGGGTTTGCTAATCTTGGTTCACATGAAGTCTGATACATTTTGTAAGCAGTGCAAAGCATTCCTTTGCCCGTCAGCTGGAAGAAGTTGTGTTTCTGTAAAAAGCAGATTAGGATTTATGTGTGTTTGTGTTTACACACACATTTCATTTTAATCATGAACTATGTTTAGGGTCCTTGAATTGAGATGCACTGTTCCAATGGGCTCCTCAATCTGATGGATGGATAATTAGATTTGTGTTTTCATTTAGAGCCTTCAGGAAGAAAGGAGTAGAAGCAAGCCATCAAAAGGCATGATTAACATCAATAGTCGCCTTCAAGACATTTTTGGAGTGGCTATTAAAGCTGCGTATCCAGATCTGGAAAATCCTCCACTGTTGGTGACACCAAGTCAGCAGTCCAAGTTTGGTGACTATCAGTGCAACAGTGCTATGAGCATAACCCAGGTAATTCATAATGTGAGAATTTGTCGTTGTTCTCTAGTGCTGTATCCAAACAGCACAAAGCCACCCAGCTGAAAATATACATTGCTCAGCTTTGTGATAATGTTGTAGTTTGAGTGGAACAGGGAAAACCATCCACTCTATATCAGCCTCTCAATTTCTCAGGGAAATCTACCCTACAGTTGAGGAATCTTTTGTTGCACTCTTCTATTGTTTACATTGCCACATTTAAATGAACACAGTACACAGCAGACAAGTATTAAAGCATTTAAAATGAAGAAAATCAAGTCACATGCAAACATGAAAAATCATCAAAACTATGGGTTTTCAGTGCTGCACCAATGGGGTTCTGCTGGTGCAACAGGATTTCCATTCATCTGTATACCCCAAAAATCTGCTCCAGAGGGTCCCCCAATCTTTGGGAACTGATCTTGAGAACAGGCTGGAGGGAATGTGACAGGAAGCTCCATTATTCAAGCAGAGCTGCAGCGTTGGCTCAACCCTGGAAGGATTACATATCATTTGTGGAAAAGCCAATATAATTTTGCCTCTGGGGCCCTCCAGATGTTGCTGGACTACAGCTTGCATAATTGCTGCTGGCCATACTAACTTATTCCCCTCCCCATTTAGGGGGAAAAAATACATGTTTTTTTTAAAAAATGGTTTAATTTTGGCTTAACACTTTCTAGAATCTTACTCATTTGTATTAATATGAAGCAGTGATTTTCATTTTTGTAAACTGTCCTGAGTAATGACCTGTATTTCCATATAAACAAATAAAATAACAGCAAGCTAAATCCTGAACTACAGAACAGCTACCTTTTAAAAAAAAACCACCTCTAAAATCCTTACCAGTATAGTTTCCCCCTTTGATTTAAAAATCAATGTAAGTTTGCAGTGGAAGTTGGACTTCTTGTCACATCCCTTGGAGGATGGTAAAGTTGCTAAGCAAATTGGCCTGGCAGAGATCTCTTTCCAAACAATACTGTTACGTGCCAGCCGGCAGCCTCTCGGCATGAACTTCTTTTGGAGAAACAGCTCCACAAATGTGTGTTCTTTTCTTCATAGAGCTCATTAGCATATGCACTTGGGTGTCAGCCAGCCCAACACAAGCTTGCAGTGCCTTTTTAAAATATTTTTGACCGCTGCTTTACCCCAATTAAGTCACTCTTAGGAGTCTTGTCTGGTGCAGGTTTCTCAATGTCTGTATTGTTTGTATTCCTTGATATCATAAGGCCTCCCCTCCCTCCCCACAACTTTTGACAGCCCCTCCAGAGATCGGCATGGACACAAGCTGCTTTATGGAATGTCTCCACCCTGATGCACTTTTTGAGCTCTCTCTCTGCCAGCCTTGACACCCAAGACATGTCGCTGCTTACTTTGTGCAGTTTTGCAAGTGCTAGATGTTTGCTTGGCTGATCGTTACTTTCATTGAAATTGATTTCAGTAAACATACCCCCCTGCCCCGGCCATTTTCCAGACACTAAATTTGTTTTGAAATAGTATCTGTTCCTTAAAAAAAAGGAATCTCCCACACACCCATGCACCCACCTCCACACACTTTCCAGCCATCAAAAAATATTTTTCATCCCAAGTGAAGCAATGAAATTTTTGTTCTGTATCAATCATTCTGGACACCAGCCATTTGGAAACTCCTGCTTTTATCTTTAGCTCCTGCTCCACGTGAATGAACAGTTTCTTGATGTATCGTGCAACATTTTTCAGAACACTCAGCACTTGACAAACAGCAAACATGTGGAAGCAGAATTCTAAAAGGTGAAGGGAGAGAGCTGTTTGTGTATGCGGGCGGGAGGGAGGGAAAGCAAAGGAGAAAGCAAGCAATATATCTCTAAAACTAATAGCCGCCTAGCCCCTCCAGCTGAGAGTGCAAGCACAATATGCTAATGAGCATGTACAAAGACAAAACACATTTGTGACAGCTTTCCACATTGGCAGGGCACATGGAGAGACTGTCGCCTGGCACGTACGCTCTTGCCATTTTTTGAGGATTGCTTTCTGAAGCCAAGCAATACATCAGAGAGAGAGAGTACTTGCCATAGAAAGACTACTTATTAGAAAGGAAACCTAGAATCACCTACATTTTGCCATGGAAGACCATCTGGCTGTTGTCCTTCTCCAATACCAATTCCTTTCATAAAGATCAGTGGGTTCCTCCCTTTTGAATGTGTAGAACAGCTTTTGCAGTGTGGTGCCCTCTAGGATGTTTCGGAATGCAACTCCCACCAGCCCAGCCAAAATCTGTAGGACACCAGGTTGGGAAAGGCCAGTGTAAAAGTCATCTGTAATGAGTTATGCATCTCAAAAGATGCATACTCAGAAGAATCATTTGAATTGCTCTGGCTTACATGTGGCAGATGTGGAATTGGCAACTGTCTGCTGCTCCCATTTCCTCTGACAGGAAATGGCAACAAAGGACCACACATATGCTTGAATAACAGTAGGGTCCTAGGGTATTTATTCAGTTTGTGATTGCCTCTGCTATATTTACCCAGTGGGATTTTCCAGGCAGGCTGGTTTCTTGACAGATTCCTGTGAAAAGGGAATTCCGTTTTCATCACAGCTGCTCAAATGATATGAGCTTGTAGAGCTTTGCCTCAGGTTCTCTGTGTTCTCCTCAGTCAGGGATTGCGCTGAGACCTCTTGCTGTGTCTTTCAGATACTGCTCAAAACCAAGGAGCAAAAAGTGAGCCCGAGAGAAATAGCTGATAAGATTGCCAGAAACATTCCTGACAATGAATGCATCGCAAAGATTGAAATCGCCGGTCCTGGTACAGTTACTCTGTTTTTACTTTTCTGGGACATCTCAATCTAATGTTATGAAGTATTATGATGAAATGACTCAGTAGAATTCTGAGTCCTTTAGAGATGAACTATAGGAGGATAAGGGGAATCCTCTCCTTAAGCTTGATGCCTGTTCACCCTACCAGGAATTCTGACGTGTACCCCTGTGACATTCTGGCTTCCATAGGCAGAGGAGTACAGTCGTACCTTGGAAGTAGAACAGAATCCATTCCGTAAGTCCATTCGACTTCCAAAATGTTTGAAAACCAAAGTGCAGCCTCTGATTGGCTGCAGGAAGCTCCTGCGGCCAATCGGAAGCTGCGGAAGCCCTGTCAAGTGTTTGGCTTCCAAAAGAACCTTCGAAAACCGGAACACTCACTTCCAGTTTTTGATCGTTCGGGAGCCGGAATGTTCGATTCCCAAGGTGTTCAGGAGCCGAGGTACGACTGTACTCAGTTGGGCATTTATTAGGAAGGTTGCACCGAGTGATAATTCTCTGTGAGTTTCAGCTTGGTATTTGTGACAGTTGGGAAGCATTTTATTTAGCTCTGCGGTTAAAAATGAATGTGGCTCTTTCAGCGAGGTTAGCAGCAATTTAAATGAAGAAGTTTTGGAGAGAAATTAAAATAATCTTCCCTATATAAATATTATTATTCTACTTAATCATATACATTACCTGAGTGCTTGCAAAATAAAGAAGAAACTTTATTGAAACCCAGTGCCCCTCAGTGAAAGTGATGCTCCTAGCAAACTAATTGCTGACCAAGGCTGCTTACAGGACAGCATCTGTTGTCTGGACAATTGGCTTCTGTTATTTATTGATCAAAACCAATGGCACTTTGTCCTTGTATCATTATCAAATTGATTTTTTCCCTGTCACTGCAAATGAGTTGCCCTGTTATGGGTAATTATGCAATACTGTGTTTTTAGCAAAGTATGTGCTCTGTGCAAAAGAAATCAAGGCTCAGGAATCATTTTCACTTTTTATGCTTTTCTGAAGGTTTCATTAATGTGCACTTGAAAAAGGATTTTGTATCTAAACAACTAAGCAGTATGCTGGTGAATGGAGTTCAGCTGCCTGCTCTTGGTGAAAGGAAGAAGGTATGACAGTAAATGGTTAACTGGGTCTTTTCTTAGGTACTGCTGCTTAATGTTCAAGGCAAAGTGTGCATTTGCAGATAAACTATTTCAGTTGTTTAATATGCACTCAGTCTGCAGACACCGCAAGAGCAGGGTTCCAGAGCCCCACATGGCATGTTCCGTGCCCTTCTTAGGGTCAGGGGTGGCAGTTTGCAGCCATTCCTTACCTCCACCCCACCCACCCCGGTCTTGTTAGCGTTGAAGTGTTTTATGTGAATGGGCGTCTTTGGTGTTCTAATGTTTGACAGATGTAAAAGGAGACATTTTGAGTTGTGTTCTGTAGAGTGCCAAGGATTCTCATTGAATGTTCTCCCCTGCACATCTGCTACAGGAGAGGCAGAAAGTCAGAAAGTCCCATTGCTTAGTCCTAATATTTAGTTGAATTGACTCCCTTCATTTTTTTATTTTATTTTTTTATTTCTTTGACAAGTTCTGTGAATCAACTTTTAGTTTTTTGTTTGTTCAACACTTTTGACACCTTGTGAAGCGGTCAGTGGCCCAGTTTGCAGATAATGCTAAGCGTGCATACGCAGGCTCCTGGAGAAAGAATTGCAGCAACCATGCTCCTCTCCTGATGGTGTTGCTCTGCTACCCAGTGCTAAGCTATGGTTTGACATATCATTACATCCAAGCCAAGATCTGTGTTTTTTGCCTCTCAAATAAATCATGAGTTGTAAACCAAGAACAAACTTTGGTTACAGCTCATGGTTTGTCTGGAGCATGACAAGTCGCAAGCCTGGGTTTGGATAGGGCCCAGATAGCATGAGAGCGAGCAGCAGAATTAAGGGAGGAGTGAAGCAGCTGTAATCTTCCCTCCAGAAGCCTGCATGTTTCCCCGCTCATGCTAAGCCATGGTTTGGCTTGGTGTTATGTGTGAGCCAGGTCAGTTGGGTGCACGGTGAGTGTAAGCACCAGCTGCCATGTAGAACTTGCACAAACGAGCAGCGTAAACAGGACTTTATATATTACCTTGTCGGTGTGGATAGTATCTGAAGGTGTCCATAACTGAACAGCGTGAACAAAATACTCACTATTTGGCTCACTTAGGCCCTGTGCATATGCAGTACTCGGTGCAGGAAGTCATTCAACATCACTTGGAGATTATGTTTAACGAGCGCATAATATGCGCAATTCTCTTCATGCTTCCCACAATAACCAGTGAATGTGTACAACAGCCAGTGTTTATGTGCATTTCCTAATTGCAGATATATATAAATGATGCTTCTTTGAAAAAATACTTTGCACTGTTTATAATGCGCATATTTTTCATTTCTTGTCCTACATAAAGGTGGTGATTGACTTCTCCTCCCCTAATATTGCAAAAGAGATGCATGTAGGTCACCTGAGATCAACTATAATTGGGGAGAGCATGTGCCGCCTCTTTGAGTTTGTGGGGTTCGATGTACTAAGGTAAGTCCAGCCATGGTAGAATTGCATAAATGCTCAAAATGTATATGGGCACATGCTTTCATGTCTCTTGACAATGTGGATTCTCAGTAATTGCCTATACAGCAGTGTTGCTATGTTCCATGGAAGTGCTATTCCTTTATGAAAATCACTGCAGAACCCTATGTTTTGAACCCTGCACACATCCACCATCCTTTAATTAACCTTACTTTTCCTTCTAGAACTCTTTCAGAACCCCCCCTTTTTTCTCAGAGCCTCTCAGGGTGCCAAGCAGGGCTGGCCACACCTCTTGTGGTGTAGCTGCAAAGTATCTGGGAACCCTGCACAAGGGATTTTGACAGGGTTGTCCCACCCACCTGTCAAATTTGGCCTGTGGGGTGGGGCCAGATAGAGATCTGCCCCCACCCAGTTCCCCACCTTTGGCTTGAATGCATCCAACTTGCCCTTTACCTACTGTCCTTGACATTTGACATACACCATACAACATGGCACTGAGATCTAACTTGATTTGAATGTCAATGCAAGTTGCTTCCTAATTATAGCCTGGAGTCACCTATCTTCTGCATTTCACTCCACAAACATCTTAAAGCTTCAAAGGAGAACAACGGTCTCCATCCTGTAGTAGATATAACTTTACTGCAACAAATTTGCCTAATTAATTTAGAAAATTAAATCACCTTCCAACTTGTTTTTTAGGAAAGGATGGTGTATGAGTTGCACAATAAATTATGCCCATAATCCCCAAACAAACCACATACATGATTTTTAAATATTTTTTTAGCAGTCCATTTCCTTCACAGGAGCACTTCAGAACAAGCCTTGTATCTTATCCACAGCTCTATTCAGAAGATATTTCAGTTCTGCTTACAGTCTCACTTGTTTTGTGATCTTTACTGTCTAGATTAAACCATTTAGGAGATTGGGGTACCCAGTTTGGCATGCTTATTGCTCACCTGCAAGATAAATTCCCAGACTATCTGACTGTTTCTCCTCCCATTGGAGATCTCCAAGCTTTTTATAAGGTATGTTTTATTTCAGATATATGGTTACCCCTCCTGTTGTTGTTGTTGTTGCTGCTGCTGCTTAACATTGCTCAGAGGTGAGTTGGCTAACTTGTGGCCCTCCAGATGTTGCCCTACCCCTGGCCATGCTGCTGATGGGGCTGTGGTGCAACGACCTCTGGAGAACCACAAGTTAGCCACCCGTGGATGAGAGGATACTAATAGCACTTGAAAATGTATACATCCTGCCTGAGGGTTTTGCTCTTGGTAAGACCAGAAGGAAGTACTGGTTGAGGGAAGGTTTAGAGCACTTAACAAAATAAAAAATCAAATGGCAGCCATTTCCATGGAGGAATTTGAAGGAAGTCTGCATGAACTATGGTTGCAATCTATGCTTAGCTGTCTTGTAAACGTCTACAAAAACGTATTTTGCTGTAAGACTTTCATAATGATTGAAGTGAGTCAGTGCAGAGACTTAGGATGAGAGAATGTTTAGTAACAAACAGTGGGTGAAATCAAATATTGTACAAGCTGAAGTAACAGCACTACCTCCTTCCTCTCCTATTCCCCCCATCCCCTGCAGCTTCTGTGCTCTCCCAGGTCTGCCCCAGCCATCCAGAGCAGATTGTGGAGACTACAGCAGATAGAAGAGGAAAAAGTAGTTCCACTGTGTGAACAGTTTGATGTCAACTAATATTGCAAATGTTTTAATCTTCTGAAACTTCCATGCATCGTAACCCTCCTTATTGAAACAAAGGCAGTTTATATAAAGATTGGACTAATTGCTGAGTCACCTTTTTGAAAAGGGTAAAATAAATATACAAACAGATTCTGTATACTCATTCCTGATGGCTTAAAAAGCCCAATCCAGGATCTGCATGCACAAATCCACATGGATTTGATACTGTTCATCACCTATTTCTAGAGGGGGTAAGAGGGCAACAGTATTGGATCAAATTCTGCTCTTGATCAAATCGTTGACAGCATTAAGCATAATTCTTGATTATCAATTTATCTTGAGAATTTATAAAATGAGAGTTGCTGGGATGCAGGGCTCTTCGGTGATGACTAATTCTTCAGTTAGTTCTCCTTGGAAACTTGGAGAATCCTCTCCAGATACTGCACAACAATTTATATGTGCTAATACATGGAGAGGTTCAGGCTGCTGTTGGTGGATGTTCCCCTGGGATATTAATGACAAGCATTAGGCGACTCAATATTGTCTATTTGATCTGTTTCGACCATTAAAAATATTTCTCTTTACTATTTATTACCTGTGCTTTTGTTTGATTTGTTTTAGTATATTGTGCAGGATATTGTTTCATGGTGTCTGTATTCTTCTTAACCTAGGAATCTAAGAGAAGATTTGACACAGAAGAGGAGTTTAAGAAGCACGCATACCGATGTGTGGTGCTATTACAGAGCAAAAATCCAGATTTCATTAAAGCTTGGAAACTTATATGTGATGTGTCCCGGAAAGGTGACTAGGAATTATGCTACCTCTATCTTTTAAGGATCCGCCTCTTTTTCAAGTGGACCACTTTCGGCAGTTTTGGATGATGAGGATTATTATTAGTGTTGTTGTTGAAGCCCTGTAAAAAGACTGGGATTTGAGGGTGATAGTTTCAGGAGTCACAACAAAGAGCTTGTGGCACCTTTGTTTTGACAAAATCTTTTCTAAACTAGATGCATGGAGTGAGAACCTCAGGTGCTTTTGTGTGTGTGTTTCTGTATGTGCGCACACAAATATACATATATAGGTGTGAAGGAAAACAAATTTAAAAGTTGTAGCTGAATGGCAATGCAAAAAGTACAGTTAGCGTTTAGATGTGTTCAGATTGATTCTTTAGAGCAGCATTTTAGTAGTAGTGAACAAACATGACCTAGCAAGGCTGTTCTAAAGCCAGTACCTCAATTTCCTTATTTTACTATGATGTTGATGATGCATTATATGAAGTAAATGAAAGGGCTCAAAATTCCTCATTTCACTCTTTCTTGGTCAGAGTTCCAAAAAATCTATGATTGCTTGGATGTCACCATAATAGAGAGAGGAGAATCTTATTATCAAGATAAGATGAATGATATCGTGAAGGAGTTTGAAGAAGGAGGTAACACAACTATTTGCAGAACGGGCAATTAAATTCCTCAAGACTGTTTTTCACCATAGTACAATGGGTTTCTAAAGCTCTTTGATAAGCTTGTATTTTACCATAGAAGTGGGGAATCCTTACCACTACCACCCAAGAACCACAGTCCTTTAGAAATAGTGTGCTGGGGGGAGGGTGGTCGCATGGCAGTGACACAGTCCCATCCATTCAAACATATCCCATGAATCCATTCTTGCTTGTGCATGCACACACACAGAGACTCTCTTTCCTACAATTTGCCTTGGGAGAAAACTTCTCATTTGCTCCAATAGCAGGGCTCTGGATCTGGTTAGGGATCCTGAGGCAGAGAGGCTTTAACACTTTGCTTACTGCTGTAGTCCAAAAGTAGATAATGGCCCTGCAGCTGCTGTTAGCTTTAAGGAAAAAAACTCCCATTGAAGCAAGTTGAAGTTCTTCCAAATGCAAATTACAGGTGGCTGATCCAGATTAGGCAGGCTCTCAGGAGGCAGCAAAAGGTTAAAGCTTCCAGATCAGGAATCAACATGGGCTTCTGCTTCCCTAGTTTCCATGCTAGCAAGGAAGGAAGAAAAGCCCTCATTCTGCAGCCAGCATGAAAGCTGAGGAGTAGAGGCCCCAGGGACCAGATGGAAGTGCTGCAAAGTGGGAACGAAAGGTTATTCAAAAGATGGCACTGTGCATTTGGAAAGATAATGTTTGACCACCGAACTACATGCAAATGCTGCAGCAGGGGCACTTATGGAAAGAACTTCTCAGCAAGAGGAGAGATCCTAAAGTCTACTACTTGCCCTCCTCACTACCACCACCCTCCAGGCTGTGTTTACTGTTTTCTTTTGCTTAACCAGCCTCTGAAACCAGCTATGAGGAAATGACCCAGAGGTGGATGAGCTCTGCTGGAGAGAACTGGCAGGTGCAAAATCTTTTTAAACACTCATCCCTCCTGCCAGTTCTCACTAGCAGGTTCCCCTCAGCGCCCACATTTGTGTTATCTTGGCAAATGTAGGTATGGAAAAAAGCACATCCCAGGAGAATGTGTAGGTTCTAACTCTGTATACCTGCTGTCATGGCATTTTGTAGCATGACAAAATAGGTTGGTTGTTAAGTGTTCTTCATTGAAAAGTTTTGTATTTGTGTTTTTATTTGTACATTACTGTGTAAAAATACCTTTCTTTCCAAACCTTATTTCTCATTCATTTATTTCTACCCTTAGGATTTGTGCAAGTGGATGATGGTCGGAAGATTGTATTTGTTCCAGGGTATTCCGTTCCCTTGACAATTGTGAAATCTGATGGGGGGTTCACATATGACACTTCAGACTTGGCAGCATTGAAACAGAGACTGTTTGAAGAAAAAGCTGATTATATAATTTATGTGGTAGATAGTGGACAGGTGAGTTTCACTGACCTTTATTTTGTAGTCCTTTGTTTTTCAGGTTTTTAGCTTTTTGAGTGTTGGTGTGACACTAAAACTATTCTTCTCTTTCTAGTTGCTTCTCCTTTGTCTTAAAACAGGATTCTGAATCATAATAAATTACATCCACCCCATATTTTAAGCCTACAGATCAAGCCACCTTATTCACAGTACTGTAAAGGGCAGAAGCATTTATATATATATTTAAAGAAAAAACCTCAAAGTAGTTAACAGCACATTAAAACATTAAAAACAACACTATCCAGAATACAATATTATTGAAGAAAGTAAAATACAAAGTATGCATCCAGAGTCACAGAATTAACCGGTAACTAAAATGCTATCTTAAATATTTCCAAAGAAAATATTACAAAGGAGGTCGGCTACAGAATGCACATTTAATGTAGCAAAGTTAACACATGTGGAGTTTGGAATGCCATCTACCAGGGAGTCTTTAGTTATGGTTTCTGCATTACAGGGGGCTGGGCTCGATGGCCCTGAGTGTCCCTTCCAGTTTGACATTTCTATTATTATGTTAGTGCTGGTGCTTTACCATCAGTTGCTTTAATGACGTGTTGCTTTGCAGGCTGTGCACTTACAAACCATATTTGCAGCGGGTCAGATGATCGGCTGGTATGACCCCAAAGTGACCAGAGTAACTCATGCTGCTTTTGGAGTGGTGTTGGGAGAAGACAAGTAAGTTTGCAGATAATTTCTTCAGTATACAGTAGACTGAATTGTGTTGCTGTTCACAGACTGGAAAGCTCAGGATTCTTTTCTGTTAAAGATGTGTCATGTGATCACCAAGGAACTCCTTATGTGCATTGGCTTTGTACTTCAAATCTTCTATCCTTGTGTTTATGTAAGAGCACCCCATAGGCTGCACATTAGAAATTCCAGGCTTCCTGCCTTCTAGCTGCAGCTCCTTGTGCTGCTTCAGAAACGAGTCCAGAGCATTTCCCACCTAAAGTGTCTCCTGGGTGTGTGTGTGCAAGGAACATGGTAGTTATGGTAGAAAGTGTGCCTCTTTAGGTTCCGTACACAGACTTCGGCAACCCTTGCAGCTCTTGTAGATTCTGATTGTTGTGCATTGCTATAGTTATTGAAAAATGCAATGTTAAGAATAGATAAATCCTTCAGTGAATGTGGGTCTCAATGCTAACATAATCATGTAGGAATAATGTCATGCATTGTATTGGTTGTTCACTTCTGGTCAACATGTAGATAACTTGTAGATAATAGCAAATATGTTCCTGAAATCAGAAATTTTACTATAGGACTTAACAGGATGGTGTTTTGTGCTATTGAATAACTGGACTCATCTGTTGCATTACTGGTTCCCAAACTTTTCATTGTGAGTGCCTCTCTGGGCCTAACTCTTTTTCTGTCGTTTGAGCTTGAAATCATGTACCAAATCAGTTTGTTGAGTTTTTCTTATTTGTCGGCACACTTCACATTTAGAGAATAGCCATTACTATTCCAGCGTTACCTTCATTTTGCACTTTTCTCGTTAGGTGTATGGCACTGCATCCTCACTGCAACCTAGTGGCCCATTGTAAATATACATGCTTCTTTGATGTACATTCGGAAGCTTCACTGCTATGTTACAACATCATATATTGGTTTACATCTGTTCCCTTGTTTCTAATGGTTATAATGAAAGAACAGCTGTGCAATCTCTTTCTTGATATGCATGTCAGGATTCTGCTGTCTGTGCTGGAAATTGGAAATTTGTGCAACTATATCTGCCCATTACACATTATGCACTTTTAATGGGTATTATTATCTGTTTTGGTAGCAATCACAAGTTAGGTAGTACTCAAGAGCAGGTAGCAGTGTACTGTTTTGCTTTGGGAACACTTGCTACTTCTGCCTTCCCCTTTTTATAACTGACTGTACCCAATCCTTCCTGGGGCTGTGGTGATCTTTCCTCTCTCTTTTTCCTTATCTAAATACATTCTGTCTCCCTATATTAGTTGGATTATAATCCTGCTGAATTGTAATGGTTTGAGTGTGGCCACAAATTTAAAATCTATGTAGTTCAGTGATGGAGTGCTTGAGCTGAAACAAAATATTTATTGTATCTTTCATGCAACAAGGTGTGTGTCTGGGATAATATATCTATGTTGGTGAAAAGACCAGCAGTAGTTTCACTGTTTGACTGTTTTCATCTGGAGTAAAACTTTCTACTTGAAAATGAGTTGTCTACTTAGAAAAGCCACAATTTCCATCTTTTGTTGCCAGAAAAAAATTTAAAACCCGTTCTGGAGATACGGTACGGCTGATTGACCTTCTTCAAGAGGGACTTAAGCGTTCAATGGACAAACTGAAGGAAAAGGAAAGAGATAAGGTAACAATGGGCTTCCTTTTTTCAGTGTCAAGAAAGTAGACTTTATTCTTCTTCTATAGGGTTCTTGTAAGGGAGCATGTTGCTGGCTTGTAGCACAAACCCAACCCAAGACCTGCCGGGGTTAAGAGTTCAACAGATCTTGTCCTTTCCCAGTTATGGAAGCTTAAGTCCTTCACCCGAGCTCATCTGGCAGAATTTAAGACAGTAGGACAGAACAAGGAGATAATTACTCAATTGGATCATGTGACTTAGCAACCCAGTGCAATTTAGTCAGCAAAAAGGGTAGTATAAGTGAAATTCTTCTGGGGAAGTTTGGAATAGGCATGTTACGCCAGCTTTCTAAAGATATGATTGCTCTGTTAGTCTGTCCACATATTTGTCTAGCCTCATCATATGATGGCAGTGAATTTGCTGTGTTGCCAATAGTACTTTTCCCTGACTTTGTCCGGGGAGTTGACCTCACTGCTTAGTGTTAGGAGAAAGCTGTTCAAATCTCTCCGAAGTGAAATAGGGTAGCATAGACAGTTGGTGTTCATTCTCGTTCCTACAAATTCATGTGATATATTCTGTACTTAACTATACAGAGCCCCAAAAGCCTGTGCACCCAAGCAACTTTGAAAATGTATATGAAAAGTAAGTCTGTGGGGAAATGAGCAGAAAGATTTGTTTTCAGTGGTATTGACTGCAGACACTGTCTTCTGTGGATGTCTGGATCCTGTTAGGATTACAGGATAAATGAGAAGTAACAGAATTGAAAGAATGCAGCTGACTAGCAAAACGTGTGTGTGTGTGTGTGTGCGCGCGCGCGCGCGCGCAGAACTTTCCATCAACATGAATATGACATTTTATTTCGCAGTGCCAGTGTTATTACTTAAAAGCAAAGAGAAGAAAGATGGGGTCTGATCTTGATAATTTCTTTTTGAATTAGGTTAGCTTTGGATTTTTCTCATGGAAATAGGTTAAAGTAATGAATCCATGTTATTTGTCTAACTTGCAGCACTCACAATTGTGCTGCAAAACACCAAATATAATTTGGGGGGTAATAGGTCAATTACCATAATAGCTAAAAGTGGAACCACCTATAGGAGAGCATGTGTACCTCTGCTCAACAGAACCAGTGTACAAAACATGGTTGGTTATTACATTATGCTTATTTGAGAGTTTCCCAGGGGAATCTTCCAGAGGATTAGGTAGATTACATGAGCTCTTGACCAGGGGTGGGGAGTCTGTGGCCTTCAATACGTGATTGAATTACAGCTCCCATCAGCTTTAGGAGCTGTGGCCAATGTTTAGAAATATTAGAGTGCACTACAGTCTTAACCACAAGGGCCACAAGTTCTCTATATTTGCCTTGGACTTTTTCAAGCTTCACGTTTTAAGAATATTGAATTTAAAACATGAAAATAAAAGCCCCGCCCGCCCCCAAACTGTGTCGCTTGAACTTTTTATCTGGTCCACAAAGTAAATCTTATTTGCATTCCAGTAGATGGCAGCAGAGGATAAAATGACAGGTTAGTAGATCAGTTTGTGTGTGGCTTCTGCATGGGGCATCAGCTTCATTTGCTCAGAATAAAATTGTCCCAAAGCTCTAGAAATCACTGGTCACCTTGCCAGGGGCTGTGTAATTGCTACCACTTCCATGGCTGGTCTCATACTCTGTGAATGTATCAAGCTTCTGCTCAAATGATTTCAGCTGTTCAGAATATGTTTGCCTTGGGTTCACTTCAGTTGCTGTTCAGTCTAGGTTTCCCCAGTTCTGTCCCCTGGTTTTTTGGTGCAGCCTTGTCACAATATGTGTTTTATTTCTCTCACAGGTTCTTACTCCTGAAGAACTGAAGGCAGCTCAGACCTCAGTTGCCTTTGGCTGCATTAAGTATGCAGATCTTTCCCATAACAGAATAAATGATTATATCTTCTCTTTTGACAAAATGCTTGACGACAGAGGAAATACTGCTGCTTATTTGCTGTATGCCTTCACGCGAATCAGGTAAAGAAATTGCTAGCTTCTAAATTTAAGACTTTGTGAGGTTTAAATACATGTATTGGACAATTACAACCTGATACTGCTGCATTTCCAACTTTGATGTTGGAAGATCGACTCAGCTGCATTCCTATTGAGTCTAATATGAGACTTGTTTTTGTGGCAGATCTATAGCAAGGCTGGCCAATATTGGAGAAGAGACACTGCAGAAGGCAGCTACACAAACGGAGATAATATTGGACCATGAGAAGGAATGGAAACTAGGCAAATGCATTTTGAGGTTCCCTGAGATTTTGCAAAAGATTTTAGATGATCTTTTACTGCACACCCTTTGTGACTACCTCTATGAACTGGCTACTACATTTACTGAATTCTATGACAACTGCTACTGTGTGGAAAAAGACAGACAAAGTGGTGAGTTAAGTTCATTTTAAAGGAGATAAGGGACACGTATAGAGGGTTGCAGGGGGCCAGAGAGAGTAATGGATGTAAGGGGAGGTACCCCAGTCATATATCTTCAAGGTTCTTTGTAAACTAAAAAGGGTAGAAACATCTACTTTATGTATGTGTTGTGGCAGAGGGGCAGCTTAACTTGAATTTTGAGTAAGAGTAAAGGTTATTCAGGGAGTTTTTATATGAGTAGAATAAAACATTTTAGAGGAATCTACTCTTTTCCCTTTTTGGAACTAAGTGGTCCATTGATTCAATCACTGAAATTTCCAAGGCATGGGGCAGTGGTACCATTTTCTTAATTGAGCAGCACAGTGGCATAACTGGTGGGTGGGTGGGTGGTCCCAGGCACATTTTTTTGGGGGGGGGGGTGCAACCAGGTTTCCCCTCCACAAAAGGGGAGACTGCTGCCGCCCTTCAGGAGGGAGGAAGAGGGTGTGGTTTAGGAAAGCCTGCTTCTCAGCTGATCAAGTGCCCTGCTTGCATGAGCCAGAGTGGGGGCTTTGTTAAATTGCTCTGCGGGTGGCTGTGTGTCCCTCAGCAGAACAGTTTTAAAAAGCTGCCTGCCCACTTGGTCTCTCTGTGTATGGTGGCTGAGGGACTCAAAAGCGGCTGTAGTGCTGCTGGGTAAAGCCTTCATACCAGTCCTAGAGCAGAGGCAGATGAGAGCAGCATTGCTTCCCCTCTCCACTGGGCTCTGGCGTGTGAGTGCAGCCCCCATGCTAATTTGCAAGCCTGGGGTGTGATTGGACTGTTTCGAAGCAGTGGGCTTTCACCGTGCCCCCTTGGGATGTAGCAGAGTACTGTGGAGTACTATTGCACAGAAATGTGAAGGGACCGGAGAGAGAGACAGCTGGCTCTGCTGACTAGTAATCTGGATAGCAACATATCTCACTTGGTTTTTTTGTCTCTTGTGTAGGCAAAATAGTGAAAGTGAACATGTGGCGAATGCTCTTGTGCGAAGCAACAGCTGCTGTTATGGCCAAAGGTTTTGACATCTTGGGAATCAAACCGGTGCAGAAAATGTAACTATGTTGACTTTTCAGATAACTTTTCTACACACAAAAATGAACTATTTAGTTGACTATTCTGGCCTATTTGAAAAATAAAAATGTTTAAGTTTCATTGTCTCTACTCCATGTTGTAGGGCAGTATTTATTGTAACTGCTTAGATCTCACTGTGTATACAGTGTTATGCCAGTTTTTGGTAAAACAAACAATCATTTTGTCCTTGCCTGCAAAGTCTAGAGTCACAAGAAGCAGGAGGTAATGTGATTTCTCCCACTGCTGTAGTCCACAAATGTCACAATATAACCCTTAGTTAACACAGCAGTCATTGAGTGCTTAACCTTTTTATTAAAGGTATATTGTCTGAGCTTATAAAACACAATTGACACTAAATTACAGTATTTTAGGAAATGCAATGAATGTACAGACTTAAAAGTATCATATATATTCTGGAAGTACCAGTAGTATCAATATATTATCTTTTCCCTCCCACCCCCACAACCCTTTTTTCCATTTTCAAAACAGCGGTGTACTGCAAATTGAAGTTCAAAATATGTATGTTCACAAGCCAGAGGCTGCTCTGTTGGCGGGGCTGCCTCAACTGCTTCACACAGGCGACAGGCAGGCCATCTCTTCCTCCCAGGAGCAAGAGGTGTCCCAACTGCCTGCCTGTGCAAAGGCAGCTGAGGTACAGGTGGGCGCCTTCTTTAAACTGTTCCGCTGAGGGGTGCAGCTGCCTGCACCTCAGTGGAGCAGTTTAACAAGGCCCCCACCTAAGTGACTTCCCCATGCCAGCTGTTAGGCTGAAGACCCTCCCCAAAGGCCTCCTGCAATTTTCTAGAGCCCATAAAAGGTGCAGGTCAAGTTTCTCCCCCCCCCCCAACTTTCGGGGCGCAGCTCAGAGGTGCTGGAACACAAAGTTCCACTGAAAAAAGACGTCCTTTTTCTTATTGTTTCTTCACTGTAAAAAGTATAAATGTCTGTAACCAATAAATACAGCATAGCTTCCTATATGATCATTATATTCCTAATAGTTTAGAATGCTAAAAACAGAAAAAGACATCACAGGTGCGGAGTTCTCTTTAGTCAGATAGCACTGCTAAAGTATTACACATTTGTTCTCACATTTTTAGTTTATAAAGCATCTGGGGGGAAATAAAATCTCACATTTACACATTATTAGAACATCAAGATGTTCATTTTTCAATAACTTATTTTGATAGGTAATATTGAACAATTTAATTTTCTCAGTAGAATTTTTTAATAAAAAAGCAGTAACTTTATAAAATGCATAAAAATGTCTTAACAGTTCTAGAATGCTTCAATTACAATAATGAAGTCTGGTAAACTTCAGCTTTGGCCACCAAACATTTGATTTAACTTCCAAAAGCACCATGTCATCTTTGGCTTGCTCTCAGTATGATGAAGTTTTAAAGGACTCTCTAATCCTTACCAGTTCTGCAGCACACATGTGACCAAAAGCCCTGTTGTACCATTCAGTTGTGCGGCCCCTGCCAATAAATGAAACAGCCTGTTAAAAAAAACTAAAGTCTAAAACGATTTCTCTTCCCGACTATTGGGCCAGGTTGAGCTAACTATGCTTTCCAGCAAAGTGCTTTCCAACAAGGCTTTCCACCCCATGTCTCCCCCAAAATCTCTCTGGGGAACCCACAGAACAGTGCACAGGGGGAGGAGAGTACAGATTGTTCCATCTGGCAAGCAGAAATGCTATTAGTGCAACACTTAAATCCACCCTTCATTTTAGGCATTCCTCCTCCACCACCAGTGCTATAAAATTACAGTCATACCTCGGGTTGAAGTAGCTTCAGGTTAAGTATTTTCCGGTTGCACTCTGCGGCAACCTGGAAGTAATGGAGCGCATTACTTCCGGGTTTCACCGCTTGTGCATGCGCTCAAAATGACGTCACACACATGCATGGAAGCGGTGAATCGTGACCCGCACAGTCACGGGTTACGCTCTACTCAGGATGTGAACGGGGCTCCGGAACGGATCCCATTTGCATCCAGAGGTACCACTGTATTGACTGCATGTTTACAACACACACTTGAAGCACTGCTTCTGAAAATTGTTCAATCTTTATGCAGATTTATGAGGAGGTTGCCTGAAATTACTTTTCTAAATCACATGTAGCATGAAAGAACCACTTAATCATTATTAACTAAAAGGACTGCAATCAAAGCTTCTATCACATTTCTGTACATCTGAAGAAACAGCTGTAGCGGTGGGCAAAACAATTCGTGCAGTGACGTATAACAAGCAGCCAGCCAATTCACAAACAGAATGCCAGTTTTTCATAATTGAATCATACCTCTAGCAAGCCCTTGACCTTCATTGCATTTGGACCTAATCTATTATGTCACGCCATTCTAAAGAAAAATAAAAGAAATATAGATACCTGGTATCTGTTCGACAGACATGTGTGACTTTGGATTTCTGAGTGCCGACTACTTCTATAAGATACTGACAAAGTAGGACCTGACCCAAGATCCCCGTCATGGTAACACCTTCACAGTCTATTGAGGTAGCTGCTAATATGCATGTGCTGCTTTGAGGATCAGTCCGCCAAGTCCTGGAAACAAAAGGTCAAATCAATCATCTCATTGGCTATCAATATGCCATTATGCTTATGAACTGAAACCATGCTATCAACTGTAACAGCTCATTTACATCAACTTCCAGGCTCTGCACATGATCAAGGTGTTCAGCTGTATGTATAAAAATAATATTCAACTACGGTTAAGTCATTACATCTGCTGCAGCTCATCTCATAATTAACAGCAGTTGGCAGAGACAGGAATATTGTAGATTCCTTACCTTAGAACCACATATTCTCGTGGAGGAAGTGGAGACATGCTCTCCGTTGCATAGTGGTAAATGTCTGTTTCATCATCTAAGATTTCTAGGACTCTTGTTTGTTGAAGGCTTGGGTTCCATAGGTGCTGTTCCATCAGTATCCGATATAGAACCACTTTAGGGGCAGCATCAATTTCAGCTGAAGCTTTCCATACCCGGACCAAGTAGTTATCATCCACCTTTGAAGACAGTTAATCCATTAGGAAATTATTTGAGTCTGCCAAAAGCAGCCTGGGATCCAATGGCTGTAGAACCCCTGGGACTGAAGTCAACATGGTCCCTCAATCCATTAAGACATGGTTTCCCAAACTTGGGTCTGGGGACTACAACTCCCATCACCTCTGACCTCTGGTCCTGCTAGCTATGGATGTCATATCACAGCACCTAACGTGACTATCCACATATTCAAAAGAATAATAAATTTTCCAGTTTGGGAAACAGTACCATGGTGGCATTTCAGTACTTTTGTGCTCCATGCCATACCTTTTCCAGTTAATGTGTGACCTATTTCTCAGAGGAGGTTATTTGCAAATGGGACAAGATACTGTTAACTGGTTATTTTCACAGAATACACATGTATTAATGTCATTTTAAAACTCATTTACTCTGAGCCTCATTAACGTTCTCATGCCAACATTACCTTTTTATATGCAGAATCCACTCCTTCTAAGGTGGAGCAAGTAACCCAGTTCTTGAATTTTTCCTTGGCATCTCGGAGCAAGTCCTGCATGGAGCGCTCCAGGGAGACCACTGTGTTACAGTGCTTTGATAAGGAGGTTTGGTGTGGATCTACTTCACTGGAGATAGTTTGATCATGTAAATTTTCATAACTGTGATCCAAACAGTAGTCAGGAATCTGCAAAAGAATACTAGAAATTAGTTGCTAGGAAGCATAGGTCATAAAGCCACTTCCGGGACCTGGCAAGGAGGTGGGGTTGCGGGCATCATGCCCACCCCACGTGAGCGGGGGCTTTGCAGCCCCCACGAGAGCAGGGGAATCCTGGCCGCATCGTCCGCCCAGCCAGCCAATCGGGTGGCTGGGGGGCGTGGCCTGCCCTATTGGGGGCCGGTGCGGCCGGGACTTGCCCTCTTTTGCCAGCCAGCCCTCACGTTTTCCCACCCTCCCTCCCTTTAGGTAGGCTTCTGACTTTGCTATGGACTTCGGTCTGTCGCCGCAAGGGGCATGGTAGGAATTTTTCCCAATTGGCGATTTGCAGCCATTTGGTTTTTCGCCTACCTCGCAGCAACTCGTCACAACTCCTTGGCATTGGCAGTTAGGCATTAGTAAGGAGGGGTTAAGAGGATGTGTGTGGGGAGGAACGTCATCACCTCCCCCCAAAGAGCGAAGGGTGGTCCGATAAAGGACTCCGGAAGGTGTGGCCCTGTCCGAAGCCTATGGAGGTGTGGGCCTAAGGCACGCCCCCGAGCGGTGACTCGGGAGAGCTCCTAGTTGACATGCCTCAGTAGGACTCTCCCCTTTATGGTGTTAACCCTTCCCGGTCTTCAGCAAATGGGCTGGAGCCGGATAGTCGATAAGACCAATGCCTAAGCCAATGCCTCTCATTCCTGAAATCAATAAAGCTGTGGCCTAATTCGCCCATTTAACCTTAATTCTGGTGTCCTGTGTCTTTATTTATCCTTGGTGGGGGGCGGGAACTTGCCACGCAAGAAATGGATATCCCAATATATTCCACTGTATTTATTACACTTGTATCCCAGGCTTCCTGTAAAGGAACTCAAGAACAGTATACACACAACTGTCATACAGTCACCCATCAAGGCGCAAGCAGAGTGGGAATGTGGTTTTTTGATGCTGAATGCTACAGTATAGCGCTTCTACAGTTATGTATGACTCAAACACATGACTTAAGTCAAAAAGGGAGGAAAGGATTTTTGATACATATAAAACACTTATTTGAAGGAACCTAAGCTGCCGTTCTCCAAAAAACTGAGGCTGAACAAATAGTATATCAACCTTTGCACTCTTTGGGGCTTTGCTTCTAGCTCTTAACAAAGTCACTGCCAGCTCCCTGTGCCAAAGCAGAAAAAGTTCGTGCTAACAAGTGTTTAGCCTGAACTATTGAGTCTAATTTTGGCCCAGCAGGCTGCACAAATAGTCAGTGGCCTCTCCCTCCCATCCTCTCTTCTCTGCAGTTTCCTCCCCACCCTCCCCTTCTTGCTTTTCTGTTGTTTTTTTAATCCCTTTCCCACACACTTCATGCCACAAAACAAGGTCAAAGACAAGGGACGAAGCAAGAATGACTGGAACATCTCAATTGATTAAAAGCCACTCTCCCGCCTCATGCACGAAAGCCCTGTTCACCAGGCCTTTCCAACAAGTAATTTCAATGCCAGAGTGGAAGGGCATCTTGGCACTAGTTCATATCTGCTCAAGTGCTGCCAAGAGGAGTGGTCAGAAGGCCCAAATGCCACACATTCTTCACCCTTCCCAGCTCTGGCCTCACACTAAGCAGGTCAAACTCCCAAACATAAGATGCAAACAACGTAATGCAGGAAGAAGAGATTCCAGTGGGTCTACAAGTCAGGACTAAATGGGCATAACCAAGGTTATGCTGTGCTCAAACAAGAGACTGGAAAACTCACACTTCTCCCTCATCATTAACAACTTTTTAGATCAATGTAGAAAGTGGTATTCTGTTGGTTTCATGCTTAACATGGGTGCTGCCCCTCAAAAAAGGACAGGCTGAGTCATGTCCACACCATAAGGCATTTCTGAGCCCATATTTAGCATAAGCCAAGAAGAAACCAAGGGTGGCGGAAAGTAGCAAATCAAAGAATCAAAATAGTCAGGCACTCGCTTTCAACTGTGCTTAGAAATTTATGACATACTAAATTAAACATCTCCACTATTAACCTAGTCTGGCTCTGAACTCTCATACAATGAATCAAAGACCATGTACAGGAGGAGGAAGGTGATGGTGACAGTACAAATGAGAAGATTAGGAGTCTGATGAAGAACAGGATGAAAGTAGTGAACATGAAGATGAAGAGGAGCAAGAGGATTCTGGAGATGAAACTAGTGTGGTACCAGTGTTTCTAGCCATCAAGAAATTCAATGAGTCACTGGATTTTGAGATTTGGGCAGGAAATGTTGGAAAGCATCAAACCCCAGGAAGGTGAGCTGATCCTACTCTGTAAAGTACAAAAGACAAGTGCTCCTGGAACAGTTATCTGTTCAGCTCCAAGTGATGGCCTATAACTGAACCATTGTAGTGACGCTGCCTTATATGTACTCAGTAATCCTGCCAATATAGTTGTAAACTGCTTAGAGATTTGTTTATTTTAATACTGAGCAGTATATAAATTGAATGAACTATCACCACTAGCAGAGATGCATGAAGCTCGGGGTTCAGCTTTTTGGAATATAGTGATTTGATATATATAGCATTAATTATATGCTTCATAGTCCTATGAATATACCTTTATATTGAGCTAGCTCAAAATAAAAATGCAAACTGTTTCCTTGCTATCAAGGGACTAAGAGAAAGTAAATTTTGGTTGTTTAGAGAGGTATACTTCCTGGAGCAAAAGACCATAGGTGTCTGGTACTAATGAATACCAATTAAGAGTTGGTCCAACATCTGCTTTTCGTTATTGCCAACAATGAAAAGGGCTGCTGTTCCGATTTCAAACCAACAAAGTATCCACTACACAAGTTTCTAAGCAGCATGAGAGATGGTGGATGCCAATGAAGTTAAGCAGTGATTCTTCCTGAAGAAAGCAAGTTACCTGAAAGAGTCTGTTGCACTCCATTATCATATGGGCCAGGCCTTGAGTTGCAGCCAGGTTCTCACTCAGGTCTCTCTGGTCAGGTTTTCCTGTACTGTGCTTCCTCTGGCTGGACCTAAGGAGAAGAATACAAAGGGCTGCTTATTCAAATCACACAATGTAGCTGGTAAGGGCACTATCACTTCAGACTGCAGGTGAAAGGGAGGGATAGAAATGTAAAATAACTGCTCCTGGTTCTGTGGCATGTTTTGTTGTCAATCTAAACAGTGACAGCCCTCTAGTATAAGGTAGTCTTCACCAACATTCTAAAAATTTAACAGATAATAGGTTGGGCAGGCCCCCTGAAGGCTACATGTCAAAAGATAGTTTGCACATAATGCTAAACCATGGTTTATTAAACAATGTTAGTATGTTTAACCGTGCCCAGCAGCTTATATGCAGTCCAATAAACCATGAGCTGAAGCCATGGTTTGCTGTCGGCTTACAAACTTTGGTCCTGTTATCAGAAGCCCACACAAAGGTTCCCCCTCTCCTCCTCCAGGGCCCTCGCAAGACTGGCTCAGGGTGGGTCCTTAAAATACCCCCAGAAGAGTATGCGGGAAGAAGAGAGGGAGGATCATCCTATCCAGCAAGCTGAACAGCTTGTGCTGATGAAATTATTGCCAAAGCACAACACTGAATTTCTTCGAAGGAGGAAAACAATGGTACATGTTTTATTAAACCATGGCTTGGCACTGTATGTGAACCAAGCCCCATAGCTTACTATGGTTTATTAAGTATGGTAAACGGTCTCTCAATATCTAAGGTTTGTGGTTCATTTTTAATGTTAACCAAAGGTTAACCTGAACTCCCTCAACTATGGTCATGGAGCTGTCACTGCCCAATGCGCTGCACAGCCACAAGTGAAGAATGGCCTATTAAGTGAGTATACTTTAACCAATCCTGGTCAGGTACATTTAATTCAAAGGCGCACACAAAGCTCTCATTGATTTGCCTATTATCATTAGACGTGTTTAATTAAAGGCTGGCCCAGAAAGTCTAAGGGAAAGCCAATCACATTATTTAAGAGCTCCAAATGCTTTGCCAAAGAGCATTAATTCATATTTTAAGCTTATTTGTGGCATCATGCCAAGATTAGGATTGCCAAGAGCCTGGCATTCATCTCTAATAGCTTTATCTTGGAAAATTCTTTGTGAATGGTTTTTAAAAAGAGGTTGTTAGATAAAGATGCTTGACTTTAATCCTTGAAGCCAAAGCTGTTAGATTAGGTCCTTTTGAAGTCCCAACACTGAAAGTAAAATATTAGCAAATTTATTATCCAAATTTCCCGTTCAAAGCAACCTTGCTGTTAAAACAACGAGGTGGGGTGGGGAGGGGGAGAAAAGACAAGCACTCCCTCTTTTCTTAAGATAGCTGCTCCTGCTGTAGTACAGAGCTCAAAGGAAAGTCTGATGGTAGAGGCCTCCTCATCTAAAAGTTCTAAACTTCCAAAATATAAGTTTCTTCACCTGGAATTAAGAATTTAGCATTTTATTTTGCAATCAATTCTTCTGACACATTCTTGGCTGTGATTATGTGTTCATTCTCTTATGACTGACAATGCTGTCATCATCTCAGTTCTGGATTCCTCTCTCTCTCTCTGGGGAATGCTGAGCATCACAGGACTTGTTTTATAGCCTGATACGCATCTGGGATGCGTACTCTTCTTAAAAGCACATTCTTCACATGCTTTACCTCTCTTCACCTCTCTCAAAGATTGAGCTATCATCCTAAAACATGCAGATACTTTTTCAAGCTTCCCACCCCCACTCATGAAACAGAATTTACACTCTTAATGGCATTAACCTGCCACAGACATTCAGCTCACACAATCTAAAGAACGCTTCTTGCTCAAATATAGTTTTTCCTATTAGTTAGTACAGTGGTACCTCTGGATGCGAACGGGATCCGTTCCAGAGCCCCGTTCGCATCCTGAGCAGAATGCAACCTGCGTCTGCTCATGCACGGGTTGCGATTCACCGCTTCTGTGCATGTGCGTGACGGCATTTTGAGTGTCTGTGCATGCTCAAGCAGTGAAACCTGTAAGTAACCTGTTCCGTTACTTCCGGGTCACCATGGGACGCAACCTGAAAAGATTTAACCTGAAGTGACTTTAACCTGAGGTATGACTGCATATGCATTTCATCATGAACAGGCCTCTGGTACAGTGATGGTACTGATGCAACTTTCTGTACCCACAGTACTATTTTTCTACGATTTTAAACCTGACTCCCAGTCAACTTTCTAAATGACGGTGGGGATTGCTGCATGTGGAGATAGGCAAGCTCCCCAAATGCAGAGGCAACGTCTACATCTCACTGTAGCAGAGATGAAAAAGTTACACTTTAGGTATATATGGGGATCAGTAAACTGAGATTCATTCACTTCTTGAAAGCCTCTTTGAGCTGTATGTCTCTGCTAAACCACCCTGGTCTTTTCAGGCTGATCCAAAGCTACCCCCATATTTTTTTTTAAAAAATGTCTGCCACCTTTTTCTGGTTGCCTCTACAGAAATGTTATGTTGGAAGTATAGCCCTGAGGGATGCAGTCCAATATCCCGTTTTGTGCTGTTACTTCACCATGGGTTTGCTTCCCCCACTACTCTGGTCACAGATCTCTTGTGGGAGCAGCCAGTTATGTCGCTACTTCCCACCCCTGCGCTACCTCTTTTAAAAGGTGGGAGCATACTGGCCCAGGAAGTAATCGGCCCAGGACCACTGTGTTATTGCGTTATCAAGCCATGTATGGCATGAAGCTACACTGAAGCGCTGCTATACTTATGAGGTAATATAATAACAGCATCTTAGGAAAGTACATACATTCAGAGAAGGACAGTGTAGTGCTTATCACTGGTTAACTTGATGAGTATAATAAAGCGAAAAGGTCCTCCAGAGTAAGAATGTCTGGAATAGCCATAAGCAAAACCCCACCCACTCACCCCTCTGCAAGAAACTAACGTTTAAATGGAGCAGGTCAACATACACTAACTATTGTCAGGAAATGAATTAACAGGCTGATATAAAATCCTTTAGCTATCCTTAGGCAGCTACTCACCAAATATCCAAACAGTACAGGGGGTATTTTCTCTATCTACTGTCCATTCTGGCAGTGCTAACTCTTTTTTTTTAATCACACCATGATTAAAAAGTACAGCCATATTCAATTAACAGCCATTAACAGTTGTTAACATCTGAAATAAGGTGCATTCCAACCCTCACAGACCTATGATTTGTACCTGAACTCAGCTAAAGCAGCACAAATTGGCTAAAAGAAACCTACACTTGAAAGAAATGACCGTTGTAAGCAAGTAAAAAGGCAATACTGTGCTTATGCCATATAAAAAGGTGACCTGACTTGAAGCACCTTTACACTTGTACAATGTTTTTTCCTTCACTGCTCATCAGCAAGCAAGTATTATTCACGCAAAAATACCTAGACGATGAGGAACTCTCTCTCCTCAGGGTATTAAGGTGAAACAAGGATGGTGCTAGACAAACAGCAATGTTGGTTGGAGTCATCTGGTTTTCCTCCACAAAAGCCACTACATCTCTGAGAAAGAATAGCAGTGTTTTCAAAGCTTCTCGGTTTTCATCTGGAAGCAGAAGAACAGCAGCTTGGACAGCACAAAACTGCTGATCTTTTGGCAGATCTAGAGAGGAAAAAAAGATGGAAGCCAAGATCAGGAACTAGGGTATCTTCTTACAAAAAGAGTTGACATTTATTACTTGAGTACAATGTAGTTTCCATTTACTTTTAATACAGTAGGGTAGAAACTTAAACACACATACCAAACGGGCTTTTTCTGAACAGCTCCATGTTTGTGGAGTGCTCTCTCCAGGGAGGTTTGGCTGATGCCTACATTACACATCTTTAGGCATCAGGCACACAACATTCCTCTATAACCAGGCTTTGAGCTGACATCTGGTGCCCTTTAAATGTGTTGCAGTAGAGGGGATTATTGGGTTGTCTTTGTTTGTATTTCTATTATGTATTCTGTGTTTTTATATTGCAATTTTATGTTGTGAATTGCCCTGAGATCTACATGTATATGGTGGTATACAAATTTGAAGAAGAAGAAGAAGAAGAAGGCTCATCTTAGAGACTAGTTTAAAGAAAGAAAAATATATTCCTACATCATTTGTCCCTTGACCTCTGACTTAAGAAACTGAATTAATTGAGAATCAGAACTAAGTAGCATCAGGCACACTTAAACTAACAAAGCAAAATTACATTCCACTTATAAAATCAATGTCTAAAATAGCCAACCAGAATTAAAACAACAGCAGGTACGTACATTGGTAGATATGGAGGAAGGATTCGCAGAGCTTGCTGGTGAATATAGGTTCCGGAAGGTCTCGGAAATACTGCTTCACCATGTCTGCCACATCAAATGCTGACTGTCCCTCATAAGTTACATTGTTTGGGTCATTTTCATTCATTTCCCTTAAGGAAAGGATCCTGGATTTCACACCAGATTTCCTGAAAAGGCCAACCTATGAAAAAGAACAAAAAAAAGTAAACATTCAATCTGCAGAATAATGTCCTTTGACTCCGGCTGTGGCACGGAACTCTTAATGTGGTTACATATCCACAAGCTTTCTAGGCACTTTGATTGTACTATGTTCAAAGGCACTTTGATATATGCGCAATAAAAGAAACGGGGGGGGGGAGAGATTATTTCGTTTGAAAATGTAAAAAGAATGTTGATAATGCATCTTTAATCTCTCCTTGTTACATGTATAGACCCTTTCATCTGCAGTATTGTACACACTATATTGTCACTCAGCAGGTTGGAGGTGATGTAAAGTGCTAAAGAGTGTCGTGTTTATGGTGTCTGGACTATAATGGCAGTCACCTACAAGCAAGTTGTTGCTTGATAGTGCAGGCTCTGAGTGATGAAAATGTCTGCCTCAGCAGTCCCAAAGTTACTCTGCCCCAACCCCTCGCCTTGTATCCCTTTTTTTGTTTTTGTTTCCAGCACATAAGCATTTCAGACCATTAGAACAATAAACTCAGGGGTTCCCCAACCCCACCAAAATAAGGAATTTGCAGCTATACCAAGCCAAACACATCGAATGTTATTGGCATATGTGTGTACGTACACAAAATCAGAATAAGAGGCTCTAATAAAGAGAGGGTTGAGAGCTGGCCAGGGCTATGAAAAATTATGAGCAAAGCTTCATAAATTCAGCATAAGAAATTGTTGCAAGTATGGAGATAATGAGTGTTTTGTGAGTAAAATAAAGCTTTACCCCATTTAAAGAAAACTGCTTAAGTTTTGAAGGGGTGGAAGAACCATCACGAGGGGAAATATTATAAGACATTTGCTCATATTAGTAACAGAATGGCTTTTTCCTATTTAATACAGTATAAGCTTTCATACTGATACCTGATCAAGAAAATGTTCCCTTAAGTAGTCCATGGCTTGGAGTATGCTCTTTGGAATAGGATGACTTGTTCTCTGCACATTTAACAGCAGCGGTACTCCAAATACATTTTTGTCCTTATAGTCTGGTGCTTTTGTTTTTCTGATGAACTTTGGAACAGTCCTGAAAATACAGAATTCATTTTTTTTATGCAGATTTATGCTCTGAGCTGGGTATGCATATCAGGCAGGTGGGGTAGATACACTGAATTCATTTATAGAATACAAAAAGTATCAGGAGGACACAATTAACAATTCTAACCCTTATTAGTTTGAAAGGAAAGCAGTATTTACCAAAGCAATGGAAAAAGAAACATACCATTGAAGCTGCTGCATCTGCCAATGCTAGCCATGTGGCATCCCAATATAAGTTTTACTTTAGTATTTGTTATGCCAAATAAGATACTGCTCAAATATGAAATACCAGTTTCTTTAAGCTGAAGTACAGCTACTTACTGCATAGCTATCCACCCTCCAGTTTCCTGCTCTTTATCTCCTGCTGCCCTTCTTCTATTGCAATCCTCAGCCAATTTATTCCCCCAAATTTTGCAAACCCCAATATACTTGTTTGTAAGCAAAAACATCAGCATAAACATACTGAAGATTCCGTAGAGAGTTCTACCTGGTTAGCCAGAGAAACAGGGACACTATGATGAGAGAATTACATACAGGCAACTTCCTACAGGTGCCCTGAGGACCAGAATACATTTTGTAAAATTTATGCCACTGAGTTTTGATTGCTAATGCAATCAGAGGTTATCAGAAGGAGAGAAGCATTTGGGCACACCTCCATCATACATGCATACAGTTCTGAGACCAGCTGAGACCATCAGAAGGAGAAAGAGAATTACTGCCCATTACACAAGACAGAAAGTCAAGACAAGTCTAATCATTACCTGAAAGGAAGTGCTGCTAAAAGTCTAAAATATTTCTGCAATTACAGCAGAAGTTTCACAGACTTGAGGAACTGAACCATCTAGAGCATGAAATGAAGTGGGCGGGGGGAGGAGGTATACAGCTTGAGAACAGCTCTGGTTGGTGGATAGGTTCAGCAGTAAGGGTCACAGATTGGATAAGTAAAAGGGAAATCATTGGTGTCCTGTATTAGAAGCATTGCAAGTGGACTGGTACTGTAAATCAATTGAAAGCACCATGTTCCTGCTTATGTATATGGAGCTGATTGTCTTTTGTAAGTTTCCTTTGGAGGGATTTGCTCTGAAAATCAGCATATAGGGTCAGGCTCAATTTCCAATTCAAGACTAAGGTAGTTCTTTCACTTTAGAAACACTTCAACTTCATTCTAACTTACCAGTTCCATCCTTGCTTGCTGGAAGGAGAGTATTTGTCCATTAAAGTAGTCAATTTTAACAAAGCAAGCTTCTGCAATCGATTTAGGTGGGCAGCTGACTGGCAGTCAATTTGCTGAGAAAGGCTTTCCAAATTTGTGCCTTCCTCAGTAGACCATTGTCTCCTCACATGTCTAAAGGGGAAAAAACCACATTTGTTTCAGTGCTCTTCAATATTACTATTGTCCATACCCCCTCTCTCTCTAAACCTGCACACCCACAGAAAATCACTATGAATTTCAAAATACCTTGTGAAAGGTAGAACACTGTACTTTAGTGACCAAGTTCTGCGGTGTTCAGGCATCAAAACCTCAAGTTATTCAGCCAGATTATCTTCACTATTAAATCATTACTTCAGCTTAAGTTTATGCTACACTGCTTTAAGCCCAACTGATTAACCCCTTACAATGACAACCCCAGCCAAATTTCATTTTTAATTCTTTGCCACTTCAACCAGTATATAGCTGACCTGATAGAATGTGCCAATGTCCGTCTCATCCTCGATTCTGTTACATATGCCAGTTCTGTGAGGCCATGTTCATTGCAGTTCCCTTCACTGTCAGTAACTGACAATTCTGGCAATTTCCCTTCTGAATGCTTTTCAGTCTCAAGACGGATTTCTTTAGGGGATGATGGGCACGGAGAGATGGACTGGTTGGAAGGACTGGCAGAGTCGGAGTCCCCATCATCAGAGAATTTCTCTGTCCACTGACTGACCAACTTCCTGAGTCCATTGACATGCTCCATAACACTGTCTAGCTCTGTAAAAACATCATCATCACCAACCTCTGGTGTATCCATTTTGTTTAGATGATTCCCTGGCACATTGTCATATATGCTCAGTCTGTTATCCATCAATGAAAGGGAGCCAGGTGGCGTTTCAGGCTCCTGAGAACCCATTTGAACCCTGTTCCTCCTACACCCATGAAAACTCCCAGTTCTCCAGTTCACAGAAGTGTTGTCCATTGGAGACAAGAGGCTGTATGTAAGGGCTTTGGGGAAAGTCCCAGGTTTATGGCCTTGTGGTACTTGAAACACTTTGTTCTTGTGCAAATGTATCTCGTTATGCTCCGAAAGATAATTCCACAAGGAAAACTTGCTGGAATCAAATTCTTCTCCATACATTCCTTCTCTTTTACTGTGTCTCCTCATTTTGATAATGGGGCTCGGCGTGCTCACAGTGCTGCTGTTTTCAGACTGGCTGCTACTGCTGCAGGTCTGTGAGGAATAAGACTGCTGCATCGGCTGACTCTCAGACACGTCAGAAATACTTACGCAATTGAAATTTTTCAGCTTTTCTTCATTTAGTCCCTCTATAAGAATAGGCTCGCTAATAATGGGCTTGGCCTTTGAATGTGCTTCTCTCTTCAAGCTGCTGCTTCGCAGGCGCAGCTTCTCCATTCTCTTTAAGAAACTCCTTCCCTTTCTGTGCAATGGCTTATCCAAGAGCTTGTCCTCACTAATTATGTTCAAGGTTTCACTAGGTGAAGAAGAGCAACTGAAGGTAGAGTCAGGAGATGCCAATATATTTGAGGAGCATGTTGAAGAACTCCTGCTCATCTCAACCTCCTCAAACGTCTTTGGAAAGCTGATTAAATCACTATCCCCGCTACTAGAACTGTGAACTGAAGACTCGTCATTTCGCTCCCCTTGATCAGAAAAGGCTATATCCCCGCTGCCAGAGCATTTAAGTCTGAGACCGTCAAAGGCTGGTGTACCAGAACCTTCCGAGCATTCTAACCGAGACCATCTCCGACTACATTTCTCATAAGTCCATTTGGTGCTTATTGCACAAGGTTCATCCTCTTCAGATTCATCACTCTTAAGACAAGAAAAGAGGTTAAAAAAAGATGAGACATGTGATCAAAATTTTGATTTAATATTCATTCTTACATTTTACTACAATGCATTATGGTTCAGTCCCTGCCTGCTATTGCCAGCTCTCCCACACACAAAGAAAGCCACTCCAAAAATGCAAATAACTCTTCTGACTCCAGATACATATTCCATGGGTAAAAGAAGTGTGACACCTACCCTACATATGGGAATACTATGCCTAGACTCATGGATCTCATCTTTGAATCCAAGATACTTAAGCAAGTCCAATTGATTTCAGTAAGATATACTTATGAATGGTGGATTTTAGGCCTGCAATATTTTACATGTGTGAGAGAATGCTTTTCAAAGCATTCAGTGCTTTTCAAAGTATTCAACCTAATATTGTCAGCCTAAAGCTTGCCTTGAAAATGCAAAGGATTGCAGCCAAGACATCATGTAATGTAAAAGGATGCTTTGGTCAATCAGCTGCACTTATGCTCAACATTTTAGTGCTGCAATGGTTCAATCTAAAGTGATTTTTAAACCACTTAAGAACTATTTCTGCTTAATGCTAGCTTAGGTGAGTTGTTTTGCTTTTTTTTTAACTTTGCATCTGCTTCTAGTTATCTTACTAAAACTCTAAAATCAAAGTGGGCAATTCAGAGCTCAGCTTCAGGGTTGGGTTCTCACATTATTCCATTGGCATGGCTTCCTGGTGAGAATTGAGAATGGTTCAAACATATTTGTAACTGAGGAAGAACTTCAGCACAACAAAACTCACAAACAATTCCCAGTCATAAATAACTGGTGCCTGCTGATTATTAAACAGAAATTGTAAAAAAAATTAAATCTCTCTGTGGTTTATAGTCTTCTATGTCAACACCTTTGAATTTATATTGAGAAGTTTCTTTTATAAAAACAATTGCATAATTTGGAAACGTACCCTCTTTCTTTGCCGACTTATTTCCACCTTCATTGCTGTGCACTTGTTCAGTGTATTCAAACGCCTGGGGGGGGGGGGGCGACACATTAAGAAGTTTAACCTGAGGTTACTTATAATCTTGTACTAAATGGCTCTTGTACTAAATGGCTCTCAATCCACTAAAGTTCTTAAAGGAAATTAACATGTAATTTCATTAAGCCATCTTCATTTTGCTCCACTATTCCACTAATAATAGTTGGCTATCACCTCATAATGTGGGAAGCTAATCCATACTCAGAGTAGACCCACTGAAATCAATGCATCTAATATACTTAAGGCCACTGATTTTAGTAGGTCTACATTGAGTATAACTAATATTGGATAAAACCCTACAATTCCCTATTAATGCTCTTAAACACATACAAATGGAAACAGGTACAAAATCATGCCTCGGTAACACAAAAATGGTCAGAATGTTAACCGTGATAAAAGTGCAGGAGAACCTTCTTGAGATGCAGGTAGAAAACGTTAAAGAATGGTAAACAAGTCCCTCTTTCAGAAAGTAATGGCTAAAAAAGTTAATGTGGGCAACATCATTTATTCCATGCTGAATTCAAGGTAGCACATATAAGCAATCTATTAATATATACATATTGCCCGGTATAATATAAATTTCCTGATGTGCTTTTGTTCTATGCAGTGAATAAACGGAAGCCCAAAAAATAAAAATACAGGGGTTCGTGTCATTTCTAAGAAAGTTTTATTTTTCTGTAACTCGTAAATCTCAAATTCTTGCAGTCCAATTACGAACATCTGGCACCTTCTTATCTTTCCACTTTTGCACAAGTTGATAAAAGCCTCAACAATAGATCAATGAATTAAAATTTGCCAGTTCAGACCTGACTCTATGAAGAGAGACTTGTTCTTTTTATCTTGAGAAGCTATTTAAAAGGGAGGCCCAAATTGTGTTAGTGTGGGTTACATGAAGCCTTTAAGCAATCTGTTGAGAAATTAAGCAGCTTTTAAAAAGATTGTTGTGCAATTTGTTTGCAATTAAGCAATTACTCCGGTACTCCCCTGGAGTGGGTAAGAGTCATATATTTAGCAAAGCTACTGTTGCCTTAAAAAAAGAAAAAGAAATTATAAAGTGCACCTATATTACTACAGCTGCTTTGGCAAAATGTCAGCATCACTTTTGTGCCTGCAGCATCTTACCAAAGCTCTTTCTGAGAATAATTCCAGGGTTCATAATTTTGCAAATGTTGCTACTTTTATTCACTGTAGTTTGGGTCAGATTATTCCTAAACATGATGCACCCTGAAAAGTTAGAATTCAGGGGGAGAGGGATCTTCCTTAGTGTAGGCAAAATAAAGGAAGTCAGTAGATAGGGGATGTGAGGTGGAGTCAGTGTTGGTCCATTGCAATATAACATATAAAATAGCGTTCTAAAATAACCTACTAACTTTCTCAGAAAGCCAACAATCCAAAAACATAAGTATCTTTAGTCACAAAACAAAAACATTCTTCTTTCCCCAAGCTAATTAAGCCATCTATGGCCTTTTACACTGTGGAGAGCTATTGTTTCTATTTGTTACTATGTTATGCATTTTTGTGTTTTTATATTGTAAACTGCCTTGTGATCCTCAGATGAAAAATAGTATACAAAATTAATAATAATAATAATAATAATAATAATAATAATAATTGTTATTTCAGTTCATACAAGATACAAGACTATTCCTATGCAGTTTAGAGGATAATGCATGAGCAAACCCAGGTTGATTTGGAGGCAATCAACAGCATGCCAGCAACACTGTATGTGTGGAATAGTCCTAGCTTTCAAAAGAAAAAGCCCTTCGAAGACTTGTACAGCCATATAGCAGTTCTTACTAGTTACAAATATTCTAATAATTATATAGTAATGTGCCTGTCTTCAGACATCCCAACAGGAAACTAGTAAGATACACCAATTGACTTAGTTAAAGCCTCAGGTTGTCAATCTAAAGACACATCTATTTAATTCAGAGCAAAGTTTACCTGTATAGGGATTCTATTGCATCTTGGTCTAAAAACTCATGATCTTTTCTGACAGTTTTGATGTCAATAGGAAACTGCATATCTGCAAAACAGAGATCACAATGGTAAATGATTTATTTATTTTTTTGAGAGGGGGATTAATTTCACAATTTCTCAAATCAGCTCAAAAACAAACTCCCCACTTCTGTAAATCAAGAAAACCCTTAATAAAAATACAAACCAACAACAACAAACCAACTCCCCAAGTAGTGGTTTTTTTATAGTGACAGCTGCCAGTCTCAAAATGGTCTCAATCTCTGCAAGGAATAAAGCATAGATTTATAAATGAACACACCATCAGCTTGCCAGCTGATAGGATTCATTTTTAATCAAAAAAGGTTCAAAATCTTCTATGAAGGAAATAAACACTGGCCTAGCAAACTATGGCTTACCAAGACAGCAGAAATGCAGTAGCTCCCAGAGAAGACCTTGCACACACTTTGTGCCTACTTTGCCCTTTCAGCTAGACATGGCTGTTAAGACAAGAAGCAACCTCAGCTGCAGCTTGTGGTTAAGGAGGAGAGAGCTTAACCACACGCCTGGATTCAGACAACATGCTAAGACAACACTGAGCTAAAGTGACCAGAGAGGTGCAAGGTAGGTGCAATCTCCTCCCTAGCATTCATGCTAATCTGTGATTTTGCTTAGTGTTACCTACAAACATAGCCACTGATTATTAGATGCTCAATCTCTATCTCCATTGTCTACTCAGAGATAGGAACAAGCAGATAATGCAAAACAGACTCATAACATTGTCAAGAGTCTATCACTAAGTTCATTGCTAGATCATTTTATATTTTGATTTTTAAAAAAATCTCAAAGCATTTCACAACCTACATTAAAAAATCAAATAAAACAGTCCAGAAGAAAAGATTACAGAAGAAAGTCAAATATAAAATGCACATTTAAAACAGAATAATTAGCAGATAATAAAATGCTTTATGTTCCAATTGCCCACTGCACACAAATAAGCTTGAATAAGCTTGCATTGATAAGAACATAAGACAAGCCTGCTGGATCAAGCCAATGGCCCAGCATCATCTTCTCCCAGAAGCCAACCAGTTTGCTTGTGGGAAGCCTGCAAGTTGGCCATGAGCACAGCAGCCCTTAGCCCACTTGCAGTTCCCAGCAACTGATATTCAGAGGCATAATGCCTCTGACAATGGAGGGTAGAACACAGCCACCATGGCTATGTTGCCACTGATGGCCTTGTCATCCATGAATTTGTTAGGTATTTCTCTATAACTGACTGCATTTTGGACCACAAGCGTTTCTGTTTACAAAGGGAAGGAACATATTGCCAATACTTTTCAATTATTCTGCATCTCAGAACGCCATGGGTGAAGTAGTACCTTCAAACATCTGAGCATATTGGGGGAAGCCAGCAGCTTTCAGCCAATCACAGGCTTCTTTGGCCTCAATTTCTGCAATTACAAAAACAAAACAAAACAAAAACACAAATTAAGTTTTGTTTTCCAACACTGAGCAAAAAACAACCCATTGTTAAGTTATGCTACTAGCTTTAAAGCAACCCGTTTTCTTTCCTCCCTACCTTTTAATATATTACAGGCAATCCTTGTTTTGTGTCCAGACCCCCATGTGTGTCAGTAGAGTGCATGAGTCTGCTCTGCCCCTTTCATGCTGTTTTTATGACCTTTTGGAGCTACTTCTGGGTTTGGCATACATCATTTGGACTCGCCTAAACCAGGGGTTGCCTGTACTCTTCATACTCATTCTGAGTATCCAAGCACACAACAGATGCTTTTGACATGCAGTTGCATCTAAGCTGGTGGAATTGAGTATAATATCTTTGCTTACTCGGTGCCCCTAGTGATTTTCCTGCTCAGATGCATCTTTTGTATAGTCAGAATAATACTTTTGTTTAAACACTGAGAAATTATTTGTGAGGCACACTTTCTGCATTTGAGAAATGATGATGGTTTGAAAACAAGGCTAATGCCTCCAGTGTGCCGAGAAATGCTTGTTGCTTTAGAGTGTACAACTAGGCGCTCTGGTGGCTTGGAAGGTGTTCTGTGGTGCTTTGAGGAAACAACCATGCTCCATATGGCCCACCTATTTCCTAAAGTATTTTACTATTTGTTTTACAGCTCACTATCTATAACACCTGGCATCTAGTTCACAAAAACAGATGTCAGGAACTAAAAACTAATGACTTATTTTGTGGCAATTAATAAAAATCCTGTGGCTAACAGTATAACATTCCCACAGGAAAAAGGAAAAACACAACTTTGCAGAACTACAGAACATTCACCAGATGCCTTAAAAATGTAAACATATTTAATATACTTCTGGAAGAGCATAAGCCATCAGTCTCCAAAGTGAACCAATATTGCAAGTTACTGTGTCTCCTGTTAAGGAAGACCCCAGGCTGTTCTCTCCTCTAGTCCAGTTCATGTTACAGCCCTCATATGGCCACCCAAGGCCTTCTGACTGCTGACTGAAAAGGATCCCCCCCCCACACCAGCTGGCAAAGCTTTCCTGATGGAATGCATTATTGTTAATTTATAGTGTAAAGGTAAAGGGACCCCTGACCATTATGTCCAGTCGTGGCCGATTCTGGGGTTGCGGCGCTCATCTCGCTTTATTGGCCGAGGGAGCCGGCGTACAGCTTCCGGGTCATGTGGCCAGCATGACTAAGCCGCTTCTAGCGAACCAGAGCAGCGCACGGAAACACCGTTTACCTTCCCGCCGGAGCGGTACCTATTTATCTACTTGCATTTTGACGTGCTTTCAAACTGCTAGGTTGGCAGGAGCAGGGACCAAGCAACGGGAGCTCACCCCGTTGCGGGGATTCGAACCGCCAACCTTCTGATCAGCAAGTCCTAGGCTCTGTGGTTTAACCCACAGTGCCACCCACGTCCCAATTTATAGTGTACCTTTCCTCAAAATAATCATCATCATTAAGTTATCAGCTTATAGAGAAGAGTATGAAAAAATATTTCCAGAGTCTCACAAGTTTTGCTTTGTATCTTATTAAACAAATTTTCAGTCTCTCATAATAATAATAATGATTTTGTCCACACTGACGATTAACCAACTTTTATTGGTATAGGCAATTCCAAAACAATATTATGGAGAACACCTTTCCTTTACAAAAATGATTTTAAGTCTAAGGCAGGTAAACTTTTAAGAAAGATGTGTGGAGTGTAGAAGCAGGAGCTTTACGTCGGACTAGCTAAGTACAAAGTATTCAATGAACAAGCTTCCCTGCTCAAAATTTTGCACTTCCAGCACATCAACATGGGGCTGAAGGCTTGAGACCAGCCACATGGAGCCACACATACTGAAATTTATAAAGAGCCAGGGATATCTCATTTGGCATGAACACCCTAAATCAGCTAGTCAGCAAAGTCTGTTTTCATAAAAACAGATATGTTGACGGTCCTATTTCACATACATGCCACCAATAGAGAGAAAATATGTGGCAAGCCCTAGGGTTTTTTTTTGTGTGAAAAGCTACTTAAAAGAAGCTTGTTTAGCAGGAGACAGATTCAAATTGGACAACTTCTTTTGTGTAGCTCATTCCCGGGCTGCCTTTTCAAAGAATGTTCCAGTATTAGTCTTTTATTTTCTAGTTTCCATTGAGTGGCATTTGCTAAAGGAAAAAAAGATGACAGGGCTTTAAATATATTTTATGGAACCACTGGCATATAGCGCAAGATTCCAGAGTCAGCTCTGACATGACCCCCTACTCTTTGTATGTAACACATTTCCTGGCTTTCTAAACATTTGAACAGTTGAATGTTTCCACTTCCTGCAGGCCTCATTACTCAAAGATTAAAGAACAAGCAGAAGTTCAAAATGAATTGTTCTTCCTTAATAAAACTATCACTGCTAGATCCTTTTGAGAAATTATACAAACATGTGTTATGAATTCTGGTTAATTTTTCATTCTGAGTGCTATACAGGACAAATACTTTAAAAAGGATGCTACCATGTCAGATCAGTCTGTGCCTGAGAAAACAGGAAGAATGTGCTATTAATTTTCTTCTGTGCTGAGGCAAAGATACCAAATCTTCCTTAAGCAACATTTACAACTAGCACTGAAGAAAATTAAGCCAGCTTCCCCTTAGGTATGAAGCAAACTAATGCAAAACTGATTAACATAATCTAGCATGCTTCCATTCCAGTTATTTCAATAGCATATCCACTTCTAATTGCATGCATCATTGTGATTACTGTGAAAATACATTAAACACACAAGCAGAAAGTAATCACGTAGCAGCCAGAAGAATGAAAATCAAACTTTATTTTATAGAAATGCAAGTAGGAATAATGCCTGTCCTTTACCATTGTCTAACATATTTGAGCATTGGTTACTTTTGATATTTGTGCTTTGTTACAATGCTTTATTATTGAAAACTTTTAAAAATAAAAAAATAAAAACTAATAGTCCAAGTATTTCATTTTAACAATCTAAACTGGTACTTACTTCTAAAAGACCCTTGTTTAAAGCTACAGAATATAAAAATGTCTAGTTGACAGTAAACCTATATACAAACACTAAGTAATTCATTTTTAACTATCTTTGGTGGTTAGAGAAGGAAATGTCATTCTACTGACATCTGATTTAAGTTCATCACCTGGCCACCTCTTTCAGCTTTATATCTTATACACAGTTTTTAAGCTTAGATGCAAATGAGAACCAATTATATGCATAAACTACGTTTGAATTTCACAACAATCATATCCGATGCACAACCACCATTTCCAGCTTCCCATGTCGTGGGGTAGTGGAGACCTGAAAGAACTGAGTAAATCTCAAACATTTAGTTCCATATTAAGATTTCAAAATGCCCATACATGTCTCAAAAGCAGAATGTTTCTCTTCTACTGTTCTTTGTTGCTTTACATCTTGATTATTGCATTCACATGAAAATGATACTGGATTATCAATTGAATGTTAATTCCAATCAAAAGTACAGTATACCATTAGCTTGTGGTATTTCTATGCCCCTCTGTATCTGTTGTCCATAAAAACGGTTAACACAATATGCAAGCAAAAGGGTTTGGCTCCAAAGTTTGCTGGCACTGGTAGCAGCATCACCTGGTGAAGTTCTGCTCAGGATGCTCCTGCCAGGAGAAAACAGTGACGGTAGTATTTTCAATGAATCCCACTTCCTTCTATAACCCCCAGTGCCACCTCTCATGCTACTGCATAGAATCCCCCAACCCCTACAGAGCATATTTTCAGTGGGGCATAAGGGCTGTAAAGGGTGGGGGAAATAAACAAATGTTGTTTCACTCCCCATTCCATCAGCAGGATTCTTCTACTAGATCACAAGCCTTTCTATTCATGGAAGGCAAAGTCTAGATCTAGCTAATTTAAAATACAATTACAATAAAAATACAAACACTCCACAGATCATAGCAAATTAGACAGTCAAGACCTCAAAACCTTAAAAAGGTCCTAAACTACCCATTAAAAGCTTGGGAAATAAATGTTTTTGCCTAGTGCCAAAATAAATACAAAGCGGGCCTCAGAGAAGCCTCATTGGGGACAGCATTTCGCAACCAGGGTGGTCACAGAGAAGGCCCTTCTGACTCATAGTCACTTACAGGACCTCACTTGGCAGTGACACTTGGAGAAGGTTACTAATAATCACCTCAAGGTCCAGGAAGTAACATATGGGAAGTAACCTGGCTAAAAGCAATAACCAAAGGTAGAAGTCCAATCCCAGTTAACAACCTTGCAGCCCTATTTTGGACTAACTGAATCTCCCATAGAGTTTTACAGGTAGCTGCATGTACAACAGCACATTTCAATAATCTAAACATTTTATATAGAACTGGCACTACAATCCTATGTTTTACCATTGGAACAAGACTCCCAGCTTTGAAAAAAAATACATTATGATAGTTTTGCTCCCATTGCTACTTATACCAATACTTGTAGGTTTTCACTTTTGCATACTAATGTCATTGTGCAACAAAACAAAAAGCCTAACACAATTAAAAACAAAACAAAACATTGTGTTTGCTAGTTCTGAAGAATAAAAAGCAAACTGCCCCAGAACTAAACTAATATTTTTGCCTCCTACTCCTCCTGTTCTTGGAAACTTAACTCTATTGTTCTTCCTCCAACGCCCTCCATCTGCTCCAGAACCAGTCAATATGCATGGGATCTATCTGCCTGACAGCTGCAACAGCCAGATGTCACACACTGAAATGCACATTACCTATAGAACCAGAGTCTATCCCATCAGCAACTGTTCTGACAAGACCCTTTGTGCAGCCTTCTGTTGTATTGTTCTTGTTCTTGGCTGTGTCTGCAGCTGGGGAGTTACCACTAAGGCAAGGACATGCTGCATATTAATTTTATTAGTCCTTCCAATAAAGCACCTATTCCCAAAAATAAATGTTTTCGCATCCTGTTCTATAAGCATCATTATATTCTGATATATCCCAATGTCTGAAATTGGAGATCAGGCATGGGGATGAGGGAAGGAACAGCCACAGGGATTGAATGGGTGGGGGAACAGCCACAGGGATTGAATGGGTGGTGGCAGTCAGTGCCTTGAAATTGGCTGCCCCTGCTCTTCCTCATGCAATGAGTGATGTATTGCTGGGTCAAAATCATTACTGCGGTGTGATTTTGAAACCAATTTTGGCCAATATATTTAAAAAACGCACAGTGCTAAAACATACCATAAAACTTGTGATATTACCATGCAAAAATGACCAAAAAAATAGTTGGGGGAGGCAATGGATGGGGCCACAGACCCCCTGGGTGTATTCTGCAGACTCCCAGGGGTCCCTGGACCCCTAACTGGGAATCACTGAGACAGAGGGTACCAGAATATATGGTCTAGAATAGGAGGTCTTCTCTTCAGTCTCACCCTCCACATACAAAATTGCAGGTTGCAGCACTTCATTCTGCTAATATCAAAGGTGCTTACTGGAAACTTGTTAGCATCACTTCTGTCTCTATGGAGTGGGAACATCCCTCATAATATATCAGGCAACTACCTATTGCCTGAGTCACGTTGGTTTTATGAGATAGTTGTGTGAGAGTGAAGATTCAGCTTTAAATCAGTTCCATGGATCCTTTCCCAACTGTCTGGATTGCAAAGGAGAGAACTAACCTTAAATGTTCCACTACTGCTGACCTACATTCTTCAGAGCTGAGTTAGGGCTGTTTAGAAGCCCAACAGTGGCAGATTAGTATTATTATTCTTTCACTTACGGTAAGTAGAAAACGCTCTCACTCACTCAAAAGCTTCGCTCCAGGAAAGATAGCTAGCCAGCTTCTGCCAGCTTCCACACGTGACAAAACGGGGCGCAGACGATGGATTTGTTTTACGGCGAGGCACAATCTCTGCCGGATCACCATGCTCGAGTGAGTTCGTATTTCGCAACACTATTAACGGCATACATCTTTCCTAAAACACGTTCTGCAGTCAATGTGCGTTATATTTACTGAAACTAGTATCTTACCCCGCCCCGCTGCAAAAAAAGGGGTCGCGTTTGTGTTCAACATGCGCGCAAACAAACCTGTTCGTTCCCCAAACTTCAACCCCTTCAAATAACCCAGCCAACCCCAAGCGAAAAGCCAAGCTCGGCAACTACCCGACCCAGGCACAAAATCCTCCTCGAGTCTGGGAAAACCTCTCGTCCTCCGCGGGCAAAACCCGCAGCCCCTTCCCGAGAAACAACCCCCTCCCTGTCGCGTGGCGCTTGCGGCTCCTCGGTCTCCCCAAACTCCCGCTCTCCGTTTGAAGGCGCCTCGTTCGCCGCCAGAACTTCCCCCAGGCGAAGCCACTTACGCGTGAGGATCATCCCGCCTCGGTCCTGAGCGCTGAGCGAAACCGGAGCAGCTTCAGTCTCCAGCTCACTTCATCGCCGCCGAAGGAAACCAGAGCGGGAGCCGGGAGCGTGACAGAGGCTGTGAAGGGCTCGCAGAAGGCACAGATCCCGCCCCGCCGCTGCGCAAGAGAGACGACGCGCCCGCCGGCACCACTGAGGCGAACGGAGCGAGGCGCTGCTGCCTCCACCCCGGCTCCACCCACCCCGCCAACTTCTCTGGGCGGCCGGCGAAGCGCTGAGGGAAGGAGGCGGCTGCCTCAGCCTCGCAGGCACCTGGCGACTTCCTCTCCTCGAGCGAGGGGCTGGGCTGGGCTGGGCGGACAATAAGTAGGCACGGTCGCTGTTGTGGACGTGACTGACAGCGACGTGCCAGGAGGGCCTGAGGAGCTTATCTATATCAGTGCCTCGAGGTGTGTGAGGAACACCAGGATTTAATTTTCTGCATGAAAATACAGGGTGGGGGAAGACATAAGGATGCCCCCTTTCTGTTCCATCTTTGGGCAATAAGCTTCCACAACAGCTTGCTGGATGAAGCCCATGACCCGCCTACTCCAGCATACTCTTCTCAGGGTGGCCAACCTCTTTCCCTTGTCAATGAATAGCTGACTGCCCTGTTCTGTTTTTGAGTTTGGTGGGGGACCCAGCCACTAACACAGGGAGGGAGGTCAGGGCAGCCAGAATGGGCAGCAGGGATACAGAACTCTCAACCACCTCAGCCAGATCAGGGAGGATGGGAGTAGCTTTCCACAACAAAGGGAAACCCAGCCTTATGTTAAGCAACCAGTGCCATTCCTGAATAGAGAAAAGGTGCTGTGCAACCTGAAGCAAAGATTTTGGCATAGTAAATTTGCATCATCAAGGTAGCCACTGGGTGTGAACTGTACCACTAGCAACGTCAGCTCCCTGCAACCATACCCATAATAATACATATACCTCCTTCCTGTGTATTGTGTATTTTTAGATTGTGAGCCTGAGGACAGGGACACTCTTAGCACTGATTTAATCACATAGCCCATCCTCTCACCTTGTTGCCTCCAGGTAACGGCTGTTGTGCCTTGGAAAGACTTCTGCCTATGACCTTCCGTAGCCAGTTGGGAGGAAGTTCGTTCCCTGTTCTTTTCTGAAAACCTCTAAAGAGTAAGATTCCATGGCCTGTCTTTTAGCTATTGCAGAGATATCCCTAGTTAGCAGCTTGACTAAAATTGCATAAAATGGCATATGTAAGTTTGGAAATTTGTTTCCTTATCGGCACACGAACTGAATTTAGATTAGGAATTTATCAAGTATTGGGTCACCACAGTTCCAGAGCTCTTTTTATTACTCAACAGAGCCTTTCACTCAATAAGCTTCCTAAAACCAGTTTGTCAGGTCAAGCATTTATTTATCCTATGCTTCAGTTAAGAAACTGAATTCACAAGAACAACAAGAGTCTTATGGCACCTTAAAGGCTAACATGTTGATTATGGACTAATATTTTGTGGCCCAGAGTCTAATTCATCAGAGGCAGAAGGTACATTTCTTAAGGCTGCATATAAAACATGTATTTAAAACACATGACTTTCCTCAAAGAATCCTGGGAACTGTAGTTTACCTCTCACAGATGTACAAGTTCTAACACCTGCAACAAACTACAATTCCCAGGCTTTAGGGGGGGGGAGCCATGTGCTTTAAATGTATGGTGTGTGTATGCAGCTTAAGGTTACAAAACCTTCTAATTAAGTAAAAACCAACAGATTAACAAAGAAACATTGATACTTAGGAACAGTCTAGTACAGAAGAAAAAAATGACCACCTGTCATCTATAGGTCCCAGCTAAAACTAGCCAAACATACCATTAAGGACCTACAGTCTAACCTGGACAATGACACTTCCTTTTCACAAGCTGTAGGTGATAGGTCACTTACAGCCCACTAACCCAAAATAGCTATTTCCCAGCAATAAAAGACCACAAAACAAACACACACAGAGGAACCAGTACCTGCAACAAATCCATATGTCGTCAGGCAACACTATTACAGGACATCATAATGAGAGCCACAACATCACCTGGTTATCTTCCAATGTGATATATGTCATGTGTTAGAAATCTCCTTCTGCATTCTACATAATAAGTAAAAAAAGGCCAGTCCTTATGGAAAAGAATCAATAGGCATAAATGACATCAGAAATGGGAGTATTCAAAAATCAGTAGAAGTTTTCAGTCTTAACACTCTGCTACATGAACAAAGGAATTTCAAAGGAAGGCTCCAATGTAAAATTGCTGAATTCATCAAGTAATTAAATTCTATTCATTAGATATGACCAGAGACAAATTGCACTTCTTATCTCTGTGCTTATTTTACATACATTCTAGATGTACTCTTCTTAAGTAGGTAGGGCAGAGGAAATTAAATGCAGTTTACACACACACACACCACAGAAATGGTGAGGTATCTTAACCTCATAGCTAAAGCTCTGGATGACTCTAGTCAAGAGGAAGCACTTTTAAGATTCCACATTTAAAAGTAAGGCTACGGTACAATATTCACTTGCATTGGACTAAGTTTCACTGAAATCAGTGCAATTTACTTCTGCGCAAACATAGTGGATTGTTTAGTTAGTCTTCCACCCAAGCAGTAAGATGGGCATGAAATGACACATGAAAGGAAAATTAAAAACAGAAATAAAAAAAATGTGTGTGGGTGGGCGTGTAAACTTGTGGGCATTTATACCACAACACCCACATCTTCAAAGAATCACTGCTTATCTAAAGTTGTAAAAGATACTCTGTGGGTAGTTCAACATAACGTTCAAAACATAAACCCACCCAGCATGCAAGCCGTCCCTATAAGAACACAAGCCAATGTTACACCAAATCTTCCATCATACAACCCTTTTTTAAGAGTGAGATATTGCCATTATTGCCTGTAAATACCAGTTTGTATGCAAACAAACTGCATAATGGTGTATAGCTTTTTAGACAGTTGTTTAGCCACTTAAGCGTAATGGAATTTACTTACAAATTAAATTTCACTTATTTCAGCCTGCCGTTAAGGGCTTGCATGCACTAGCTGTTTGGCAGTTCTCCAAATGATTCTATTTACACCCACTGAAAATTAATTGTCAAAGGCTGTTTTGCATAATGCAATTAGCTTCTATATGATCTCAGCTGTGTTTGAAAAACTTCAACTTCCTGTATCAGTGAGCTGACTTACAAAAATACAGACACAATTCTGGGATATGATCAAGTATCTTATTCTACATTATGTAAGGTTGGTGTGTTATTTTGCACCTATGTTTTGCCAGGAGCTACATGTAGAAAATTGAGGGGTGTGGGGTGTGTGTGTGAAAACCATTATCTGTTCCCAAGAATGTCCTACGCTTAACTCTAATCACAAAAATCCACCTACAGGTCACCCTTTTTTTATTAAAAATATGTTTTTAGAGAAATGTGTGGATTTCTTATCTGGCTCACCAAGCTTTCACATATTATCTATAATAATCTCAAGTTTGCCACTGAATGTGAACTTCAAAGAGTCAGAAAGGCCAGATCCTAAGCAATTGTACCTGTGTGACAGATATGCATATCCTATTCACACTTCATATAGATGTATTTACATAAAACACTCTGCAAACAAGGGATTGCAACACCTTGGGGTCAAGGGTGGGGACCGGAAGAATCAGACAATCTGCTGGTTCCCAATTACAAAATGGCTGGGAATGAGAAGTAATGTGTTTTCCCAGTGCTGCCTTAACATGCTCAAACATGACAGCCTTTTCATAGGCAGATACAGGAATAAATAACAACACAAAATTTGGGTGGTTTTATAAAAAGAATTAGACAAATTCATGGACAATAAGGCTATGGGTGGGTACTAGCCATTTTGGCTATGTTCTACCCCTCCAAATACCAGTTGCCAGGAAAAGATTGCACTCAGGTCTTCCTGATTGGTTTCCTAAAGGCATCTGGTTGGCTACTGTGAGAAAAGGTTGCTGAGCCTGGTAGGCCTTTGGTCTGATCCAACAAGACACTTCTTATGTACTTAATTAGTGCCTATTATTATTATCATTACATTTTAAATTACCGCTGTTATGCCATTTGTTTTATTTGTATGATCATACTGCAATTTGCAAGATCATACTGTGGAGGTTGTTTTAATTGCAGTTTACTTTGTACAGTGGTGCCTCGCAAGACGAAATTAATCCGTTCCACGAGAGTCTTCGTCTAGCGGTTTTTTCGTCTTGCGAAGCAAGCCCATTGACGGATTAGCGCTATTAGCGCTATTAGCGGTTTAGCGGCTATTAAAGGCTTAAAGGCTTATGGGATTAGCTGCTAAAAGGCTATTAAAGGCTATTAAAGGCTTAGCAGATTAGATAAAGGGGGGGAAAAGCGAAAAAAAAATCTCAAGACTCGCAAGATATTTTTGTCTTGCGAAGCAAGCCCATAGGGGAATTCGTCCTGCGAAGCAACTTCAAAACGGAAAACCCTTTCGTCTAGCGGTTTTTCCGTCTTGCGAGGCATTCGTCTTGCGGGGCACCACTGTAATCTGCTTTGAGTGCACTAGTTTCAAAGGAAGCTTATAAATTGTGGGATAAATAAATCAACAAAATGTTCACAGGCCCTCAATAGTTCAAAGAGTGTGACCTCTTAAGAGCATATATGGTATCTCTGTACAGGTCCAAGGCTCTCTCACTTTTAAAAGGAAGATGCCTAAACACAGAGTTAAGGGGTGGGGAAAGAAACACAAAGATTACCAGCATTACTTCAAGTTCCCATTGTGTTGTAATCAGGTGTCCTAATTTAACTGGCTAGCTGGGATTAATAATAATTTTTTTTTAATGGATTTAGTCTAGACAAAAATAGTTTGTGGTTTCATCAGTAGCAAACTTCAGCATTTAGGATTGCTCAACTGTCAGCATGCATTTCAAGGATTTCCTATCATTCATTGCTGTAAGAGGAGTTGTGGGTGTGTGGGGGATGTTCACAACTAGAATCCAAAAACATATATTCAGATAGGGTTGCCATATTTAAAAAAGTAAAAACCAGGACACCCTGAAAGTCGTTGAGTTGTTGTTGTTGGGTTTTTTTAGGGAGAAACCACTGAAATTGTTGACTTGACTTGCCTAAAATCAAGGACAAAGCATCACCTTTTGGAAATTCCCCCCGGAAATCGATTCCACCTTTGAAATCACAATAATTTCTGGGAAGATCCAGACGTATGGCAGCCCGAATTCAGATGATCTCTTACCAGCTGAATTCCTATAAAATTGGGCTGAGGGATGCAGAACTGTTGTGCTGGATGTCACTCGCTTTTATGAAGCATTTTTAATGCTATGCATTTAAGTCTATTTTAAAATGACAATAGTTGTCCCAAGGGTAGCCAACATGGTGCCCTCCAGAGGTTGTGAACTACGGTTCCCAACATCCCAGCCCACTTCTCATGCTGACTGGGGCTGACAGGAGTTGTAGTCTATAGTATTTGGTGAACAGCATGTTGCCTAGCTCCCTTCAGATTTGAGGAAGAGCACAAGTGTGATTTAAGCACACACTGTATATTTATACCAAATGTTTATTCTCTTTTAAATTATATTTAATGTAAAGTGGGATTTGTTAAATATATAAACTGTCCCGTAGAGAGATTCCTACCTACCTAAATAGGACTGGCAATGCACCTACCCACACAGATGCTACAAGGTGCAAGTTTTTCAAGTGTTTGCTCACAGCACAGATGGCAAAGCCTCAACAAACAACAGCCCCGTATTTATCTGATCCATTCAGCAACCAGATTAGACTTGCTTCAAGTTTTCCCTTTACTTGCTTTGCTTTCCAAGCCCCCTGATTCATATAGCACAATGCTACCTGAAGTTATGCACACCAGAATAGTCTTTAAAAGGACCAGCTATGTCAAAGTGATTAGCCAGTCACAGAAAAGGAGAGCGATAAGGTATTAGCTAAACTGTAATTTCCTTGAGTACAATTTAAAACACACCTCTAGATCATGCTAAGAAAAGGCAGAGGAACATGGGGAAAACTGAAAGGTTATAGTTATTAGTTAAGAGAACTTAATAATTATGAGTTTGCTCATTTCTCAAATATTTGCTAAGCTGACTTGAAATAGAAAACAAAATATGTTAACATTGTAGCTTTCTGTTTGTATAATTGTTTCGTATAAACGACTGGTGTCTCCAAAACTATTTCTCAACTGCTTAGTATTTCAGATTCTGTACGGTTTAGTGACAAAGGTGGGACTAATTTCAACCTAGCTTTTAAACTGCAAATTCTAGTTATTTGCTAAACTGAAGTAATACAGATGTAATCATATACACCTGGGATCTCGAAATGCAGTCTAGTTTAGGGATTCTCCACAATATATGGAGTATCTACGAAATGGAAGCAATCTTGGGGACAAATATACCCTTATTTGGTTATGAATTATCCTGCAAGTCATCTCAAAGCAGCTCACTTTAAACAAAATTCCCAAACTATTTAAAGATTATAAAATAATCTCTTAGGCCCTAAGTAGGGCAGATGGGGACAATCCTAACTGCCAGATATGTTACAGCTGACACAATCAAGCCTGGACTCCACCTCCCGACTATTTTTTTGAAGAAGAATATGCATTCCTTTTCCCAAGCCAGATTTTGGCTTACTGTGTCTTCTCCAAGGGACAAAGCTGGGTTGCCTAGCTTGCTTCATGTCCAATTTAAAAAGAAGATCAGACTAAGGGCTAGGTAGAATTAAAGTGCAATTTTATTTTTTATCTATCATGTTTTTATGCTTTTATCCTGACCCTTCTCCCAAAGCAGGCAGGGCCAAACTTGGCCCTCCAGATGTTTTGGGACTACAACTCCCACCATCCCTAGCTAACAAGACCAGTGGTAAGGGATTGTGGGAATAGTAGTTCCAAAATAGCTTGAGGGTCAAGTTTGGAGATGCCTGTCCCAAAGGATCCCAAGGCGGCAAACAAGCAATAAAACAATAAAAGGGCAATTAAAAACATCTTTAAAAACACCCTCAGTGCAGGTGCAGACTGTAAAAAATCCCAATACTGATGCAGCCGTTAACTGATGGACATGCGTAAGCCCTAGAAATCCCTACCCAGCCACTTCAGACACAATTGTTCAGAGTAGGCAGCTGGGTTCTTCTTGAAACTAAAACCTGCTTTTTCTCCTTTTCAAGTGGCAGCATATGTGCTTGCGGACAAATTGCAAATGGAGAACTGAGCTTTGTGTTCTGTAAACATTTGGGGGCCCATCACTTTATGGGGATAATATGTGGGACAGTAGACTTTGGCTACTGAAGTATTTAATGGGGAACCAGTAGCCCTCCATATATTCTTGGACTACAACTCCTATTGTACCTGACCATTGGTCATGCTGGCTGGGGGCTGGAGGGCCACAGATTCCCCATATGTAGTCCAACCTGAATATTTAGTAAATCAACTCAGATAGTGCCAGTTGCTATAAGCCTCCAGTGACCTCCTTCCAAAAGGACACTAACTCTGTTGCAGCCTGTAAACTTTTCAACATTCAGAGAAGTCAAGTGGGTGTAATAATTGTGCACTGGGTGCATCAAGGACTCCATGAGCCATGTTTGTCAGGGTACACATTTTAAAATAATACTGGATCACTAATGTTTCAGAAAACTGGGTCCCTCTTCTCTTCCAAAATGCCACAGGTATATCCCTGGGATCAATTATTCTTCCTTTCATGTATTTTCTTCCTTTAATTCCCCCCCTCTTTTTTTGTAAGATAACTGCCCCTGAACTCTAATATCCTATACTTCAGAGGAAAGCAACTTGTAGAGTACACACATTCCAGAAAACTACACTAGCAATGCAAGACCGGCACTGTTCCAACAACTGGAGTCATTTGGAGCCAACCCCCTCCCACCCTCTACATATTTGAACTCTGATATCACTAGACTATTCCCTATGTAATCATGCCACCACCAGAAACCCTGCTTGCTCTCCCTTACCATGAATATTCAAAGGAACTGCTTGAGCTATAATTGTGGACACAAAGCAAAGTTTATAACTGCTAGAGTTAGCGAATTGTAGAAATGAATAAATGATAGAATTTAGATAATATTTGGAGTACTAAAGGGAAGATGCCAGGCCAGGGCCTCACCTGAGATAGAAGTCCTGAAGAATGAAAAAAGGTGCTAGAAACAAGTCATTAACCAAACTGGGACAGCTGGGACAGAAGCACAATAACCTGGTTGATTGAATCCATCAACCAGGTAGGAAGCTCTGCTGGTGAGGACAGGAAGCTGCCAAGGTGATGGGGAGGATGTGATGTCACATTAGAAAAAATACTGTCTTTTTAAAATCAGAGGTCTGGATAAGGTGGGCAAGCAGATAGATGGGGAGCTGCTGCTTGGAGCGGGAGTATTTAGGAAGAAGAAAGGAAGTGGGCAGAACTCCATAAGCTGCTGTGAAGGGCAGAACCATCTTGCGCTGGCTGGGACAGATGCATAAAGAGGGTATGCAGGATGCCTTGGACTCTAATGTTGTACTGCTGTGGAAAACAAGACCCTATTAACATGCAATGCTCCAAACTCCAAAGTAGATCAGGTGCAAATATGTGTACAATAAACCATATTTCTTAAAGATACTAGTCTCCACTTTGCCCTGATTTCCCAATGGAAACACAACTCTGGGTGAGCACCTGGACCCCCTGGGATCTTGCTACTGCTTGGTAGAGATTGGGGGTGGCGCATAGTCTAGGTAGCAACATTTTTTAAAGTGTGCCTAGCTTTATGTTCTGGGCTCTTATCTATTCAGTGAACCCCATTGTAAATACATACAGTGGAACCTCTACTCATGACCACAATCTGTTCTGGAGGCAGTCCAGAAGTCGAAATGGGTCGCTGGGAGAGGTGCCATTGTGCGCAGGCGCAGGTGGTGATTGCCCGCTTCTGCGCATGTGCGAACGGCGATCACCCCTCCTGTGCATGCGTGAACAGTGGCAAACCCGCCAGTTACTTCCGGGTTTGCTGCGGACATTGGGTGAAATGGACACGAGCGGAGGTGGACGTAAGAAGAGGTTTGACTGTAATTCCCAGTTTAGCATTAGATGCATCTACTTCATGCTGTTCACCTCTCAACAAGGCATCTGTATCATATTGTTTTTTGTTTTGTCTGGCAAGCTTGTAGGGAGCATGTGTTGATGAGCAACTACAGAAATCCAGTAACAAAATAGCTAGGACTCATAAGCACTTTGGTCTTTGCCTCATTATGTATCCTAACAGAACAGAAATTATGCAAGAACACAATATAGTCTCTCTCCCACCCACATCAGTGCCTAAGGGGCATTCTCAGCATCCTCTGGAACATGCCAACCTAGGGAGAGCCTGATCTAGGCTGTGATAACTTCTCCATTACATTACAGTAGGAGACACTTAGAAGCTATGCAAGTCCACCACACCTTTTAAAAATCTTCAACAGTTCTTGGACATTTAATCTACATAAGGGAACAAACAAGAAAATTATTCTTGGCAGTATGTTTCAAGGGCAGAACTGAAAATTACACTAAAGAAAGAAGCTGCAATAGATACATGGATAAGTAAAATAACATACTAGGTAGAGATGACAAAATAAAGGCCCATTTGCTCCCCAAAAGCATTTATGCAGCTATATTCTACATCCACTGTCAGAGGTATGCAGCTGAATGGCAGTTGCGAGGAGAGAGCTGTTGCACTGCTTCCAAGCTTCCCACAGGCATCTGTTCGGCCACTGGGAGGACAGGATGACATGCAGTATGATCACATCTTATGCACATTTAACTTCTGCAATCTCAACCAAACCCAGTTGAAGGCAGGCTGGTTGAAATTGTGCAGTTAAATCCAAGCAAAGTGGAGAACTAAAAAGCTTGTTTTGTGCTGGGTCCACTTTGGGTTACCTGGTGCAGAAAGAGCTTTTAAGCTCTCCCCTTTGCTTGAGGGGCACTCAGTGCTCCAGTTCTGGGATGTTCTTGCAAAATCTCCTAAGCACCTGACATGTGACTTCTTTGGTTTTTGAATCTAACCTCCTCCAGCTTCCTCCAATGTTCTGATGGCAGCCCTTCTTTTTTTAAAAAAGAATTAAGTAAGAGGGTTGTGCAGAGTGAAAAGCAGCACAGCTGCTCCCCTGCAGCAATGCTATCCTTTCTACCCCCTCCAAAAGCAACACATAGACTTGAGTACCACACTATTAGCACTACAGACTGCACTTTCGGAAAGAATATGGCTGGGCAGCACTCAACTTGATAAAGCACATTCCAGTCAGGGCTTAAAGGACAAGAGTCAGATGCATCTTCTGATAGATTCTTTTGCAACTGACTAACCTTATTCCCTGCACCCCCAAGTAAGAGGTGTATTTGCTTTGGATGAAATATCCCCTTTAAGCAGAGCAAAGTAAACCCTCTGTTTCACATTGTGAAATCTTAAGGGTTTTGACAGCTTTTACACTGCATATGAATCGGTCTTTTGTTTCAGCAGTTAATACAAAAGCTGGCTCCTGGGGCCATATCTCAAAGCACAAGTATGTCTGTATGTGCCTTCTCCATTCCATAGAATAAAATGGGTAGGATGTGCCAGCAAACAGGAATACTACTGAGAAAACAAAAGCAAGAGTCAGATACGTGCAAACATGCCAGTCTAACCAAGTAACAGCTACAGGGACTGTGTGATGTAGCTAACAATGTAAGGATGTACTTACTGAAGAAGAATAAAGGGAAAAGGTGGGGGAACAGGATTGTTTTACGTTAGCAAAAGCAGCAGCAAGAGGAGGAACACACATTGATTGCATGTTACCTTGAGATTTGAGATAAGTACAAAATGTGCTCCCTTCTTTGCCCATAGCACACATATGTAATTCTCCTAAGCAATGTAGCCTAAAGTCAGGTGTTGTGAACCTTTGGCATTCCTGGAGTTTCTGAACTACAATACCTATCATCCCTGGCCATTGGCCATGCTTCCTGGAGCTGATGGGAGCTGTAGTTCAGCAGCATCTGAAGCGTCAAAGGTTCTCCACACCTGCCTTAAGCCTATTCCTACTGGAATTTGACAAGAGTAAAAGGTGGGGGCCTTATAATCAATAAATTGAAATAAAAACTTGGAGTACACAGAGGTTAGAAACAAAACTGTTTACAGTTGGTTTAAATTTAAGAAGGGTTTTCATAGTTGTTTCCATCACATCACAGGTACAGTAATTAACTCCTTGCTAATTTAAGTTTTGTGTAGGCAAATGCTGTAAGATTGTAACAAATTCCTAAATGAAATAGTAACCAATACCTATCCAGCAACTTAGCTTCCCACACAATTCCCCCAAACAGGTGTGGATGCTATATTAGCACAAGCACACACATTAAAATTACGGGGTGGTGAAAAAGCCTTGGGGAGGTGGGGGCAAAGATGAGCAATAGTGATTCATCATCTGTTTTGGATACACCATCTGTGTTTGTATGTGAGCTTTCAGAAAATGTTATATATATATATTACAGTTCTGACAGAGGTTTTAGTCTTGTTGCTTTTGCTTGACAGATGTGAAAGATGAGACCTGGAAGACCCACAGCTCAATTTAACCAATTCCTATGTTAGGTGACAGGGGCCAGAGCTACCTGATAAAGAGCAGATTGTCTGCTGTAAAGGATACTGGGAGTGCCCCTCTTAAAATTGTAGGTGCAGGGGTGAGGACCACAGCAGGGAGAAAAGCCCCTGTCCACCCACTTCACTGTCTCAATCCAGCTTGGTGGTAATGGAGGGGGTTGCACCAGCTATTTGTAATATATATTAAAAAAGATATTCTACACTTGAAGGAATACTATAGTAAAAGCATCATTGCAATTCAGGAAGCTTTTAGAAGCTGCCCCCCTCTCCACACACACATAACAACTCCTAAGTATACAAGGAGTTAACACCACAATCACAGCCCACTTCTAAAGAAAGTTCACTTTAAGGTTTCAGCCATCAGTACAAAGACAGCTGCTTTTGGCTGCTATCACATGACAACAGCTTTGAATGTAGCCAAGTCATCCAAGCACAAAAGAAGTGTCATTCTAACAAGACATCTGTGCAAAGAGTCAGACAATCCTAACTGCAGCATTTCAAAATAATCCAGCAGTACTCTTTGCATGTACTCTGTGGTCTCACAAGTAAACTATTACAGTCATACCTCAGGTTGAATGTGCTTCAGGTTGAGCGCTTTCAGGTTGCGCTCCGCAGCAACCCGGAAGTAACGCGCTCCATTACTTCCGGGTTGCTGCAGAGCGCATGCGCAGATGCTCAAAATGACATCACGCGCATGCGCGGAAGTGGTAAAACGCAACCCGCGCACGCGCAGACACACCATCACATCTTATGTTCCATTCAGGATGTGAACGGGGCTCCAGAACGGAACCCGTTCGCATCCCGAGGTACCACTGTATTAGAAAGACCCCAAAACCAGCAAAATTGATATGAGCACATTACTAATATATTGTATCTGACACACAGCCACCCACACAGAACGCAACTGTAAGATAATATTTGTCAGTACTGTTACTGCCCTTCCCCCTCAATAATGGTCCTACCAACTTTAATGCAGAACATCAGTAGTCTTACCTTTATCTGGTTCACAGCTGTAAGCTGCAGGACAACTAAGGTGAGCTACCTCACAGAAGAAATTAAGTTTTGTACTTTTTCAGTCTTATAGGCTGGTCAAGCTGTTCTGACCTGAAAAGAGTCTTCTGCGAAAAGACCCTTGGGTCAATTGAAATTGACCTCCAGTATCTGAGAGAGAGGCTCACAACTTGCTTTCTGTGAAGAGATGAGCAACCACAACCCTTCTCCTAGTTTTCAGCTGAATTTTAGGAGAAAAATGCAGCTAAAAATACACACACTAAAGTTATTTTTCCATGTGAGCAATTAACACAGTTGCCAGCGGACCTTTTTACTGTTGTAAACAGAGAAGAGAGGGCTCCATGAGCAAAGGGAAAGGCTAAAACTGGATTGCGACCCCAGCTGCACTGTCTGCCAAAGGTCTCTCAGCCAAGCCAAGTCCCTCTGCCCATGCAGCATTCCCACAAGGTAATGGAAAGCTTTGGCAAAAGATGGCCAGCAGTGCCTGGCTCATGTTGATGTTAATTCACTAATGAAAGATTTCAAGCTGCTATAATGGTGGAGAAAGGGAGGAGAGTTGATAGGCTCCTCCAAATAATGTTTTGGAGCATTCATCCACATTTGCTTGCATAAAGCTTTTGCAGAGGTTAGACCAGGCTTCCTCAACCTTGGCCCTCCAGATGTTTTTGGCCTACAACTCCCATGATCCCTAGCTAGCAGGACCAGTGGTCAGGGATGATGGGAATTGTAGTCTCAAAAACATCTGGCGGGCCGAGGTTGAGGAAGCCTGGGTTAGACTATGTGTGGTCTTCACTGAGAATTTCTTCTGATTTGTTTGTTATACGACAATGAGCTGTCATCTTGATTTCTTCTGCTGTGTTTAGATGTCTTGTTAATCACTTGTTCACACTACACTTTTCAATGCATTTCTTCAATGCTTTCTGAACCACAAAACATCTGTTTGTTCATTATTATTATTATTATTCTAAAGTGGATTTGTTGTGCTAGAGACAGAGGCACTTTAAACCACTTAAACTGCACAAACTGAAATTTCCAGTATGTGCTTGAAACTCTCCTGAAAAACATTGGTGGTATGGCGGTAACCAAAGACCAAGTATCTGATATTTACAATTAGCTTAAGCATGGAGGAAGAGTTCCTTTTTGCACCTGACAACAACTATGCAAAAAAGGCTGCTTGATAACCAGTGTTCTGATTAGAGAACAAGCAAAGCACTGTGGGAAAACAGGATGCTGGACCTGATAGGCTTTTAGTCTGTTCCAGCAGTACTGTTCTCATGTCCTTATGAGCAGCTTGGCAGGGTGAGGATATATGTGGCACCCATACATAGCTAGATCAGCCACCACAGATCCTCATTATAGCTAAACAGTGGCAAAAGTTCCCTCCAGTTCTGTACCACCAAGCAAACAGTGAATCCTAGCCAAAGGAAACTCTTTTGAAGAGCTCAAACAAGAGGAGGAAATACTCTGGCAAGATAACCCCTTATTACCACACTGCACTGTTTTAGTTATATAGCTTTCACTGCTGCTGCTAGGGAAGGTTAAACACAGAAAAGGAAGTCCACCCAGTTTTCAAGCCGTATTAATAAGTTCCATGCAGCTTTCCACACGGTCTGTGCCAAAAATCCACGGATGTTACATAAGAACGCTAAGTGCCCTGTATTTATTTTTCTTTGTTTTTCCAGATCTGGAATGAGCTCATATTGTTGGCTAGAAAAGAAGTGTTAGCTTTGAATCAGGAGGTCCACCAAAGTTCAAAAATGTGTTTTAAATGGATTTTTTAAAAATGTTTTTCTTTTCTGGGTTAGGAAGCAAAATCACCTACTTGTCCTGAAAATAGAAAACAATGAAGAGAAGGATTTAATTTTCAGCCTTGTGAGACCAGACAGCTGCTGGGAGAGGGCAGTGGGGAAAATAATGATGAACCAGCTGAAAAATCACATAAAAATGTAGCAAAAATGGGAAATATTTGACAACAAATTCAATAATTTTTTTAAATAAAAAAGACAAGGGGCAGCCAGGGGCTAGAAGGCCTCAACGGATGCTGTTCTACACGAAGCCTGCATTTTCAAATTTGCCCTGGCTTGCAGACACATTTTTCAAGCACCTTATCTTTCCCTCTCCTCACATGCAAAAGCAAACTGATCTTGTGTTATGAAATACAACTGGTGATGAGCTGTTGGTAAAATATGCATGCAAGTTATGTATTTGAGTAATATGGTACTTTTGTTTCCTTGGCACACACACACACTTAACTTTCATTAGTGATCCCCTTGCCACTTCATTTCACAATAATACTCCTACCTACATCAACTAAGCTATGAACTACAGACATGTTCTAGGAGTCTGTTCAGCACCTGGGCATGTAACTGCCTGGAAACCCCATGTACACACAGACTTCAGTTGCATGATGGAAGTAAGGCAGAATATAAAAGAAGAATAAAATAATAAACAACACCCCTTGGTATTTTATCCTGTGAACTGACCTGAGATCTTGTAATGAAGGGTGGTATGGAAGTCTAATAAATAATAATAATAATAATAATAATAATAATAATAATACATCCCTCCATTTGGCGAATTATGTAGTTATTCCTATTCTCTCCTACTTCTACTTTTCCCATTCCCATCCACAAGAGCACCCCTCCTCCTATTCCATGACTGCTAAGCTTACTCAGGAGTCTTTGATGGCAGAAATTGTCAACAGCTTTTTGAAAGTCCAAGTAATTTCCCTATTTGCCTCTTTTTTGATACACTAAAAAGGAACACCCAGCCTAGCTTAATCTAGCCTTTCCTTTTTGCGTATCTGCGTGTGAGTGAATGTGCTCTGTGTGAATGCTGACTTTCTTGGCATTTCCACCAACACATTAATGCGATGATTAAAGACATTCCTACTTACTTTGCCTGTCTCCCTATTCATTCACCAATTTTGAAACAGTGGATTTCTACTAATTATCAGTCTACAGTTCCACTCATCCTTTCTACTACATTTCTTCAAGTGTCATAGCTGTGAAAAATCGGCAGAAATGTTCTGGCACCACCTAGAAGGTGCGGCACAGCACAGCTATGATGAAGAAGGTTGTACTTATCACTGCACAAAGAATGTGAAATACGCTTTCTCATTCAGTCATAGAGTTACAATGCAGGAAGGAAACTAAGCATGTTTGTTAAAGCAACAGATGATTTCTAAGATATTTAAAGGCTAATGGTAGCCTTAACAGGAGGCCTGTAGTATTTTAATGATTTTCAGCAACTCCAGAAAATCTTGATGAAGGAGGTCTAACAAAATGGCTTCAACACTGAACAGATTATGCAGATAAAGAGGCTGGACTTTAGCGTACCTCATAATGTTTTGGTTGATAAATTTTTACAATCTGTACACAGGCATTAGGCTTTTCCAGAAGGTGGAACTCTTTTTTTTTTATGCATACCATTTTTAAATTACTCAGTTGTTGCACAGAAACCACACATCTTTCATCAGAAGTGTAACTTCTATGCAGGCAATTATGGTTGACATCTGTCCATCTCAAGAGACAATGGAGTGTGCTTCCAGGGTTGAAGGCAAACCCCTACATTAGAGGTACCAAAGTGACCTTTCTGGGGCTAAAGCCTAGGCGGTGTGTATGGAAATCTTGGGTAGCCCAGACGACAAGACCCGCCCCCCTCTTGGCCTCACTGATGTGATCCAATGGAAAACACCAGCATTTGGCACCAGCTTGCCAGAAAGAGGTGTACAAGGTACCATCCAACCATCTTAGCCACTCCACTCCAGATTTATGTAGGGTTTATGCAAATAGTTTTGGGGCACCATCCAGAGCAGATTCTGGGTGCACAGAGAGAAAGAGCAAATCCCACTGACAGAATGGAATGCAGTTGGTGCAGCACTAGATAAAACCACTTATGATTTGAGTTTTATCAGAAATGCCACTCTGCATACATAGGCTCCTGATAGTAAATATGGTTTTAAACAGTGTCAAATTGCAAAGCTCCCCTATTTGTGCCTTATTGCAGTGACCATCATCCACAACAACTGAAAATGAATAGCTCCAGGGGATGTCTGAAGCGGTTTCCCCATTTCTCGCTCACTCATTGCAAAAGCCTCAGGCTTACAATAACACAACAAAAAATACCACAAAAAAGCAGCTAACAGACAACTTCCACGCAAAAGAAGATAGCAGCTCAGGCCATAAAAAGGGGACAGTTACTAAAGGCCTGAGAGAATTCTACAGACTTTGCCCTGGTGCCTCACTAGTTAAACAGGCAAGGGAGGAGAGTTCCATAATCTGAATACCACCAGCGAAAAGGCCCCCTATCCAGTAACCACACCCCTAGGCTGGAGCACCTGGAGAAGGTATTTCCTGGGAGGTAGGTTCATGTTGGAGAAGACATTCCTTTAGATAGCACAACTTTTCTCCATGGAGCCATTTTCTTGGGACTCTCTCATCAATTTCTGCTCCTCCTTTTCTGTCCCTAAGGACAGCTAAGAATGATCACCTTATTTGCTAGAACGCAAACAGACTTTAAAGGAAGGGGAGCAAACAGCTGCAACACAGTTCCTCTTCTACAGAAAAACTACCTTTTCCATTCACTACCTGCATGAAAAGTATCCTCTCCATTCATTGCATGTGAAATAGAGAAGATCACACTATTGTATCTTAATCAGACCAGTGGCATAGCTAGCTGCTTGGGCACCCAGGGTGGTATGCGTGGCCTGTGAACGTGTGCCACGCACAGGGGATGGGGCAATGTGCCCATGGGACAGGGCAAGGTGTGCCGGAATCCCAGTGCCCAAACCGCTTTTTCAAGCAACATGGGGCCTACAGGCAGTCTGAGCCACCGCGTCACTCCCAGGAGAGCTGCGTGGCTCAGGCATGCTGCAGGCCCTGTGGTAAGTGCTGCCTCCTCGGTGTGGCTCCCAGTGTGCCCCACCCCTTCCTAGCTACACCTCTGAATCAAACTATGCATAACTTTCCTCCCAAGTCTAACATGTGGTAGGGTCATTCTTTGAAACAATTGCCTGGATAATCCATTAGTAGTAGCTCCAGTCCAATAGGTTCCAGTCAGATTTCAGGATTATGCCTCAAGCCTGATGGCACTCTAAGGATAACACCCTGTTGAAATACAGTCAGCACCTTTGCTGTACCAGAGCCCGTTGAATTTAAGAATTCACAGTAAACAGACTGATCTGTGCCTTACTTGAAGATAGTGGATATGGATTGATATAACTGCATTTATTTCTTAAATAAGCATATGATTCAAGAGACAGACTCATTTGTAATCTCATAGAAAAAACACACTATGAAACACTCACTTTCCTGATTATACAAAATTGGTATAGTAACCATTTTTTGGTCTTTAGGGCTGACAAACTAAGCAAAAAGCACACCTAGTCACTATCTCAGAGAACCTTGCCACCATTAAAGCTCATAAGAACTAAACCCTTCCCCTGTTCTGAGTGGCCACTTACGGTAAGTTATGATAATCCATCTTGGCTCAAGTTCTCAACAATAGAGATCTATCAAAAGTGTTTATGTAATTTGTATAACTTTCCCACAGTTATTTTTGAATGGGGTGATGATTACTATGGAGGTACAAAGCATTCTTACTGCTTTGCCATAAAAATATTTTAAGGCAGTATCTAAGACTGTGAAAGAGGACACAGCTTCCCTTGAGTTGTCTGGCTAACATCAGGAAGAGAGCAAAAGTGAATGATTTTACCATTCACAGCTATGTGAAATATCTTCACAACTTTTTAAAAGAAACCTATTTGTTAAAAAAATGCAAAAACTGATAGCATTTTATTAGAAAGTGATAATTAGATGCACAATAAATGAGTTCTCAGATTTGGAAAGCTATTTCAACAACTGATTTATTTGAAGACTTTCTGTAAACATATAAATGCTAACGTGTTCTGTTGATTTAAGCATTTGCTTTCCTGTTAGTTTTTTAAAGCAGCACCAACTTGACCGGATGTGTTATTTACATTTCCCATGTCTTTTAAAGCATGTTTCACATACCACATAAGAGTTTCCTACTCCTGAAGCAGTGAACTTTATTTGTGACTTTAGTATAGAAATGGAAAAGCAACAATTGTGTGATAGCTCAGTTGGCAGAGCATAAGACTCTTAATTTCAAGGTTGTGGGTTCGAGCCCCACATTGGGCGAAAGATCCCTGCATTGCAGGGGGTTGAACTACTAGATGATGCTTGTGGTCCTTTCCAACTCTACAATTCTATGTTTCTAAGCCTTAGTAGCAGTAGCTGTAGTAGAAAGAAGCAGAAAACTGCTGCATTAAAAACAGATGCTTAGAAAACGTGATTATGCACACACACACACACACACACACACACACACACCACTGCTGATGGTGAGAAGTTTCTGGGGCAGCACTGCTTAGGTTGGCTTTCTTTGAAGGCGGCACTCAAGACTTAGGACATTTTTAAAATACTTCGTTTGTTGACAAAAAGAGTAAGTGGAAGCCAGCAAGCAACATGTGCACTCCTACACACCAAAGAGACACTCAACACCAAAGATGCTGCCAGCCTCCAGCTAACTCTTGGCCATTTCTCTGTTTCCAAAACTCCTTTTTTTGTCCTCATACCCACTCCACACCCACACCCACACCACTTCATATAATTGCGCTCCTCCTAGCTGGGGTAGTAGGAAGGTTTGTCATCTTCAAAGTTCTCATTTGAGCATTTTGAACAGGAGAGCTATTAGTTCTCCAATGTATTTGTAAGATTTCATCCCTGACCTTCACCATAAAATCCCAGGGCAGGTTATAAAAATAACAAGCACTTTCTCTAACAAAGGAATGCCCAGATAGCTACCATAACGATCAAGCTTACAGCTTTATAGCTAATTTACAAGTGGCAAATTTTTTTGTATCAGATGGGCTCTGATCTTGCTTTTCTTAACTACTAAGAAACTGCTCTCTCTAACACATTCCAAGGAAGACAAATATACTTTTATTGTTATTTAATGAAACTGTGTAAACACTCCTAAACCCTGTAACTTCCTGCAAGCTGTTGGAAGATTTCCTTAAGTATAGAAGAACCCATCTTTGTTTACACTCTAGGGCTGCAGCAACCATGAAAGCGAGGCCTGCCTTCTGAGGTTACAGGTTCCTTTGTCCAAAGCAGAGGAAATCTGGACTACCACAAATACAGTCACAGAACAGAGCCATTAAAAACTCTGAAGGAACACCTTACTTCGGAAATTCCTGATCTTACCTGAATTCAGCATTGACCCCAGAGAGAAAAGGCAGTTAAAGTTAAAGCTACGACAGAGGAAAAGTTGATTGTGCCACTCATTTATGAAGCAGCATAGCTGTTGCATTCGCTATTATCATCTCCACATATTCAAGTGTCAGTCAATCCTGGAAATATCAGTTCACATTGGTCCACTATTTGCATGCATCTTTACAGCAAACCCCCAAAATTGTGGATGTGTCTTCCTGAATTGTCCTGAGTGCAAAAATTAGCAAATGAAGTAGCCATGAGACAAAGACTAGTAGATAGAATGTATACATAAATCCTTCCAGCCTTTGAACTAGATTCTTAAGTGGCACAGACTTTGTCCCTCACAAGGTAGCAAGAGCAACACACACACACACTTTTGGACTGACATAGCAGGCTGACAGCAAGGTCTACCCAGAAACAAAGACTGTTGTTGTTCCTGACTACCTCCTTTCAGATGGTAAAGCAGCATGAAGAATACCAGCTACCGTTACTTCTCAGAAGTCAGAACCTCTCAGACTCTACCAAGGGCCCTTCCAAATGAGATGTTTATAGTGCTATAGTCACTTATTGTTTGAATAGGGGTTTTTTGGGGGCAAAACTGTAGTGGACTTTCAACACTCATCACATGCCACTGTTTTCTGGAAGATCAGTGCACTTTATTCCAATATACACCAGTGACTGAATATGGTCAGATTGAGATCAAAAAGTAGCAACCTGTCATCTGTTGAATTTTAAGTCTCTCCAGAGTTGTCCAATATGAAAGCATGATCAGAAAATGTAAATCAAGTCAAGTTGTAGGGATTGGCACCAGCCACGTACAGCAGAGGAGCTGGGATATATCCTACTTAATCTTCTTGAATTAAGACAGCACTTATACACCTTTTTGAAAGCAAAATCCTTTTAAGTTCACACTGATCAAGTTAGATGGTATCTTGCTAAAGATTCATGCCCATTCTGCACTTTGTACTTCTGCATTTAAATATTTACTTCAATTATCTTAAAGAAGGGTTAATTGATTCTTGCTGTTCCAGTTCTCTTTTTATGTAGTCTTTATTTATGCATTTTGAACAGTAAACACAGATAAACTAACTCAAAGGAACCCCTATTCTTGCTCCCTTACCATTCATTCAATGTGTACCTGTATATCATTCACACAGAGGTAAGTTATTTCACAAATCATGTGTATATATTAAGATCAACTGTAGGTATTATATAATATCATGTTAATTGTTTCCACAGATTATGCCAGAAATTGCCAAGTGCTGAAGGCGGTGTCCTCATCCTGTTGTTTCTGATATGCTGAATAAAAATATACCATGTTTCCTCAAAATAGTCTTTGTTTGGTGTATTTTTTTTTAGAGCCTTAAGTTGCTTGGATAGTTTTTCCATGAGTGCAGTGTTCTAGATCTTATTTTATCATTCCTCAAGGGTCAAATCAGCAGCTACCTTCCAATTTTGAGCTAAAATTTGCCATCATTAAAAAGGGATTTACATTTGAACTGTAAAACAAATACCTTTATCTATTACTAAACTCCAAAAACCTTGAACATTCTCACAGCTCCACTACATGTGCTAATAAGACTCCTCCAATATAATGGGTTGGATTGACGGTTTATTTTGTAGCCTCTGAGAGGTGAAAGATGCCACCAATCTTAATACAGTGGTACCTCGGGTTACATACGCTTCAGGTTACATACGCTTCAGGTTACAGACTCTGCTAACCCAGAAATAGTGCTTCAGGTTAAGAACTTTGCTTCAGGATAAGAACAGAAATCGTGCTGCGGCGGCAGCAGGAGGCCCCATTAGCTAAAGTGGTGCTTTAGGTTAAGAACAGTTTCAGGTTAAGAACAGACCTCCAGAACGAATTAAGTACTTAACCCGAGGTACCACCGTATTTTCTTTTATCTTGTTGATACAGGCTTAAATGGCCATTTCTCCCAAAGTTTATGCCATTTAGTTGGCTCAATATTACAGTTCAAATGTGATTCCCATAGTGGTTTTAAATACTCTATCTTATCCATCACTGCGTTACAGAATAATTTTATAGCTATGTGATAGCAAAATAATATGCCTGGTCCAAAAAAATTAATAATAAGACACACTTCTATCTCATGCCATTGATACCAATAATACCAATTTCCACATTTTGGCTCCACTATTTGGTGTCATTTGGAAGGAGATGTTGATCCCGCCTTCCTAGAAACAATGGTTGTTCCATATCAACAGGCACAAATGATTATACAAGATAAATCCAGCCACTTCCCACATAGGCCAGTTTCAAAGTGGTGCCATAAATAAATTACATTCTCTACCCTGCCACCAGTCTAAGCTAAGCCATTCTTCTTCCAAACACATTTTTGGCATTCTCCCTTTCCCAGCCAATAGAATATAAATCATTCATACTATGATAAGGCTCCCCTTTTTGGTGTGTTCTCTTCATACCTGAAGAATTGGCTAATGTCAAACTGAATCATAAGAGCAGCAGCTTTAGCGGTACTGAACCAATCTAGATAACACCACATTGGGAAGAAATGCTAAAGGCTTTTAGTCAGATAGGAATGTGGGGTTGCCGCAAGCTTTTACCAAAAGTAAGCAGTTATGAATAATTATGACCTTAGTTAAGCAGGCTGTAGGTACCATGCGAAGGGTAGATGAATGAACAGTTATTATACAAAGCAGACTATTCAAGTCACTTACTTCTTTTGAAGTTGCAGGGTGTGCGTGTTAATGTTAAAAATACAAATCATGTTACAATCTATTGCTGCATGAGGCAGTTACAGAGAGTTGCACTTTTTGCATGCCAAAATAATGTTCAGAAATGCTATTCAATTATTCTATGGGAGTATCAAACAAAACCTTCAGATTTACATTCAACACGTGCTCATCAGTATAGGGAACTATAGTACTTGCAAACAAGTCGCGCATGCCAAATAGCATGAGCTCAAAAACCAACAACTCTACAGTTAAAATTATTCATCACACTTCTAAAACCAGCTGCTTTACAATCTGGAGGAATATTTGGAGGAAGCAATTTTAAAAAATAAAATAACAGAAAGGCTCTAGAGCGGGGGTGGGGGCGGATGGACGGACGGGATGCCCGGGAAATTAGCAGTCTAATGTCTGCACCAGGTAAAGTGGTAAACATCATTTTTGCTTGAATTATTAAACATATTGAACAAAGCACCTTGCTCACATAGAATCAGGATGGCTTCCACAAAGAGATAGTGTGGCTTTTTCTTCCTTTAAAATTCTTTGAGGGTATCAACATATTAGTAGGGATGATTCTGTAGACTTAATGTACTTGTACTTCAGTTTTTTCATAAAGTTCCTTACCAAAGCTTCAAAGAAATTAACAGATAATAGAACATGACTCATTAATATAGATTCATAACTGCTCAAAGCACAGGAAATAGAGCGTAGGAATAAATGCAGTTTTTACAATTAAGACGAACAACAGCAGACACAAAATCATTCAGGAAAGTGAAGCCAAAGCAAATTGAAGAGGTCCCAAGAGGAGCTTAAAGCTGTGCAAACAGGCAACAATGTAACATAAAATGCAATAGTCAGTCACATTGGAAAAACTTTATGAAATCCTTTAAAAATAATTCAAGTGAACACTTAGAAACATCTCTAACTAGAAATTAGGAGCGACTTTGGTAAAACTGCTATATTTAGAACAATTGTGCTACATCAGAACTGTCCTTTTAGGTAACTGAAAAATTATTAACAATGGATGAAAAACCCTAATTATCTCAATGACCCTTATAAGCAGTCACCTTATGTTGGCCACAGTCACCCCACTATTGCATGAATGGGGCTCAGACTGAACTAATAGTAGTTTGGTCACCTAGGAAGTTCATGCTTAAGACAATAATTGAACAATGCAATGGTTCTTACTAGATGAGGTGGCTTTCAGAAATAATTAGACAATTTAAATGAATGATAGACCCAACTATCAATTACAATTGCTCAAAATGGAACCTTAAGCTCAGAGACACTATACCTCTGATTACCAAATGCTGGGGACAAAGAACAGGGAAAGGCTATTGATATTATGTTCTTCTTTTAGTTTCCCAGAGATTTTGTTTAGCTGTTTATAAAACCCAAGTATTAAGTAAGTTGACCTCTGGTCTAAAGCAGTGAGGCAGTTTTATGAAATTTTGAATTTAACAGGTAACTTCTGCTGAAGAGTTCTGTGTAACCTGAAAGGTCACATTCGATCATGTTGAACATTAACAGGCACAAAGACATTCCATTTAGCTCACTCTGTCACCCCACCAAAGTAATTTGAACCTGTCATATTTATAAAGGAAAAGCTCCTGGATGTACCGTTCCAAAATATTGTCAGCGCTTATCTGTTTTTTAAAAGCTCATTTCCTTAAGGATCATGTTGAAGGAACATACATGAATACTGTTTGTTTTATCTAAGTAGGGATGCCAGGGGTCATGGCCAAATCTTATTATAAAACCACAGAAGAGGAGACATTTCCATGTAAAACTGGTCATTTTAGAAAACTACATCAAATTTACAAAAGTATAATATGTGAATCACATATTTCTATAACTCTCTCCCCCTGCTCCCCGTTCCAATATTTTAAAGTAATATTTAGACCAAAGGTTTCCTGTTTTCTAGTGCAAAGAGTTATTTTAATCACATTTCCATGGACTTTTCAATATTGTTTGGATGTTTCAAAACAAGTAAAAACTTGACTTGTCCTCCCTGAACATTCTGTGCTCCTCCACCTGGCAGCTGATCCTTATTTAGGTGCCAGCTTCAGCAGTAAATCCAGGAGATGCCAAAAGATGAATATTTTGTGCATTATACCCTCTTACAATATAGATGCATGATTGTGTTGTGTTTGGAAGCCATCAGGGTTTTGCACAGTATGTACTTTGTATGCCCCACTTATTATCTACACTTTGTGTTGAAATGTTCATTGGCCCATTAAACATCAATCAACATAGCTGATAAAATATCCCTCAAGAGTATTCCAAGTCACACTTATATGTGCACTCTCAATGATAAATTAGTTGCAACCAACACCTAGGATTTCCTGCTATTCCAACCTTGGAAATTATGTAGGTCCTCATTTGCAGAAGCTATCTTCTTTTAGAAAACTATGCTTTTGAATTATGGTGCTGGAGGAGACTCTTGAGAGTCCCATGGACTGCAAGAAGATCAACCCTATCCTTTCTGAAGGAAATCAGCCCTGAGTGCTCACTGGAAGGACAGATCCTGAAGCTGAGGCTCCAATATTTTGGCCACCTCATGAGAAGAGAAGACTCCCTGGAAAAGACCCCGATGGTGGGAAAGATGGCGGGCACAAGGAGAAGGGGATGGCAGAGGACGAGATGGTTGGACAGTGTTCTCAAAGCTACTAACGTGAGTTTGACCAAACTGCGGGAGGCAGTGGAAGACAGGAGTGCCTGGCATGCTCTGGTCCATGTGGTCACGAAGAGTCGGACATGACTAAACAACAACAATCTTCTTTATATTTGACTTTCTTCAGTAATGTTTTATTTGATGCTTTAATATGCAATAAACCACTTTGAGATTTTTTCCCCTTAAAAATTTAAAGCAGTAAGAAATGAAAGGAAGGAAGGATCTAGCCTTTCAAAGACACTGGGAAGTAAATCCAGCTCCTGGCTGATATTTGGTTCCTGCTGTCACTTGAAGCCATCCTGTATTTATAGTGGTAACAAAGAAGGCAGCATCTTTCACTGTTTGCTTTTTATGTAGTTGTGTTGTTTTGTTGCTCCCCATTGTATAGAAAGTCCATATCGAACCTTTAGAAATGCAGAAATCCCAATAAAGGTATTGCTTCTGGACACCTGCCAGTACAGAACTCAAAATGTATTACAAACATCTTTTAACATTCAAAAGAGATACCTCAACTGCATACTTAAATCCTCACACAACTTTACACTGGTATAAACACAGCAACCACCCTAACTAAAGAACTCAACACATTCGCAATGATGTTGGGCCTACAAGTAAACTTTGCAAAATCTGAGGCTATGTGCTTCAACCCCCACACACCCTGCATACCCAAAAGGAATTCACCAACATCACAAAGGTAAAACTCTGCCACACCAAATTCTGGTACCTAGGGGTTCAAATAACCAGAAGCCTCAACAAACTATACCTCCACAATTTCAAGCCCCTGTGGCAACAAATCAAGAGAGACTGAAGCAGCACAATCAGATGCCTTCATCGGCCCAAGTTTCAACAAAATATGTCTGTCCTGTAGCAGTAATGTAACTCTCCAATGGTTTGACTTCAGCCCTGAAGGCACACTCTTCCACTGCCTGCTGAAACAGATGGATGCCAACAATTGCAAACTTCAAATGGTGTAATTTTTACTACAGGCTGGGCTGGGGCTGTCTTGCTACAAAATTGTGTGTATGCATGAAGTCAGAAAAAAAGTTTATCCTGCCATCTGCAGCTGATTTTTTTTTGGGGGGGGGATGAAGAAGCCATTCATCTGGTTGTTCCCACAGCTCACAGCATAGTGCTGAGTGGACAGTCAGCTGGCAGGATGATGGTTTCTTTGGTTAAATCATTGTTGTAGTTTACGTCAAGCTCGGTAATTGAGTTAGAACAACACACTGGTTTCTGTTCCCATTTCTATTTTCAAGCAACTGTTTCTTCCATTAGAACTGAAACCACAACAGAGTCTCTTATGCCAGTTGTACTTCTTCACCGTTATATCATACTTTTGGAGCACTCTGAAGTTAACAGGGAAAAACTGGGAGAGCTCAGATTACAACACTTCCACCTACCAAGTAATAACAAGTGGCCTCTCAATCCTCCCTTTGCTTCTTCCTCCATTGGTGTACTATATACTTCCCATCTCAAGCAGTGAAGTACTACAGCATTTAGCACTGTGTTACACCACTGAACCTAGGGGCTTGCCAATCGGAAGGTCGCGGTTCAAATCCCCATGACGGAGTGAGCTCCCATTGCTCGGTCCCTGCTCCTGCCAATCTAGCAGTTTGAAAGAACGCCAAAAAAAGTGCAAGTAGATAAATAGGTACCACTCCAGCGGGAAGGTAAATGGCGTTTCCGTGCGCTGCTCTGGTTTCACCAGAAGCGGCTTAGTCATGCTGGCCACATGACCTGGAAAAATTGTCTGTGGACAAACATCAGCTCCCTCGGCCAGTAAAGTGAGATGAGCGCCACAACCCCAGAGTCGTTCACAGGGGTCCTTTATCTTTACCTTTTTCCTTTGGAGGAGAGATACTTTGTAATATTAATTACAAAAATAGAAACCCAACATAGTGGAAGAAAGCATACTTGTAAAGGAGGTGCAATAACTGCATCTCTCCCCCAGAGAACACACCTTCCTCCTCCTAGCTAGTCAGCAACATACTCTCCACATAAAGCAAAATGAGGTAGGAATCAGATGAGCTATTCTTCTGCTTCTGTTCTGTACTGTCAGTTCTGATTTGCAGGGAGGGGAATCACATTATTAAATCCAGCAAGCAGAAAACTGACATGCGGGGGGAGGGGGGGTCATTGGGTTAGAACCTCTCTCTCTCATCCAACATTCAAAACCACAACGTTGTTTCATTTTTGCTAGTCACAAAATTCAGACCCCACCATACAAGAGGTTTATCTTTAAGGAAAGATATCCTAATCATTAGCTCCCATTGAGGAACAGTCAACCTCTCAGCCTTATTCACATGCAGACAGACTCCTTACAGTAGCCTTCATTTCAAACAGAGCCTATGGCTATGTGTGAAACATTATGACACTAATTCAGAGTGGTTTTTTTAACAGGATAGCTACTAGCAGCTTGTTTTATGGCAAAACTACCCTCCATACCAGCAATCTGCTTTCAAAAGTCAACAAACCCCAAACTGAAATTCAGCCATCTGGAGTTCCTTACACCCATTCAGCTGCATCCTATGTATACCCATTTATCACAACCAACACCCACAGTTATCTAGAAATAATGAAGTAATCAAGTAGGTTACACTAAAGCCCCAAGAATGCCCTTTCTTGGACCCCACCCCCTAAACTTCTGAAGATAATGGTGGAACTACCAAAAGGGCCTCCTCTGCCGATCTCAACACCTAAGAGGATCTTTATGGAATGCACAAAGGTTTATTCTTACCAATTTTGTATTACATCTGTTTTAAAACTACAGTAAGCAGAATACCTGCTAAATCTGAGGGTTTAAAGAACTAGTTATTTTATTAGCAGAACTGGGTACCTTGATAAATTACTGTGACTTAATAGTATGAAACTTAAAGCCTGATAAGAAAGGAGGACTGCAAGAATCAGTGCTAGTGAAAATGCAGCAATGGTGGTTTCAAGAATTTTTAAAAAAAGTTGTCCACATTGCCTATTCTCCTTTTAGTTTAGCATTCCAGGTTTTTTTTAAAAGAAAAGCATTGCCATGTGAAGGCAAGAAGATTGTTATTTGCAGTTTCTAATCTCAGCTCTTGTATTTCAGTAGTGATTTGCAGTAGATGCTGCTACTTTGCTGCCCCCTTCTGGGGTAAGCACAGCATCTTTTCAACTGTCTCACTGACGCCTTTTTACAGATAACAAACCTTTGCGCAGAATTCCAAAACGGTGGTCCAGTAAGAACCAATGTCAGTACAGCTTCATTGGCCAAGTTGTACATAGCATTTAAAAGAAAATCTGGAAGATCCTCACTTTCTCCAGAACCACAGGTACAAGTTCTGTTCCTATCCCATATCTTATAATTCCATTCGAAGACTTAGGCTTTCTGTTTGAAATCCAGGGACTCTAATAGCTGTCTCTCAGCATATAGGCACTAAGAAAACAAAATCAGCAGACATTTATGTGTACTGTATTAAAAATGATATTAAGTTTAGCCACTGAAAACTCAGTAGACCTTCCTACTACTAGATAGTATTGAATTTCTGACCGAGATTTTCACTTGTATTAATCTGACACTTTATTTAATGCTCCAAGCATTATTAGACAAGCACCTATCACTTCAGGCCTTGAAAATCTTTGCTTACTGTATTACTGTAGCTTTTTTTGTAATGATATTAATTGGACCTGAAACCTGTCATGCTCTTTTATTGTGGTTGTATTATAATTTTAAATGCTCCGCTGGGCTTGATCATTGCTTAGAGATATTTGCCTGTTACTTTTAGTGTTACCATCTTACTTTTAAATTATGTGTTTGATTAAATTAAATTAAATCATGTTGTTATATATCTGTAAGGTGGCCAGATACAAATCACCAAAATAGGAGGGAATGGATTGTCGGGGTGGGGGGGGATGAAAAAGGAAGGTGAAGATTCACATATGCTAATTTATGTGTGCAGATGCACATTCAGATAGGATTACTATAATTGAAGTAGTAATACAATACATCTCATCATAGCAGGGAAGACTCTGACCAGATTGCCTGTGTACCTGCTTACTCTGCAGTTCAGGTGTTCACTGTTGATGGGCAACTTCAAGGCCCCTTGCTCTTCCTTCTTATGGTTCTTTATTTCCAAACTAAACTTCGACCAGACAGCCCTTGAAACAACCAACCCAACAAAATACCATTAGCACAAAACTCAGCTCCCCCCATCAGTCTGCATTTTTTCATTGTTTCTTCTCACTCACAGAAACAACTAGATGTTGTCACTGGTCAGCAAGCTTAAGGAAGATCATTTAACAATTATCACCCTTCCCTTCTCTAACCAAAGTTATGCCTCTGGCTCCATTAATCTTCTCCTGTACAGACTCCCAATCTCCCGACGGTACACAGCCCTGCAGATCTTCCCCTTAGGCTTTAACTTATTTTTACAATAGCTTCACACAGTCATACTGACACTTCATTAAAAAGAGACAGAAGGCAAGACACTGTTCATTTATGCACATAGAAGGGGAAGTATTGGAGATGCTTTTTTTGCGGTATGCTGGAATTTTGCAAGGTGGAGGAGACACAAACTCAAAAGGGCACTTTAAAATCACGTAAAAGGGCATTTTTAGTTTTCATTTTAAATAAGTACACAAAACAATTATTTAAATAAACAAATGTCATGAAGTGTGCATTTTAACAGTAAATGACTGCAATTTAAATAAACTCTGATTTTAAAATGAAACTAAAAATGTGAAGAAACCCAAAATATTTTTAACAAAATCCCACTCTGGAACAGAGCTGTCTCCTGTGACTGGTTGAAAGTTGGTGACAGCAGGCCAGGGACTGTAAGAGGCTGCACCAATCTCGTTGAGATCTAGGTTTAGCCATGCATTAACTGTCTATATTGCCATACTTCTTTGCGTGCCATCCACGTGACTATATGGTTATGAAGGGACACAATTCTTTCCGCTTGCATTGAGGCTAGGGCCTGGTGAGAGAGTTGTGATGGCTGCCATAAGTTTTTGCACCATGCCGGAAGTTACGGGCAACAACTGCTGAAGATGCACAAAAATGAACATCTTAAATCGCTTCTGGGTGGGAAATGGGGAGTTTCAGAAATGACTCACCACTGCTCAAATGCTTCATCTGCACTGACTGTTGTAAATGGCTCTGATTTTTTTTTATGAATAGTAGCATATAAGATACAAGCAGTTGTGATATTAAACTTGCAGGGGGCTGGACTAGATGATCCTCAGGGCCCCTTCCAACTCTATGATTCTATGAAACAAATTCCTTTGATGGTTTGTGGGGAAACTACTTTGCCAGAAAGTTGTCTCTAGTACTGTTGTTGTTTAGTCGTTTAGTCATGTCCGACTCTTCGTGACGCCATGGACCAGAGCACGCCAGGCACTCCTGTCTTCCACTGCCTCCCGTAGTTTGGTCAGACTCATGTTTGTAGCTTCAAGAACACTGTCCAACCATCTCGTCCTCTGTCTTCCCCTTCTCCTTGTGCCCTCCATCTTTCCCAACATCAGGGTCTTTTCCAGGGAGTCTTCTCTTCTCATGAGGTGGCCAAAATATTGGAGCCTCAGCTTCAGGATCTGTCCTTCCAGTGAGCACTCAGGGCTGATTTCCTTAAGAATGGATACGTTTGATCTTCTTGCAGTCCATGGGACTCTCAAGAGTCTCCTCCAGCACCATAATTCAAAAGCATCAATTCTTCGGCAATCAGTACTAGTCTCTAGTACTAGTCACCAGTACTAGAGAAGTATTAAACAGCTTTTAAGGAACAACATTGCATTTATGGCTTCCACATGTGTACCATTCAAAGAAAATAAACTGAAAGAATACTGTACAACACTGAGTGCTGCTTGAACATCAGATCTCCCTGCCCCTTCTTCACTTTTGCAACATATCCTCTCCTTCCAGCAGCCAAGGCAAGTGAAAAGGATTGCTCAATTCAACTTTTACTGCACAGCAGGGAAGCTAAGTGATAGTTCCAGGATTGGTCTTCATCCAAACACTGCTACAGCTGGATTCTCTGCAGCGGCTGATGAAATTAGTTAGAAATTAATTTCCCCACTAGGTTGTACAAAGCCGCCCTGGAGATTGCACCTTCAGACACTACTGCTCCTCTACAGTTTCAGACAATTCTCTCCCTCCCTCCTGCATGGAATCCCCATTTCAACTCCACCCTAAAGTTCCTTAGCCTTTCTACAGCTTCAGTTTTTCACAAATAAGCTGGAAGTGGAATTAAAGACAGGAATCCCACACCCACACACCACTGAATATAACATTCTTTTCTTAAGCCTAGATACTTCTACAATGCAGTGAATGAGCCTGACAGAAAATTGGGAACCAGCACAAATATAGAGATTTGCCTGCTGCAACAGATGCTTAGATCAACCAAGATATAATTGACATATTGGAAAAGAAAGGACCCTGAACAGTTCCACATTAAAGGCCTACTTAATGTCTACTCTTGCAGAACAATTGTATGTTTGGTAGAGGACATTCTGACCGTTGCTGCAGCAGGCTTTTGGTGTGTGTGAGGGACGTGGGGAATGCTAGACAAAAAATGTGTGTGCAATTTGTATTAAGAACCAAAATAGTAACAAACATTAGGAATGGAAAAATATGTAGGAATTTTTAAAACTTCCCCGTGCTTCTATGTTTACAGAGGATAATAAAACACAGCTGGATATGTAAAAATTCACTGTCACCCTGCTGTAGAAACATTGCTTGTCACCTAGTTGATATTCCTATGGAATTCCATCTCAAAGCCTAGTATTCACTATTGCTCATTCACTCCCCCAGCTAAAAACAAGCCTTTTCTCCAACTGATAGTGACACAGGGCTGTCATTGTGGGCTCACTTACAGAGATCCCTCCTACTGGAGCAAGGCCTACCCTATGAAAGTGAACAAACTGGACAACGTTTTGGGAATTTAAACTTGGCCACAATGTTATTTATTCCAGATGTAGGGAGGATTTGGAGTAGACATTGGGTGTATACCCCTCTTAGCTTCTTGGTGGAGGACTGAGGCACGACAAGTCAATCCTAGGGTTGATGGGTCCACTGCAAGACACAGGTCTACACAAGAGGCCCTCCCAAGTCATTGCAGGAAGCTCCATGGCCCATGTGCTGAACTCCTTGGCTTTTGGACACATACTTCCAACTAGACCCCCTCTAACAGGGTACCCCCGTGATTGAGCTATTTGAAGGTGGGGGTGAAGCCCCACTTCACCCCCGAACAGATGTTAGACTAAAGGATTCCACCTGATGTCTCATCCGTCTGTGCAAGCTTTGCAGCCTTTCTCCAGAAGGGGAACGGTCCTCTCAATGACCATGATTTCCAAGTGGTAGCTCCAAGAATGTTCTGGAGATTTAACAGTTTTATATTGATTCCTTAAAAAAAAAGGTAAACACCATTTTTATATCAGTCACGAAATCCTTCTAGGAATAATCAGAAGCCCAAACAAGCATGTTCTGTTTGCCATCCTCCTGGGCTTTCATTTACCTGCCCAGCTTCTTGTCCCTTTGCTTCTGGCATGGAACTGTACTAGAAGCACCTCAGTCTTATACTGCAGATACTTACATTCGCCTTTATTTTAACAATACATGAGAGATGTGCCTTCATTTCCCTTACAGTTGTCTAACAATGAAGGCAACTCCTTGGTGCTAGGTTACTAATCAGATTTGCACCAGCTTAGTTTAAGCAACTCTGCAGCATCATGTGCTCCATAACGGCTAAGCAGGCCACTCAGATGCAGCTCCAAGTGTTCAGAATTTCACAGCATTTATCTGTGTTACATGTGAATGCTAACACTCTCCAGATTTCTCATCCAACTTTGCTGGAATTAACAAAGGCACAAGCCAGTTCTCAGTAATTATCTAAGGGACGCAGGTGGCGCTGTGGTCTAAACCACTGAGCCTTTTGGGCTTGCTGATCAGAAGGTCGGCGGTTCGAATCCCCGCGATGTGGTGAGCTCCCATTCTCTGTCCCAGCTCCTGCCAACCTAGCAATTCAAAAGCATGCCAGTGCAAGTAGATAAGTAGGTACCGCTGGGGTGGGAAGGTAAACGGCGTTTCCATGCGCTCTGGCACTCATCACGGTCCTCCGTGCATCAGTAGCGGTTAAGTCATGCTGGCCACATGACTCAGAAAACTGTTTGTGGACAAACGCCAGCTCCCTCGGCTTGAAAGCGAGATGAGCGCCGTAACCCCATACAGTGGTGCCGCGCAAGACGAATGCCTCGCAAGACGGAAAACCTGCTAGACGAAAGGGTTTTCCGTTTTTGAGTTGCTTCGCAGGACGAATTTCCCTATGGGCTTGCTTCGCAAGACGAAAATGTCTTGCGAGTCTAGAGATTTTTTTTTCGCTTCCCCCCCCCTTTATCTAATCTGCTAAGCCTTTAATAGCCTTTAATAGCCTTTTAGCAGCTAATCCGCTAAGCCTTTAATAGCCGCTAAACCGCTAATAGCGCTAATCCGTTAAGCCGCTAATAGGGTTGCTTCGCAAGACGAAAAAACCGCTAGACGAAGACTCTCGCGGAACGGATTAATTTCGTCTTGCGAGGCACCACTGTAGTAGCCTTTGACTGGACTTAACCATCCAGGGGGTCCTTCTTTAATTAGCTATATGTTACTCCCCACCCCCAGGTTGAACCAATGAGTTAACCACAAAAAATAAATAAATCAAAATGCAATAGAGCATATCCAGGGTAGCTCTGACAGCAGCTTCACCCTTGCTTTAAGAAAGAAACAAAGAAATAACTTTTATGTTTCTTTATATCACTTTTTCAGGAAGGAGACTGATCCCACTTATAGGAACTCCTACATGTTCAAAGCAGGATAAATACCAGCTGTAGGACAGCTGTATGAATCTCTCTTCCTTCCTAACTGAGATTAACACAAGATGATTGTACTAGAGGACTAGATGATTCAAATGAACAAACCATAAAGCTCCTTAAAAGAAAAATATTTATAAAGCCAGTTCAAGTAACTTGGCCATTTGTTACTGTCATTGCCATTAAAGCTTTTATTTATCTTATGTGTGGAATGCTTTATTTTAGCTCCAAAATACTCTCACATCTCCCAACAGCTGAAGAAAAATGGTTATTTCATCAAAGATTAATTGTAGCTGTTGGGGAAGAGGCTACCTACACACATAGAAGAGTCAGGTATTTATGCCCCCCCCCCTTAGGGGGCTAGAGATTACCTCCTGGAATCTGAAGCAGTGTGCCAACACATTGCTGTACTTACTAAAAGCTCCAAATCCATTTTGGTCACAAATTAAGGAGACAAGCTTTGAATTAATCTAACGGCCAATGTCTTAATATGTTTTAAATTAGCGATTAAGGTTTTAACTTATATAATTTATGTTGCACTCTGGTCAGTGACTGAAATAAATCTATTATTTCATTTTGGTCACAGGAGTCCTCCTGTGCCAAGTATTTAATGTTTTACCTAAATGTTGATTCATTATTATATAATTATGTTAATTCGTTATTATGTTATTATATATGGGGGGCATTTTCTTACCGCTGTAAAGAAGTGGCAGGTGATGGTGGTGGTTAAATTTTGTATACCACCCTTCATCACAACAACTTAAGGTGGCTCACAGAATACAATATAAAAACACAAATAAGTACTTAAAACAAAAACAACAAAACAATACCCCCCTTCCCACAGACACATTTAAAAGGCTGTAGAATATTAATCGGCCAAAGGCCTGGTTGAAGAGGAACATTTTTTGCTTTCTGTTTGCCTTCTTCATTCCAAGCCTGAATTCTACTGGGGGGAAAACATAGAGGGGCATAGTTAGGGGGTCACTGGGTATGTCTGTGGCTGAAGTACAATTTTTTGATGCAGGCCCCAGATCTCATGCTCTCCCCCAGATTCTTCTAAAACTTCCATATATAAAACCAACCACATTGCTTATAAGATGGCTGGGATAGTGCTGCTGAGACCGGGCCTTGGTGACCTCAGCCACTAAGAGGTTTGAGGTCATTCTTATCTGCCAGGCCTAGATTACAACAGAACATTGCAAACTGGCTTTTATATAAATCTATGGCATTTGAAGTTTTAGAGTGTACTGGAGGAGTTGGCTGGTAGGGGAGATGAGAAAGAACAGAGAATCCTCAATGACAGAAACAAGCAGGAATCAAGCAGGGGCAGAAAAAGGCCCATTAACAGTGCAATCTTAACCATGTCTACTTAGAAGTCAGTCCTACTGAATTCAATAGGTCTTGATCCCACGTAAGTGGGGTTAGGATTGCAGACTAGGTTATGCAAATGCAACCACTTTTGGCTAATTAAATATTGGTGTCTATAGTGAGAGGTGGAATGGTAGACAAAAAGTAATGTCTCTCATCATCAATTCAGCTTAACTTTTTTTAAGATTATTTATATTATTTAATACTTCAATATAAATTTTCCAATGGGTGTCTGAGAAAAAACATTTGCATTATACTCTTAACATCCAGTCTCCCACAGCCATCTCATCAATCTGCTATTGGGAGAATCCTGAACACAGTCAAAAGAGCAGGCTTCTTGCAGTGGAATTATGGCAAGAGATCCTCCCTCCCCTGCTCTGGTGAGTGAATGAGGTGATAGCAAGGTTTTTAAACGTGTTTGATGATCAGCTCAAATTCAAAATGTGTGGAGATAGAGGATGCCCAGAGAGCCGCTCTGTATAATACCTTTATCAGTTTTCTTATCTCTGCTAATCAAATCAAGTAAGCAGGGATTCCAGTTTAGTGGCTGGAGGAATAGAGCAAGCAACATGATCTTTTCCATCTGTCACTCTTGCAGTGTCAAAACTGAAGGTGAATAAAGGGACAGATGAGATTCCAAATGAATGCAGAAAGTGAGGAACAATGGAAATAACACATTCAAAAAATCAGACTGGAAGTAGGAACTGGTACTCAATACCACACATTCTTGCAGCCACGGCTGGCCCAACAAATTTTGCCACCGAAGGCAAAAAATAAACTGGTGCTCCCCTGCAGGAATCATAGTTTGTTAAGGGTGATTCAACAAGCAGCAGCAACAGCACTACAGTGGTGCCCCGCAAGACGAATGCCTCGCAAGACGGAAAACCCGCTAGACGAAAGGGTTTTCCGTTTTGGAGGTGCTTCGCAAAACGAATTTCCTATGTGCTTGCTTCGCAAGACGAAAATGTCTTGCGAGTTCCTGCGGGGTTTCCTTTCCTTTTTCCCACACCGCTAAACCGCTTATCAGCTGATGGCTAAGCCGCTTATCAGCTGATCTTTAAGCCGCTTAACAGCTGATGCTAAGCCGCTTATCAGTTGATCTTTAAGCCGCTTAACAGCTGATGCTAAGCCGCTTATCAGCTGATCTTTAAGCCGCTTAACAGCTGAGCCTAAGCCGCTTATCAGCTGATCGTTAAGCCGCTTATCAGCTGATCTTTAAGCCGGCTAAGCCGCTAATACTGTAGCGCTAAGCCGCTAAACCTCTAATGGGCTTGCTTCGCAAGACGGAAAAACCCGCAAGACGAAGAGACTCGCGGAACGGATTCTTTTCGTCTTGCGAGGCACCACTGTATCACTGGCATCAGGAAATTCCCAGTGGGGGCAATGCTGGGGACCAGGGTGGCAGACGGGGCAGTGTCTGCGGTCCACACCCCTCACTGCCTCCTCTGCCCTGTGGCGGCCTCCATGGGGACGTTGTGTCCTAGGCAACTGGAGGCAGCCTGGGGTGTCGTCAGGCCCAGAGCCCTGCCCAGGTGGACAGCGGCAAGATCCTCACAGCGCTGAATCCACAGCCAAAAGAAGAGTGGCAAAAGCACATGAGGAGGCCCTTCTCTTTCTGATCCGCTGCCCCTCCCAGCGTCATCAGTCTGCTGCTTGAGGCAACTGCCACGGTGAGGTTAATGGGCCCTGGCTGCAGTCCATCCTGACAGCCACACACTCCCGTCATTTATATTTGCATCCTTCTATCATTGGGGGAGACATCTTGCTAGTTATTTAATAACGTATGTTCACTTTAAGTTAAGTGGAGCTGGAGATATGCCACCATTCCCTAGATGTAAGTCCATGAATGTTCACCAGGATGATCCACAACCTTCAGGTTCCCAGCTTTAATTCTGTAAAAAGCAAGCCTGTGCTGCGGGATAACAGAATAAATAGGAAGCTGGTTTATACAGAATCAGACCACTGGTCCACCTAGCTCAGCACTGCATTGCAGACAGACTGACAGCAGCTCTCCAGGTGGGTGTCTTGCTCAGCTCAACCTGGGGATGACACAGATTGAACGTGGGATCTTGGGCATGCAAAGCATATGTGCCTACCACCCTACCCCAAATAGATTAGAGTATAATCAATCAATCAATCAATCAATCAATGATGAATATCGCAAAGGAAAGAGAGGGGATTATGGAAGAGGATCCTGGAAAATAGCTTTTCCATTCACTAGATTTAACCCTGGCAAGCATCAGTATCTACAAGTTCTTGAAACCTTTTCAAATACATGAGATTTTTAGACTACTCTGGATTATTCTTTGCCAGGCAAAGGAGATTCCTAACGTTATCTCCCAGATGCACTAACTTTTCTGTTTAACTTACAAGAGCAATTAATTAATTAATGTCTCATGTTCTAAATCTTGTCCCTATGATTATTTTTTTTATCCTACTTCTTTTACACCACAATCTGTATTACAGATTGTAGTTTTTCAGGGTTGCCATGTTTTGAAGAGCAAAAAAAAAAAGGCACAAATTTGCCGACTTCTTCTATGGATTGCTATGACAACTCTACCCATGAAAAAGAGGACGTGTACTGGAAAAAGAGGACATATGGCAGTATATCATACTTCACATATGGGGAACCAAAACTTAGAGTGACTGGCCTACCCAAAGCCACATACAGATGTTCCTGGCAAAGACTGATCTCCAGCTTCCCCACTGCTAGCATATCTTTGCAACTGTGTCCATGTCAATGACACTTTGCTCTGCCTGCCTATGACTCTTAACATTTTTATGAGCCCAGACTCAGCAAAGAACATAAACAGCAGGCCTACTGGACCTTACCAGGACAGACGGCAATAAGCAGACCTAGCCGTATAAGTAAACCTTTAGTATCACAATGTTTGAATTGTGATGTTCCTTTAATGCATGTATGGGGAACCTGTGGTCCTCCAGATGTTTTTTGACCAGAACACCACCACACCTAACAAAAGGCCATGCTGGATGAGACTGATGGGAGCTGGACTCCAACTACATTTGGAGGGCCAAGGGCCTCTCATTTGCTTTAATCAATTCCAAAATCTCTAGGCGTTCAAAATTTACAGAAACAGAACCAATTAGAATGGTGCCCTGAGCACCTCCACTATTGGTTAATACTCATGTTTTTGGACATAGTTAACCATTTCCTTGAAGGCACTACTTGTCCACCTGAACATGTAACAATTAAGCTTGAATACCTGGGTGGATGTCATTCATAGTAAGCAAAGAAAGCTGTCCCAAATAGGAGCAGTAGGGATCTCTTGGTTGACCAAGGCCTAGCCGACTCACATCCCCCAGGCCCTCCCAGCCTTAAATATTTTGAGTGTGGGGTTCAAGCAAGTCTCATAGGATGCCCTTTCCCCACCCTAGGGTCCTACCGTCTTTAGTCTAAGAGTCCTTCTTTTACTATAAAGGTGTACCTCAAAATGCTAACCAATGCTTTTAATTTGGTACAAACCCTACTAATATGACTAACCTAGTTAAACAAGGCTGGCAATTAACACCATGCATGCTACTTGAACTCCTTTCAGAAAAAAAGATGGGATATAAATGTAATATAGAAATAAACAAATACCTATATTACATCAGGGCAAGTGAGTGAGAATTCAAAGACCAGATAGAGGACCACAGCCAAGAGCAGAGTAGACTTTGATAGCTTCAGGCTCTGCCCCCTCTCCCGCCCCACTGCTAGCAGACATGCTGACAGACAGACACAGAACCCCACTTGCCCCATTCTGGTACAGGTGCAAAGCCTCCCTCCCACAGTCCCTACTCACCTGGTTGAACTTGGGGGTAACAGGAAGCAATATTCTCCTAACAACAGATCTGGTTAATTGCTAAGCAGTATTAAAAAGGTAAAGGTACCCCTGACCATTAGGTCCAGTCGCAGATGACTCTGGGGTTAAGCTAAAAAGTCAAAATTTCGTTGCCAAAAAAGAGGTGTCCTCCGAACACAGCTGCACCATTTGAAAAGTGCTGTATTTAGAACACATTTCTAAAATGTTTCGCTTGGTATTACCAGATTTCCCTACTGAGTGTCAGGGTATCAACATGTCAGTCTGCACGCTATCACATAGATTTAAGGTTCAATAGTTATATATGCTCCATTTGGCATTAGAACATCAAAACATTGCATACTGCAGTGAACTGAACGTATATACAACCATTTCGTTCCAAGTGTTTTAGATTTCTTCTACGGCTTTTCATAACAGCTGTTTGTGGTCACCACACTTGAGAGTTGCATGCACTAAGAAAGAACAGGACTAATCTGACATTTCACAATCCAGGATTTCACACGATTCCAAATTCCAATGTCTAGTTTATTACATATTCACTTGACATATTTAACTGGGAAAGTGATGTACTGAGGCTGGTTTGCATCAACAGCTAAGAAAGCAATGAGTCGATATCCTGCATTTCCTGTTCTGAACTACCAAGGTATGACCCCGATCCACGATCTCAGGTGGGATAACATATATACTTATGCCAATACAACATTGATAGCTCCCTAAGAGACTTCCTCTCCATTTTTGGTATGGGAAGTCCACACAGTCAATAAAGGCAAGTAAATTGTGAAGATTAGTAGTGAAAGAACGCAGACAACTGACCTGACAAGCGTTTTTCTCGTGCGCTCTTCCAGAAGACATCCCAGGCTTTGTTGGTGGAGACCCTGATATGCTCACTGAAAGACCTCCTCAGACGAGACCTCCCCGGGTATGCCATCCTTTGCTGTGCAACCCACAGAGGCACAGCTAGCCCATTAAGATCCAATGAGCTGAGTAAAAATTTACCATCGTTGACAATGCAGTTCTCCCAGGCAGTTTTCTCCTTTTAGATCAGATGGGGGTGTGGGGAGAGAAGGTTGCTGTATAAAGAGCATGCATGTAATTTGTTAACACCCCTCAGAGGCCAGGATGGAAAGGGGGGGGGAGGAATTGGGTGGAGGAAGAGTGAGAAACTCCTTCCAAACAATCTGGGGTCAGGCTGAAAAGGAAATAGCAGCCTGACGGAGTCCCCCTGACTCAGAGCAGATCTGCATCTCAGCTGCCACATTTTATAAAAAACAAAAAACATGCTGATTGCTCTGCAGTGCAAATAAAAGAGTTAGGCAACCACAGAATAACATTGCCAGGCAGGCAGTTCTCTGTACTACTTCCAAGCTCCTCCAGCTCAACAGTGTGTATAACAAACTTCCTTGTTTTCCAGTTTTCTTACTGCTCCGTTCTTCTCTTATGTGTGGGAATAGCAGCCCTGCTGGATCAGACCAAGGGTCCAGCATCCTGTTTCTCACCATGGCCAGCCAGATGTGTCTGGGAACCCCAAAGCAAGGCATTAACACGGCAGGCTTTCCCTTCAGTTTGCTGCCTCCTCCTGTTGCTGCAAATGCGTCTCAACCTGGAAGTTTCATTTAAGTATTACAGGTCATACTCACTGCACAGAGCTATCTTTGAATTTGACAGATTCCTATTAAAAGCAAGCCAAAGGCAGGCAGAAATTAGGCTTGCAGGTTCGAGTTTGCTTTTCCTAGATCCTCAAGATTCTTATACACTTAGAATGAAATAATTCTGAGCCCAGGGTACAGGGTACGAGTACAGGAGCTCACAATCCTGCACATAAAAAATATCCCAAGCTGTCTTAATTTCAGCAGCAAAATTAGGACGGCCAAGGGGCAGAAAGGAGCCATTTTATTTCTGCTAAATTGGGAGTCAAAAATCCTTGCTGGTCTAACTCAAATCACTCAGAAACTATATCCATAGATCCTGAGCTACCTTCTGCCTGTCTCATCCCCCCCCCCTGCACCCCACATCTAAGCCAGGGGCCATTACTTTATCCTGTGACAGGAAATGCTCCACAGTGATTATGTGTCATGCTAAAATCATATATTCCCCCCACTGCTTAACAAATGCTAAGCGCTCAACAGATAAAAGCCCACTCTCCCTTCCATCCTATTCCCATCTCCATAGCTTGACTTTAAGGTTAATACAGTACAGATTTCAGACTGCATGCGCAGGAAGCGCTGCACACTGCCCAATATTTCCCAATACCAGATAAATCGTGTTTGTCATTTCATTATGATAAATGAATAGTTCAAACAAAAGTTGTGGAACCTTGGCAGTCATATCCACAATGACCGTTGGAATGAAAGTGCAACTACTCCAGAGTATTTAATATTCAAATAGATGTTTTGTGGAAAACACTGCTTTGACATTGACATTTCCTTCAGTGGTAGGTTTTTAACTATTCCCATCCTAGGATGAGAGAGTATACTGAAAAGACAGCAGTGCCAGGACCTCTTCCCTCAAACTGCTAGAGTGTGCCACACGTGGTGTCACCTTACAGATATATTTCATTTGCAGATTATGTTCAAGTGTATCACTTAAGCCTGAATGGATTCTCCAGTTTGAATTGTTGGCTGTTATGTCAGAAAATAAACAAGGTGGTATTCAACTAGGTTTTACTCAGAGCAGATCCACTGAAATTGATGGTTTTAACTAAGTCGTATTCATTACTTTCAGTGGGTTTATTCTGAGTAAAACTTTGTTGAATACTATCCGTATTCCCCAAGCATTATCCAGAATCTGGCTGTTCACTTCCTCAACTCCCTACCCCCCTTTGTCTATTTGCTTTAGAGCTGGCTATGGAGAACCTGTGGAGCTCTCGACAATGGCAACAGAAGTCCAACAACATCCACAAGGCCACAGGTTCCCTATCCCTGCTTTAGACAAAAGGACATAATATTCAAAGCGCCAAGCTCTGTTCAATATGCCAACAAACAAACATCATATAATCTGTGATGGTTTTGCAAAGGATAGGTGTACCTATCAGTTGCTATTACCGTATTTTTCGCTCCATAGGACACACTTTTTCCCCTCCAAAAATTAAGGGGAAATGTGTGTGCGTCCTATGGAGCGAATGCAGGCTCCTTGGCTTCAGCGATAGCAACGCGAAGCCTCCAAAGTGCAGAGGGAGCGCTCCCTCCGCGCTCTAGAGGCTATGCGTTGCTTTCACTGAAGCCTGGAGAGCGAGAGGGATAGCCGCCTGAAGCCTTTGGAGCGCAGCAGGAACTCGCGCTGTGCTCCAAAGGCTTCGCAACCTTGCCGCCGCTCCCAGACCTGTTCTGGGCCCCGTGGCTAAAAACAAAGCCAAGACAGCGAGCGGGATCCATCCCGCTCGCTGTCTTGGCTTCTGCCAAAGCCGTGTGCAGCCTCTCCTGCCTGGAGAGGTTGCGCGTGGCTAAAGAGGAAGCCAAGACAGCCAGCGAGATTTTTTTTCTTGATTTCCCCCCCTAAAAACTAGGTGTGCCTTATGGTCCGGTGTGCCTTATGGAGGGAAAATACAGTATTTGTTTTATTGAACAACATTATGCCTCAAGTGGAAAAAGTCCAGAAAGTGTTTCTTCTTTTAAACCACTTTTCAATGTGAATGCAAAACTATATTGGGCAGAATGCTCATTCACATTACAAATGTTTCACAATCAGAATTAACAGAAATTAACTATTTCATATGTTCTGGTTTATTTTTGTCCCATTTTTGTTGCATTAGAGCCTCTCCAGAGAGCAATATAACATGGTGGCATTGGGGAAGCATCACAGAACAAATTAAAGCTGAATAAATTTACCACTAAGCTCTGATTTGTCTTAGGAACATATTGCAGAACACACCTGCAATAAAATACTACTGCAGAGGATTCTGGGAATTATAGTGTAAATCATCTGGAGGGCATGGATCTGTTTGGGATCTACTGGAGACATGAGGAGAAGAGATGTGATAAAAGCTGGATAGAAACATACCTCCCTCCTCCGCAAGGAATAACTTACTGCAGGTTTGCCTGTAGCAATGTAGTATTTCTATTGATATTACATTCTCTGAATATTAATCCTTATGTTCACCTTTCCATAGTACAAGTTATAAAGCTAAGGAACTACATTTAGGAAACTTATTTAAAAACTGTTCTACCTTCATTTCAGGAATTCAAATAGCAAGTAAATCTTTTAAAAAGAAAAATATATTCCAAGACACATTTGGAACTTTTTTACAGGAAGTTATGCAAGCAAGAGACAACTCTACCCTACTAGCCTGTGGATTTGGGAAAATCCTGCTATGCCTGTTAACCTAAATTTTAAGCTGCTGTAAATAGTTTTGATTTTAAACATATGCTAGTGTGCTTTAATTATTCCAAAAGAATGCATGTATGCAAATAGTTTCTTGACAACTTTATTGGTTATCACTTATCAATAAACAATGTATTAGCCACATTGTTTTGTTTCTTTTTAATTTTACTGTATATTTACAACCATATTTGCAGCTCTTTGCAATATTATGGGTTGTCATGTATGGTGAAGGGGCAGGAAGAGTAGAGGGTTCAGCAGAGTGGCTGCACTAAGCGATTGCTAGAGTTTGTCATTTGAATCTATCAAGTAATTTGCATAGCAATATAAGCCCAATGTGTTATTGAGACAAATCACATAGTAATTACACATGCCAGGAGCAAAATAAAGCTACCAGTTCTGCAGTGGGATCTTTAGTATATCTGAAGTGAATGAAATAAAGTTTTTCAATTTCCAAGTAGAAAAATATAGAAATAGAAGTAGTTTGCCAAAACCATTGTTAACCTAATTTCTCATAAAGTGCTATGCTTATGTCATATAATGTCCAAGATTATTATGAGAGTAACATTTCCACCATACGAATTTGCAACACTTTGGCTTACATATTTCAATTCTTGGATGTATCAGTGCAGACTTCAGGCTTTTTTACTTGGAATAATAGGAAGTGGCTTTGAAAACAGAAGGCAGCTTTAGTCATCTGCAGTAGGGGTTAACTGCTAAAAAAGGGAAGAGGCAAACTCACAAGTGTACTGCAAACTTATTGCCTGAGCCTAACCAGTTCTTCATCAGCCAGATCTGAGTGAGAGTTACATAAAGCACACATTTGTCAATGTTTCAAACAGGAAGTTCTTTAAGGAAGTGAGATCTGTACAGATCAAAATGAGATGAAGCCCATCAAGCTTGATTAAAAAATAATACTATGGAAGTTGACACAGGTGGTTGGATAGCATTGGGTTTTGCTACAAAGCCTTGAAACTACTGTACCTATAATAAATATAATATAAATCTGCACCTTTATCTTTTCATTGCACCCTCCTGCAGCCTTTTCTGTTTTTGTCTTCTCAAATTCACTGGAACTGCATCACCATAGACATATGCTCTCAACTTTGCACTTTGTTTAGCTTCCCATGCACCAAAAAAGTAACACAAATTGCCAATATCTGTCATTTCAAATATCACCTTGAATTTGCAAAATCTATGTCCAAATCCCATAAGGCGCAAGCTATTCAGCAAAGTGATCTTTAACAAGATGCAGTCAGCAATACAGTGGAAAGCAAGATCTACCTGTTTACTTTTTAGTAGCAATTTATCTTCCATTTGTTTAATTCCAGTCTCCATTGTATTCTGAAGTCTGCAGAGCCTCATGATTTGGCAAGGAAATTAAACTCTGTCCTGTTTCAACCTGACTAGGCTCCATCCCTGCCAGAGCAAAATGCAGCTAGTAAGCACAGTTGCTGCGAGTAGTTAAAGGAGCCCCGATGCTCTGCTCACTTGTGCACAGAGCACCGGGGCTATCACAGCTGGGGAGGGGGAGCCTTTCTCTCCCCCAGGTGAGCGGCGCAAAGCAGCCCCGAGGCTCCTGCCACTCGTGCACAAGCAGGGAAAGCACCAGGGCTGTCTCAGGTGCAGAAAGGGAACCTTCCCAATCCCCAATTGAGCTGTGCAAACAAGCTGCACTGTCCCAGCCCGCGAGTGCCTGGGTGAAACCACCTCAGCTCTAGGACTTCCGGGTCGGCGCCATCGGCTAATGGCGGAGTTCCTCTGACCGGAGGAACCTGCTCCGTGAGAACTGGGTCTTCCCGCCGCGGCGAAGGTGGGGACCCTTTAAAAATCCCAGGTGGAGGTAGCCTGGGAACGTGGGATTCGGCGGGCACCAAGAGCGCCTCCCCTATGTGGGAATGTTCTGGGGTGCAGGAGAGGATATATTGACTAATTATATCCTTATCCAACTTGTGCTAACAAGTTCCCAAAATATCAGCAGAGTTTATAGACATTCCCCTTTAGGTTCGCAACGGTAACGTGTGCACAGGTTCGCTAGAACCTCTATAATAATTACTCTGGTAATTCCCCCTTTTGTTCCCTCTTAAAATATAAGACACGACACAGTCTTTAGAAAAGTATAAAAGAGTTTACTCACGTTCTGTTCACAATATGATCCCAGAAGGCAGACAGCTTAAAAAGGTTACATACATTTAGAATCTATCTTGTAGCAAGATAGTCCTTATCTCCTCTCTTGGCTGGGAGCCAAGAGAGCATCCTTAGATGTTTCCTCATCGAAGGAAAATGGCAGAGAGAGAGAGTGGCTGCCTGCCCTGTGCTTTTGTCATTACCTGCACAGGTGAGGCCACACCCACCTCTGGTCACATGCGGAGGAAGTCCGTCCCCAGGAAGTTTACCTGCTTGCTGGACTGACATCCCTCCCCATGTTCTAACATGTACACTCTAGGAATGTTGTCATTGACTGCTCCTGTGTTTACATCCCACACCCTACTCGCAGGGAATCCCATTTTTGGGCTCCGGAGCGAAGTGGGGTGAGTGGCGCGGTGCTGCGAACTGACTGCTACTTTCACGGAGTGAAGCCGCACAGCCGTTGCCGGAGAGCGCTGACTTTTTCCTGTGGACAATTGGACTTAAAAATAACTACCCATGAGTAAAGTGAAGAATTGGAGTTTTAAAAGCTGAATTTGACAACGAACGGGGGGAGGCTTAAAACAGGAAGTCCGCCTTTCCTCTTTTTGTAAATAATCGGAAGCAAACAGGTTTAAGCTAGGGCCTGAAAAGTCTACTTTAAACGTTTAAATTTCCAGCATAAAAATAGAGATCCCCCCTTGGAAGCAGGGGAAGAGGGGGGGAGTTTTTGGACGTTAGTTGCCTGCTAAAAGAGAGCGAGAAGCTAAATTTCCATCGCTCGGAACCTGGGGATGGCAGCCATTAAAACTGCTGCATTTCGGAGCTCCGCATAGACTGTGAATAGATCGTTCATTCTGACTGTCAGCGAAACAAGAGTGATACACTGTTTTAACTACCTTAACTACATTGTTTTAACTATCTTTGCTGGACTCAAAAGTTTCAACTATTTTTTCTTGATTTAAAAGTTGAGATTTGATACTAAATATAATGGTGCAATTGTAACTTCCAAAAAGAAAAAAAAAGGGATACTTTGGACTAACTTAATATAAACAGTAACTATTTCCCTCTAGAGGAGGACTTTGAAACTGCTATAAGGAGTGGAATTTTCCAACTCTAAAGAGAATGGCAGATGAAGCTGATGGACTACATGGAACTGGCGGAAATGACTGGCAGAATCCGAGACCAGGGAGAAGAGTTGGTGGAAGAAGATTGGAAAAAATTTAAAGTATATTTACAGAAATATTGCAAAATTAATGAATGTTAGAAGGATGCTGGAACGAAGCTATATGGCTTTAGCAGAAATGTTATAAAGAATCAAGTAAAAATAGACTGTTAATGGACCAAAGTGGAAAATTCAAGGTTAGAGTGTCTTAAGTCAAATTTTAGAACGAAAATTGAGAAAGATGGAAAGGACTTGCTGAAATAGCTAATTGAACTAGAATACAAAAAAGGGAGGTGTGAGGAGGTCGATGAAACAAATATATGAAAGGTAAATACATGGAAAGGCTGGATGTGTTTTTAAATGTTTTTGTTCTGTTTTTTCGTTGTTTTATTGTATTGGTTTTTTTTTTCTTTTTGGATGTATTGTAAGGTATTGTTTTGTTTTGTTTAATTCTTTATTGTTCTCTTTCTTTTTCTGTAACTTGGAAACTCCTAATAAATATCTTTAAAAAAAAAAAAAAAGAAACCACCTCAGCTCTCAAGATGAGAGCTGGGACAGTTTCACACAATGCCTCGCAGGCAGAGGCTAATGCATCTCATTTTTTCAACATCACTGTATATCACCAAACTGCAATGTTTGGCTGGTGATGCACCGTGATGTTGAAAAGCTGATACTGCCCAGCCCTAATCCTCAACGGGATTTCAGCAGGATATCCCGGAATAACAGAAGCCTATTCCAGCTTCTGATTGGATCCCTGGGATGTCCCATTTTTGGTCCGGTGCTCTGGCACAAATCAGCTACCTTATTCCAGAGCGTCTGACCAAAAGACGCTCATTTTTGGGGTATCATGCTCTTGTGAGACCAAGAATCAAGCATCTTTGGGTTTCATTTTCTCTCGCACACGAGAGAACTAAGGTCAGTGGGATGTTGCAGGGTAAGAGAGATTATGCAACATGACAAGAAGTCCACATTTATTTTCACCTTCACACTAATAAAAAAATAATCACATCACAATCACTAAGATGAACTATTCTATATAAATACAAATTTAATAATTTCACCTACATTCCATTTATACTTGAAACCACATTCAGGAAAGTAAGCTCTTTATCTTTTATTGATATCCATTTATTAAAATAACCTGTTTTAGGTTATTGTCTGGCAAGGCTTGTCATTATGTTACTTTTTAGAACAAAAAATATTGAAAAAAACTTTCATAGCTGGTGCAAAGACTATAGATACATCTTCATTGGTTTGCATACACAAGTATTTGGGATGTAAGGCAGCTCTTAAGATGTGCTTAATGTGCAATATAAATAAAAATGAATAGTCAAGGTTCCTAGATATGGATGATTCAGACACAGGTTCAGAAGATTGGCCTCATGCGTTACCTAGTTTCTTTCTCCTGTCCTCCAGGGCCAGGTTTCCTCTAGCCATAGCTTGCTGTGATGTTTGAACTGTAATTAGAGTGAACTTGGAAGAGGGAATTGACATGAAAAAGAGAAGAATGGAGCATGGATGTCTGGATGATCAGCACATGATGTCTGAACAGAGTCAAAACAGAAGCTGGTCACAAGGCAAACCACAAAGCTTTTCAACTAAAAATAGTGAGAAGTGGCTCTGTTCTGCATTAGCAGACACTATTCCTACGAAAGAGGAAGTGGTTCCAGTCAAGAACTACAAAACAAAAACTTTTGCTTTTAAAAGTCTCCAACAACTATCTTGTTCTCTTATTGCCAGACTTCAGGACTTGTACGGACATGGCTTCTTCCCCAGGGTTCAGCTACTAGGAAAGAGCTGCAAATGGGCAAGCCATTTACAAGGGTATTCTTACCAAATTTGTTGGAGACTCTGTGAGCTAAAAAAGGCCTCTAAGCTCCATAAGAAGAGACCACCGCATGTGAACACAGCAAGGGAAGAAGAAATGTTAAATCTGCCACATCATTTGGCTCTAATATAAGATGTTTCTTATAATTTAGTAACAGAATAACATAGGTTGACCAATTCCCATCCACTTGCATATATAATAAACTTGTAGTTTTCTCTAATAAAACTTTCAGTCACCTGCCAGCTCAGAATCCGCGTTGTTCACACAGTGATTTTGCACTCGCTTCACAGACAAGTATTAGGTAATTAACTACCTGCTGGCCTAAAGGCTAGTTCACAAGGTCAAACACCAAAGGTTGTGAACACACTCTTATCCTTAAAGCACATGTGAAGCCCATTTTCCTCCTCAAATAATTCTGGCCACTGTAGTTTACCTCTCATTGAATTACAATTCTCAGCAATCCTTAACAAACTACAATGCCAGAAATATTGGGGAGGGGGGAGAATGTGCTTTAAAAGATGCAATATGTACACAACTATGACATGATTGCCATATTGAGACTGGGTTTCATATTTTTACAGTATGAAACTTTTAATGCTTCATTTTTATTCTTCTATCTTTGGTACAGTTTTGTTTTTCCCTGTAGAAAGGTGACCAACAAATTCAATACAGTGGTACCTTGGTTCTCGAACTTAATCCGTTCTGGGAGTCAATTCGACTCCTGAAACCGTTCGCAAACCAAGGCACTGCTTCTGATTGGTTGCAGGAGCTTCCTGCACTCAAGTGGAAGCCGCTTCGGATGTTTGGCTTCTGAAAGAGATTCGCAAACCGGAACACTTACTTTCAGGTTTGCGACATTTGGGAGCCAAGCCTTTCAGGTACCAAGGCACCACTGCATAAGTCATGATCCATCACCCCATCACCCACCTAAGTTTGCAAAAAGGACTGTGGAGGAAGTAAGGCAGGGAGGAAAGAGGACAAAGGAATTCATATTGCAAGGCAGAGGACTCACTGTTCAACTCACATCTACAAAGGATGTATCACAATTATATTTATGAGACACCTCATAAATTCTCAAGACATTGTACTAAAGAAAAGAGAATAAAAATTACAATAAAACCATGCTGTAAAATAAACTTGAGATGCAACCAGCCATCAGAATTCAAGACTATAGACACACCACAGAACAAAAACAGCCATTTAATGTTGCCATTTAAACCACCAACTGTACTACAAGACCTTAAAACCAGGTATTGGAACAGAGAAGTCTTGACCTAGTACCAAATCAGTAACAACATAGTGGCAGGCAGGCTTTTTTTCCCTGCGGAAAAAAATCCCTATCTAGGGGCCCACCACTGAAAGGCTCTCTTTTGTGGCTCACTACTGAGCATCTGATTAAGAGGGCCATAGGAAATGCCCTCTGTAAATGGCACAGTGCCATCCTAATACATTGCTTCTTGAAGTCTGTTGTAATAATTCTTGGACATTGATCTGCAGAAATTTACAGCAACCAGTTCAGGATTTGATTCTCATATGTGGTACAACAGCAGTTGAGACCTGGAAAAGAAGCAGCAGTCAAACAGCTAAACTGGCTTTCTCAGTTAAGAATACCACCAAAAATACTTTAGAAATTCTTCCTTCAAGTGTCTCATGCTGCATCTACGGTACTAATGAATACATGATTTCAGTAATTAGCATTTTTCATTAAGCTCCTTTTTCCTGAAGAACTTTAGCATGCAGATTAAGCAGGACTTATAAACCACTGCCACCCAGCAGTCTTTCCCTTTTATTTCTTCAGAAATCTCTTTTAATGTAGCTCCAGTTTTCTGGCATTTGTTTGCAAGTATATTTTAAAAAGGGATTTTATCACCACTTCCCCTGATTGTGCCAAGAGACATCTTTCCCAAGTGGGCCCCTTTATACTAAATTCCTTCAACATAGTGGAGAGTCTGCTTATTTATTCAATTTCATGTATGCACATATGAGAAGAGAAAAGGTTAGTCTCCATACTCAGAATCAGGCTGACATTTACTTTCTAAGCAAACCTGAATAAAGGGAGGACATGGGCTAGACTCCACCTGCTGTCAAGTGGCCGATTTGTAACTATAATACTGTTTTATGCAACCCCAGTCACTGAGCGGTGCGAGATTCCAGGGGTTTCAGGCACTTCCCCAGGGGTTCTTTTTCTCCTTGAAATGAGAGACAGCGGAGACTGTGATGTCTTTATGATATTTGGTTTATGTACGCATATATATAATCTGAGCCTACGATGGACAGGCTCACAGCATTAACACCCCAAGATAGTCTTGCTTCTCCCATAGCCACAGTCTTGGATTCTAGCACATATTAGGCATCATTCTGTGTCCCAGCTGTCCAGCCTTCAGCCTTACTTCTAGCTTCTAGTTCACATAAGTCAACTCCCAACTCAGGCCTTTTGTATTTCTATCTACCCGCCCATTTGTTGTCTGGCACAGAGCCGCTTCCTTTGTTACCTTAATGGCCTATACTTGGAGGGCAGTTACCACACCAGGAAGGTAGCCTGGCTATTCCAGAACTTGAATCTGGTCTGGATCCAGGAATTAGAAGGGGGTTCAGGCAAAAGCCTACCCCTCTAAACTCATAGCAATACATGTGGCAATAGGCTTCTGTATAAGATATTAGGAGATTAGCTTTAATGAGCTCAGCTGATCCTGCGAATAAAAGATACCAAAAGCTTAATAGGAATATCCTGCGCTTCACTTTAGTTATTGCTAAAAGACACAACACTCATTTATTACCCCACCCCACCCCCACCTCTTCTAGCAGTGGGCAGACTGATCAGTGTTAGAACGGGAGGCAAGCAATTTAACTGACAAGTTACACAGCCTTCAGGTTGGTACAGAATAAATTGGAGAGACCAATGCAGCTCTTAAATATAATAAATCATATACCCCTCTAACGTCACATCCGGGCAGCACGGGGTTAAGGTCTGAGAGGACCCCGATCAAAATGACCCTCTTCACAAGTGGCATTAGCATTCTAAGGATAGCTCAAAGCAAAAAACAGGCTACAGTTATGTTTAATTATTCAGTAAAAGGGAATGAGTTATGTCAGCAAGACTCAAACACTGTTAGTCTTACCTTTTGGGCAAGCAAATCAAAAGGGAAGGGGAGACCCTACACAAAATGAAACACAGTTCTGTAAAGTCGAATTTTGTATCACCTCAGGAAACTGTCCCCCATGTAGGTCTTGGAAGGTGCATCTGGCCCATTGTTTACATTCTCATCACGTTCATGGCTGCTTCTCATGACCCTCCCTCCCTGGAAGTGGCAGAGAAGCATCCCCTTACTGGTAATAAGGTCAGGGCCCCTCGAGGAGGCCAACTGCTTGTACAGGAATGAGCTGCTCTTCAGAGGACCTGGCTCAGTTTGGCAGCATGGAGAAAGAGAGCGAGAGGAAAAAGATCCTCGAGTTTGAAGCGAGTTTTTGCTGACTGGAAAGCCACACACACACACACACACACACACACACACACACACACAGCTTCTCGGAGCACTGCAGCAAGCAAAGCTGCAACAAGTTTTGCAAAAGAGCAATACAAGCAGGACCGAATTCCACACTACCAAGGAAGGTAACCTACTTCGCTAGGTTCCCACTGCACCTTCTCTCAACATACACAGACACACAGTTTGAAGTACACGGTTCGTTGCCTCAAGTCCCTGTTGCCTCAATAAGGATTTTGTGCCCTTCCGAACTATTCACAGCTCTCCAAATATCCTGGCTGTTCATGCTGCAAGGGTGGAGGGGAAAAACAGAAGCAAGCTTTCAAAAAGTGGTCAGGCCAGCTCAAATCTGTTCCCTTGCCTACCACATGAATTGTGCTACTCCTGCAGAGAGTTGGACCCAGTCACAGCCAAGCAGAAGCACAACTTGATGAGTTAAGGAGGCACTCATGCAGCAAGGGCCAAGACACTGAATAGAAGGACACAGTCCACAATTTGTAGTTCAGGAGGACTAGCCAGCCAACAGAAATTTACATCCTGCTGAGTATACACTGTAGGGAGGCCGGGAGAGGATGAAAGGTGGCAGATTCCTTCCATTCTTCTCAGTTCCTTCTGCTGAATGAACAGAGCTGGTGTCAGCAGCACAAGCAACTCAAATCGTTGCTGGAGGCAACAGCTTTTTCATGGATGCCAATGAAGCAGCATGAGATCTGAGACATGCACCCTATAATCCGTTGCAACTTGCCAGTCAGGCCAGGGCACAACCCTCACCTTGTGTACAGCCATGCAAATGCCAAGAATTACCTCCACGACATTTCAAGGGATCCTGGGTTGTGTATCTTGGATTGCCATTGTATAGTCACTTGGGTTAGGGAACTGTTCTTGGCCAGTCTTGAACTAACACTACCCAGCATAGGCTTAAATTAAATCCTCATCTTGATTAAGTGAAAGTGTTTGAAGGGAATGGGTGTGCAAGAACAAAGTGCATGAACAAACAAATTTGTATTTCATATCAGAAACTATACGCTACAGCTATACTATTTTATTACAGTTTAAGCACTTGGTTGTGTCATTTTAAATAAGCTAGAAATGCATAATATTTGTACTTTTATATATTATCTTTATTAAACCAATGTCTATCAATCTAATTAAGCTATTTGAAAATAAGCATTATTCTGTACTTTAACTGACCATATAATATTGCCTTACCATTATTCTCCTCTTTGTAATCTACCTTAAAAACCTCAGTAATAAATAAATAAATAAATAAATAAATAAATAAATAAAATGGGGGGGTGGTGAACTTATGGGAGTACAGAGATATTTGGATGACACTCTGGAACTGGGGCAAACTGTAGCCACCATGTGTCAGCTCGGCAGTAGTGCATTCACGCTCACGCTCTCTCACACACATACAAGTTAAGGGAGATCCTTCCTTAGAAGGAATGGAATTATCATCAGACAGAACTGAAGGAAAGCAGATTCAAAAGAAAAAATAGCATCAACAGTAGTGAATGTGGGAGAGCGAAAGGATTTACGTTAAAGGGCCCCCAAGGTATCCTAGTCAATATCAAGCTATTCCTGTGTTTGAAAGGTGTTTTAGCTTGATATCTCCAGCAGCGGGGAACATGTTTTACTGTGGGGCACAAAGAACAAAAGCACACACATATTCTGTTCAGATCATGGGTGCAGCCAGGGTTTCTGTTGGGGGGGAGGCCTTTTGTTAGCAGGGGAAGAACCTCAGTTTGCTATGTATTTTTATTAAAAAAATTATTGGGGGGGGGAGTTACTCCTCCCTGCCCACCCTTGGCTACGGACATGGTTCAGATCCTCCCAGTTCTTTAGTGAATCGCCAGTATAGTGCTAGATCAATTAGTCAGAGCAGTGAAGCTACAAGTCCAAAAACAAATATTCTGCTTTTGACAGTACCATTTGATCCAGAGAGGTGTTGATCTGGCCCTCTGTGGGCCCCTTGGACAGGTAGATGAAGTCACCCTCCTGTCAATTATCCAACATCACATGACAACAGGTGATTGAAAATACAAGCCATGGCTGCAGAGGAAGGCTCAGGAGCACGCTCCAGCTTTTTCCTTTGTAGCTGCAGCTGGAATTCCCTTTCAAACCTTCCTATGACTGGTAGGCTTGGTAGGGCTAACTAGGTCTGTGGCCAAAGGCTCTCCACTTGCTGATTGAATCTGCTGGCCCTCTTGATACTATAGCAAGCCGAAGATGATGCAATCACTTAGGATATGCGCATTTTGCTATATAATCATCATATGCTTGATATCCATTCCTAGAGAAGTGTGTGGTTCAGAGGGGATAAATCCTCGTGTGAAAAATAGTATTTCCTAGACTTCACGTGGAGGAGTGTTTGACTTGCCACAAGAGACCATTTGCCTTGCAATGATTAGCGCCATTGGATTGCCAAAAAAGATGGCGCGTTTTCCGTTTCATGTGCTGCAATAGGAAAACTGAGGTAAGGAACCTGTGATTTCAGCCACATGATCATTCATTAATTTTAATTATGAAATGGAGATTCCTTCTCTTAATTTTGCCTTCCCTTGTACTAGAAAGCTCTTCGTTTTGCAGTTTCTATCTTGGCAACTGATTGCATTTATAACCCATCAAGCCCTTAGCAGATATGCTACAAATCTTAGGGCTGGTTTAACTCATATTGTTGTGCCAACATCTCTGGGGGCCAAAACAGCAACTGTTTCAACAGTTAGAGATAAAATATCCACATTCCAAAATACAGAACAGAATTAAAACTAGAGATAGGGAGAAACATCTACAACAAAGGGGCAGGGGTGACCACAGCTCAGTAGCAGAACATTTGCTTTGCAAGCAGAAGGTTTTGAGTTCATCTCCATTTAAAAGGAACAGGTGCAGGTGAGGAGCAAGATCTTGCCCAAGACCCTGAAGAGCCGCTGCCAGCGAGTGCTGGGCTAGATCATGTATGGCTTGATGTAAAGCAGCTTCCTGTGTTCCTATTTGTTTCTATGGAGCAAATCAGAGGGTAAACATCAAGGTCTAACGCCATCAAGTTCTTGCCATGAAACTGCCTGGGTTACATACACTGTAAGTAGGTCTTTTCTAAAAACAAAACCACTCGGAATATACAGTAGCTTCAAAACAGTCAGTGATTACGAGATGGGAAATACCAGTTTCCACACGTCACACGGTGTATGTCAAATATATATATATGGGCAGAAAGAGTGGCCAGGAGGCACAGATTAGCAAATTCACAATAGAATTTGCAGCTCTGTTGGCTTCTGAAGGCCAGAGTGTTGTTCCAGCCCCGATTTTTTTGCTGTTGCACTCCAGGCTGGGACAGTAATGGGATCCAAACTGGCTCCCTCTCAGATGGATAATGAAGCTGTGGATCTGGTGAATCCATGGCCAGCTCTGCTCCTTCCTCACCCCAGTAACATCCTGTTTCAGGATCTAAGCAAGCTACTGTCAGCAGGAACACTGCTGCTGGTAGGAGCTTCTCCACTTTATGTTCTTTCAGCAGCTGCAGCAGGGACCTCCACAGTGACAAAGCCTCCTACTGGTGGAGCCCGACAGAGGGACACATCTCCTAAACCTAACCCTAATCCAGCAGCACTGAGCATGGGGGAAAGGATCGCACTGCAAGTCATTCTATTTTGCAGCATGCACAGTTTGAACTTGCCAGTTAGGCATGCAATATGAGGAAAATGTAACCTTGCTCTGCTATCTTGGTTTCCTGAATCTAAAAGCAAGCATTTCTAATATAGAGTTGCATCAAGCCATTTCAAGCATGAGAACAAGAACTGTTTGTTCACTTAATTTTTAGCACATTTCCTGTTGTCTCGCAGATCTGTCCAAGAATTCTCAGTCCGCAGAAGAGATAACAAAACAAACTCTTTTCTGGATCAATAATAACGTTGTCTCCACTCAATGATCCTGAGGACTGGGGTGGGATTAATTTGATATAGCTAAAGAAAATAAGAATACACATGTACACATAAGAAGATACCATGGCCTGTCTCAATATTATACTGAGTCCAAGGCACTTGACACTTTTTACTGTCATCAGGCAATAAAAAGAGCAAGCATTGGCCAGTATCAAGAACGGTTTTATGGATGCCACTTTAAGGGCTATTACTGAAGCAGTAATAGCTTCAGTATTCAGGAATTACTTCCTGAAGCAGGAAGTAAAAATAAAGGCTGTAATTCAGCACAAAATTGCATAGCTAAAGTCAATGGGATTTAAAGTAAGCATATTATTTCAAAAATACAATATAGCATTCCTTTTTTTGTAAACCTATGAGCCCATGTTATCAACTGACTCAAGAAATGGAAATTAACACCCAAAACCTCATGGCTGTGGCACAATAGCCACAGCCTCCCTCCTTTGGTTTCAAGCACCAAGAACTCGTATAGCCTAAGTGAATATAAGCAACAGCTCTTATAGACTGCAGGGGCCCCAAACTACATACACTGTACCAGGCCTAGGAAATCCTGTTGGCATCCTTTTTCCGACAGCTCTTTGCCACCATTTCAAAATTAACAGGTCAAGGCAGTACAGTGGTACCTCGGGTTAAGAACTTAATTCGTTCTGGAGGTCCGTTCTTAACCTGAAACGGTTCTTAACCTGAGGTGTGCTTTTGCTAATGGGGCCTCCTGCTGGCGCACGATTTCCGTTCTTATCCTGGGGCAAAGTTCTTAACCTGGAACAACCACTTCTTGGTTAGCAGAGTTTGTAACCCGAAGCATCTGTAACCTGAGGTACCACTGTACTGTATATTGATTCAAAAGCCACAGTTGCATAACACAACAAGGTACTGCGGTGGAAAAGGAATGTGAGAAATTGGGATAGAAGTGCTAGCATTATACCCAGCAAAACTATTGCAGTAAGCCCCACATCTGAATGCAGCCTTATTGTGATTTAGCAGCACTGACAAACCACTAAAATTCCTGCACCTATGGCAAAGGAGACACATTTGGTCTTGCATCTATCTATCTGAGCATTTGAGACAGATTTCCAGGAGCCGTTCATGCTAACCAATAACTAAATCTAGTATCTGTCTCTTTCTACTATAAAACTTCAGAAATCTAACAGAGGCAAAGTCAGACAACATATGGTTTTCATTTAACTCCCTCCTTCCTGCCTCCCACATCTCAGGATCAGAACACCCCACCCACTGGGAATAAGATCGGCCCCTGTTGTTTTATCATCAGGAAATGCTTAGAGTTGAGAGTTATTGAATGAGGAAAAAAATCCCCACCACCCAGGGTTACTGTGTTTTAGAGAGTATTTTATACTGATTACATATGTTTATACTATGTAACTGCCAGAAATTACCAACTTTGAAAATTTCCTAGCCCAGCCCTGGGTTCTTCACCACTCTTCTCTCCTATTCTTTAGTTTCACCTTCTTCTCCTACTATATCTGTAAAGTACCAGATGAATTAATGAGGCCAATGCAGGCAGAAAGCTACCTAAGAATTAGCTCAAGGAAAACCAGGTGTTAAAGAAACATTAAGCCTTAACAGAAGCATTGCAGTGAGGTGCTACAAGTTAATTAACTTGATTGTCAGAATTTCCAGTGTGGTCTACCAAGTGTGGGACACTCTCAGATCAAATAGCACAGACATCAATGTTTGAGAATTTTTGTGTTTGTTAAAATTATTCAGCATTCCATGCCTTGAAGAAGCACAATTAACACCACAGACCAACAACCCTCCCTCCCTCCCTTTAGACTTACATCTATTCTCTCTTCAAATCGCACCATTCAAAAATTCACTCAAAGCAACTTCCAAACATTTTTGGATGACTTCACTAAAATATCAGGCAAAGGAGCCTCCCCTTTTTCTGTTTTCTTTCCTCAGCTGCAGTACCTGATTTTTAACAAGTTCCACCTGTGATAGAATGCCTCTCCATTTAGCAAACCACATAGCTGCCATTCAGGTGTGGAAATCTCAGCATTATGTTAAATCTTAAATACATTTCCTCAGAATAAGCTAATTATTGGTAGTATTGGACATGCGTTCCCATCCTAGATATTGTAATCACACAACGACCAAAACATTAATTAGTTTCTTTCCCAAAGCATTTTCTCTAGAATATGACTCACTTTGGCGGATTAACAAATCTTCATCTCAGTTGTTTCCACTGGTGTAATCCAGTTTTGAAACAGCAGAGATCCATTCTGCTCTGTCCAATTCTGTTCCACTTTTCCTCCACCACCACCAGCAGAGAGAGATGATAACTGGGAATGCAGAAAGTGAAAAGAGGCAGTACAGATAGTACTCACCTTCTACTTCTAAAATGTAATAGTATGGAAGGTCTTCATCTCACAGCCTCATAGGAAAGAAGCCCAAAGCAAATTGAGAAAATGGCTCTGGAAGCCAATTCAAACAGAGACAATATTCCAAGAGATCTGGGTGATTAGTTGTGTAACCTAATTAAACAGGTGGTGTTTAAAATGGCAGTCTCTGGGGTATTTAGAAATGTGTTTCTTAAAGAGCTCCCAGAGGTTAAGGCTGCCTGAAACTACCGTAACTAAGATGCTCTACCTGTCTCTTTAAAGAGCTCAGATAAGCACCACCTTCTAACCTGCTGCTCATCCTTCTGTCCTGTGCAACAGAACAAGCAGAAGTCAAGCACTGCGCGGGGCAATAGATATTGGTCATAATATAGAAATGGATGCATGGGAACGTTTATGGTACACGGATATAAAATTTACAGCATGTTATAGTTTAAGAGAAAACTTTATGAAAATGTTATATAGATGGTACCTAACACCTAGTAGATTGGCAAAAATATACAAATCCAAATTGAATATGTACTGGAAATGTAGAGAGAAAGAAGGTATTTTTTTCATATGTGGTGGTCTTGTAATAAGGTTAAAGCTTACTGAGAAATGATATAGAATGAATTGAAAAAGATGTTTAAGATAACATTTATTTTAAAAAAACCCAGAAGCTTTTCTTTTGGGAATCATGGGATCAAAACTACCTAAACATTATAGAAATGCATTTATATACGAAACCACAGCTGCAAGAATGTTACTTGCCCCAAAATAGAAGGAATACGAGGTCCCGAAGAAAGAAGAATGGATACAGAAGTTAATGGACTACGCAGAAATGGTGAAACTTACCGGGAGAATAAGAAATCAAGATAACATTTTTTAAAGAAAGGAATGGAAATAGTTTATTATTTACAAACAAACTGTAAACAGATTAAGACATTGGCAGGAATCAGGATTAATGTAAAAACCTGCAGTTTCAAAATATATATGGATATATACGGGAATATATAAAAGAATATGTTGAGATAATTTGGAATATGCAGGAAGATGAAAAGAAATGTAAAGAATCACAGAAAGAAGGGGAAGGGAGTCGGAGTTTGAAATGCTAAAACTATGATTGAATAATTGTAATACACATAAATGAAAATTATAAATAAACAAAAAAGAAATCAAGCACTGCATTCACATGACAGTTTATTCCATTTTCACATTTCCCTGTTAATTTCTACATTCTATTTGAGCTTTCACACAATGTAAAAGCCACTTCCAGAACTATATGGGAATATAGCACAAGTTTAGCACTCATTTCCATATTATCTGCAAATAGATTATTAACGGAAGCAAAGAGCACAGAAATGAGCACTAAACTTGCAGTGTATTCCACTGTTGTTCCAGTAATGGCTTTTACATCACGTGAAAGAGGAACATAACAGTTAGGGTCTTCATGCGCTTTTAAAGTAGCAGGCACAATCTCAACTTTAGTGGCTAGCAACCCTATTGGTGAAGAGAGAGGTGTTTCAGATGAAATTCTGAATCCGATTTATATGCTAATTTTCACTGCACCCCTGATATTAACGTAATTGTTAGGTGGGGATTGAAAGCATATTCTCCAGAACATTACAAAGAATACCACTTAGAGCTCAGCTGAATGCATGATTGCTCAGAAGTAAGCCCTGCTTATTTCAGGATTGCACGGGCTTTCAGCCTTAACTGTCCTTCTTAAGTGATTGCGCGTGTAAAAAATGCATCTTTAAAAAATGCATTAGTTGCTTCAGATAACCTAAATACCAAGTTGTACATTAAGTATGGGCTATCCAAATGTGTATTCTATACATTGGATCAGCTCATGGCTAGAAGGAAAAAGGCATCCACAAACGTTTAAGTCCACTGATACTAATATCAATGCTCATGACACACTATAAAGCACAAAGGGCAGGTTCCTGTCCTGAGGAACGTTACAGTCGAAGAACCAAACTGGAAGAGATGCTAAGCACATCATCATTTGAAACTATGCTTAAAAACACTAACTGCATGTAACTTTTTTTGGAAGTGCAGCATGCAAGGAGGAGAGCTTTTACAATTCCTTTCCTGGTCCCGATCTCAACAAAAAAACACCCCTATTAGCTTGATGGAGAAAAGCTCCCAGGCCCCTGAAGGGAAGATTTTTCTTATAATTGCATAACAAACTTGTCTTGCTGCTTATGGATGTGATTCAGGTAACGGTAACCCTATTAGCATTCTTAATTAAAAGTCAATAGGACTTTCTATTGGGGGAAGGGCTACAAGTCAGGGATAGAATATCTGCTTTCTATGCAGAAAGACCTCAGGTTCATTCTCCAAGTAGGACTGGGAAAAGTCTCTGGTCTGAAACCCTGGAGAGCTGCTGCTAGTCAGTGTAGCCAATACTAAACTTGATGGGCCAGTGGTCTGATTCTGCTTTCTATGTTCCGACATACTTACTCCTTTCCCATTTAAACCAGTGGGATGGAAAACTGCATCACTTTGGATCAATTCTATTGTCATGGGACATGGGGGAATGCTGAGACTGATATTACCTAGAGACTTTCTGGATGCTTTCTTGGCTTCTGAACACCATGGAAAACTTCAATAAAATTATTATGATTATAGTAGAAATATTTTTTTATATTTAATGAAGTGTCCTATACATTCTGACCATTCTCTGGGCACTCTGCACACATGCTGAAATTAATCAATGAAATTAAAACATGAAATGTTTTCAGTAATGGGGAAACCCAGGCAATCCATTTCAACTTGAATACTAGGCATGTGAGAATTCAGTCCCACTGAATTCAACGGGACTTACTTCTGAGTACATAGACTTGCACTCTTTACAATTCATTTGGCAGTAAGAGGCAAATGGAGGAAGAAAAATAAATTAAAACACACACAGTTACATTTGAAATGGTATCTTTTAAATAAACAAGTAAGACTTTTCTGAGTTTGGTGGAGAGATTTAACAGAAATGCTGGGGTTTTCTTTTCCATGGGAAGCCTCTCTCAAATCCAGGAAGTTTTGACTGTAGAACAAACTGATCCCCCAGTTTTCACAGCCAACACTTTAAGTACAAGATAACACTTTCAAATGAAAGTAAAATCTAACATGTTGCCGTGGTTACAGGAAGTTTCCTACATCAGTGCTGTGATAAGGGTGTGTGTGTGTGTGTGTGTGTGTTGCACAACAAATGTTGATTTCTTGAATAAGGCATCTCATACATTTGGCTTTAGTTCACCCTTGGCACTATTCCAGAATGAATGGAGAGAAGACATAGATTTTCCGCAAGCTACAGTTCCAAGACCTTTTGCTCTTCAGCTGGAGCTCTTGGCAGCACTACTGCTAGCTCAGCTTCAAAAGGGGAAAAATGACTTATCTGCAGCAGTTTTAGGGAAGACCACAAGGACCAAATGCAAAGGACATGTGGCCTCTGTAGGGAACCTTATTCTAAGGCCCTAAACCTCTAACCCACAACTATCCTTTCTCATTTTATGGGCATAGCTGGGCAGAAATTAATCCTCTCTCATCCCCACACTCCCAAAGTTCCTCAGTTCTGTAATTATTGCTTTCATATGCAAGTAACAATAGAGGTACAAAGACCATCTCTGCAAACAAGAGAGCAGGTTCCAAATAATTACAGGAGAGCTACACAGTTTTACTGTGGCTTTCTGATACAGAGCACTTCATATAATAATAATTCCATAACTCATCAACCTTTATTACGGTCCAGAGACCCAACAAATCATTACAAAGCAGTACACAATTCATACAGCCTACCTCCAAGTTAAACAAGCATTTTGTTTAGAATATAGGGATCATTTGTTCTTGCAACCACCTATAAAAACTTTGCCACTGCTAATGTTCTAGCATTTGTCCGGTCTTCCAGTAGGAACCTGACATAGTGAGCCTCTGATTTTCCCGGGAAAGGTACCAGCAAGGCTAGTATCAGTTCAGCCCTGGCTTGCTCATATTTTGCACAATGCGACAAAATATGTTTTAAATTCCATAACTAAGATGAGACTTAGAAGCTATGCTGCTATTACTTATGAGGTATCATTCATTTTTATTTATAAGATTTATAAATAAATACACACACACCATACATTTAAAGCACATGGCTTCCACCGAAGAAGCTGGGAACTGGAGTTATGTGTGCTAAGAATTGCAGCTCTCTTGGGGTTAAGCTACAGCTCCCAGGATTCTTTAACTGTTAAAGTGGTCTACATGTGCTTTAAATGTATGGTGTGGAGGTGTCTAGCTCACCTTTTAGAACACACAGCACTTTAGGTGGCTCACAATAAAATAAGGGATTCCATTAAAGAAAGGTGGTATTCAACGAATGCATCCCATCCATGCAAGGATTTACAATTGTGCAACTGAACACTCCCCTCATGAACCACACATTCTCCCCAGATCTATTCTGGAGGGTTGGGGGAACCCCTAGAATAGATTTCGGGGGTGCATGGAGAAAATTCTGTTGCATAACTTTAAATCCTTGCGCTGACAAGGAAGTGTTATTTAGATACTGCCCAAGACAAGGCCATAAAACAACTGATTTAAAATAAAATGAATTTAGAGGTTTTAGAAAGCAACCCAACAATGCAAAAAGTAATCAGTCGACTCAGATGAAATGGCTGCCTAAACAAAAAGGTATTAGAAAGCTATAAAAATATTCTGGGGGATGGAATTCAGCAACCTACCGGTAGGTGCTGACCTGAAGAACAGCCTCTTTTCTATCAAATGCACCTCAGATAAAGGCAGGGCATTGGGGAGGATCTCTCCAGAGATCAGGCAGGCTGATATCATGGGGCAGGGGCAGTCTTTTGCCTACCAATCTGCATAAACACAGTCCAAAAAAAGATCCCCAAGATTATTTAGCAGTAAAATGCACTTCCAAGTGCCTTTCTCCAACAACAACGTTCCTTAGTTTTTGTGTTTGCGCAATTGGGATTAACCAGGAATTCCTTTCTAGATTTTAAATATTCAGTAAGAGGAGATGAACAGATGGGTTTACAAGCAATGGCCCTCTTTGCTACAACTGTTCCAGAAAGGAATGAGGAGGAGTCTTGGGTGAAGGGAGTTAAACACAGATAGGAATCTGATTTGGTTACTGAACGGCTAAGAATGAGGTTGAAGATTAAATGCAGTTAGTCATTTCTGTATCATCTAACATTAACACTGTTATTGTGTACACTGTCCAAGCAGGAACAAACTGAAAAATGTAGTATGTGACACTACCCATGTGCCAAACAAGAGTTTCCAAATATTCTGTATTGTTTAACTAATTTTTCACACTTCTTTTGGCAGCATGGCATTGTTTGAATTGGCAAGATACGTAGTCGTGATTAGTGCTTGTTCCCAGAATGCAAAAGAGTGGGCCTCTGGCTCTTACTGTGAATCTTTGCTCCCACCCTCTGAGACCCAAACTGGTCTCTCTGTGGATGATCAGCTATCCAAGTAGCTGGCAACAACAACTCCAGTGAGGAATTAGAATGTGAACCAGTAGGCAGAAGAAACAGGTGGATTTACTGGAGATAGCTTTTAGAGAAAGAAACTCCCTGTATCAGCCAACCTGTGATTTGAAAGCTGCTGGAAAGGTCTTGCTAGTAGTGCCATCTGTAAGCAAACCTCAAGAAGCAGTAACCTGACAGTGGGTCTTCTCAACTAGGGCACACCACTCCCCTTGGTATACAGCTGGCAGAAACCCTGCCTTGTTTCAAATGTGTATTATTCAACAGGCCTTTGATAGTCAATATGCTAGGACCACAGAATGTAGATAACTGAATTTATTTTCATATTTGATGGTTTTGTATTTATTGTTGTAACCCACTCTTGAAGCCTAGGGGCAAAAGGCATACAAATAATAGTACCAACAGCATTAGCCAGAGATTTATGTCAAGGTTTATACAGTACACTGACATAAATCCAATATTCTTATGGTACTCATGCACCCAGCTTTTCCAAGGAAAGGAAGATAACTTAAACCATGTACACAGCTCCTATAGTGCAAATTTCATTAACCAGGATGCATCTGATACAACTTGTTTAAGTAGTTGTTTGCATGCCCCTTCTACATGGGTGAGAGTAAGACATGGATACTTACAAGAGGAAAAATTATTACATGCGCTTTTACTGGAGGATCAGAAAACAGTGATCTCTGTACTCCCTCTACTGGCTTGCTTAGTTCATGTCTTCCCGCATGTTTTCTCGGTTTTATTTTTTAATCCTGCTGTCCCACCTTCTGTGATGGAACTCCAAGCAGCGTGCACAAAATCTTTTTTTTTGGGGGGGGGGAGTCTTTCTCTGTGCACCCTCTGCTGGCTTGCTTAGCTCATGTTTTCACACAATTGCTTTAATTTGTATACAGTGGTACCTTGGTTTACGAACTTAATCCGTTCTGGAAGTCTGTTCTTAAACTAAGGCCTTCTTAAACCAAGATGTGCTTTCCCATAGCAGTGGGGAACTCAATTTATAAACGACTTCCAACTTTTTTGAGAGATACATATAAATGCTTTCAATAATTAACACCACAAGCCTAACTATGTCTACTCAGAAGTAAACCCCACTGAATTCAGAGGGGCTTACTCCCAGGTAAATTGGGTTAAGATTGTTGCCTAAATCCATTAAGAAAACATTAGACCAATGCACTATTCTAATACGGAAATGTGACCATTTCTGGCATAGAAATCAGCCCCTCCTGACTGGATATCTCTGGCCAAGATGGACATGACTCTAAAATGCCTGGGATTGTATAGGCCACAAAGATAAACGAGGAGGATATTGAGGCAAGAAAGTAAACAAGGCGCTGATAGAAATTCCCCCTGTACTGACCCTGCTTTAATGGTGGCATCCAAGTTGTCACAGATGGAAACAATTTTACATGCAAGTTGCCTTGTAATAAATGACATGGTAGCATGCAAATAACCCCGTACCTGAATGAAAGGCTTGCACTAGCTGCTCCTGACTTACCTGATCGCAGCTGAAGAAACGGCCTGCCCATGTTTCTTCCCTATCTCCTTCCACTCCATTTTAGAACATACGGGGGTCTGAGCCTCTTAAACAGCATTACTTTAATTCCTAGTTATTTCAATGGGTTTTGTTGTTGTTGTTTTAACTGGAAGGCAGGCAGTCATGCCGCTTTTGAAAGCCACATTTGGCTCCCACCTGTGCAGGCCACATTTACCCAAAATGCAATGCTTCAGCCTATAGATCTATGAACTCTGTAAATTTAGTAGATGTAAAGGCTAAGGTTTATAGATCTATAGGCAGCGTGGATAAATTAAGACTATTAAAAAAATATGGCATAATTAGCTGGCCACTGCTAAAATGCTGTCCAGAGGGCTGGGAGGGTGGTCATGCTGCTATGGAGGCAGCAGATGAGAAAAAAAAATTCTCTGTGGTTTTGGCCATGGGGTGGTGGTATCAACAGCAGTGTGCCAATGGCCGCCAGAAGTCTGGTGCCAGCCCTGTATGAATGAAGCAAAGCAATCTCTACACTGTATGGAATTAATGCTGTGGCTCAAACCTATTGTTAATTCTTCTGAGCTTGTGTATCAATTACAACGACATTCTGAAGGTCAGGCTTCTGTCTTGTTGTCTTATGCTTAACTATGAACAAATTACAAGCAGAGCTAATGGTAAATTAAGCTTTATTCTTGATGAGGCCCAGAAGACTTGACTGCATAGAGTAGAAAACCAGCTTCTCCAGCCAGGCCACACCTCTTGAGTCAACTCTCCAAGAGCTGGCCTCCTGGGTCATATAGCTTTTTATTTTAAAGGGACCACATGACAGATATTTAATGGATAGAACATACATTACAGCCTCTCTTTGTCCTCCTACTTTATTACATTTCTGTCTCACCATTCTTCCTAGGAGCTCAGGGCAGCTTATTGGTTCCTTTATTTTATGACCTCACACATTAAATAATAGACCGTGAGATGAAGCTGGATGTCCACACACCCACGTCCTCAAAACATAATACTTTGTGCATCCCTAGAATTGTGCTCCGAAGGATTGGGAAACTTTCTGTAGAAGACTGGAGGGGGCGGGGCACACACAGGATGTAGGGGAAGGAAAGAAGTACTAGCAGAAGTCAGCTTGCATCAGTTTGGATTTCAGCCTGTTAACATGCTAGTTATGGTACACAGATCTTGTACATCCGAGCGCACAGTCACCAAGACACAGAAAATTTGCATATTAAATAAATGAATTAAAAAAATAAACGCAGGCATTACTTGTAGAAGCTGGCATTACTGAGCAGCGAGTCTGTATAGTTTGTAATTGCCAGGAGGAAGGAGAGCAGAGACACCTCTTTTGAATAACATGAAAGTGAACTGGGACAAAGAAAATAGTATAGTGTGATAACACTTGTTTGAAGATTTAGGATTAAAACAGAACAAGACAGTAGAGTGGTTTGAAACCAAATGCCATGAAGAACATTTAAATTGATCACGCAGAAAAGTCCTCTGTGATAATGAGGCAAATTAGGACCCTTTACAGTAGCATTTAAGAGGAAAGAGCTGCCTGAGGAAGCAGTTCATTTTTTTAAAAAGTAAAAGGTTTTTATTATTATTATTTTATTATATAAATTCCTTTTGGCTTAGGTCCCATAGTTTCACTGTAAAATAACACATACATTATGTGGTGTATTGCCTCTTAGATTCTAATGCAGGCTGAAATTAGCTTTCATAGGATGATGTACACCTAAGCTGCACAGTATTTCTTACAATGAAGTAATCCCTTTGGTGGGGATTTTATGAAATTTTAACAATGCAATTCTTTAATATCTACTCAGAAGCAAGGGCCATTAAACTTGGTGGGCTTATTTCCAAGTAAGTGTGCAAACTGGACTGCAGCCTAATTGTCATTAAAACTGTATTGTGAAACCACTGTTCAACTGTATTTCAATTGCAGGTTATGCATTTGCTTACAAGGTGTATTTATGTGCTGGCTAATCATCTTTCTCTAAGTACCTTCCTTGTCTTCTCTGGATAGCTACAATGTCAGGTTGAGAATGGCAGACAGCCCCTAGTAAGAGTTGGGTTGCTACTCTGGGCTGAAGATGATCTGAAAAGGGCTGGGGGCAGCTGCATTTTTCACATATTTTTGCAACTGGTACAAAGCTGATTTTGCGGGACTTTGGACCAAGAGAGCAAAAGTGTTAACCTAATCAGTCACAACACTGCGTAACTAATCAGATTTGACCATGTGATGTCACTCAGATCAAACAAAGCAATTCAAAATGAGGACAATACAAAGCAGGAACTCTGTATCACCATTCTGAATTGACTTAATTCCCCCACCATGACATCACAGCACGACTAAATCTGATTGGCTTAATAAAGCCACGGCACCCTCCTACTGACTACTTTTAATGTCAAGCTGAAACAGTGACAGAAAGCATACAGGTAGTTCATTTGCAGATAACAATGGCTTTAAATAGCTACTAAATAAATAAATAGATTTAACGATCTTGCAGGGTGGGGGGAAACATTTGTACCCCACAATAATGCTACCTCATCTGCACAGCCATCAAAACGGATAGGAGGAGTGATGGTGGCAGAGCTCCCTGCCATGGGAAGCTTTGGCAAGCCAAGACTATTAGAATTAAACTTCAGTTGAAGGCTTATAGGCTCTAGTTCTTAAAGAGAGATGGCTGAATTGCATCATAAATGTTAAAGTTAAAGATGGTGATGCCTATGATGTAAACGCAAAGAAATCTGAATATATGTCTTTTAAAATTGGCTCCCTGCAAAGCTTTCCAGATTTCTCCTGGTATTATTTAAAACTAGCACTGTTTCAGCAGTGACTTCATCTACGTCTGGATTGCCTTACTATAATTCTTTTTCAGCACCATGAACCTCTTTGAAAAAATGCTGACTGCATGGAACATTATGCATATATTTTGACTTTTATTTTTTAAAAGTTTTTATTTCCTAGAAATCCATAAACTAATCCTCATATTCAAGCTGAGTAACACCAAGCCAAGATAAGTATCCAAAATAAAAGGCATTTGTTAATCAAAATATAATGAATGAGCAAGCAGTTTCACCTCAGATTGTAGTCCAACCCTCAATGGAACTTGGTTCTGAGTAAATTTACATATGAATGCACTGCATGGAAAGCCTTCTAGCCAGCCTAATATCTGAAAAGCAACTGACATCAATAGGATGTCATCATATGTCAGAATGGAAAATATTCCCAAGGTGCAGTAATAAGACCCTAAAAACATTAGACCACCAGTTAGATTTGCAGCAATGCTGTGTTGTTCTGGAATGTAAAGTTGTTAGGTCTGATCATGTGTTCTGCTTCTCTCGAATGGGCAAACAGGAATTTACTGTTCCTGATCTGTCAGTTGTGCTGATCACTCCCATACCCACCCTTTTTGGTGTTAATCATTCCAGTCTTGAATCACACTGGATATTCCAGAAAAATGCTTCATTCATAATGTGCAAAGAACTTGGTTGAGTCATGAGTGGACACTGGGTTTTGAAGGACCAAAATAAAACTTTAACGAAAAAAGGCACTTAGGGAACCTTTTCCCCTCATGGCATTCCTTTATCCCAGGTACTTTTCTACCAGCATAGCTAATTTCTGCTGTTCTTGGGTAACGTGTGTGTACGCACACTAGGGCACTTGACCACAGGGAAGTTGGGGGGCGAGAGGGAACAGAGTAGGGTTCACCTTCCCATGCACAGCTTTTGGTATTGGAGTTACAAAGTGGTGGGTAGGGATGCAAATGTATGTGAACATTGCAGGTATTAACAAATCAATGTGGCTCCTGCTACATTATTACTTCAACCCTGAAAAACACCTACAGTCACCCTGGACTATTGGATGTCTCATATGACATAGTGTTGTATGTACGTCAGAAACTCCACTGGGCTGTCAAAAAGGAGACCTAAAGCTAGCATGAGCTAGAAGTAATTCAATAAAAGTAGTTCCAACCTAAAAAATTAACCAGCCCCAATGTGTCATTCCCATTCCCAAAAAAGAAAGAAAAAATTGTGTTTACAGTGGTACCTCTGGTTACGTACTTAATTCGTTCCAGAGATCCGCTCTTAACCTGAAACTGTTCTTAACCTGAAGCACCACTTTAGCTAATGGGGCCTCCTGCTGCTGCCGCACCGCTGGAGCATGATTTTTGTTCTCATCCTGAAGCAAAGTTCTTAACCCGAGGTACTATTTCTGGGTTAGCGGAGTCTGTAACCTGAAGCGTATGTAACCTGAAGCGTATGTAACCTGAGGTACCACTGTACTGTAACCTGAGGTACTTCTGGGTTAGCAAAACTAGATACGTTGTCACTCAGCCTGTCTCATGCACTGTGACATGGGTCTATGAGTCTGGACTCTGTAACTGAATGTCATATGCCTGCTTTTCTGGTCAATTTGGAGGAAAACATTATTGGTCTTCAGCCATCACCATATATCGCCACTCCCTCCAGTTTGAGGCCATACCAATGGTTTACAACCTTCATAGAATCAGTATTGGCCCCTAACATTTTAATGTGATATTTAGAGTTGGAAAGAAGAGAAGCATTAGGTGAAAGCCTTTTTGTTTCAATGCATAAAGAGACTATTTAGTATGCATCTTTCTCTATTGCCTATTTATTTAACAACAGATAGAGGGAGAATGCGTACAGGAAATACAATAGCCATGACTGGTAGGGACCCTTTGTATATAAGGAAGTTTCAACTTCTTGTTGTTTTTAAGTAAGCTAGTAAGTCAGAAGCACACTTGAAACACTCATTTTGATTACTTTGGCAAGGAGAAGCTTTGTTTGGGTTGGGGCAGATGTCCAAGGCTGACTCAGTTTTATATGCTTTCTTTCAAGCGTGATGCAAGGGGCTTCAAGTCATCTTTGTGCACTCTGTTTTGTAGCTGGAGTCTTATTTCTACCTATTTATTTACTTCATATTGATTTAAGTGATCAAATCATGCCTGCCTTGTTAAATTTGCACTGGCTGCCAGGTTGTTTCCAGGTTCAACCCAAGATGCTTGTGTTACCCTTAAAGCTCTAAATCAGGGGTCAGCAAGGTTTCCCTCGCCTGGGCTGGTTCATTTCAGCAGAGATCCCTCTGTGGGTCAGATTGTGCAAGCACCCACGATTCCAGTATCTGCGTCTGTGCAGACATGATTTTCAGTGCCACAGAAGTGAGTCCCCACACTGCGCTGTGCCGGTTTAGCGCAGCGAGTGGCTTGGTTCGGGGGCCAGTTAAACAACCCCCGTGGGCCGCTTGTGGCCCATGGGCCTTAGGTTGCCTACCCCTGCTCTAAATGGCTTGGGACCTGTGTATATTAAGCAACACCTTCTTCCATACATTCATCCACATATGCTTTGTCCACTACTGGATGTGCTACAATGAATTCCGTGAACTGTGTAGCTAGATGGGCAACTACCAGAGGCGCTCACTCAATTAAAGCAAGTACTGATGAAAATGTGCACCTAATGGATAGAAAAATAACTTGCATAGCAACACAGAACAAGGTACATTTGTCCATAACCCAACAATTTACTTAAATTTAATACATCACAATAGGACAATCTAGTAAAATACACAAAATTCATAGCAACCCACATTGCCAATGTACAATTTTTATAGGGTTAGCATCTTTCTTTATATTAATTTTTTTTAAAGTAAGCTACTGTGTTCCATTTACAATAGCCAAAACGTACCGTCATTTAGGCAGTTTAAAGAGATCTAATTAACACTTTTAAAACTAACTTCATAGACCTTTTGGCACTTAGAAACAAAACAAAAGATTCCATATCATATCAGCTGAAACACAGCACAGTATAAACTGCCACTGGTAGAAAACAAATAAAGTGTCCTTTCTTCTAAATCACCACATAGTCCAAATATGTACTGATGGAAAAGGGCCAGCCTCACTCTACTGTGGCTAGTTCTTCCTCAGCCTGTCAATTTTGGAAACATTCTTGAAATTATTTCACAAAACATTGATGGCTTTTTTACCGTGTGTACTTAAAGAAGACACTTATGAAAATCGTACCTCCTTTCTTTACTTTGTTAAATCTTAATACAATTATTTCCCCACTTTCTTCTTGGCAGTGTATAGCCTTTGGTAGCATTACAACTCTATGAATGGGCTATTCTGGCTGGATTTTCATTCTCAGCAACGGAGAGGCAATAGCTTCTTGTATAACAGATGCCATGAGAAAGAATAAATCATTAAGAAAAGGATAGTTGTGCCAAAGTCTTGTTCACACAAGAGAGTGTTGTTGCATTTGCTTTTGCAAACTTTTGGTCTCTGCAGATTGTGGTACATTTCTACGTTATAAATTCCAGCTGCTTCTAGCATCACATATTGTGCTCAAAATTACAACCCCCACTCTCCATAGCGGCCTTTTCTCCCCCACCAGCTCCTGAACTGTATTATTTCAATCAGTTCTTGGCAAAGTAACTAGTGATTGTTTTACGTTTCACTGATTGCAGGCTCCATGCACTACTATTTATTCTGAAAGGCAACTATTGTATCAGTCATTTCCCTCCTGTCTGAAATTATCCTGAGAATCCATAAGGAAATCTGAACAAACTATTGTGGCTTTCAGAAGACTGTAATTATAATAAAGACTCTTAAGCATTTTCAGACTCCTGAAATCTGAAAAAGGGGTAAAATGCTTGTAGCATGATACAAATCTGTTCTGTTTGGAGAGGCTGCACTGGTCATTAGTGGGATTCACTCCCATGGTTGTTTTTAAAGACAAACATTGTTCCCGATAAATATGGATATCCTTTGCTGTGAAGAGACTTGATACCAAGTTCAGGGGATCTTGCTAGGATTTCAGGATCAAACTGGAACATGGAGTACTAGCTCTCTCAGGCACTTTTGAATATTCCACTTTGTCTCATCAAGGATTCCTTGGAATTACAGGCTGTTCTTACTACACATCCAAGCAAGGAAGGGGGGGGAAGGACTTGAGAAAATAAGCCAGACGTGGGTATACAAAATGTCAAAGGCATTTAAGGTGGTCAACAAATAGGACTTTGTCTTGTTCTGTTAACATTTCCCTTTACAAAGACTGGTCTCTGTGTTATGACTGCCTTGTGAAAACTGTGTCAAAGAGCCTCCTTACACTGGCTGCTCCACATGGCAGTTGTAACATGTAGAGTGACTTCCCATGTGGGCAACTGCTAGCCCATTAAAATGTCTGGCAGTGCTATGGATGCAATCTATATGTTGAGACATTCCACACACTGCTGTATGAATCAGCTGCCATGAGGATGTTTCAGGCTACGTAGGATAGACTCGAATCTAAAGAAGGATTTGTCATCTGCATTACTTTGTAGTTTTATACAGTGGTGCCTCGCAAGACGAAATTAATCCGTTCCGCGAGAGTCTTCGTCTAGCGGTTTTTTCGTCTTGCGAAGCAACCCTATTAGCGGCTTAACGGATTAGCGCTATTAGCGGTTTAGCGGCTATTAAAGGCTTAAAGGCTTAGGGGATTAGCTGCTAAAAGGCTATTAAAGGCTATTAAAGGCTTAGCAGATTAGATAAAGGGGGAGAAAGCGAAAAAAATCTCTAGACTCGCAAGACATTTTCGTCTTGCGAAGCAAGCCCATAGGGAAATTCGTCCTGCGAAGCAACTCAAAAACGGAAAACCCTTTCGTCTAGCGGGTTTTCCGTCTTGCGAGGCATTCGTCTTGCGGGGCACCACTGTATTCAGCATGTGCAGAAACCAACTGCCATGAACAACAGATTTGTGTTTACTTAATTGGCACTGTGGCAAAACCCTTGGAGTAAGTGAAATACTCCTATAGTAAGGATGTGGGGATGAAAAAAAAAGGATTGTCATAGTCTGGTAAGGCATCTTTCAGTGCATCTTTTGCATTGCAAACTAAAACATAAAGTCATCTGGAGGTAGAGGGTGTCACCTCCACAGGAGATTTCCTTATGGCCCTTCCCTTGCGTAAGAATGCGCAATAGTCTGCGCATGCAGAATGGGAGTCAAGGTATTGTTGTTCCATGTGCTGGATGGCCAGGGAAGGCTGTGCCAAGTACCAGGATTATCTCGTCTACTGTTGATGAGGTGTTACACAGTGCTTACTTTTCATCTGTTACTTTTTTTAAAAAAAGCCTTCATTTCATTTTGCTTTTGCAAGAGTGGCCATGCTACAAATTACAAAAACAACAGTGGGGGAATTATACATACATAGAAGACAAAACACCATGTTACTATCACCATTGCATTAATATGTGCATAATATCTGTGCGTAAGGCTCAAGCCACGGCAACATTGTGGTGTGCTTTTTTTTTTTGGCAATGGAGTCAAGCAGATCCACAATAGTGATAAACACAACCAACATTTCCATAATCAACCGAAAGGGCTATTAACCGAGCATGCCTGGATAGGAAGGGGGCCTGAGAGCTATAGCTCTTAGATGTGTATCTATCCAGAACCTTTCAAAGACTTGTTTTGTGATTTCTGCGGCATTCTCTTTATTACCTTCACGTCTGGCCATCGTGCAAAGCTTATCAACTATACTCTGTTATTATTCCCTGTGTTTAGGTTCGGAATAATTTTTCCCCAATTTTCTTTTTTACAACTGTAAAAAAAAATCCATAGTAAAAATAACTCACTATATGATACATATACCCAAAACGGTCAGATACTTTATATAATAAAAGATGAAAATAGTCACTTTTCATAATAAAAATAACTTCTATTTTTTGCTTATTTTACAATATACTTAATATTCTCTTCTTCACTTAAAAGTAAATAGGTCCTGTTTTTGATAGCACATCTGAGTCGATACAAAGGGGCAAAGAGGTGGATCAGCTGTTTATAAACACTTTGCGCAGCCACATTCCACATGCCTCTCTAGCTCTTCTGTGAAGGAGGAGCCATCCACACACTGGAAGCCATATTTCCGCCTTTTGCTCCTGAGGGCAATGCAGCACTGATCATTCCCACAAGTGCCATGGCATTCCACACGAGGCACTTTGACCAGGGAGACGCATGCAATCGAACCTTGTTGCTTCCGAATGAATTCGCGGATAATCTCTCCTTGGCACTGATTCTCTGCTAGAACAAACAAACACATGCTTTCAGAAATCTTATCATTTATTTGAACATCCAGAACATGAATCCAAACCACAACCCTATCCTTGGCTTATGCCGAGATCAGATTGCTACAAAGTGCACTTAATACCAGAATATTTTGAAGATATGCTGGTTCTATATATCTATGACAGTAGTTTCCACAACACTGCTTTGAATTCCACACATTGACACAGTAGAAGATGGGATTCTGCATCAAATCACAGCCCAATATGCAGCAAGTCCATTCGCCTTTTCTGGTGGGTAGCGTTGCAGCCCCCTGCAGTGATCCGGCGGGGGGTGGAGATTGATGCCCCACTTGCTGCCACCTGGGCTGCGTCACTGGGCAGGGCACCACCCAGGGGTGGCCCTGCTGACCAATCAGCACTGGCGGGAGGCGTGGCTGCAGGTAATTTAAACCGCAGCGTGGCCAGGGAGCGCTCCTCTCTCACCCTTCGCGGGATCAAGTTGTGGCCTATTTGAACCCATAAACCTAAATACTTGTGTCCATGTGTACATTATCCACCAGGGAACTGTGGGTCCAGATAAAAGTACCCAACAGAAATCTCAGGTTCATTGCTGTGACGCGGGATATAAGAACCAAGTATCTCATACAGGTAAGCAACAGTACTTGGGGGGTGGGAGGTCTTCTGAACATACCACCCATTTCCTGCCCTGCATAGAAGCTGCTAGCACAGAAGAACCAGAATCATACCCCATCTCATATCCCATAGGTGGGTGGGTTTTGTATCAGTGCCTCTTCCCTTTTTCTGTGCAGGACTATCTTAACTTTAGCTCCTATATTTTAAGAGACCAGATGACTATTTTAGTTGGATTAATCATGCATTGAACCATGTGTACTTATTGGCATTATTGGGACTTATCCAACTAGTTCTTTGGGACAGAAGGCATGTAGGAGAGCTATGTTGCTATCTTTTAGGTAGAACGCTACTACTAGCTGCATGCCGGAGGTTCTTCCTGTTTATTTCCTGGCTACAGTAAATTATTTTCTTCATTAAAATCTTTACCAAATTGCAACAAACTGAGAAAAAGAATTTGCTGATGAACTTTGCAGACCGCCCATCCTAGTCATGAGTTGATAATATGTTTTCTTCTCAGTGATTGGACACATGTTTAGGGAGGAGTCATAGATCAATGGTAGTCCACATACTTTCCATGCAAAAGTTCCCAGATTTAATTCCTAGCATCCCAACTCCAGGTAGGCCTGGGAAAGGCCCCTATCTGAAACCATGGAGAGGTGCTGGCAGTCAGTATCGACCAGGAGCAGATAACCTCTGGCCTTCCAGAGCTTTCAAGACAGTGATAGCTTGGAGATGCACTGAGTGGCATAGGTTGGCTGGGAGAGATGAGAACACTCCCACAGATTCTTCATGTGCCTGCTATTTGATCATATGTTCATACATTTAAATGTATGAAAGAAACGGATCCTAGTGTTGGTGCTAAGTGGACCCTAGAAAGCAAGTTGCTATCAGTCAAACCACCCAAGATGTGTTTCATCTTTTTTTAAAGTTTGCCATCTCACTATGTGAAATACAGTATTAACATGGTAATCGACTCTGGAATAGAGGAAAATCTGCAGAACTCTTTTCACTTATACTCATTTGTTAATGAACAAAACAGGTAAGGGCAAAGCACAATAGCACACAATTTGCAATTATACCAACCTCTATCACAGCGCTCTCCACTGTAATTTGGATCACATTCACAAGAAGGCTCCCCATGTGCTGAGATCTTACACTGCCCATGGCTACATTTCAGACCTCTACAGGCGTTGGAGGACTCGTTCTTTCTGTCGCAATACATGCCCATGTAACCTTCTACACACTTACATGTGTAAGCAGAGGTGGTGGCTATGCATTTACCATGGAGGCATCTTGGAGGAAAGAAGAAAAAGAGAGAAAGCTAATTTGTGTCTACCACAAGCTGAACAAAGAGCTTCCAGAAATGGAATGAAATCGTAGGTTGATTTTTATGAACGGTTTAATTGTAAGTTTTGATGTTTTATTCTGTGATGCTTTTCTATATAGAAACTGCACCATCATCAGATGGTGAAAAGTGGTGCATAAAAGCCTCAGATAAATGCTGTACAATAAATGTCAACATCCCCAAAGTGTAGATTCTGTGGCTTACAGATGAGGCTTGATATCACAAATGAGTCTTTGGCATTCTTTTTTTTTTAACTTATTGGTTTTTTCATGGAAAGGATTAATCCAGATTAAATGGGAAAAATATGAGCTGGCATTGTGAGCTGGTTGCGAAAAACATGCATGTATGAGTAGCACTTAGTCCACAGCAAGCACAAGGAGATTCTATGGAGATTTAGAAACCAGAAAGAACGGTAGTTGTTTTCGTGACTCATATTTTAAATCCACAGTTCTAAATATACAGATGAGAAATAATCTGAAATTTAACTCGCTCTCCATAAAACATACCATTGTGGGGTGGGAGGGGGAGACAGGCGCAGGCTCCCACACATTTTCTCAGCATGTTTGTTGACTGGTGCATAAATATCCCATTCCCCTGCCCTGTTTTCCATTCAACACAGAGGAAAACTTAGGTTACTTCCAGGCAACCTATTTATCAATCATTTTCCCTGGTTTGTATGCATTGTCTAGAGACCAGACAATGTCAGATATTTCATTCTGATTCATTCATTCTGATTTTTACATGAGAGGAAAATGTTTTCTTAGTGCATCTCCCTGCTCCTTTCCCTATTGCAAAAAAACCCTATTTTAGGAGGTTTGTTGCGAAATAGTGCTAAATCAACCTTAATTACGCAACCTGGATTTGCTTATATGTGATTGAATCCCACCTGAAAATAGCAAAAGTCTGGAAGCACCCTTACTTGCTGTTGTGGCAGGGATCTTTAACTTCTTGGTCACAGAGTGATCCAGTCCAGCCTGGATGACACTCGCAGACAACACTTGTCTTCTCAATAGAGCGACAGATGCCATGTTTGCAAATGTTACAGGACTTGCAACCAGGAAGGACCCCTACTGACTGATGTGGTAGATCTTTGAAATCTTGCAGTTCATTATTAATGCGGACATCATGAATGCACCCGTGGAAACCGCTGGTTGTCCTCTCTGTGCCCTGCCGCAGCGAAGAAAGCCCTGTGGATGTAGGGATGCCTGCAAGGAACATAGCAAAACACTTTAGGGAATACTTCAGCATCTTCAAGGTATTCTGAGAAATATGTGTCAATGAAATGGGATGGTCACACTGGGGAATTAGGTAAGTGAATAGTAGTAGTTTGCAATGTACATTATATTCCGGTTTACGCCTCTCCTGTTCCATCATTTCTTAAGCATGATTGTTTTGTATCTAATTCCAAAGTATAAGTCATACTGGATTTTCAAATATACATAAATACCTTATGTACAAACAAAACAAATTACAATGGTTAAACTAATAGGTTTGGACACTGTGGCCCAGGTTCAAAACAGTGCTCAGCTCAGCTTGTGGAGCTCCCTCCCAAGGAATATTAGACAAGTACCCCCAGGAACAGATTTTTGCATTTATTTATTTCTTTTTTTTAAAAAAAAAAAGATAAATGAAGCTGCCAGTTGGGGTGAAAGGTTGATTAGGATAGGGACTGTGGCACAAAGAAGGAGTTTTAACCCTTTTGCCTCTGCCATTTTCCAAATCTGAATTGTCCCCCTGGAACTATACTTTTCCTTATGGGAAAAATACCTGTTCTGGCAAGGTAATTTGAACTGGAAAAATAATTCCCCCCAGCACTTCAGCCCTGATTCAAATTGTTCCCTTCAGTTGCATCTATCATTTAGAAAAAAATATATGCAATTGTGGCTCTTCCATTGTTACATCTGGTTTGATTCTCAGTAACTGTCAAAAACTGAACTTACCTCCAATGTAGAGTGGAGTATCTTCGTCAACTACAGGCTGTTTCTGCATTTTGCCAAGACTCTTGGGAGCTCCTTTATCCACAACCAAATTCAGTGTTTGGTTCAACATTACCAACTCCACACTATGAAACTGCCCATCATTTACTGTTTCCACGCTGAAAGGGTGAGGGGCGGGGGGGAAGAGAAAAAAGTGGAAATTAGGAAGGTGTTTAACTATAATATTTAGGCTTCTACTATAGTCGGAGAAGAAATTTGATTCAGTACACATTTAAAGCTGAATCTATCAAATCTGCACTTTCCAAAACAATATGCAAACTGAGGCATAGTGATCCTCTAACAATCTCCCTCTGCGCTCCAGAGGCTTCGGGCAGCTATCCCTGAAGCCATGGAGCCTGCATTCGCTCCATAAGACGCACACACATTTCCCCTTACTTTGTTGGAGGGGAAAAGTGCGTCTTATAGAGCGAAAAATACGGTATCAGGAAAATGACATGGGGAGGGCTAAACCATTACAATGGGCCAATCCAATCCCTACCCCACTGCTAATATCTTGTTTAAAAACTGTGAGAAGTTCTTATCAAGGAACTGCACCCGACTTACACCCTTTGTTATTGAGAATCATGGTGACCATGTTTTTCATGTTCTATTCTGTAGCCAGGATTAGAAACCTAAGCTAACATATGAACACAATTATCCTATGAACACACAATTATCTTAATGGTACAGTGGTGTCCCGCAAGACAAATGCCTCGCAAGACGAAAAACTCGCTAGATGAAAGAGTTTTCCGTTTTTTGAGTTGTTCCGCAAGACGAATTTCCCTATGGGCTTGCTTCGCAAGACGAAACGTCTTGCGAGTTCTTGCGAATTTGTTTCCTTTTTCTTAAAGCCGCTAAGCTGTTAATAGCCGCTAAGCCGCTAATAGCCGCTAAGCCGTTAATAGCCGCTAAGCCGCTAATAGCCGCTAAGCCGCTAATAGCCGTGCTTCGCAAGACGAAAAAACCGCAAGACGAAGAGACTCGCGGAACGGATTAATTTCGTCTTGCGAGGCACCACTGTACTGATTTCTGATTACATGTGTAGAGTAGCCAGGAACTAGCTACTTGGTCTGGAGTAAGAGTCAGCAGCACTGGAGCTGACTGGATTTGGGAGAATAGTCTAAGCCAGGCATAGGCAAACTCGGCCCTCCAGATGTCTTGGGGCTACAACTCCCATGATCCCTCACCACTGGTCCTGTTACCTAGGGATGATGGGAGTTGTAATCCCAAAACACCTGGAGGGCCGAGTTTGCCTATGCCTGATCTAAGCCATGTGGTAATGGTAATAGCAGCACTTATGAAAGCTTACTGTCAAGCTTGCCAGAGAGAAGTGGACTCCAGCTGAAAACTCAGCGGGATGTGCTGATAGTTCTGATGTGATAGGGTGAAAAATAACATTTGATTCTTCTCACTGGGGCTATTACATAGGCCAGATCAGGAAAAGACCCGTTGACTCTCAAAACATCTTGGGCTTCACACGCACAACTATTGCATGAGCATATGAACCAGCTGGTACTGTCAGGTGTGTGAACTGGGACTTCCATGTGGTGGTATAAACACAGCCACTCAAATTCTTGTGATGGGAGGAGCTGCTTCTTTGAGCTGAGGCAGCATAATTAATGACCTTTGAACTTTTGAGGTAGAATAAATGTATACAGCAACAGTCTCCCTTCTCCCAACTCAGCCCTCTTATCTGAAGAAGTCAAAACCGCAGTCATTTGTCAGAAGATAACACTACAGTATTTAGCACTGCTGGTTTTTATTTCAGGCCAGAGTGTACAGACATAAATCACTGGGTCCTCTGCAGCATATGGCCTTTTGAGATTAAGTTTTAAATGCTCTGATTAACAGGATTATATGTCTTGGTAGAGCACATAAGAAAGTTTTTTACTTGAAAAAAATGGAAGAATATTTCAACTGTTAACATTATTAAAATTTTTAATTTTTAAATCGTTTTCCATTTCAAAAATCTTTTTAGCCCTAATTGGGTTCATATTTCTAAATTTTAGTAACAGAATTCTGACAAGATGAAAAGTCCCTTTCCCTTGCTTCATTTGCCTCCAGTGTGTCCTGTCTTTAATTACACTTTAAGTCTGTCGTCATAGCCAGTCTTTTTTTTAAAAAAAATATCTTTGTACTCTCTGTCTAGCAATTTAATGGATGAGGATATCATAACCAATAACAAAAATGTTTTCACCCAAAACTTCTAACAATCAGAAATCTAGGACCCGGTCTAGAAGTCCAAACTGACCTGGATGCCCTGACTATAAAAACTACACAAATGGGGACACAGGTGGTGCTGTGGTCTAAACCACTGAGCCTCCTGGGCTTCCTGATCGCAAGGTTGGCAGTTTGAATCTGCACAACAGGCTATGCTCACGTTGCTCTGTCCCACCTCATTCCAACCTAGCAGTTCCAAAGCATACCAGTGCGAGTAGATAAATAGGTACCACTGCACCTGGAAGGTAAACGGCCTTTCCATGCGCTCTGGCTTTTGACACGGTGCTCCGTTGTGCCAGAAGTGATTTAGTCATGCTGGCCACATGACCCAGAAAGCTGTCTGTAGACAAACGCCAGCTCCCTCGGCCTGAAAGAAGATCAGTGCCGCATCCCAAAGTCGCCGTTGACTGGACTTAATTGTTCAGAGGTCCTTTACCATTACCATTTACACAAATTAAGCTGTTGGGGTAACCCAGTCAGATGGGTGGGGTACGAATTATTATTATTATTACTGAAAATGTGGCAATACATAACATGTATTTGAAGACAAACACTCTCAGCAAAGCGTTTTACTTCTCATCATCCTTCAGTGTGGATTAAACAACGGACTGCTCCTCATTTTACTGTTTACCACTATTCTGAAGTACACACTTCATCAAATAAAGAAATATGCTGCATTTAAAAAGGAAATGATCAGCAATTTCTGACTCAAGGATTAGCAGTAGCTATTCTGAAGTGCATAGCTTTTACTGCTATTGCCACTGAGATTCTATAAATGATTTTTGATATTGTAGAGGTAACAAAACATTCAACCACCACTAGTGATGGATGATGCCTACCCACCAGAGGGACACTGACCATTACAAACAAGCAGGAAACTATTAGTGTGAATGTATCATAGCTGCAATCATGGCCTCTGTCCACAGCTTTAACATTACCAGGCAGTAGCACCTGCCTGCCACATGGAAAACGGTTTTTTTAAAACTGAGAAAGTGAGATTCAAAAGCAATTTGTGATGAAGCATTGTGGTGGTCTGCCAATCAATGTGAAACAGCATTTACTTAAACTTTATTGAAAAAGGGTGGATGATAAGGGCACGATCCAGTCCAAGTTAAGCATGTAATCTCCATTGCATTCAATGGGAAAGCTAAATGCATGGTCAAGCCTATGTGATATAAACCAATGCGAGATATAAATGGGACTCTGGTTGGATTGTGCCCCAGAGTTTTAAAGCTGATAATGTATAATTAAAGACCATCCTACTAATGCTCCAAGGAGCACTTGAAAAATTGCATTTTGTTAAATACAATTGCTGTACCCTCAAAAAGACAACTCTGGATTCCAAGAAAGGATTCCGTTTCAAGATGATAAGTGCTTATGTGAATGTTTCTTCCTAGAGAGCCTGGCTTGCTGCTGCTATAGGGGAGTCAACAATCGTTTGAGACAGTTGGAGACAGTGGCTTGGCGAGAGATGAAGGGAAGAAAGCCACAGACACTGAACAGTGCATCACAGTTGGGCCAACAGTGCACACTGACTGTGCCTTGAAGGGAGAAGAGGGCTATTGCCTATGGTGACAGGGTTTTGTTAAAATGGGAAGTCAGTTGTCAACCAGGTGGTTTTCAGAACATTCTCTCAAAACAGTGCATTATGTCAAGGATTTATTTGCACTACATTGCTCTTCCTCTTCAGTTGTGCAACTACCCGAATAAGGCAAATAATTTGTTGAATTAGCTACCAAACTGATGAAATCAATATCTAGCATAAATCAGAATACTGTCAATGCTAGTGTATTCGTTGTCTTCAGACAGATACAGTCAGTGAAAACTATTGTTGGCATAGGTGATTTTGTCAAGTACACAGCCTTGGGAAATGAAGTTGCATAGTATGGAATTAAGGTGCAGTCTAACATTTGACTTCTAGGTGGCAGTAGAGCATTGCTGAAAGGCAATTTCAGGCAAAGGGTGATGGTGACTAGTGCTGCTTTCATATTTACACAGTGAACTACCCGATCATCTCAAATCAAAATGTAAACAGCTTGGCAGAAAAATTGAGCTGGGGCAGGATAAAGTACCACGAAACTTAAAGCTTTCTAGGAACTGAGAAGAATGAAGCTGAGCTGTACAATTGTCAAAGGGAAAATGTAATAAGATCCGAACATCTGTAAATGATCTAGGATTGCAAACACATCTAGCACTTTTTCAAGGATTATTTTGATAAGAAATTAAATAAGAAATAGCAATATGTGTATGTGCGTGAGAGAGAGAGAAAGAGGGGGAATTTAAAATAGGAATTGGATCAGCACCAACTTTGTGTTTGGATTCATAAAGCCAAAGCTTGTCTTAGCAACTTTCTGCCAACCAATTAGAAACAGTCCTCAAGTTTTTACTTTGGGCTACGTTCCAGTAAAACTATTAAAATGCTGTACAATAAGTGGAATCTGCCTTGTTTGAAACCATTCTTCTGGAATTCACAATATATGCTTAAAAAAACCTCATTGAAATATAAACACACTTCAAAATAGTTGCATTAGATTTGCATTTTTAAAGGATGTTGTTCTATCTGCCTATAAAATGACCCCCCTCCAACACACACACAAACAAACAAAATGTATGGAAAGTAGCTGACATCAGCAGTTATCACATCGAGCAACCCTATTCCAGTTTTCAGGGAGGTATTGTATTAAACAGATGTGTCAAAACAAATTTGTGATTCATCGACATTTTCATGGAAGAACAGAACTGGGTAACCAGGACTATGATAGAATGAGGGTGGAATTATTTGTTATTGTTATTGGTTTATTCGCACACATATTTCACCCTTCCTTTGTTGTGGACTGATATCCGAAACAGGAATTTCTTAAAACAGATACAGTATTCAGAAAGAAGCAGAGACTCTGCTCCCTGGAACCCAAGTTGAGAACTGAAAGCTGAATGGAATAAATCTATGCTCAAGGTCATAGAATCATAGAATAGAACAGAATCATAGAATCATAGAGTTGGAAGAGACCACAAGGGCCATCAAGTCCAACCCCCTGCCAAGCAGGAAACACCATCAGAGCACTCCTGACATATGGTTGTCAAGCCTCTGCTTAAAGACCTCCAAAGAAGGAGACTCCACCACACTCCTTGGCAGCAAATTCCACTGTCAAACAGCTCTTGCTGTCAGGAAGTTCTTCCTAATGTTTAGGTGGAATCTTCAGGTTTCTTCAGGTCAGGTTTCTTGGTGTATTCTCATGTAGCCCCCAGAACAATACCCAGAAGGCAATGTGGCCTTCGGGCTGAAAAAGGTTCCCCATCCTTGTTAGTATCTTTCAATAAAGTGCACCAGACAAGCAATAAACATGGTCTTGAACAACATGACGTCAACATGCAATGAACTTGTCTCCCTTACAAACATAAATGTTAGTTTCCCTCTGTTGTCTCCTATACCCAGCAATTATTTTCCGGACTAGAGGTTACTAGGATTCTTAGTCTGAGCTAACTTGCAATAAATAACTATAATGCTTAATAATAATAATAATAATAATTTATTATTTGTACCCTGCCCATCTGTCTGGGTTTCCCCATCCACTGTGGGCGGCTTCCACAAAGACCAAAAATACACTAAGATGTCACACATTAAAAACTTCCCTGAACAGGGCTGCCTTCAGATGTCTTCTGAATGTCAGGTAGTTGTTTATATCTTTGACATCTGATGGGAGGGCGTTCCACAGGGCGGGCGCCACTACCAACCTCTGCCTGGTTCCCTGTAGCTTTGCTTCTTGCAATGAGGGAACTGCCAGAAGGCCCTCGGCACTGGACCTCAGCATCTGGGCAGAACAATGGGCGTGGATACGCTCCTTCAGGTATACTGGGCCGAGGCCATTTAGGGCTTTAAAGGTCAACACCAACACTTTGAATTGTGCTCGGAAACGTACTGGGAGCTAATGTAGGTCTTTCAAGACCGGTGTTATGTGGTCTCGGCGGCCGCCCCCAGTCACCAATTTATATTCTTCAATTGATGCAGTGGTCAGTTACTCGGTTAAAAAACGAAAGAAAACCCCTCAAATTATATATGATGCTTAGTCAGTTATTCATATGATATTGCTCCCCACCCCAGGCAAAAAAAGGAGTGGGTGGAATTTTGAGAAGAAAAAGCGAGAGAGATAAGCACTCCTTCTTCCCATTTGAATGTCTGACATAGACTTCAGCAAAGAACCATAAACCTCAGGGACAGCTTTCACATGATTAAATGTCATATGTAATTTGACCCATAGGGAACAGCTATTTGGTAGCAGCTTCTGTTACCAAATATAAGGGAAGAATGGCATTCCTATATAATATTTGCAAGAAACTATTTCCGGCATTTTTACATTCAGGATTGAAATAGGCGTAAGTGGCTTAAATTTGTTTGCATAGTACAGATCAATACAGAAATAATGATTAAGACTAAAGGGGAAAAATGTAAATGTATTCAAAAGGAAGTTTTTAATTCAGAAGTGGTTTATAATAACTTTTTCTTCTTCTGAAAAGACATGCACCTGCTTTATTCACTTGGAGATACTCTGTTGACAGTGATTAGTGCCGGATATAATTAAAAATGTTCCCAGCTTTGAATGGAAAGCAGAAAAATGAAGATATTTAGCTGAAACTGGAAGCTGGAAAAAAAAATCACTCTGCTGTCTCTTTAGAAACCAGATAGCTAGCCAGGAAATGAAATTGCTTTCCCTTTGTTAGTTGGGTGGCAACATGCTGCCCAAGGTTCAACATTTCCAGTACAGCTAAAAGAAATCAAGCAAATAAAAAGGATTTCTCAGTTACTTGCATGGAGATCTAGAGGGCAATGTATGTCTCAAAAAGCTAATGCATCCCAAAAAATTATATGCAAGAACGCTCACATTTTAGCAGCATGCATGTCTGTTTAAGCATACCTTAAATAATATATTACACAATATTTATACAGAATAATATGATCTGGAGGGATACCCATTCTAATCTGTTATGTGGTTATATTTTTGCAGGATAATGCTGCAAGGATGAAAGGGGTTAAATCTCATCTCCCTGTGTACTACAGTCCTAAGCCAAATCACAACTGCTTTTGTTAAACAAACACAATGTCCAGTTAAATCATGTACTTAATATAATGTGTAGTTATCATTTTAATACTTCTATCCCTTTCTCCAATTCAAATAAATAATCAAGCTACTTAGAAAGGAAAGAGAAATATAATATAAAACCCCGAATCAATACATTAAAAGTAGCATTCATTAACAGAATCAGCGGAGCAAGCACTGCATTTATTTATACATCTATTTAAGTATTCCTGAAGAGTGCAGCTTGAAATGCATACGATTTGCTTTGTTGATAGTTTAACTGATTTGTTATTTCTTGTACCTGAGAGTATGTTTCATCTAATTTGCATATCTCAAATGAAAACACTTTCCCTCAGGTCTTTCATCCATGGAGGAATCCCCAAATTTGTTCCAGTGAATTTTCAGTACCCGCTCTGTGTTCCATATGAGAGATCTAGGAAAGGGTTATCATTCTGCACACCCATAAAACATTTTGGGCTTCCAGAGGAGTAGCAGCAAGCAAATAACCTTCACAGGCTGCCAGCTGGTCTTTTTGCATTTTATTCTATTATTGATTGCATTTATTTGTTGCCTACTACATAAAATGGGACGCGGGTGGCACTGTGGGTTAAACCACAGAGCCTAGGACTTGCCGATCAGAAGGTCGGCAGTTCGAATCCCCGCAACAGGGTGAGCTCCCATTGCTCGGTCCCTGCTCCTGCCAACCTAGCAGTTCGAAAGCATGTCAAAGTGCAAGTAGATAAATAGGTACCGCTCCGGCGGGAAGGTAAACGGCGTTTCCATGCACTGCTTTGGTTCGCCAGAAGCGGCTTAGTCATGCTGGCCACATGACCCGGAAGCTGTACACCGGCTCCCTCAGCCAATAGAGTGAGATGAGCGCCGCAACTCGAGAGTCGGCCACGACTAGACCTAATGGTCAGGGGTCCTTTTACCTTTACCTTACTACATAAAATGCAACTTAACAATTGCCTTAACCAAGAAGCTACTAACTTTTTGGCCAGAGAGCCACATTCAAATTTGGTCAGTCCTATGATATTCACATGCCAGCAGTGAACATAGCCAAAGTAGCCACTGAACACAATTTGTTGTTCTTGCACATGCTCACTGCATCCACCACACATACAGACCATACCCCCCCACCTTACATACACATACACCCAGCATGCATGCAATCCAGCACCTCTCCCTTTTCACCTGCTCTGAAAGTAAACGACCAGAGAGAGGGAAAGAGGGTTATTGGCAGGTTACTTCAAATTACATTGCTTGTAATTTAATAAAGTTGTGGCCAAAATTATGCCAAAAACCTTAAAAAAAAATAATGTTTAACTTGTATTTTATTGGGGTGGTGTCTTGGGGACCTCGACACGCAAATCACTCCAGTGTAAAACATTTTCACTGCTTCTCTATTTCCAGGGTCAATTCAAAGTGCTGGTTTTGGTCTTTAAACCCACAAAAGGTATTGATAGAGGGTTATCCGAAGGACTGCCTTCCCACATGGACCTGCCCATCTATTTGTTTCAGAGATTCTTCTTGAGGTTTGTCTACTCTTGTGGGTAAACTGGGTTGCTACCACAGAGAAGACTTTTTTCAGTGGTGATGCTCAAATTACCGAACACTTCCTCCCCTAGACGTGTTCACTTGGTGCTTTTTTTACTGTCTTTTATGCACAAGTAAAAAACATATCCTCTTCCTTTAACCCTTAAATGAACTTCAATGGCACTGAAGGTTCTTTTATACTGTTTTCATTTGGGCTACTTATTTATTTATTAAAATTATATCCTGCCCTTCCTCCCAAAGGAGTTCAGCTCTATTTATCTGCTGCTTTTGTTTCCAGTTTCTTCTTCTTGTTTTTATTGTATTTTAGTGCTGCCTTGAGGCCATTTGGCAAGAATCAGTATGGAGAGCATACAAACAAACAATGTAAGTGTGATATGACAGAGAGAAATATGATGGTTTCTTATGACTGCACCTGTATAGTAGGAAAAGTCAAACCTGCTGAATTTCTGGTCATGATGTAGGGCACATTAGCCATGCTAGGAAAAAAGAAAGAATGATAGCCCTGTTCCATGCAACAGTCTCCTCTGCATATAGTAGGAAAACCAGTTACGTGAAAATGATCAGATTAGTAGCCTGCTTCTGACCTTGGTTGAACAGTGCATCATTCTGCTCTAATTTTAACTGCAGAAAATGCAGTGGCTGAAAATTTAAAACTATCACTAAAGCTTTTTAATACTTACCATAAACAAACTCTCATGGGGAATGGTAAATGGAGTCATTTGTCAGCTGAATTACATTACTTTAAATTGACAATGGATATTTTCCTAAAAGATATAGGCTGTAAAGTTCCATTTTAAGATGCTTAGCATTCCAGTTACAGTACAGAACAAAACTGTCTAGTGGAGAAAAATAAATGAATATGAAATTCTGTGCTGCAAATGTCAGATGGAATCACAATTGTTATCCTAACTAAAATTCTTACAAAACATAAAGCAATAAGCAGAGTGCTAAGGAAAAAAATCTGGTCTTCAAATGCAAATTTATTTATTTTTAAATGAAGGCATAAGAGTACCCTTTTTTTAAAAAAAAGCCTTATATATAAATTGGGAAAATATCAACACAGGCAGTGTCTTTTAAAAATGTTTGTAATAAAATATCTGTATGTTTTAAAAATCCTAGCTTAAAAATTTCTACCAACTACCCCATATCCCTAGGATGTTTTTTTCTGATAAAACAGCTCAGGTTTAATTGAAATGTTTTCTTTAGTTAATTTCCTTCTCTTTCAAAGTTAGCGATAAATGGCAATATACTTTATGTAATCTCCACTAAAATATATTTACTGACTTCTACCTGACATTATGCTGAGTGCCCAGGAAAACATTAATGCAAACTTTGACATTTCCACTCCAAGTTATAAGGCTGAGGAAATCTGAAATGAATCCCCAAAGAATCTCAGATATTCCACATTGCTTCAGAGCAAACATGAATCAGCAAAATCCAAAGATGGATTCTTTCTATTGTGCACATTATACAAGGCAGCTGCTGAACACATAGTGCACATACTGAACGATCACAATTCATTCTCATTTGACATCACTCTGTATGCTTAAAGTAGAAAACCATCAGATCAAACTGCTGTGAATATAGCAGAGCTATATGAATGAACATAGTTCTTCCTGGTATTAAGCAAAGATGAACTATATAATTGTATCTGTGATACAGAGGTGCTGGGTTCAAGACACACTCCTCTAGCCCTAGATGCTGGCTAGGGAAAAGCACGAATCAAATATTTGAAGATACCCTTTTCCTTGGCCAACCTGTTTATGAAAGTAGAAAGAAATACCTAGCCCCAGCTAATGAAGCATGTTGAGAGCACACTTGTTCCAAGGCCCTAATATTGATTTCTGAAACTGATCCTAAATGCCCAGTGCCAAGGAGCTCAGTTAAAACACTAGTTCCAGCTGTGAAAGTGATCTGGTCATATAAAAGGCAGTTTCCATGTATGGCATGTTCCACTGGTGGGGACTAATATGTAGGCCAGACAGTTTCTATTCTACAGTGAAAGAAGCAATACTGAAAAAAATGTGCTAGAATAACGAACTGTAGCTGCACCCTGTTCAATATGTTCTAAAGTAAACAATGACATAAATCAGGTTCTGAGGTTGGTTTCTTTCTGGAGAGGGGAAATTGGCTAAAAGAAGTTTAAGCAGTGATGGCCTATTATGAAGTTCTCACAACAACAGCAATCTTGAAAAGAACCTTCCACAAACCCTACAACATATTTTAAATCAGTGCACATTGGGCAAGTTATAAAAACATTTTCTCACTTCCCCCCTTTCCATTTTAAATTCAGGTTCTCTTTGTAGCTGGTGCCAATGTGCTGGCATGAAGGTTCTTCTCTGCCCCCATAGAGCAGTAACTAATTCCAAATGGCTCTGCTTTACCAAGATGGAGGGTAGGTGGTGGTGGAGCAAATTCAAGGCAAGGCACTGACTGGACAGGAGCTGCCATTCTGCTCACATCTTTAAAAAGCCCTTTCCCTTTCAGCAAGAGGCACCAAAAAGAAAGGACAGAACTGGCAAAGCAGAAAATAAATTGATTCTTTTACAGCACTAAACCATGGTTTAGTGCTATGTGAACAAGCCATAGCGAGCCTTGCGTTCACAACCTACCTACTTCCTGCTGCATGTCTGGGAATCCCTGAATCTCAGCTTGTTCTTGCACCTGAGGCAGGGACAGTGATATATCAGTAACTTTGATCAGTTTCACAAGCCAACTTCAAACCATGCATTATGAAGCTGGCTTGTTTAAACCAATCATAATTAGTGTAAACTACAATCCCCAGTTGAGATGCAGTAACAAGCTGAGACTCAGAGAAACTTACAATTATATTAGGGTTGTCATATTTCAAAAAGTGAAAATCTGGACACAAACTGGGAAAATTGTTGAGCTGCTTTTCTTTTCTTTTCTTCAAAATAATAAAGTTTTTGGCAACCCTAAATTATATACACATTACTTTTTATATTTCAATAAAGAATATATTTTTTTTTAAATTGAAAGTAAACACTGTTAAAGTCCTACTCTTGCCTGTGTGGGAGTTTGGGTGGCTGGCAGGGGATAGCATGACTTCCTGCAGCTTGTTCACAAAGAAGGAAGCCCTGATGTAGCACTGGATCCAAACATGGCCAATGTGTGCTACTTTCCCCATCCCCCACTCTGGTATTATGCTCTCTCAACTTTAAAATAGGTAAATAATTTTCTAGAAAATCTTCTGCATACTTAATTTCTTTATTGTAAAATATCTTATCATCAGTGATATATGCTTAGGGTCTTGGCTTAACTTCTTGGGATATCTGCTTTGTGTACAGATTTTCCTTCTCTCTTACTGTGGCACAATTGTAGTCTGGATTGGCTTGATATTGTGCTGTGGGTGATACTGCTGACTTGCATGCACATTCAATAACTGTACACCTTAAATGAACAGAGTATTGCCTGCGCCTTCTGCCTCATGACACACAAAGATCCCGTCACTGGTGGGATGGCACAGCACAGGCAGGATCTCCCCAGTTTTTGAAGCCACAGAATAATAGAATTGTAGAGGTGTGTCCTATCAGCAGAGTCACAACAATACACATTTTTTAAAAATAGAACCCAAGATCTACTTCTCGGAAAACATGGCCATTTGCATAATAGGAAGCACAAGGAGCCGGAAATTTCCCCTTCTGGACCCCCCTCCGTGAGTGGGGGTGGGAATCTAATTCACTTAGAAGCTCCTCCCACCTTCCCCTGCCTTTTGACATTCTTCAGCTGTAGCTTTTTCTCCCTCAGCCCAATCTTTTCCTATCGAGCTTGATGCTAATCCCCATTCTGCTATACTCCTTAAACTAATAAAAGATTAGAGTGACATTTCAGAAAGGGCATCACATTAAGCAGCAGCTTTCACCATCTCAACAGATCACACAGTGCAAAACACAGCCAGCGAGCAGGCCATTAATCTTATGGTAATGAGGTGTCATTCTGAATGGAGACCTCCTCCTTGATCAATATGAAGGGCACGGGAATAATGAGGACACTGATGCTTCACGCCACGGGTAACTTTGCCGGGAAGGAGAGGATCCATGAAATGCTGAGATATCAGAAGCAGCCCCTTGTCACTACAGCATTCTGCTATCAACAATAGGGAGCAGGCACCCGCTCTGATCTGCCACCTCATGTGTTGTCTGCAACTAATGAGCCTTCCCCTATGGTCTAATTAGTGGCATAAAACTGCTGTAACAACTCTGCTTTTGCTATAACATGGAATTAATTAGGATTAGCTACAGAATAAAGAGTCTGTTTTCATGGCTATCCCACCAGACTATAATCACTGGTGAAAGTAACCAACAAAACCCCTTCCGATGGGTAGACAGGCTAGCTCAGACCTAATGATTAGCCTTTCTGTTCCAGTACAGAGCTAGCTGAGGCCAATGCACTGCCTAATTAGTCGATACACCGCTAGCAAAGAAGGAAGCCTACTGAGCTTGCTTCCACTCTGTTGCATACAACACAGTCCCCTAAAAAGAGCAGACGGCACCAAACTGAGCTAATTACCCATCCTGTCTTGTTTCCGGAGTGTTAAAAAATTCACACAAAGCACTGAAGCCTCTGTAAGCAGTTTCCTGTTCCTCTGTACATCAAATTGGTCTTTTTTATGTTTACTATGCAGGGTGATAGGATTTCTTTAAAACAGAAAGATACCATATTTGGATCCTCTGGGGCACTAGAAACTCTCAGAATTAGAGAAAGGAGGTTATGTGCTGAGAACAAACAATGTGTGAAGAATAGACATGAAGCATTAAACACTCATACACACCCAGGAGCCCTAACTGGGTTTAATTCTACCAAGCATATTACACATGCGTATCATCCACACTTTCCACGCTTATTGTGTGAAATATTTTTGCACTTGGGACAAACACAATGGTTGTGCAAAGTAAGGATGTGCTCTTGGTATTTGTGCAGCCAGAAAAGCATTTCCCCCCTCTGCCCTTTCCAGGTCAGACTGGCTAAATTTCCCCTGCTTTCAATCCATACATGGTTTGCTTTCCTTGTGCAAGGCATCTATTGCTGTTTTGTCTGTAAGCTTCTTTTTGCACCGTGTGTGTTCTCTGTGACAGTAGCAACAGCTGAACTGTGACAATGCTGGGTGCTTTATTCATTAACAATTACCTCTGGGTAATTGGCTTTAACTCACATGAAGGGACTGGTCTAGGTGGTTCATGGTTGAAACTTCATAATTTCTTCCAGTTTCAAAATACCTTCTGGCCCAATTGTGATTCAACTGAAGGCAATCAGGTTGTGACCTATTCTATATGTGTGGTGTCAGAATGAGGATTAGAATAGATTGTTTGGATAGATAAAAACTTATAGGAGGAAGTCCATACAGTAATGAAGTGTGGGTCTGTAAATATACTGGTTTTTTGGTTTGTTTTTTGTTTTTTAATTCCCAACAGCATCTTTTCTTATAGCCTGATAAGGAAAATGTGAAATTGTAAGCAGAGAGAGAGAGAGAATGCAATTTTACTTTTAAAAGGAAACCTTCATTTTCTAATTCTGTAGCCAGTGTACTTACCTGTATATAGTTGTGGGTGGGGCACTCAGCGTGTCATAGATAAGTCTCACGTGACCTTGATACAACTCTAAAGCCAGGGGATCGTTGTCTCCTTTGTATAATAAGATGCCATTGTCTTTATCTGTTGCTACCTTTAAATGTCAAAGTAAAAGTGATTAATGGCAATATATATATAAAAAGCAAAGGCATATACATAATATTTATGTATTGTCACTACAACTATTACTTCATGTATAGTTAGTAAATACCAAAACATTTATCTCAAAGCCATTGCACTGTGTTCTTTGGTAAAGAAAATGGTTACTTTCTTTTTTTTACAGTGTGATGCCACTGGTTGTAGCCTGCACCATTAAAAGGAAAGGTGGCAAGCAGACCAGCCAACACAACAATCCTTTATCTTCTCACTACTGCCACCCAGTGCATATCTTGATTTTTCTCTGGCTGCTTTCACTGAACAGCCTGTTAGCCTTTCAGATTTTATCGGGCCTAACCTACTCCCTCCTCTGCAGAGAGTGATAAAGCAATTAGGCATGGCATAAATAACAGGTCCTCAGACTAATTCTGCCCCCTCCTCCCACAAATTACTATATGCTTTTACTTAAGGTTTTAGGAACCTTTAGTAAGGCAAGAAAGTGATACATAAATAGAGATAAATGCATTCTATACCTATTCTAGACTTTCCCCCTAACCAAGCCAGTATTCAGCAATTCTGGCATCCCTCTGTTCAACTTCCGGGTCTCTTTGTGGTCTCTTCCACATTCCTCCTGTTGCAGTGCCCAACTATGCTCTTATACTTTCCAGTGTTTCAGTTCCCTCCATCTCTTACAGCTTTGTCAACTCCAACTCTTCAAATCTCTGATTCCACAGCTTTCTAACTACCCTATTTCCTTTGCCTTTCCAAACTTTTACCAATCAGAAGGAGAGTAGCTTTCTGGTAAAGTTTTATTTCCCCTTAATTGTCTGCTTCCTAGGCTGAACCTTAGGCCCTTGTATGCAAAATATCCTGATCAAAACATCCCCTTTTAAACTTCCTATGAGCAACTTCTTGAACAAAACATCCATTTGTGCTTTTAACTTTACTGTGAACTTTTGCCCCCCTGTGCTGGAGAGCCTTTGAAGTAAAAAACCATTTTACAACCCAAGTTTTACAACCAAAACCTAAACTCAAAATGATTGAAAATCCTCTTTCCTTCGCATGTACCATTTTAAGTGTGGCATCTCTAGATATTTCAGTAAGCATCTCTGTGTGCAGTGGGCATTAGGAATCAGATCACAGTTACTGTGCTTATTCTATAAAAGGAGCTTTGCTAGGACAAATGTTCACTGAAAGTTAATAAACAGGATACATACAGTTTCTGTACCACCAGAAACACAACCAGGTAAAATGTACACTAAGAATTACTCATGTCAAACATCCCTCAGGTCAGTTTTGAAGAGGGAAGCTTTTGAACATATGAAACTTTAAATTACATTGCAGCCAAGTACTAAATTTATTAAATTTCTATATCGTCCATCCAAGGAAATCCTGAGTTTACTTGTTTATATAATTTATAGTTAATTCTTTCTGCTTAAGAAGCACTCATAATGGCATACATCTTCTCTCATTTTTTTTTACTTTTTTGATAACTTTTTACCCAAAATCTCACATAGCTCAAGGTGCTTGAGAAATAAAATGACAGAATGTAATACAACAAACTTCTAAAAATATTATTCAACTGCTGACTGCAGCCATGAACTGAAGGCTTTAAAATAAGTAAACCACTTACAATGACTTCAGAAAATGGTGCAGTGCCCTACCAGGTCAGGCAAGTCAAGTGGTAGGCTACACCACGCCAAGTCTCCTGTCTGCATCCTTCAGTAGTAACAGCTGATATACAAGGGACCATTTCAGAATTAAGACTAAACCACCGTCCATGCATTCAGCAGTTGTGTAAAGCGGTTGTATGCACATACTGACGAATGCTTGTTGAATGCTTGTGTGAGTGGGGGAGGAATTCCAAATGTCATATTTAGCAGGGATTTGGCAAGGTCTCCTCTCATGTGGAGATGCTTTAGGAGTCTTCTAGTATGTTGCCCATGCATTCAGATAACAGGGAAGTGTTTCTACTGAAAACACTTTCACTGCAGGTAGCAGCGGCAGTTGGCATGACTAGCTTCTGCAGCCTCCCCCCTGCATTATTTCAACTTTCCCTGTATTGTGATTAGTTTAGTTCCACACAAGTTTTCAGGCATTTAGCCACTGCTCCCGAAGTTTTATCTATACAAGTCTTCTCCCAACCTTCTTATGTAGCGACATGCTTTTAAAAAGGCCTTTAAGGTTCTCAGAAACAAGTACTAGTTCCAATTATTTCTGCAGTAAATGTGCCAGAGTGATTTTTAAATTGCAAGACAAATGGCATTATTTGAAACTGAAATATTCACTTAAAAAAAATAATAATCAAAGTATTTGCTCAGACTGGTAAGTTGAAAGTGACTTTTTATTTATTTCAGTTCTTTTTATTTGGAAGCACCCCTTAATCCTGTTTTAAGAGATGCTTCATTAAAGCTAATTTTTTACTTGTGTGGCATTAGCTACCAGATGGAGAAGCAATATTTTAACTGCAAAATAAGCTTTGAGAACACCATCTGTGAGAGATCCATGTAGTAAACAAGTCTGGCTTTTATATTATCATTCAAAATCTACTTTTGTCATAAACCTGTTTTCAACATGAAGCCCAAGATGTGGCCTATATGACTGAATGTGCCTCGGCTCCTAGATCATGGCACGTTTTGCATTTTTATGCAAGCAAAACCAGAGAGAATGAAGAGGGGTCGAGCAATGTCAAAAAAATAAACAAAATTGCTTCTTCATTTTTTTTTGATCCATCGTATTGAGTGAGGAAAGAAATTATGGCTCTCTCCCAGTCCAAGATGCTTAAACTGCATCAGGAGCGTGCGAAAGCATGCAGATTAATTTAATCAGCTTTTAAAGTCATCAGGTGTTCCTTCCAATGATGGTTTAAGTGGGTATGGCTTATCACAGTAAGACTGTTTTCGCTGGTAGTGAATGTAATGTGTGTGCTGGCCTTTGTATAAGTTCTTTGCCACATTATATGGGAACAGAACTGGGTTGACTTACTTGAAGGGAGATGTTTGCTTGAGGGTGGATTTTGGCTTGTGGAAGTTCAACGTAGGAATCCTTTCCAACAAAATTGACAGTAATTAGTTTCTCACACTTCTGGCCAGCAAAACCAGCCAGGCAACGACAGACGGGTTCCTGGTGCACGACAATGCACTGCGCTCCGTTTTGGCATTCATAGTAGTCACAAGGGCTTGTCTGGAGCAGAACCATCGGCGGAGGATTTTCACAGAAAAGCCCACTTAAAAAATAAGAAAGTAAGAATGTTATTCTAAAACCACCAGAAGTTTAAAGATATGAAGTTCAGATCTAAATGTGCCGTTGTCAACTCCTGCTGCTCTAGAGTATACAGAAGTGACAAATACTGGGCCAAAACCAAAGAAACATTTCCAGCTCTTGTGTTGGTTTTTTAGGTAATCCTGTGAGTACATAATGGACTATATATATGAGTATATATGTTCACGAGAGCACTTTATAAAACCATATGAGCAGGAAACATTATATATCAATTACTGGTACTTCAATCCTACACCCTGAGTGGAAAATCACCAGTGGTACATGGCTGATGGGGGTGGGGTGGAAATCAGGCTATAAAACACTCATTTAAATTCATATTTAAATCAAAATGTGTGATTGAATTATTTGACTGCTAAATATGCAGATAGATATTCATGTGACATTTGGAAAGGAAAACACCACCAACCTTTCAAAACTATACCATTCACTTCATTAAGTTTTTTTTTAAATGAAACAATATATCAGGCACTTGTAAAATTGCAGCAAGGTGGTTTTGAAAGCAAGGCATACCGTAGTCTCTTATAAGAGGTTTGAAAATAAATATTTGTAATCATGTTCTTCGCAATTACCAGCCTTCCGTTTCTAATGAAGTTTCAACTTGTTTTTAATTTGTTATTCCTGTGTGTGTCCATTCTGTCCACATTTTGACTAAAATAGAAACTTGAATGGAATTCAAGTCTTTTCAGTGACATCTGCTCCTCTTTCCAGGAGTGGTTTTACTAATAAGAAAAATGTATTCTCTCTTAGGTCACACTTACAGCTAGTGTCTAGTTTTATTGAGCCAGTCATGCTGCTTACAAGGTATGTAGTGATGTTCATGGTTGGTCCTAAATGAAAGTGAGGCACATCTAAGAAAACTGTTATGTGAGAAATAGTTTTCAGGTGTCAGCCACAACGTAAGACTGGGTCAGAATGTAAAGAAGTGGTTCTAGATTACTTTTGAGCAATATTTGCATTGTTTTGTCTTTCCCTGTAGTGCCTCAAGTATTCTCATTTGTTTGAATCCCCCTCACCCAATACAATTTGCTTTCCCTTGTGGGATAGGGCCAATGACAAGACACTTCACTGAAAAATCACCAGAGGGAAGACGTGCGAAGAACTACTGTGACCTTCCAACAACAGACTACTTCATTGTCTGACTGATCAGAATGCTGATACTGCATGCCCATGAAGCCAGCTGTGCTCACCCACAGTTCTCAAATGCTGCCAGACTGGCACATTAGGCAGGCACAAAGGTGGCAAGGAGCTGTATCATTGACCCCTGGCAATGATATGCTATGCTATGCTATGCTATGCTATGCTATGCTATGCTATGAGCATCTTCCTGAAAAAAAACTGAGAAGCAAGCGAGGTTGCCTGGACAGGAGGATCATGCCACCTCAAGTCTGGGCAGGCTGCATGTGCTGCTCTTAACAGGGAAGCCACTCTGAGGACCCCTTTCTGTCATCATCATCACCATCATCATCATCATCAGAAGCAGCTTTTCCTGTTGGAGATCCTAGCAGATTCCTTCTGCAGGCAAAGCAGGAGCTGAAATGGTGAGCCAGGGGGTGCTCCAGGTGTTGCGGGAGGAAACCAACACCTGATAGGTGATTTCCGCACGTTCCCCTGGGCCTGCACTCCTGGTGGGGGCCAGTTTCAGCAACCCTTATGTATGCCTCTGAGCAGGCAATGTGGCTAAGCAGAGATAGAGTGGAAGATTTATTTCTTTATTTTTTCTGCTGGTTGTCCCAAAGTTATTCTTTATAACAACTTTCCAAAACCAACCAAACTATTTGCATAACATAATGAGCGTCTCATTAACATGAAAGTCACACCATAGCACACAGAAAATGTAAAGCAGACTATGGTGCATGCCCTCTTTCCAAAGACATTCTATAGGCTTTCCAATTAAGAGGTTTATTCTGTCATTGTTGCAGAAAAGCCCCTTTGATGGATTTGGAGTAAAAGCAAGAAGCTACAAGCAAATGTATGATATTAATAAAACCCACACAGTTTAAGAACTGAAAATGTGTGTGAAGATAATACCACAACTTCTCTGCACTAAGCAAAGGAGAGCAAAAAACAAAAACAAAGGAGAGCAAAAATCTATGCATGTTTCTCAGAACTAAGACCACACTATTTAATGTAGCTGACTCCCAGATAGCATGCATAGGGCTGCAGCATTGCTTAATATAAATGAATAATTAAGAATTCTTTAAAAAAAAAGACATTGAATGGAACAATACATCCTAAAATATCCAGACAAAGGTAGCAACAGAGACTGTGCACTATGTTTCGCACTGAATGTGCAGGCTTTTTCAAATAGCATTAGCTTGAAGGGCTGGAATCCCTCAATTCAATGGCTTCAATGGAGGATTTCCTCACAATACAAATAGCATCTTCAGAGGAAGGATTTTCCTCAGCACCAAAGCAGGAGAGGAAAGGGTTACATTTCCCCTCTGTGCATGATGCAACCCTGGTGATCTATCTTCCAGGTAATGTTATGCATTTCAGGGGGACAGAGGACCGCACATTAAATCCAAAAACTGCATTTAATCTCACAACTTGTCTGGCCCCGTGTCTCTTGTTTTTTTGAAAGTTGAGAAGGAAAGATGGATAGAACTGTGTCTAATGTACCTTCTCATCTAGCAATTTCTTATTGTGAAAATGACAGTTGACTCTCCTCGGCTTAAAGTGATGTGAAGGAGGAGCTGGGCTTTTAAAACTTACATGCAAAGATAATTGTTTTCTTGTTGCTTAAGTCACATTCTAGTATATATGAATCAGTAGCAAGCACAGGTTTCGCCAACCTTTCTTGACTGCAACTCTATAAACTATGAAATAGCTTATTAGTGTGAGCGCTTCTGAAATAAATAATACAGCCACTTTCTCACAGATATTGACTCTGTGTTATTTTTCCCCTTAACTTTTGTATGAACTCTCTTTAGAATTCATGAACCCCTGGTAAGTAGAGTCTGACTTATTAAACCTTCCCTTTAGTAGTCCACCTATTTTTCTGATAGATGTCACTATAGAGGGGAAACATACATTACAACTGCTGAGCTTTGTATAATGCATGTTGTTTTATTTCTTTGTTACATAGCTATTTCAGAAGTTCTCCCGCTGTGACATTTTGCAGCAAGGAGTTTCTGCAGAAATCCTTTAAGCAAGCAGGGATCATACCAAACCGTACAACCTAAGTCTGCAACCACAGGCACTTCATTCAAGTTGGAACCTGATGTCAGGTTCACAAAAGTGCCCTGAAAAAGACTTGTGACATTGGCAACAGCTGCAACAGCATCAAAGCCCGTCTACAAGGGTGGTGAGACTGCAGTTTCACAGCATCTTCATGTTGGTATGATGCCACTAAGTCTTCAGCAAACTCCAGCCTGTTAGCCTTTTTTTTTTTTTTAACAGCACTTTGTTTGGGCTATTCTATCAAAATTTAGGCCACAGTCCTAAACACATTTACTTGGGAGTGGGCCACGTTGAAATTAGCAAAATCAAAAATATACTCATGCCAACTGACATCCCACAGTGTTTCCTGGGGGAACAGACTTAATAAATTCATAGATATATTTTGTATGTAGGTTTACAAATAACATGTATAATGAGGTCAGGATGAATATTTTGTGTAAAAAATAAGCAGAAAAGGTTGCTCAAAACCTTCCTGTATCATGATGATGATGATGATTTATTAAGTTTATATATCGCCCTTCATCCAAAGATCACAGGGTGGTTTAAAACAAAAAACCAGAGAGTACACATGATAATAACAAAAATAAATAAATAACACACCCCAACACATGAAACTAGGTCAAACTTGCCCAGGCTTGCACCCCAGGGAGGTCACTTCAGTGCTGCTAACCTATCAGTTTGACTTCACCCCTAGAGGCGCAATCCATTGTCTCTCAAGACAGGTGGATGCCAACAACATAATCATTCTGGCTGTGAGTGCCTGTATGCTCCTCATGCCATGTTATGTCCACACCAGTGGGTGCTACAAAGCTACAAATCACATAGACTGTTATTTGAAGAAGTAATTGAGTCAAAATATAATCAATAAGGGTTTATGTACGATTGCCTACTGCTACCCATGAAATGTCAAAACGATTGGATTGGACGTATACGGTATATTGGAAGTTTTATGTAGGGAAATACGGTGAAAGGGTTGGAAAGGGTTCCCCCTTTATTTATTTTTTAAATTAGGGTCACAGGGGTATACTGCTAAAACACTCCATTTAAACATTTTTTTGCTTAAAAAAGATAGATTGGAAGTGTTGAACTGAGGTTGTGTAGGTTATGTGGGTACACCAGCAAATATGCCAAGTTTATTCCAACAGTGTATCCTCACAGCTTCAACTTCACCACCACTCTACCGCTCCCTATTCTGATAAGTCGCAAGAAAGCTGCTGTTGGAAGGGCAGGACTCTGGCTTCTTCCCACTGCATTGTAGTTACACTTTCATTAAACTAGTATTTCACAAACATTTAAAAAACAAACAAACCCCACTATAGATGGGAAAGTGTTTAGTTTGTTTAAACTTGCTTAAACAAAATTAACAGGGCAATAAAATGGTGCTCACCACAAACGTTATAGCAAACGTGTGTTGAGATGTGATACATCCTCCTGCCTGATATGCCACTGCCCATGTCAAAATTTCAAACAGTATGTGGACCGAGAACTCCCAGAAGTGCAAGCTGGGTTTAGAAAAGGCAGAGGAACCAGAGACCAAATTGCAAACATGCGCTGGATTATGGAGAAAGCTAGAGAGTTCCAGAAAGACATCTACTTCTGCTTCATTGACTATGCAAAAGCCTTTGACTGTGTCGACCACAACAATCTATGGCAAGTTCTTAAAGAAATGGGAGTGCCTGATCACCTCATCTGTCTCCTGAGAAATCTCTATGTGGGACAAGAAGCTACAGTTAGAACTGGATATGGAACAACTGATTGGTTCAAAATTGGGAAAGGAGTACAACAAGGCTGTATATTGTCTCCCTGCTTATTTAACTTATATGTAGAATTCATCATGAGAAAGGCTGGGCTGGATGAATCCCAAACTGGAATTAAGATTGCCAGAAGAAATATCAACAACCTCAGATATGCAGATGACACAACCTTGATGTCAAAAAGTGAGGAGGAATTAAAGAACCTTTAAATGAGGGGGAAAGAGGAGAGGACAAAATATGGTCTGAAGCTCAACATCAGAAAAACTAAGATCATGGTCACAGGTCCCATCACTTCCTGGCAAATAGAAGGGGAAGAAATGGAGGCAGTGAGAGATTTTACTTTCTTGGGCTCCATGATCACTGCAGATGGTGACAGCAGCCACGAAATTAAAAGACGCCTGCTTCTTGGGAGAAAAGCAATGACAAACCTAGACAGCATCTTAAAAGCAGAGACATCACCTTGCCAACAAAGGTCCGTATAGCTAAAGCTATGGTTTTCCCAGTAGTGATGTATGGAAGTGAGAGCTGGACCATAAAGAAGGCTGATCGCCGAAGAATTGATGCTTTTGAATTATGGTGCTGGAGGAGAATCTTGAGAGTCCCATGGACTGCAAGAAGATCAAACCTATCCATTCTGAAGGAAATCAGCCCTGAGTGCTCACTGGAAGGACAGATCCTGAAGCTGAGGCTCCAATACTTTGGCCACCTCATGAGAAGAGAAGACCCCTGGAAAAGACCCTGATGTTGGGAAAGATGGAGGGCACAAGGAGAAGGGGACGACAGAGGACGAGATGGTTGGACAGTGTTCTCGAAGCTACCAGCATGAATTTGACCAAACTGCGGGAGGCAGTGGAAGAAAGGAGTGCCTGGCGTGCTCTGGTCCATGGGGTCACGAAGAGTCGGACACGACTAAATGACTAAACAACAACAACAACATCAAAATTGAATCTCTTAATACTGATACTTACTCATCCTTCTCAAAAAAAGGTGAAACTGTCTGTTTCAAATAGATGAGGACATCAGTGTGCGTGAATCATGAATGGTGATTTCACACAAAATGCCTAGCTGGAAGTAGCCTGGTACACACATGACAAGATCATTCAGTGTTTTAGCTAAATTGGCTGCAATTTATTACATTCATCCTAATTTCCATTCCCACAGGCCACCATAAGCAATCCTTCTTTTTCATTGGCACTTAAGACTTTCAAATAACTACACAGCTAATGCCCAAGGCATGTACCACTGCTCTCTTTTGTAAATGAATTGAAATTGATTTTACATGCACGCACATCAGAGAACTCAACTTTGTGGTGCTCACAGTGTTTGCCATTGCTGTTTTTAAAATAATAAAAAAGGGATTCCAAATCCCCAGCAGAGCAGCCTGCCTGGAAAATACAGAAGGCAAAGTTCGTGTAAAGAATAATAAGTAGAAGTATTTTGTTACCAGAATTTTAAACTTCATTTTAAACTCCCATGCCTAAAGTGTAAAGAGTTCACTACAGAAGAGTTCAGTCTCCATTGCTCTAAATGTAAGATACAGCTACAAAGAACAATAAGCTGGTTTGTCATTATGAGAACAAGCCCTTTGGGGTGGCATTCTCCTCCACTGCTCCTCTTTCCTCCTCCGGTATGGCCATGAGGAGATGGAAAGATTTCACTTCTGATTTCAGTTAACCACAGTTTAGCATTACATCTGTGGCCTAAACTGTGATTAATCTTATGATTTGTTGAAACAAGATAATTTCATAAAATGAAAGCGGAAGTGAAAGTTTCCAAATGCCTTCTGACAGCCATGCCAAAGGAGCATTGAAGAGGAAGTATACATACAGTGTTGTATTTATAGCGTCTGCAGAAGAGATTTGCTGCCGTCCCTTTCAACAATAAACAATACACGAGTGCTACCCTCCCATCTCACTTTCTCTCAGGAGAAACTGTTGTGAAGTTGTGTCACCTCTCCTTTCACAACAGGGGCGCTGTCCTTGGCTGGTGTGATGAATTTGCTCCCTTCCCACTGCTGGCCCATGAGTCCACCATGGTGGCCATTGGCTCCAGGGCCTGGGCTGAGCTTTTGTGGGAGGTGACTCCGCCTCCAATTTGCTGCCCTAGGCAGTTGCCTGGTTTACCCTCTCGTAAATACATCTTTGCAATGCTCATTTCATTGTCCTTTATGTTTGGCAAGGTGAGGAACACCACAGGTGAACTAGGAGTGACAGAAAGGGATAAAAATGGAAAATGGACAACTGCAAATCTTCTTATATAAGGCAAAAGCATGAGCACCTAGGACAGCATAAAATACTCAAGCTATTAAAAGTATGGTTTTATTATAATGTATCTATGTTCTATATAAATTCCATATGAATCCTTATTGTAAAAACGTCAAATGATGACGTTCTTTTACTGCTTTTGTTCCTGATGTTTTTAGAGAGTGCCACACTTCTTTTCTATTTGACTAACTTATTTATATTTTTGGACAATTCTGGTTTTGATTGCAAGTGGCTTTGAATCTTTACCAGAAAGGCAGGATATAAATTCTGAAAATAAACATACAAAACATTGATCGTGCTGAAGTCTCTAGACTTTCACAGGCACTGTGCTCCCACTACATTGGTTCCTAAAAACTATGTCCCCCAAACCATCTTTTTTTTGGTGGCATGTTACTTTTAAGCATGGTACGTTTTGAGCAACATACTTTAAAATAATGTGCCACCAACAAATAGACACTTTTAGGAACAGAGGCGATTTAGGAACTTAGACAAATCTATCCATTAGCCTTTTTCTGTACAACCAGCATAAAGTCAAAGATTTAAGGAGAGAATAGAACAGGAAGGGTGAACAAAGAACTTCATTTCCTTATCTTATCTTTTGTAAGCACTGAGCTTTTGAAAGCATGGCCTTACATCACTTTAAGAATCAATACCTGCTCTTCAGAATGCTAAAAGCAGAGTAATGCAACAGAAGTACATGGTAAGAACAAAAGGAAAGAAGCAATGAAATCGGGAAAACAGTAAATTGCTGTAGGTTCAATGACCAGAAAAAAGGTTCACAAATGCTCCTGCGTTTCTATTTTATCATAGCTCTTTTTTTCCAGGTGTGACTGCTCTCTTGCTGTGAATGTGTTCTCAAATACAGAAAATATTTGACTGGAAGGAAGCAATATCTAACCCTCCAGGCAATGATTACTGAACTCATTTGGTGAAGTGTCCTTATCTTTGACATACAGTGAAATTTTCAGAAGAGTGGCCTATTGACAGCTGACAGAACTAAACTTGGAAATTGTCAAGACAGAGCTACAGAAATCCTGTACATCAAATGCAAAGCACTTTTATGACAATCAGAATCCGAACACTTAGTGTGATGATGGTAGGAATTCTATGTAACATAAAGTGTAACTTAAACATTCCCAATCAGCCTCTGGGCGTGTTGTTGCCTTACATTTCTTGTGAATGTAGTTAATGGTGGAGCAACAGAATGTGCTTCCTTCACAACTTTCTGCTTAATACACAGTGGTCTCTGATGGGGATAGAAATGTTGGGGACAAGTCTTCTGCACATGATTCTTTGTACATTCAAAATGAATGGCTAAACTGGGCTGTACACTGCACGATTAGCAGGCCCTTAACCTGCTACTCCTTTGAACAGTTTTTAAAATTAACACTGAGGGGGATTTTACAAAAAAAAAAGCACCAAACAAATGTTTAAATCAGACAGGCATGCAAGATGCTGGGATAGGAGGGTAGAGAACCTGCCTGAGGTAAAGATGCCGGGTGAATTATTGATAAAGCTGCATTTCCATGGGGTGTATTCAGCCAAGTCACTTAGAGCAGATCCTTTGAAATTAATGTCATGACTAACTTAGGTCCATTAATTTCAATGGGTCTACTCTGAGCAAAACTTGGTTAGCGACAAGTCTATGAATTTTATTACTCTAAGTTGCTTTGATACTCTTTTGAAGAAAAGTACCACAGAGTGAAGAGGAAATCAAAGATAAGTTCATGGTTTAATAAACTAACCAGGGTATTTATATATAAAAAAAACGTGTCTGCCCTACGAGGCCTCAGATAATGGGAATAAATTATTATTATGCTGATATGCAATGGAAGGTCGTTCCAAATGGAAGTGCTGACACACTAAAGACCCCATTCCAACATCATGCAGAACAAATCTCCTGATAGGATGGTATCTGCAGGAAGCTCTATCCCGCAGAACACAGTGATCAGCTGGGTATGTAGGGGGCAATGACTGGAAGTAACAGCGTGCATGCTGAAAATGGCTTTGTCATACAAGTGGACTACTAGATGTTGTGCAAATAGCTTCTGAACCATTAAAAATAGTTCCACGAGCCTGTACATTCCAATGTCAGAGTATTATCTGGAGGGAGCCCATGCCACTTTGCTTACCTGAATCCTTGAGGACAAATGCAGGTGTACCCATTGACAGCATCTACACACAATGCACCATGGCGGCATTTGTGTCCCACACAGTCATCTTCATCAATTTCACAGTGTTTTCCACTGTAGCCAGGCAAGCATTCACATCTGTAACAAGATCAATCAGTGAATCCATAAGCATAAATCAGTGTATATCAACAAAAGTGTTTGTGATGTGAAGGTGAAAGTACCATAGAAACCAAAGCATAAAGGCCACAGCATACCTCAATATATCTGATGATAAATAAAGAGCGTTAGTATAGTATTTGTTTTTGCAGCCCATAATAGGAGGCTGGGTGAGTACAAATATTGACTTGAATCCTGAGAAGTGCCAATGGAAGGGGGATATCAGAAAGATGACTGTCACAACCACACCTGGCAGCCCTTAATCTCCCCAAAGCTGCTCCTGAAGGTCAGGGAACCTTCTGGAACTGGGTGGACTGTGTCACTGCAGCTTGACTGGGAATTTCATCACAGCCCACTATATCCAGGAGGGTCCTCTATATCTCAGGGGAGGCTTTTCAGGGGCTGCAGAGGAGAAGGAGGCAGAAAGGTAAGCATCCTTTCTGCTGGTGCTATTCATATTAAAGTGACAGGAGTCCTATATTGCATTGCATATAGATAATTTAAAGTGTGATGGGGAATCTCTGGCCTGCAGGCAAAAAATTGCCGGCTGGATGTTCAGACTTGAGCAGCATGGCTGATTTCACCAAACCACACCCACTTGCTCGACACCTGACATCATATGTGATGTTAGGTATGGGGCAGGTAGAGATGTGCATTGGCAATGGAAAACAAGTATTTGGCTCTACCACCTATCAGCGGATGGAAGGTAAATCTGAAACCTGTCAGATCAGGTGTGCAAGCACGTTTTCCATGGGGAACTTGCAGACACACCCAATGCCTACAGAAAGCAAGATTTGGCTCTACTGTCCATCAGCTGACTTCAAAGTACCCAATCACAAGGCATCACTATGACATCAGGTGACTGACAGGTGGGCACTCCCACTCCCACCTGCCCGTCAAATTTTGTTCTCTAAGGTAGATCCTAATAAGGATCTGGTCTGTGGAGCCAAAAGGATCCCCCAATTTCTATTTTAAAGTGACAGTAACAATATAGTGTAAACATTCTTTGTTAAAGCCATTGTAACTAACTGAAGTTAAACCGTATTCTTTAATAAGTAACCATACATACTAACATCACTGTTTATAGTATTAACCATTTAAAGTATTTGATCATTTAAAACAGGTCTCTCAAATCATGAAAACATTTAGAAAAACTTCATAATTCCCTCAAGGTAGTGTATAGTGAAGCACTGTATCTTATGGAAGTGACAATCACTTAATAAGTCTGCATTTGAACTGTAATTATAATGAAAAGAAGCAATAAATATTTGTTTCTCAGATCTTAATACGAAGATAAAAGAACAAGTTGATGCCATTCCACCACCCTTAGATGGCAACTCATTTCTAGAAAGCGGATTGGAGGATCCAAAGTAACAGCAAACATAAGCTATTATATATTTATTACTGTTGTTAAGTTGCTTGTATTAAAGTTGTGTCAGCATTTCCATTATATACCCTATTTTCCGAGGTTTATTACTCAACCATAAAAAATGTGCTCTAGGCTGAAACTTGGCATTCAAGTTCTCAGGCCAGGGGGAGCAAATCTCTCTGGAAATCTAGGCAGTCTCTCAAAATCTTAGACACTATGCTTTGGACTGGCTTGAATGTATTTCAGCCTATAAACCACATTTCAAACCTCCCAGCTGGATGTTGCTGTACAGCTGGAAAATAATAAGCATATCATTCAAACCAGAACAAAAGAGAAACATCCATTACTTCTCCAGTTTAGCATATGTTACATATTTTGGAGATTGTACTTTCGTATACCTCTGAACTCTGGATGTCAACAGCTTATTTAATTCTAATGCTAGCCTCTTTACTTCTAGATTTCCTCCTGCACTGCAAAAAAGACTGGTGCAGAAAGCTGGAAAGAGAGGTGTATTAAGATTAAGAGGATAACTTCGTGTCACCTTACTATGTGGTTGTATTTAGTGGCCACAGGAAGTATGGGCATAAAAGAGACAGAGACTAGACAATCTATAGATATGGAAACTGATTCATTTTATGTTTCATGGGTGTTTAAATAGTACCCAGGGGAAACAGATTTCTAGTCTTTCAATGTATCTGGATTACTAATTTCTAAATTTGCAGTTTGCATCTGTATGTTATATATTGATACATGAAGGTAGTTTTATACACTTCCATTCCTGTAGCCCAAAGCAAGTTAAGACCCTACATATTTCAGAGTCAGGCTTGTTTTATATGCAGACACCGTAAGCATTTGAAGCTGTATGAATTGTGCTCACTTTCACAGGATAAGTTGTAATCAGGGTAGGGTGGTCCTGTTCCCTATTTGAAGGACCATTGGGTCAAAGTCTGGTTTAAAGATAAAGAACCACTTGAAGGAAGAGCAAGGGCTTGAAGTTGCCTCTCAACAGAACCTGGACAGCAGCAGGCTGACAGATAACACAGGCCACAGTTTCCACTACTATGGTGAGATGTAATATATTTCTGATTATCATAATTATTTCTAAATTTGCATCTATACATACAAATAATAAAAATCACTATGTGCTAATTTTATGCAAATTGATGGCCTAGTCTGTTCTTCTTTTTGAATATGCCTTTTCTATGTTTAAGGAACCACTTAAACCAGAGACATGGTCTTTAAAGTGGCCAGCAACAAAAGTATTTGGTCTTCTCCCTTTCGAATGTGCAAGGAAACGCACTACTCCAGTTACAAGTTATTAATTACTATTACAAAATATTAACTATTATTACAGAGCATAAGCACTTGCTTGATTTGATCAACAGGGAAGCACAAGGCTGGCTCAGATGTTAGCTCTTCTACTCCCCTCATTGCAAGGCAAGTTGTTACTGGAAGATCTCTCATTTAGTTAATCACAGCTTATTTGTGGGTAGTGCTGTGGGTTAAACCACAGAGCCTAGGACTTGCCAATCAGAAGGTCAGTGGTTCGAATCCCTGCGACGGGATGACCTCCCGTTGCTCAGTCCCAGCTCCTGCCAACCTAGCAGTTCGAAAGCACGTCAAAGTGCAAGTAGATACGGTAAATAGGTACCGCTCCGGCGGGAAGGTAAACGGCATTTCCGTGCGCTGCTCTGGTTCGCCAGAAGCAGCTTAGTCATGTTGGCCACATGACCTGGAAGCTGTATGCCGGCTCCCTCGGCCAATAAAGCGAGATGAGCGCCGCAACCCCAGAGTCGGTCACGACTGGACCTAAAGGTCAGGGGTCCCTTTACCCTTTACCCAGTGAGACCAGTGGCAGACTTGGAGCTCTCAGATTTCAGTGGCACCCTGTGTGATGCCAACGTTCAGTGCCCTTGCCTCTTACACTCTGTTTTACAGCATTGTTGTGGCACCCACTGCAGCACGGCGTCGGGTATGGCCAAACCTTCGCACTATCCTAAAACCGCCTCTGGTGAGAGGGGCATGGGAGAGGCATAGAGGAATAGAAAAAGGAACATGACACTCAAAGACTAAATCAATTGCTCCCTTAGGTAGAATGCCAGCAGCCAGGTAACATTAGAACAGGTCCAAAAGCTCTGATTTAATTCCAAAAATTCTAAATTGGCACAGTTGGATCTATTTTACAACCAAGTAGCTGCAGAAGAACAGCAACTGGGAACGGGTTTTAATATAACCGAAGGATAAATAAAATGTTTTAGCTTTCAAATCCTGGACATTGAGAGCTGGCATCTTCCTTATTCCCTACATTTCTGAGGCATCTGACTAGAGGAGAAAATTACAGGAATTTTAGGTCAACCAAACCATATCTTCTACCGCCTCTACTGCTGTTTTATTTCCTGTAATTTCAATTTTTTTTAATTTTAATGTTATTGCAAGTCACCTTGGAATTTTTAAACTGGAAATGTGGCTTATAATTTTAAATAATGAAAGAATAAATAAAAATGAAACGAATACCTAGGGAACATGTGTTAAAAAATCAGGTAACCTATAGGTTTTCAACAGCATGCAATTCTCCCTCTGCATTTTCTGAACTCAGCAGCCTTTGTGAAGGTGCTACCTGGAACTATTTGGTGGAACACTAAAACCTTCTGCTAAATCCTCCCTAAGGACCTGCCTTTTCAGCATGTCTGAGAGCACTTATCATTATTCACCATTTTCCTATGAATAGTGTATCTCTTTTCTCTTTCTTTTGGCTTACCTCACAATCTAATGATTTCATGCTCTTTTGACGTTTGTACACCACCAGTTCTCCATTATAATCTCTATCCACAGCCTATATACCTGATCCTGCACTCATTCACATCACATAAACATCTACAAAACATTAGAAATCCGGAACAATTGTCTGAAGGCACTATTTCAGAATTCTATTGCCGTTCAGAACAATAATTCTGTAATTAATCATCTCTGGAACAGTAAAAAAGCAAGTTGGAGATCCGGGACTATTCTTTCTCAAAAATGTAGCAAATATATAGCAAAACAGCTCAGCAATGCTTCAGGCACACTGGCATGCAAACGGTATCCATCATAAGATGCTATGGGAGGAAATAGCAGCATTTAATCCTGTTACTTTATCGATCCCTCTTGTCCTAATATAAAATGATGTAATAATGAACGATGTGCAGGTCCCTATTCAAAGCTGCTATGGATCACTTTTATGATGTGTATTGGCTATCACAGTAATGATAGAACCACCACTTTTCTTGGAAGAGCTGTATTAAATCAGTGCTTTATTCTGTCAGGTAGTAATTCCAAGCTCCAGAATAATAAAGATTATTTATAACAATACTCTAATACGTACATTTTGGGCAATTGGAACAACAGGTTTATTTCTGTGAGAGATGCATTCAGTTAGTTAACTGTATACACTGCTCTGGACATTTTTGCGGAGAATGACATAGAAATTCTTAAAATAAAAATGAGCAAATTGCAATTAATTATGTAGAGGGGGCAAATATATATATATATATGCCCCCTTTCAATAATCACAGCCATGGAGGCCAAAATACTAAAGGTGATCCAAAATATGTTAGTGCAGCAAAATACTTCAAATTATTATTGCTTTCACTTCCCCAGGTGCTGATTTCCCCCACCTTGTGTTACTGCATTTGTTTTGTTACTGCTGAGTAAGTACCGTATTTTTTGCTCTATAAGACACACCAGACCACAAGACGCGCCTAGTTTTTGGAGGAGGAAAACAAACAAATTTTTTTTTCTGACTCTTAGAAGCCAGAACAGCAAAAAGGATCGCTGCGCAGTGAAAGCAGCAATCCCTCTTGCTGTTCTGGCTTCTGGGATAGCTGCGCAGCCTGCATTCCCTCCATAAGACGCACACACATTTCACCTTACTTTTTAGGAGGGAAAAAGTGAGTCTTATAGAGCAAAAAATACGGTATTCCCCTCCCCCAAGTAACTACTAATTACAGTAGAAACAAATTACCAGATTTCCTTTATCTCCATAAATGGTGACATCATGCTTTGCAGGGATAATTGAAATGGTAACATTTAACTTACCATTCTTTCTTCGCTTTGAAGAGGATTATAGTTCAAGATTCTCTGTTAAGTGCTACTGTGGAATTCCAAAGCTAGTTTTTGTGGACCTCGCTTTAGAGTCTTGTGCCTTTATTTTTGGAAATTTATTTCCATCTCTCCAACTATATTTCAATCTAGATTACCTTCGGTTTGCCTTTGATTCTATGCCTGCTATGCTCCTGTCAATGCATCTTGTTCCAAAACTAAGAATACTGAATTTGCTATTTCTCCAGCCACCATGGTTCTCCAACAGCAGTGGTAGGTTATGCATGCTGCCCTCTAGTGCTCAAAGACAGGAAACACAGATCTTTGTCTGTTACGTGCTCTCCTCCTCCTCCTCTGGATTAATTTCCTGTCTTGACTCAGAGCAGGAATGTGTGTGCACTCCCAGTTCTTCTACTCCTCCTCAGGCTTGTATAGCTTGTTATAAAATGGACTGGTCAAAAGGAGGAGGGAAACAAGGAATGGACAAACATATGTGTTATCTGACTCCTGAAACAAGATGGCAGCATTACCCACCACACCATGTGTTTAACACCTCTGAGAAACACCTTTCAGGTGAGAACAGTTCCATTTCCTGATGCTGTTCCTCAGATGCATTCTGTCCGGAGAAAACAAAAAAGAGTGCTCTGACACAGAGCTTGAAAGTGCTGACTGGGCGTGGAAAATGTGGACAAAAGTTAAGTGTGACTAAGTCCAGAGACGGAGAGATTCGGTGGCTACAATGATATAAAAGGCAACGTTGGCAGCACCAAGAGTGGTGAGATGAGAATGACTCTAAAGGGGATTCCGTGTCAAATGAAAGTGCCAGATTGGAAAGAGCAGGATCAAAGAGCAGACTCCTCTTTTCACTTCATCCTCACATGTGGAATTCCATAGGCATTTCTCGAAAACAACACTCAAGGGAATTTTGTTAATTAGGATACATGCACCCCCATGTAGTTTACAATGGCCCATTCTGAAACTATCAATATGTGTTTGCTTACCTGTATTCTTTGTCAAAAGAGATACATTTGGAGTCATGTTTGCAAGGATTTAGCTCTGGGACACAGTGGTTGATCACCTCATCACATAGCTCCCCTGGGGTAGAAACAAATTAAGAGGGCTTTAAAAACAACTCTGATGTGAGACATTGGTTGATTTTCTTGAACTATTGTGGAAAAAAGGTTTAGGGACACATGGCCATTGAAGAATAACAGATTAATGCAAAGGTCTGATGGTGTGTGGACTAAAGAAAAGTGAATCCACAAACTGTTGAACAAGCTGAATCTTGTGGCACAGATTAAGGGCTTATCCACACTTAACTGTTCCTCTGTGCTTTCAATGCACAGTTCGCTCTCTAAAACTCTGTGTCAGAGTGAGCTTTTCTTCTTCTTCAATGCTTTCCTTGTGAAAACCCAATCTTTACCGCTGAATTGGAGCAAACAGCAATTTGGGGTTTCGGTGGATTGAGTTTTGCTCCAATGCAGCAGTAAAGAGTGGGTTTTTGTGGGGGAAATGCTGGGGCAAAACAATAAGCTGTCAAACATGAACCTGGAAAGTCCGGACATGCATGGAAGTCAGAGCAAAGGTAAGCATGGATGAGCCTTTATTGTGGCCTAAGCCTTTGTGGACAAGATGAAGAGGCATCTGATGAAGTGTTATCAGGCCACAATAAACCTGTTTGCCCAAGGTGCCACAAAAGTAAGTTGTTTTCGTTGCAACACACTGCCACAGCTGCCCTCTGGATTTGGAGCAGCTCACTACCTTACACCAATAATTATATCCATTTCAGTGAACAGGTTTTACAACAGGATAGAGAGTAATATCACATACACTGTTCCTTGCTTTGGCACAACATTAAGCTTTAACTGGTACTTGACCACATGACAAGGTCCCTGGATCCAGCAGCAAAGAGAACTAGTGACTCATTTATTAACATGTGGAGTAACATTATTGCTGCAAAAATGTTTTGAACAAAGCACTAACTTTCATTGAGAGCCAATGTTTTATTTTTCCTGCAAGAATATTGTACGTTTATTCAAAATGGTAAAAATAGTCTATTTTGTGATGCTAAACAGATTGAAGACTTCATATGATTAATAAACATCTACTAAAAGAGCACAGAACCTCCTGAACCCAAAGAATATGCTGTCTTCTAAGTAATATGGCCCTCAAGGGCAAGGAATAGTTCAGCTGGTTTTAGTTATTACCTGTTCAGTCTAAGGTCTAGTTTTGTATTTTTAACTACTAATAATGAACAGATCCACAATGTTCAAATCCAGCCCTATTTGGTTACACTTCTGTAACTTAGACTTGAGATATTGCCCATGGAGGATGCAAAACCCTTTTTGTATATGTAATATCTGGCTTATTAAACCCTTATAACATATTTGTTCTAGAAGTCTACTGAGCAGTTTGAGCCACAATGTAAAATTGCACAGATAAGTCCTATATATGTAGATAGCCCAACATGCATTTCAAACACATAACTGTCTCTAAATAGCCACAACAAAAAATTCCACTGGCAAAAATGAAGCTGTAAATATGCAAACAGATCAGAGTCAATTCCATATTTTGCTATATATTCAGCTTATATAGCAAAATATATAATGGAAAAACCAAACAATAACATCCTACAATATTACTAGTGCTTATGGCTAAAGCACTGTACACTCACAAACCTGCGCTAAGTGTCTGTTGTAAATGATGCCAAAAGGAATTGAACAAAGTCAGAACCACATGGGGTTCCCCTAACTATAAATAATTTATGACACTCACCTTGCTTGAAGGGAGGGGAGCAGTGTTAACTCAAGTCAGATTTAGGGGAATGAGCAAACGAGTATTCAAAAAGTATATGGTTGTGTATAGTTACAGCACAACTCAACCACTTTCATAACTTGCTGGTGGTTCCCAGCAGACACTCCAAAGTGCTAGGCCTATTGCGTATCAACCTGGGATTTTCTTACAAAAGAGGGGAAATCAGTTTGAGGTAGTACTGGAACAGTTATAAATCCAGCTGACACCTGTTCAGTTCTGCAGAGAATGCCAAACCAGAGAGTTTTCTTTTCTAAATCAGGATAGTGCATATTATCTTGTGTACAGCACCTAGTTATGTTGGATGCTTCGGTAATAATAATTATTTATATTGTCTGAGCACATGGGGGGAAACCCACAAAGCATGAATTTATGCTGGCATTGCAGATTTGTTATAATGGAACTGCATTCAAATACTAAAACAAATGTTTGGAGACTGGGGAATCCAGGCAATTTTCAGAGCATCACAGCTATAAAGTGGTAGAACCATCTTACCAGGAATTGGCACCTGTCAATAATGGCCCAGGCCTTCTAATAGTTTTAAGGATCTCACAACTGATTATGGAAATGAGAACTTTGCTAAAGCTGAAATTGAATTTTTCTAGTACCAATGAGTTGTAGTAAATATCTTATACAGTATTTTGTCTGTTGGCCAAACATATGAAGCTTAATTTTATTCAACAAGTCATCCTTCACTTACAGACAGAACTATTGCCTGAACTACTGGGTCATGACCAATCTCTCCTACATTTGAAATCTTCATTTAAAGAATAAAGAGGCAGGTTCAGATAAATAATTAAATTATATGCCATCATTTTTCTCCACTGATATCATTTATTCCCTGAGACCACACCAGGCTGGAAATCACTATAATAAATTCAAGTGTAATGAAGAACACAATTTTATACTCATTGAGTCAATGAAGCTTCCTTCCAAGTAGGTAGAAGATTGTTGTCTCAATGTCATATTTAGTAGCCAACTAATACACTTTTAGAAAAATGACTTTTAGCAAAATTGAAGCAGTGCTACTTACTCCTCAAATCTGTCAAGCCCAAAAGTAATTTCTGAAAGAAAATCTTAAGAATTTTGTATTTTCCCAGACCATATGTCATCCCTATGCCTCTACAAGAAAGCTTCTTCCTGATATATAAAAGATATGAGCTACCATCTAGTTCCTTGCTCTGCCGAACTACAAGACCTAAATCTGCCATTTTAATTATGCAATAAGCAAGAAATCTAACCTTACTTCTATCATTTCCACAGTAACTGAGCTGCTCACCACATCGTCTCCAATGTGCTTATCCACATGGAACTGTGGGGTAATTTTGGCACATGATTATTAAACCTACAGATTCACAGCATGAAGCTTAATTCTTGTTCCTGAATCACTTATCAATGACATCACATTTCCAAATCTCAATTTTTGCATGTAAACTAAAACATATAAGCTAGGATTTTTTAATCTATTATTATCACCTCTGTTTTATTATATTTTATTTGTAAAGCTTTGAAAATTACAAAATACTGTGTAATACATTTTTAAAAACAGAATTCTCTGCCTCTAGGTATAGATGCCATGTGTCATAAAAGTTTTTTTAATTGCATTGCTTGAAATAAAAAGTATCTTTTTCAGTACCATACCAAACTGAACAAGAAACCTAAAATGTAATTTATTTGACATACCGAATTATATTTGGGCTTGTACTAGCATCCTCTAATGTACTAATATTTTCATATTTTGCATTTTTTAATGCAACAACAACCACCCACCACCCTTCACCCTAATGTTCCAGAGCAGGTTACAACATTAAAACAGTTTAAAGTAGCTTAAATTTAAAATAATATATGTAACAAACTTTATCATGCACTGGATTAATGTGTGAATGACATTCCTAGTTGCACACTAGGATCCTTTAGCGCTGCTTTGTCTTATTTTTTTATTCATACAATTTAACTCATAAAATATAATAAATGAGCAATTGGTTACTAAGGGGAAATCAAAGCAACAAGAACAGGAACTGCCTAATCGAGAGACAACTCACAACTGCCAAAGTCATAAGGAATGAACAGGAAGAAACTACTTATCTACTTAAATTTAAAAAGCAGGAAGGAGGAAGTTTCTAATGAAAGAAACAGCATCCCTGAAAAGCCTCAACAGCAATTTGCAAATCCATACTGTTATATATGTTTCTGGCTGGCATTTGAGAATTTGGGGTTGTTCCACAGCTACACAGTTTAGTAAGTTTGACAGTGTTCCTTAGGGGCAAAGCACTTTAGTTTCAGTTTCATTTCTGTTATTTGCACAGTAATTGGTAGTTAGGCTCAGGCAGACACCAGTAGAAGCCTAGTTCTCAACTCTGTGCTACTGCCTGGTTCTGGCACTATTAAATATACTGGATTGGCTCATCCTGCAATTACATTTGCAAGACAAAACACTACAACAAATCAGGTCTGTGTTGTTCTGATGAGAACAACACAAAAAAATAGTAGAATACAATGGACTGGCGATGTCAGTTACATTTCCAATAAAAACAGAACAAATTATGATATTCTAAATGAAATGGCTAGTGTGCTGGAAGCAACCCATGTTGTAAATTCTGCAAATTTCTTCAAAATAATGCACTGATAACGTAAATAAGAGATATGTAGACTGAAACAGAGCATCTCACATGCTAGCAGGATTTTCGTTGCTCGATATAGCAGATGAAATGTTCTAAGTTCATGTGGAACTTTTCCTTGTCTATTTTTTTTTTATGGGAGACTCTCCACCTGTATGTCAGAATCTGGCTGCCACCAAATCACTGTAAGCTGGGATGGTGGTGCAAGGTGGATGTTGGAACTGAAAGCGCAAAGGTCAAAAAAGCAGGATGCTGAGGTCTGTTTTGAATCCAGTGCTATGGCTATGGGAGAAGTCAGAAACTCTTGGAATGTAAAGCTGGAGAACCTTTCCCAGTAGACTCCAGTTGCATATATGTGTAAATAAGCCATATATCATGAAGACACCAGAAGCTCTGTTGTGCCTCATTGTTCGGAAACATAGACTCTGGGTTAAAGCGAGCCTGCAACCCCTGGAATCTCATGCTGTTCAGAGATTGGGGTGAAATGTAACAATATGTTAATACTGACTCATCCTGACCTCCTATGACTCCAGAACTAAGGCAGCTAAACAACAAGCTAACATAGAAACAATCTCCATGGAGCTGGCTTCATTTAATTATTTTGCCAATTTACCACAATGGAATTACCACATCAGAATACATGCCATTTGTTTCATGCCACATTCAATGTTTTAAACCCATAATCTGAATCATATTGTTAACTTGTTCAGTGGAAGGGGAAACTACTGGGTGTACCAACAACTTTTAAAAAAAATTTTCTTCTAATTGTAATAGCTGATTGGTTAAGGTAAAGCCAAATACCATGTGTTCTGTATTTCCATTGCCTGAATATAGGACACTCCTTACATTTGTTTTTAATATTAATTATAATAAGGAATAGGACATGGAAAATATTTTCAGCTTTATTCAGAAACATCTTGTGCAGAGCCCAAAGCTAGGGGGAAAAAACTCCCCTCCCCAAAAAGGCAGGAATAAAATGTGCATTATACAATTGGCTAACATTTGCAACCACCTAAAGAAAAAAATAGCATAAAGTTGCAAAACAGTAGGCACCACGTTCATATATTTACTAGGACTTCTGGAAACAATCTTTGGCAAGGTTTTTTCCTTCAGCAATGTATATGCAGTGGGCAATGTTGACATATAAAAGCATTAAAGCAGCTCTGCTACATCAGACCCACAGTTCATGTAGTCCTGCAGCCCAAGGCAAGCAAAATGCTTCAGGGAAACCCACTACTGGGTTATGAAGCCAAAAATCATTATTTAGGGTACCTTACTACTATAGTATGATTTGGATTTGATATAGAAGAAGAGTTTGGATTTGATATCCCGCTTTATCGAGTCTCAAAGCGGCTAACATTCTCCTTTCCCTTCCTCCCCCACAACAAACACTCTGTGAGGTGAGTGAGGCTGAGAGACATCAGAGAAGTGTGACTGGCCCAAGGTCACCCAGCAGCTGCATGTGGAGGTTACACTGCAAAGTAAAGTGTGTGCCACTTCTAGGCACAAAATCTTTCCAAGGTATTTCTGTAATCAAACAAGGTCACAAAAAGTAACAAAACAAGAACAACTCAACACAGATTAAAAGATTAAGGAACGGAAGAGGTGCTTTATGTCAAAGGCATTTTTATTGGTTTCATATTTAGTCACTAGGGATAAAATCTTGACCATGTTTAAGCCAAAAAGAGATTTTTCTAGTGGAATTTTGCAGTAATTTTAGCATCTGTCTATCAAATGGCAATATTCTCCAGAAGAAACCTACAAACTGCCAGACCATTCTTAACTTTTAGGCATGAGAAACCAGCCATGCTTGATCCTTGTAAGGATGACATAATTCCCTGAGAACTGAATTGGTACCACTTCAGATATTACTGGTGGTAAAATTGTTCAGCTGTAATATTTTTAAATAAGGTTAAAACAGCATTTGACCCTATCTTTATTCAGCTGTGGGATCATGCTCAGCTGCAATGGGGGGAAGCCTTCCTAGATTATGTGCAAAATTAACCTACATGCTGCTTTTAGACAAGGTAGGTTTCATATTTCACTGAATTATACCTTACTTTCTCTGATACTTCTCTTTTCCAAGCTAAATTATCCAACCTTTAGTGTACTTCATCTAAATTCAAAGACACTTTTACAATCACTCTCTTTTGGGGGAAAAAAATCAAATATACAACTATACGAAGAATATACAAATGAATTCCAAACTCTTTTGAGAGTCAGTACAGGAAATAGCTCTAAGCTGCACACAAGTCACAAGGCAGTAATAAAATTCTGTTTCCCTAGTATGATCAAAATAGATTTTCTTGAAATACAAAGCAATAATCTCTGAACCTAAATATCCATTCATTTCTGAGCAGCACACTTGAAATAATGAAGACAAACATGCAAGCAGGTAAACAAACCCCAGTGAGCTTTGTTATAGACTTAAGTGGAAGATGACTGAAAATCTTCCCCACAGACTGACTTTTTGTGCCAAGAGCTTTAGATTTGAGCTATTCTGAGCAGAGACAGAAGTAACTCAATGAAAGCCACTATCAACGCTGAAATCCCATCCTAAGCCCCTGTTCAAAATTATTTCCAGCGAGTCTGTTGAGATGCAGTATCCCCATCCCACATCAAATGCTTGAAAACACCGTTTTGCTTATTTCACGTTGAGAGGAAAGATGCTGTTTCGTTTGTGTCATTTTTATAATAATAATAATAATAATAATAATAATAATAATAATAATTTATTATTTATACCCCGCCCATCTGGCTGGGCTTCCAAAAAATATATTAAAATACTGTACTACATCAAACATTAAAAGCCTCCCTAAACAGGGCCGCCTTCAGATGTCTTCTAAAAGTCTGGTAGTTGTTGTTCTCTTTGACATCTGGTGGGAGGGCATTCCACAGGGAGGGCGCCACTACCAAGAAGGCCCTCTGCCTGGTTCCCTGTAACTTGGCTTCTCGCAGTGAGGGAACCGCCAGAAGGCCCTCGGTGCTGGACCTCAGTGTCCAGGTAGAACGATGAGGGTGGAGACGCTCCTTCAGATATACTGGACCGAGGCCGTTTAGGGCTTTAAAGGTCAGCACCAACACTTTGAATTGTGCTCGGAAACGTATTGGGAGCCAATGTAGGTCTTTCAAGACCGGTGTTATATGGTCTCGGCGGCTGCCTCCAGTCACCAGTCTAGCTGCCGCATTCTGGATTAGTTGTAGTTTCCGGGTCACCTTCAAAGGTAGCCCCACGTAGAGCGCATTGCAGTAGTCCAAGCGGGAGATAACCAGAGCATGCACCACTCTGGCGAGGCAGTCCGCAGGCAGATAGGGTCTCAGCCTACGTACCAGATGGAGATGGTAAACAGCTGCCCTGGACACAGATTTGACCTGTGCCTCCATGGACAGCTGTGAGTCCAAAATGACTCCCAGGCTGCACACCTGGTCCTTCAGGGGCACAGTTACCCCATTCAGGACCAGGGAATCCGCCACACCTGCCCGCCTCCTGTCCCCCCAAAACAGTACTTCTGTCTTGTCAGGATTCAACCTCAATCTGTTAGCCGCCATCCATCCTCCAACCGCCTCCAGACACTCATACAGGACCTTCACCGCCTTCACTGGTTCTGATTTAAAAGAGAGGTAGGGCTGGGTATCATCTGTTGGTTTCTATTTCCCTCACTGAGCAGCAACTGCAGTCACAAGACATTGTTTTGCATTCCACAGTCCAAGTTACTGTTGGATTCCCACGGGAATGGGAGACTGGATGTGACGTACACTGGTTTCCTGTTTTTCACTGTTCTCTCGGTTTCTTTGTTAGAGAGACAGTTGCTTCTCTGATCTCACAGAGGCAAGATGCATGTTTGTATTCTCTCAGCATAGAGTGGAAATAAAGTTAAGAATGTGGCACATACTGCTTATCCTTCTGCTGTGTGGACTACTCTGCTTGGGCTCAAGATAAGACGAGCCTGTATCAGCTTCAGATGGGCCGAAGCTGGTCAAAATCTCACATCATCTACATATTGATGGACACCCAGCCCAAACCCCCTGATGATCTCTCCCAGCGGCTGCATGTAGATGTTGAAAAGCTTGGGGGAGAGGACAGAACCCTGAGGCACCCCACAAGTGAGAGCCCAGGGGTCTGAACATTCATCCCCCCCCCCACTTTCTGAACACGGCCCAGGAGGAAGGAGCGGAACCACTGCATGACAGTGCCCCCAGCTCCCAGCCCCTCAAGACAGTCCAGAAGGGTGTTATGGCCGATGGTATCAAACGCCGCTGAGAGATCCAGCAGAACTAGGAAACAGCTCTCACCTTTGTCCCTAGCCCGCCGGAGATCATCAACCAGTGCGACCAAGGCAGTTTCTGTCCCATGATGAGGCCTGAATCCTGACTGGAAGGGATCCAAATGGTCCGCTTCTTCCAGGCGTGCCTGGAGTTGTTCAGCAACCACTCGCTCAATCACCTTGCCCAAGAATGGAAGATTTGAGACTGGGCGATAGTTGGCCACCGTGGCCGCATCTAAAGATGTTTTTTAAAGAAGCGGTTTAATAACCGCCTCTTTCAGCGGGTCTGGGAAGGCTCCCTCACAGAGGGAAGCATTCATCACCCCATGAAGCCCATCGCCCAGCCCTTCCCGGCTAGCTTTTATAAGCCAGGATGGGCAAGGATCAAGGAGACACTCGTCCAAGCACCCTGTCCACATCCTTGGAGGTAACAGATTGAAATTGATCCCATGCAATTTGACTAGACAGGACTCTAGCACTCTCCCGCCCCGGCCCTGCTCCCACGGTGGAGTCTACCTCTTCCCGAATCTGAGCGACTTTATCTGCAAAAAACTTTGCAAAATCATTGCAGGAGATCATGTGGCCCGTACTGGGCCCCGATGTAACAGGTGGTTCCGCTAAATTGCGAACCACCTGAAAAAGTCTCCTGCTGCTGTTTTCTGCAGATGCAGAAATATATATAGAAAGCAAAACTATAAAGTAAAAATAAATGGATAAAAAATAGATATAACACAAAAAGAACTACTGACTCAAAGCATCAGTTACTAACGTCTCCTCTTGGAGCTCCAGCAAGTTTCTGGCAGAAAGATGGTTAAAAGCTACAATTAGTTTTCGTTCAAGTGTAAGGTTTTTTTCCCAGCCAACCATTTACAAAAGCATCCCAAAAGGGCCCCAAACAACATTTTAAGAGTTTGGGAAATTTTAGATTTACTTACCAAGCCGTTCAAACCTGATACTTATTAAATCCCATGATATGTAATATACTCCAGCTTACAAGGAGCCTTTCACTAAGTGTCTGATGCTCAGAGAGTAGCAAGACCAGTTCACATTTTCATGGTTTATAAGAGTGTAGATATTTTCTTACCACTGTACAGTGAATATAAGCAGTTATGATTTGGTGGCTTGTATTCTTAGATCCTTGGGCAAATACTTTATATATTTGCTTACCTGTATAATTAGGGAGGCAGAGGCAGGCATAATTGTTTACTCCATCCATACAAGTTGAGTTGTTCTCGCAATCATTATCTTCACAGTCATCTGGATTACTTTCACATTTTTCACCCTCAAATCCAATAGGGCAGGAGCAACTTTTAATAGAAGAGTAAACAAGACAGGAAGACTAATTTGCATTTCAGACTGAAATAAGTTGGTAGCAGAAACAGCACAAACTAGTTTTGCATGTGTTGACCACTAAAGGTCATCAGTATTGAACAAAGAGGGTTGGCACCCATGAAAGGTCCCCAATATCAACTATTGACAGAATCCAGCAATATCCAGCACTGAAGGTTCCTAATAACCACATCAGAAAACTGACTATAAGCCAGGCTTCAAAATTATTTGCTGGTCGTATGTCAGAAAGCCAGTAACAGAAACTCTCTGGACCGGACAGAAATGGGTAAAGCAGATATAAAAGGCCAGAGATTCAGGAGGGAGGGGCAGAATTGCAGTGGGTGATGAGGTAAGTGAACAGGGAAAAAGGTGTCTGTTTCGCAAGCGGAAATGTAGCAGGGAAGAGAAGGCAGGCAGTCTGTTTTATGCTGCAGAGAGACTCAGTGTTTGGGCTCTCTTTGAATCGGAGGCTGCAGCAATGGAAGAAACAGGACCCCTTTGGAATAGGCTCAGCTTGTATATATGTGTAAATAAACCATAAATCATAAACCAAAGTCTCTGCTGTCCCTTATTGTACAAAAGAAAACAAAGACTCTGGTAAGCGTGCCTGGTACCCCTGGAATGTTGCACAGCTCAGAGATTGTGGTGGTGTGTAATAATACTAGAGAGCTGTTTTAGTAATCTGCTTGGTTGGGGAGCCTATTTAGGCTGAAAAGTGAGATAAAAGTGAGGTAAAAATACTTTAAAAAACAATAAAAATTGTATGATTAGTAGCCAACATTAATTGCATCTTTTTACATGTGACTGAATGCATGTTTGTGTAATAACTGAGAACAGGAAAAATTCTGAATTATGTTTTATTTATTTTCTAACTCAAGTCTATAGCAGCTCACCAGCAACAGGCAACACAACAAAAAAAGACTTAGCAATGTTTTGAAGATGTGATTTTGGAACATTTTAAGAAGTTCACTTTTTTATTTTTAAAAATATCCACATACCACAGTTTCACTATAAGAAGCATGAAATTTGTTTGTAGTTATACATACCACAATTAAAAAAAAATTGCACTTTAGAGGATAGATTCACTGAAACCCTCCCTCACGCAATATGTAGAAAAGTAACAAGTAAGTTGCCCTCCTTTGCCCTCTATGTGTGAGAACTACCCCTTCTTATGATGCGGAAGCATTAAAAAAATGCAGCCCATCACTTGAGTATATTCTAGGACAGGAGTGGGTAACATATGGCCTTTCAAACGTTCCTCCCATCACTCCCAACCAGAATGGTCAATGGCCGGTAACGATGGGAGCTTTAATTCAGCAAGATCTGCAGGGCCAAATTTAGTCATCCCTGATCTTGAAAGCTACAGTATGTGTTGTGTACACTGGAGTCTGTGTGCTTCCTATGCAAAAAGCCTGAGGTGGGAAAACCGTAAATAAAATATGTAGCTGGATAAAGGAACAAACAAAGAATAAAAAGCAGAGGCAGGCAATTTTGTAGAAGCCAACATTGCGGAGTCAAAGGTATCTGCTTATTTCATATTCATGAACAACAAAAAAGGGGCAAGTGGTCTCTCCTGAGCAAAAGAAACAACTTTTCTTTTAAAAGTATAAGGACAAAGTAGTACACAGCTATATAGCATGACAACACAAAACTTGGATACTTGCAGACCATATGCACCCAAAATAATAAAAGAACCATAAAAGCAATTTGAACTGATTGTGCAGAAGAGCTCCTGACACTTCTCATCCCACACTCACCACTCATAGGTCATAATAGCTAGAAGGGACAGGGATATATCTTTAGAAGGGATGACTGAAAACAAACTGCTTGAATCAATTCTACTTAAAGCACACTAAATCAGTATGAAATATTTTCTTTGCCTGTCTTTTACCTCATTAGTACCAATAAAAAACGTCCTCTTTCTGACCCTTTGGTGATACTCAGGATCACATGAGGCAGATAAGAGAAGACAGGAAGAGCTGGCACAGCATCTTTTGTAGCCAAGAAAGGGGATGGGGGGAGCAGGATAAAAGAACTCTAATTAAATAAAGTGATCCATTCATCATGTCTCCCGTTTCCATTACAAAACCCCATTTTTCAGGGCTTTATAACTCAGCCATAAAAATGTGCTCTAGGCTGCAACTTGGCACACAAGGTCTCAGTTTGGGAGCACAGATTCATTCTTTCATTTGAAAAGAAAAGAAAAATGAGGAGCCTGTACTAGCTTCTTTTATTGTCTATTTCTGTATGCCACATTCTGACTAGAACAGGTGATGTTTACAATAAACAGTATACTACTAATAAGGACTGGCAATAAGACAACACTGTTCAAATAATATGCATTTCCATCACTAACATTCAACATTCAAGCTATAGCTATAAACTCAGGAACCGTATCTTTGTTTAAAAAAGACAGAAAAGGAAGAGGGAACTTTTGAAACCAGAAGTATTATTTATTGGCATATGTAATGAGGGCCTATTTATTCATTTCATCCAGATTGATTAACTGCTAAATAAATACACTGGTACCTTGGGCTACAAACGCTTCGGGTTACAAACTCCGCTAACCTGGAAGTAGTACCTTGGGTTGAGAACTTTGCCCCAGGATGAGAACGGAAATCGTGTGCCGGCAGCAGCAGCGGGAGGCCCCATTAGCTAAAGTGTGACTCAGGTTAAGAACGGTTTCGGGTTAAGAATGGACCTTCTGAAGGAATTAAGTTTGTAACCCGAGGTACCACTGTAAATAAGCACTAAGCAGTTTAAATATAATACAAGCAGGTCCTGCTTTCTGAACACAGTATGTTCCATGGAAACTGTTCACATAACGAGTCCATGGTTACCATTATTTCCTACTGATATATTTCTAAACTAGGATTTTTTGAATCTCTCTCCCTGTTTTTGAATGGCTGCAGCCAATCAGCAAAAGAAAGACAAAGTAATTTGATTTGTCTCAACACTCCTACTCTTTGATTCATTCAGTCTAGTTCCCCTCCTCCTTCCATTGTTTCTGCCCAGAAATGGCTGCTGATGGCCAGCAAAACAAGGAAGTAAGGAAGCCATTTGATTGGATAAGTGAATCTGCAGAGCATATAGCAAGGTTTGGGCATAATTCTTAATGTGAGGATAAGTGAATTTTTGGATAGGACCTATTATTCCTTAAAGATAGCCATTAATCTATACAATTTTTTGTTCCAGATGTAGTATTGTAATGTGCTTTTGGAAATGGCAATTGATGCAAAATGTAGTGGCCACGGGGGTGATGGGGCAGTGGATTGAATGCATTTACCGGTAATCCCCATTTTAAAAGTTAATCTGGTTGGCTTGGTGCTAAAAGTCCTGCTCCCATATATACCTGCCCATGCCTTGAGATGTACAGATGAGGCTTTCCTGGTGGTCCCAATACAGCCTAAAATACACAGCACCAGGCTTTAGGAAAGGACCTTTTCAGTTGTGGCCCCATGCCTGTGGAATTCCTTTGCCACTTAAATGTGTCTAGCTCCTTCATGATGTCTGTGTCAATAATCAAATAAATAAATGATGTAGCTGGGAGAGCTACTGCGAAAATTATGTCTGTTCTGACTGGCATCTCAAGCAAGAGGACTACACTGCATTAAACACAAACCACTCATTTCTTTCTGTGTGACACACTAAGACTTCAGGGAGGGCAAACATGATTAGCCTTAAACTAACTGAAAAGATTCAGGGACACGTTTCATTTCATATGCAAGCATAAGCTACGGAGAAAAAACTGCCAGAGATTAATCAAATCTGAATGTGTAGTCAGAGAGGTTGGAAACTTTATTAGAGTAGAGGTTAGGAATTAAAACAGGCATGGCCAAACTTGGCCCTTCAGCTGTTTTGGGACTACAATTCTCACCAGCCCTGACCACTGGTCCTGTTAGCTAGGGATGATGGAAGTTGTAGTCCCAAAACAGCTGGAGGGCCGAGTTTGGCCTTGCCTGAATTAAGAGATTGGAGGCCTGTACATATGCCATACAGTAGTACCTCAGGTTAAGAACTTAATTCATTCTGGAGGTCCGTTCTTAACCTGAAACTGTTCTTAACCTGAGGTACCACTTTAGCTAATGGGGCCTCCCGCCGCTGTGCGAATTCTGTTCTCATCCTGAAGTAAAGTTCTTAACCTGGTACTATTTCTGGGTTAGCAGAGTCTGTAACCTGAAGCGTCTGTAACCTGAAGCGCTTTTAACACGAGGTACTGCTGTATTAACAACTCAGATTAAGGAAGAGATATTCTCTCCCCAATTCCTGGATGTGATTATATGTTCTACAAAGTTATAGCAGCTGGATCATGCAGTGCTATATTTTATTGATTGGGCTACCAATCCGTAGAGTCCGAGCTTACACAACATCACCGTGTTGGTGGGGTTTGAATTTTTTGAAAGATGCAGGTGTTGTTGTTTTTGTTGTTATGGAAATTTATAACATAAATTATAGTGGCAAAATGGAGTTGTGTGTACAAGGCTTTAGAGTGGGAGGTTTCAGGAAGCTGCTGACTACATAAGCCACAATAAGGACCAATTACTATGGCTGCATATTCCTTCCCAGAAAGGGTATTTCTGTTACCATAGTGTAATTGGCTGAAGATTCTTTACACATTTTCCCTACTGAATGGGAACCACACAATCTCTTTGTTTAAGTTGTAGTAGCCATGCACTTTTCAAACATATTCATTGGGTCAAACTCTAAACCCTTTGAGGTGCAGAGGAATGTTGTATTTTCACTAAGAAACATGCATCTCGGTCTAGCACAGAACAGCACAGAACTTCATGATAAACTTTTAAAATATTTTTATCTTAGTAGAATTTTTATTTTAACATAAATTTTAATTTTTTTTTTATCTTAACAGAACTTGAGATGGCTGGCTAT